AGAAGAGCTGCAAGGAGCGAAGTGCAGCTACAGAACCCACTAATATTGCAAGGGTCTCCAACGACAAGCCAGTGACAATCATATCTGTCGGGGCGTTGAAAATGAAGACGTTGTGAGCGATAAAGCGCAGTGGACGTTTCTTCATATACACATGAGCCTGCTATGATGATAATTATTACCACGGATTCTCGTAGCTCCCACCTTCCGACGGATGGCAAGTGGGATCACTGCGGAAGTCCACCAGATACATGCTGATTGGTTGGTCGAGAACAAGTTACATAAATGTACATCGGACCACAAAATACTCAATCAAAACCTTCAGATGCGCCGGAACAAACTTGTGAATCGATTCCGTGAAGAGGTGTGCGATAACAAGGATCGAGACGCTTAGTTCCCAATTTCGTATGTACTCTGACAGGTTGAATGAGTGACGAGTAATGGTGTGACGAACCTCAGGTCGAAACTTGAAGCTAACAGTAATTCCATTTCCCAGCATGAGAGTCAGGTGCAGCTCGGTGATCGTGTAAGAGTTGACCAAGCGTCAGTGGGAACAGGGAGTAATGCTGCCTCGTGTATTTCAGGAGTCAGAAATAGCAGCGGTAGACGCACATTCGTCTGGTTGTCCCAAGGCCGTCGGATTTCGTGGGAGTCGAACTGCACTTTCTAATACTAGAATAAGTTACAAAAGAGAACGTCGTGAATACTCGCCCATCTCTGACTCGTGGTTGTATGCGGAGATCTCCCTTGCATCCCCTTGATAAAGAGCGAGGGATGAGTCAATCCAAACTTAGGCGCGAATGTAAGGAGTCCAAGGAGGCAACGCGCTTGAAATGAGATGAAATATCACGGTCACGTGATCCGTCAAACCTTACAGTCATCGACCCGTCACCGTTTCAACTTATCACATTTTTCAAGATGGCTTGAAGGGGCCTGCATCTTCGGACTCTTCCCAGCTGAGCTTATTCCACCTCTCTGCCCTCAGGACTCAGGCTCATGACAATACATCTCTGTCATACCAAACACTTCCTTCCATTTGGTACCTTGCTTCGGAAGTCCGACATGAAACCCAATGCTCACTGGACACTGGTGCAGGAGACAGCAAAGCGGCTACAACACGACTGTTACTCTGCAAAAAAAACAAGTAAAATATAGATGATCGTGAATGGCAGTAAGCTTGTCATGCAAGTCATTCAGTGAGGTGAACAAGGATAAGTCGGGTGGCGACCGTGACGCATGCCCAGGCTCAGATGATAGTAAGAAAGTTGGATTCAAGACAATCTGAAACACGCTAGGGGAAAGATCTTCGAGGAAGATCAATTGTGTCGTAGGTCGCAAAGTTCTGTTACAGAGTCTGAATATTTGTACCTGATTTGCACGGAGTTGACTATCGCAAGGCATTCCTTGCCTGATGTCGGTGGAGATCCTTTAGGTTTACTGGCCAGCTGTAACTACTTTGTGGGCATCATTGCCAACTATGACGACCCAAGTTCATGACCGTCATTTACCAAAAATCCAGTGCGTTTCTACAACTAAGTAACATGTATGTATACGTACCTACAGTTCTACAAAATTGTCTCACCCATCTCCTCCCCTCTTCTCATCATTCCACACAAATCCCTCACGTGGCTCTCTCACCACTCTCGCCACTCTCTCATTGCGCGACAGAGCCGGTCCCCCATGCACATGAAGTACCCTAATCGGACGCACCCCTTTGAATCCCAAACCATCCAACACGTCGTCGTCCTTCTCCAGAATCTCCTGCCCCGCAACCTCCTTCCGACTCCCGATCATCGTCTTCGGCCTTTCTAACGGGAACTCCATGACAAAATCACCCTCAGCCGCGAGCTTTAACATCGTGACGCGGGGCCACAGCGAACAAATGCTGTCCTTGAAATGTGCGCCCAAGAGCACTAAGATCGCCTCGATGCAGAGAGAATCGCTGTCGATAACGGCCACCGTCTCTCCCACGACGGAGTCTTCGGCACCCATTCCAACCTATCTCCTAAGCACCCATAAAATTCCAGCGTCATCGCCTTCGGCCACGCTCTCGTCCTCGAATCCTCCACAAGAGTGGTCCAACAGCCCAAGATTCTTGGGCCTGTCACTTGTAGACACTCGAGCAGGGGCGCAGATCCTGCCAGCACTTCGCTGTACTCTTTGATGTACAAGCTGTAAAAATTACGTATCCGAAGACTCTTGAGCCATCCGATATGCGGCGCAATGCAGTTCAAAATACCAGGAACTTCATCTTGGCATATGTTATCGTGCTCGTTGACAATAGTCAAATGAACAGGATAACCGCCCGCCTTTTCTAATTAAGAACTCGATGAGCGAAGGCTGCTCTCAAGGGGCATCACGCAAAAGACTCGCGTCCAGAGCTCGGGTGCAGAGGATACGACGTCTCACCATTGTATGGGGGAATGGAGGGCCACCTGCTAGAACGCGCTGTTCGGCTTCAGCAGTTGTTGTCATGTCGTTTTGGATGATGTCTTCGAGCAGGACCTTGAGGATGGCGCATACTGTTTCTGAACGAAGGAGTTCGACGGGGTTGGTTCGCGTTTTGAGTGGCATTTTATGTCACTGGTGATTCAAAGGTTAGTGAGATGGTGATTAGTAGAGTCAGAATCACGACATACCTCGTGGTAGCGTAACTGGCGTTGTAGAGTAAAAGTTCGAACTACATCAGTGAACCGGTGAAGGTTTTCAAAGGTTTTTAGTAGAAGTACCTAGTTTAACTCCTAACTCCCCTGAAAGTAAGTTTAAGTACATGTGAACATTGGATTACGCAATACCACGACTGTGTCCGAGTCCAGACCACTTTTCATGCTATACAAACAGCTAGCAGAACAGATCCATGGACAGCGTAGTGTGGTGCCAATTCACTCCCTTGCAATCAAGTCCGACTCTCCAATTCAACATGCCTGATTTTCACTTGATGCTCTAGCCGCCTGGAAAATACTGCTCCCAAGGATCGCAATCCGCACTTCTAGTACAGATCATGTTCTCGCATGTACATTTTCATCGGAACTCTACCTACGCCTCAGCCTATATTTCAAGCAGGAGTTGTGTATCGCTCCAGATTCGGTTCAATTCTGTTCGTACGGTAGTTGAGCTCATGTGAATAGTGATCATATCAGATTATATTCAGGTCGTATGCATTGATACGCCGCTTCAGCGTAGAACAACTTGAACCCACTGTTGTTGCGAAGTCGGTTTCTGCCATAACTGTGTCATCAAGTTATCGGTGAGCACTGAACATGTATTCCTTGCAGGTGACGCTGATTGGACATGGCACAGGGCCCAGCTTCAACTGTCAGTTGGAGTACATTTGGAAGGAACGTTTCATTCTTCTGCGCCTACTCAAGCCAGTGACGTTCACTGCGCCACAGCCTCGGTTTGACTATTTATGCATGTACGACCGGGTGATCAACTGAAGTCCTGGTTCCTGCCACCTCACGCACCAGTCCCCTCAATGTGATTCGGAGGCGTTGGAAACTGCTATAACACAAGTCACAGTTTCCTTAAAATTCTCCAATCGAAGTTGATGGATGTCTCGCAGATGCAGAACACTGCAAGCTCTCCATATCCACCATCCACCGAATGCTCCTTACCACCATACCCTTGCATATGGGTCTGCCGCCCAGTTCGGAACAGCCAATCGGTATTTTATGACTGCCATCGCTGATCTGGCCCGCGGCTGGGATACCAGCGCTGGGACACGCAATGTGCTCGGGAGCTTCTTCTGTTCCCGAAGAGCGGTTTCTGCCACTGATCTGTGATGACTGCAACTTACTTACAAGTAGGACCTAGTCCTTGAAGCCATCGGGTAGAGAGAGGGCATCCCTGCGATGTGTGAGCTGAAACAGCAAGGCATGAAGGGAACTGTTAACTTCGAACTAGCGAATCCCGGCTATCCGCCCTGCTGTTTTAACCCTGGCGAGGCGATTTTTCTACCTGCGGTTACAAGACTATATGGACAAACTGGGCAATTGTTTCGGTGCAGAGGTAGGTTCAACTCTCACCCAAGCTTACGTGTGGATCTGACCCGAGGATGGGACCATTAGCGCCAGACTTCATAGCTGTCTATTTTTCCATGCCGGTTTTGCCGACCACTCGCCCCTTCTTCCAATTGAGCGTGACTAACGGTGTATGCACGAAAGGAAGATGGGGCGAGAGGTCTCTTCAACCTGGTCTGATCCTAGCCTTTCATCCTGATGTGAAGAGCAAGGTCGATTAAGCTGAAGATGCAGAATGGGCAAGTAGGAGCAATGTCAAAATGGATGCGTTTCTCCGCCGCGTGTCTTCCGATTTCCTGACACTGATATGTGTAAGTGAGTGAGCTGGGACAGCTTCGGGAGCGGAACGTGTTAGGGCTGGCGATCCATGTCATCTGTGTGCGGCGTATACATTTTTGCCGCGACATTTCCACTTGAAATTTTATGGATATGCACAGCTAACGCCTTCTTCATCGATCCATTCGGTTCTGCTTTATCGAACTAATTACCCTTCTCTTTTAGGTGAGCATAATTCGAACAGACGCGGTGTGAGATTGTTTTTATGCATTGTATTTGACAAGCGAACGAGTTTTAGAGGTAATTGTTTTTATCACGTACTGAGTTTGAGACTGAAAAAAATCCGCGGATGTCAACCACTCCTTCACCTCGTCTCAGTCCCACACGAAGTCCCTCACATGTGCCTCGAACCAAACCTTTCCTCAGGCGGCAAAGGTTGTACCCCATGCACATGAAGCGCCATAATGGGATGCACGCCTTCGAATCCCATGCTATTCAGCTCCTCCTCGACCTTCCCCAGGACCTCCTGCCCCGCAGCCTCCCACTGGCAGCTGATCATTGCCTTGGGTATTGTCAATGGCAAATCCATGATGAAATTATCCTCAGCTACGAGCTTGAGGGCCGTGACACGGGGCCACATCATCTTCCTTGTGGTGACGCTGATTTGACACGGCACATGACCTAGCTTCAATGTCTGGAATACTGGCGCCACAGCCCTGGATTCACCATCCACCGATCGTTCCTTTTCACTCATACAGTCTATTTCCTGGCATATGGATCTGCGGCCCACGTTCAGATCGGTCATTATGGTTATAGGCATCGTTCCGTAACTGTGATTGCTGATCTGGCCTGTGGCTTGGATGCCAGCGCTGGAGCGAGCATGGCGCTTGGGAGTTTTTCGAGCTTCTTCCGTGCGAAGAGCGGTTTCTGGCAGTCTGTGGGAGTTGCAACTTACAAGTAGGGCCTTGAAGCCGCTGATTGCTTGGAGTCTTATTGCATATGATGCTCCCCAAATTTCAAGCAATGCATAAGCTGAAACAGCAAGCCATCGTTCACCTTCACCCTTGTCCATATACTTTTCAGGGCGTGGTCGGGGTCAGTGAGACCTCTTCTTGTGAGGGACTTGGCTTCCGTGACAGGTGCTGCGGAGGAATGACGTTAGGAGTAGGCCCGTGCCCAGGAAGGAGCCGAATGTGGTAAGACAACTTGTTGTACAGATTCTAACTTACTCTATTATCAGGGGAAGGTTACCTGATCGTTGCGTACAGTCCGCTACGAACATTACTGAAACGCGGTAACACAGTTCATTTTCTCCTAGTCGCTTGCTGAAACGTTCTGAACCTGGGTTAGTATGACCCAGGCCTACATTCAAGACCCGAGCGATCTACTTGCAAAGACAACCAAGGTCTGCATTGGTGTAACTGTACCATCATATTTAATGGGGACAAGTTACTGAAACACGGTGGCACGGTTCATTTCCTTGCTGAATGCATTGCTTCATTTAAACTACCTCCGCTGACGATGTTCTGAGGTGGGGCTAGTGTAACCGTTCACCTCGGCGCACATTACTGGAATGCGCTAACACAGGTTATTTCCTCGTGCATCGGCTCAAGTATGCCATCATGCAACAGTCATGCGTACTTGTCCTTGAATTCTGCATGTATGTATTTGATTTCATCTCGGTTTGTTTCTAGTCCCCGAGTCGTCAATTCACGGACTTTGTGCTTCTCACATGAATTCGGCTGCGGGCGGCCAACTGATGAATTTTGTCATCAGCAGATTTTCATCATGCAGCGCTAACAGCAAAAAATATAAATCGAGGGTGGTCGAGTCCCAAATCCTCAGAGACAAACACCTCGTTTTGCAGTGAGTAGCCCTCTTGTACAGCAGTGTATCGATTTCACTGACTCATTAACCTCTAGCTCTTCCTGGACTTGTTATATCACCTTCGCAAATACAACACAAACATAACTTTTGTTGGCGGGTAGTTTCCTAGCGCTGACGGCCATCGCTGAAGCATAGCCATACTAGATATCATGAAGCCTATTCAGTTCGCCTACCTCGTGAAGGCAGCTCCTACCAATAACGCCAAAGGCGAGGGAGTCTGCGCGTCGGTATGCTACCCTGAAGAATCTACCTGCATGAATGGGTCGATACCCGTCGAAACTTGTACAGACTGCTGGACCTGCTGCCCAGCTGAATGATGTGCATGAATACAAGCCATCGAGTTTATACAGATGATATATAACGCCTAGTCACATATGGTTCTAAAGAGCGACATTTTCCAATGATTCCAGTCTGACTGATTGCAATTGGAATGGCAGGAACAAGATTGTAAATTTGTAAACAATTCTCGTGGGTCTTCAATAACGCTACAGATCATTCAGATCTTCGCCCTTACATTTGCCACTCATTGCAGTTCTCAGCCCTTAGACGCGACCTCGCGGTACTCGGTCGCTGCCTCGCCAACGTAAGTGAGTATCTACTAAGATTTCAATGCCAAATTATTTGATCGGATTTCACACCATTTGGCTTCATTTGGGCGCGCATCAAATGTTCATCCCTAAACTCTACAGCCCCCCAAGGAATACAAGCTTTGCGTTGATTCGTAGATAGTGTGCTCTGCATAATTTGTGGAAGAAGCATATATGGAAAGATCAAACGATGTTGTCGCTCTTCAAGCTTGCAAGTTCCAAAGTTACTCTGTGTTTTGTGATCGAACACATACTATATTTGGTATAAAAGCGTGACCTTAACGTAGTCACGGTAGTCTCAGTCTGTCGAAGTTTCGGGAGGTTGATGTGAGTCTGAAGTTCTAAAATCAAGGTACGTCCACTTTCCAGCGATTCTGGTTATTTATCTTACTAGGATTCATGCAGTCGCTTATAAGGATCAATAGCACAAAACAGGAAAATGCTACAGTGCTACCTTGATTCGCTTCATACAGAGATGGTCTGCAGCATCCTCAAGGCTGCACTGGAAGTCATCGTGGAAGAAGATATGATGATAACTCCTCAAGCCAGGCACCGCGTGCTGGCAGGAGGCCTGCCATTCCCTCATACCATGGCATTGGTATGTAGACGCTGGCGAGACATCGTGTCTTCTACATCTGAGTTGTGGACTCGGATCTTTTACGTGTCGCCCCAGGTGGAGGTCCAGTGGATGCGCTCGCAGCTGGAGAGGACGGGGAATCATCCACTCAATTTGACCATAATCAACCAGCGCGGCCCGTATTTCGGAATCTCTTCTATCTTATCCTGCATTGCACCGCATGTTCAACGACTCAGGAGCCTTAGAATACTTGACTTTTACGGGGCATTCGACCGGCGCCAGTTCGACATGCTAACAGGACATGCTCCCCGGCTTGAGTGTTTACGATTAACAGATTCAAGTTGTCTCAAGTATTTCCTCATCCCGCTATCGCAGTTCAAACTCGACTGTCCCGCCCTCAGGATCCTCGATATCAACGAGGATGTAGTTGACAACTTCGACCACCAGTGGTTGAAGAACAGCCTAACACATATTGAGTTCATGACCATTTCATTCGACGGATCTGGTCACCATCCGATCAGTGGATCGCAAGCAGTGGCACTTTCTCGGGCATTGAATGCAGTACCACGGCGAATACCTTGCCTCACTCTCAACAACCTGCAATTACCTAGCATCATTTCCATGAAGGAAGTTGGCATCAAATTCGGGGCAGAGAAAGTGATCCTGCGCGCATGCATCGACGCTTTGGACGTGATTGATGACAATTGCCAGACCATTGCTCTTCACCGATGCAATTCTATCCATGAACTTTATCACAGATTGTTACCCTCTTCGAATTCACTCGAGTTAGATTGGTGTGCCGGCAAAGGCATGTGGAGGTTTTTTAACACCCGCACGTGGGATGGTGGTACAGTGACCATCACGAACAGCCACTCCTCGTGCATCAAGGTCATCTTGCATCTCCTTGGTGCACCTTTCAAGCACCAGAGTTGTTCCCTGTGGCCCCGTGTCACCACGCTCAAGCTCGTAGCCAAGGGAAATTTCGTGATGGATGTGCCGTTGACAATATTGAAGGCAATGATCAACAGCCGGAGGGGGGCCACGGGGCAGGAGAACTTGGCGAAGACCGACTGAGGAGCTGGATAGCATGGGATTCCAAAGTGTACGTCCCCTCACAGTGCTTCGTGTGTATGGGGGACAATTTCTGTCGCGCAAGGAGAAGGCGTGGTTTGAGGGAAACGTGAGGGACTTCGTATGGGAGTACAAGAAAAGGCGAAGGAGTAGTTGATATAGGTCGGTAGGTCGAGGTACTCATACTTATGGCACTAGATCTGTTCGACTGTTCGACACAGAAGCAAGGCGCGCGCAGATTGGCCTCAGTGAAACTTCGGTCATATTAATAAACTCAGAAAACAGAATCACGCGTATCTTGAGTCATCCCCCTCACATCATATCACAAGAAGTACCGAGTGAGTCAAGGGGTTGAACCCTGGATGTCATGCAAAGTAAGGCTCACGCTCACACAAACTTCAGAGCAGCAGTCAGAGCTGTAGCTGTACAAGTATATGCCGTCGAAGTGGTATGGATGCGGTGGCAGATGTTTTCGGAAAAGAGGCACAACCACTTTAGGAGCGAAGTTATGTGTAGCTTTGTCGAATGAATTGGACCAGTCTGTGGTTGTTCGTAACCGCTCCGTGTCTCGGTACGTGTGCCTTGAACCTATTTGGCGGCTGCCAGCGCCGCATCAACAACTTCTGTCATTTTTATGACCGCCTCTTCCTCCAGAGTCCGACCAACAAGTTGCAAACAAACAGGAGCGTTCTTGAATTTCTCCGGGTCATCTGGATGGATGATTGGGCATCAGAAAACCACTGGGAGGTTGTTTAGTGCTTGCACTACTCACACATTTCGTGAATGTGTTTATCGAGGTCGTCATAGAAACCACGACGAGGCTCCTTCCCATCGAGAATTGAGTCAACAGTCGTCACAGGGAAAATTGCAGCGGGATAGTCGAGCGCATTCCAAACGGTGGTGTAATTGGCGTACCTGCACATTGTTTCTCATTGACAGTTCAACACATCGCAATTACCAAGACACTGACCTGTTCTTCCCGTGAGGAGGCGCCGCAAACGGTGCGGCCGGACAGATGATAGCATCGACAGGCCGTCCTGTCCCAGTCTCTGACGCAGTTGCTTCCCAGTGGTCTAGATATTCTTTTCGGACATTTTGACGCAGTTTCTGCACTTGCCAGAGCTGGTATGCGGTGATACCGGCCTTCTGCGGACGGAAGGATGCTACCGCGGGATCCACGTCATCCAGCTCCATTGTGGCAATTATTGGCTCCCCTGTGACAGAGGTCGTGATCATGTAATCCTCGGCAGAACCTGCATTCCAGATGTCCCGCTGCACAGTGCTATTAGGTCAATGGACAGGCATAGTGAAAGACACTTCTGCTTACCGTGGCATCTCCAAGCAATTTGTGCTTGATGGGTTTCCAGTCAACAACTACCAATACATGAGCACCATTCAGCAGAGGGGATAGACGGGAAAAACCTTTGTGGCCCGCCTTCTGGAGAGCCGCTTTGGTGATTTCCAGAGACCTCCTGATAGGTGGGTGGGGAACAACGACGCCATCGTCCCACATGATGGCAAAGCACAAATCCTTTCCAGACCCATGGTCCAGCGAGATTGTACTCGTCTTCGTCCCACTTCTTCCGAACTGCAAGAGGGTCTTTGAGCCATGGTTTAGCATCAATGACCGCTTTCATGAAGATTTTGACCCCGCTGATGCTGTTTGTCATGGGACCGAACACAGAGAGGACCGAGTCTTGGCCTTCAAGGGAGTTGCGAGCACCACAGTACGGTACACGCCCGTATGATGGTCTCAGACCGTATAAGCCGCAAAACGCAGCGGGAATACGAACAGAGCTGTCAAGAAGCCGTCAGAAGGAATGATACGTCCAAATTCGTTTCATACCCTCCGATATCAGAACCGACTCCCAACGGGCTTCCTCTGAGGGCAACCAATGCACCCTCTCCCCCCGACGACCCACCCGAGGTCAGAGAGCGGTTGTATGGGTTGGTCGTCCGGCCGAAGACATTATTGAAGGTTTCTGGAAACTGAAGATGCTTCTAGCACACGAGTAGCACCCAACTTGAGGGTGCGCTCACCATGAGCGTCTGCGGAATATTAGTGCGGACGAATGGCACTGCACCGCACTCGATCAGAACGTCGACCAGCACTGCGTTTTTATCTGCGTACTGCCCAATCCACGAGACATAACCTAAGACCTAGTGAATCACAGTGTGTTAGGTCTACGCCGGGATCGTTACTTACCCATAGTGGTCTCTAGTCCCTTGATACATAGTTGGTCCTTTAGAGAGATTGGCAGCCCGTGAAGGGGACCGACGACTTTCCCTGTCTTCTTCAAGTGATCATCAAGTTCAGCCGCTCGAGCCAATGCACTATCAACAAAAATTTCCGTCAAACAATTGACCTTGTTGACCGATCAATACAATCTCATCAAGTAAATGCCTCGCAATTTGGACTTACAAGCTGATGAGCAACAATGGCCCTCTTGGAGAACGCGGTGGTCACGTCTACAGCTGTCCATTCTGCAGATGCGAGTTTCTCCAACAAAACATCCACCGAAGTGTTGGTGATTTCAATTTCCTCTGCATTCAGAAGGCCAGTCGTCTCTGGAAAATCAGTCACATCCAGAATAGAGTCTGGAGGCGGTGTCACAAGCCACTCCTGCGGAATGGAGTTTAGCTGCCTCTGCCTCTTCTCTTCGACTAGAGCAGTCCAATGTGGCATGTTGGTCTGTGGATAGTATTAAACGAGTGAATAACAACAATACTCAGACTTAAAAGAAGGCTCCACAGAAGATAAGGCGAATGGACAGATAAAGGCGTCCGCGACTAATATTAAAACGCGATAAGGCTACCAAAAGCGTGCTGATAATGCAAGCTGAGAGTCAGATGAGTGCATGAAAGGAATGGATTTTGGTCATGCGGATACAACGATACATGGGGAACCAAATACGTGTGGGGTTCTGATAGTTGACTCCTTCTGGCCTAATAGAAACTGTCAGTTGAAAGCTCGAATCAACAGGGCCAAAACACAGGAATCATGATCAGAAAGTCATTCATTTCAGTGACATACGTCCGTCGCGTCGCGGCGCGCATGTATCAAGTCGACTAAGAGGTGCCAGTGGTATTTGATATACAACACTCAACTTTCAAGGTTGTATGTGAACTCGGAAGAGCAGGAAAGGTTTCAGGATTACTCACACAATTTATACTCTGACTCTGTCTGTCCAAGGATATAGCTTCGTCACGCGCCCTCAAGTGGCAATGTGACCGCGTATGTTCGACTTAAAGAGGCGATAGAGTCGTACGTAGTAGGGTAGTGTGCGACTTACTAATTATTGTTGATTGTTTGCCTGCATTATACTTCGGTGTAACACTCGGGAGTTTTTCACGGAACACTAGTGCCACTACACCTCCACCTGTGCCTCCCATTGCTAGCTAGTCAATCAGTGCTACAGTCATACAGCCCTCCTCTTTCTGGCGTGCCCGCAGGACAAGTAACCGACCCACTATACACATTGCCACTATGCAGCGCTCTGTATCCGTGACACCGCCCCCGATGGCATCCTCCCCACACCCGGTCCATCAATTTCTTCTGCCACATCCCGTACATCATCAAAGTGCCCCCGCACTCTCGCGGATGACTACCCCGGATCTGAGACCTTGAATCACTATATGTCTTCCCCACCACCACGAAAGAAGAGAATTGCTGTGAAGAAGGGTTGGAAGGGTTGGGTGGAAGGTTCACCACCGCCATCCGAGAAGCTCATCAATCTAGACGCAGTTCCTGTGCTACAAGAGAGACGCACACACAGTGGCAAAAGCTTCGATGCAATAGGTGTTGGAAAGGATGGTTGGGTATAAATGGTCTGATTTTTCACCACCTCATCAACGGTTGTATAATTGATCTGATGAGTGTCTTACGGCTTCTCAAATACCTCATCATACCCGCGCCCTTCTCATCACAATGCCGTTTGGAATCACACTGATACTATCAGCCACGCACAAGTCGGAAGGATTTCGTCCGAATGAAAGTTACCCCCTTTGATATACTCCCGTCACCACGTTATCTGTTGCTCGACTAGTCTCCAACATCTCTACGGCTCATCTGAAATAACTATCACTACAATATGCAAACATATATCATTTTTGATCCTAGTTATGTATTTGTTGTACCTGGTCATCTTGCCATCGAATCCCATTTCGTTTCAGTTGTTTGGTCGGCCGTCATAGTGTTGGCTTTCCTTATCTGCCAGTCTTTCTCTATCCCTGGGTCCTGTGTGCTAGATATATGTATGCATATTGATCGATTTTGACGTCAGTCGATGAATGGAATTCCTAGTGACTTGGAAATGGGTTTTTTATTATGCACGGCTGATGAGCAAATACGTATCCACGGCAGCTCGTTGAACAGACCTTCCACGGAAGCGCCTGCACGCTGCTAGGTCCACGTCAGGTCTCCTTGACACTCGAATTCATGAATCAATGCGTTCAGCGATCGTGGTGGTGGAATACAATTGTAGGTTGTCGATAGTGAGACAAGGTATTCGCCGTGGTATTGCCTTCAACGCTGGACCAATCATCACGGGCCAGGAGATCTCCAGGCATGAATGAGATAGTCATGAACTCGACATGTATTAGGTTGTCCTTCAACTACTGGTAGTCGAAGTTGCAAGCCACGTTCTTGTCAGCGTGAAGGATCCTAAGGGCGGGACAGTCGAGTTTCAAACACAGCGCCGAGTCGTGATAATGGACGCTACCTCTCTCATTTGTCAATCGTAAACTTTCGAGTCAGGGCGCGTATCCTGTTAGTGGGTCCAAGTGGGGTTGGGAGAGTGCGGGGTAGAAGTTAGTTATTCTAAGGCTTCTGAGTCGTCGAAGATGCAGTGCAATGTGGGGTAAAGTATAACGGGTTGCCCCTATCGGATAATGCTGGTTGATTATAGTCAAATGGAATAATAACTCCCCGTCTTCTCCAGCTGGGAGCTAAGCTGCGGGCCCTCCTCGGGTAGCATGCAAAAGATCTGAGTATGCAGCTCTTGTGTGGAAGATGCAATATCCCGCCAATATCTGCACACCAACACGATGGTGTGAGGGAATGGCAGGCCTCCTGCCAACACGTGAGGGGTTGTCATCATATCTTCTTCCACGACGACTTCTAGTGTAGCCTTGAGAATGCTGCATACTGTCTCTGTAGGAAGCGATTGAAAGGCGCACCGTGACATTTTACTTTTTTGTCGCGCCATTGGTCACTAGTGATGTAAAAATTGTAGTGAGACAATGACATAAACATTCGGATTTACTGGAACTGGAACTACCTCGTCTGAATTGACGCAAGATTTGAATATGTTGTGGGGAGGGAGGCGGAGACACCCAGAGACTTTAGGGGTAGCAGAACATTCAGTTCTCCAATGCGCGCCCAAATGGAATCAAATGCCCGCGGTGGAACACACACAGGTCGATCATCCACTTTGTCAAGCACTGGTCAGGTCGTGTCTGAGAGCTAAGAGCTGTAATATGTTAGGTCGAAGATATCACTGAAGACCAGTGGGATATTCCCATAAATCATAATTACATTATCGTGACTACATACCATCCCAATGAACGATCCAAGTCTATCCGCCACTGATTGAATCCTACGGGAACCAACGCAACCCATCGCCACCTCTTGACCTACCGGTGTGATGCAATCTTGAAGAGGGCTCTGAGCGCGCCTCCTCCCCGCAATACTATTCGTTCTGCCTTCTCTCCACCCATTGTTGCATGCACGACTAGTCGCGCGATCACCTCGCCCTGTAATGTGACAGTTATAATTATTTCCTCCAAGATTACGGTGGAAACGACTCACCAACTCCACTAGGATCGCGACCACAATCAGCCTTTTGAAGAACAGGTCAGACCAATTATTTTCCTTTGACACCTTAGTAAATCTCACCAAATAACAATCCACGTTATCCGCTCCATCGCATTGTTGTTCAAGTGATCGTGTATGGCATCAAGCTGAAGCCATATATATATAATAATCAGTTGCTAACACGATGAGTTGCAATGAAACCCACAAATTCGCTCGCCATTCCAAGTTTCTCGTTCAGCACTTGTACGCGTTCTCCGATCTCCATGTATTCTCGTACGGCTTCATACAACCCTCCCAAACTCGCCTCGCTCCAGAATAACTCTGGTACGTCCAAGACATTGCTTACGAGATTGACATCCCGTCTGAGCTTGAACAGCTTGCCCGTGAGCCTCATCGCATCACGGCGTTTGAGGTTGAGGGCGCCGGAGGATGCGAGCTGACGTGGTATTGAGACGGTGCTGGGGGAGGAAAGCACAGAAGTGGCGACAGACTCATAGTGTGCGAGGAGCGTGGACTGTGCGAGGGCATGCGCAACAGACAATTTGAGCAGATGGGAGTGAGACTTGAACGCTACGTTGTGTTAACAAGACACAAAATGCACATTTTGAAAAACGCACTAAAGAAATCATGATATATGCGTGGGTATGAAATTGTTGGATCATGCTAGACAGCATCAGATGGGGAGCGGTAGAAACCACAGGATAATGACGTACCGCAAAATGACATTCCTCGATCTCCCAGTCGTCTTCTCGCATCGGTCGTTTCAAAATACCTGCGTTCCTGATGTCCTCAACGATGGCACGTTCTTGCCCCTCGTCGAGTCCAAAGAAGACAGCGACACCATATGCAAAGAAGACAACTTCCGCGATACGGTCTTCTTCTTTAACCTCGACCTGCTCATGTCTCTCGTGCTCTTCCCTCTCCCTCGTTTCCTGACTCCTCTCGCTCGCACCATAATGTCCACCCTCGCCCTCGTCTACGTACTCCGCTTCAGCTTCAGATTCCAGTTCAGGACGCGGCGGGGGCCGGTGAGATTCTGCATGGGATCCAGACGTCATGTAACCATCCGAAGTCCGTGGTACGTCTTCCTGAGGGATAAAGTATGACCCCTGATAACCATTTTCTTCAGCTTCAGCGAGACGCTTCTGGAGAGACTTGGCCTCCGTGACAGGCGCAGCGGAGGAACGGACGCTGGTATTAGGCCCGTACCCAGGAAGGAGCGGAAGGTGGTACATCTACATGACACGTTGTATGCCGATTAGAATAAAATAAACGAGGCAAATCAGGAACACCGACGGACAAGTGGGGTAAACGAGACTCACAACATACATCGCCTCGTCAAATACCCTGGGCATGACATTGTGCTCTCTCTTCAAAAGGCTCGCAAGCAATTTCATCCTTAGTTCTTCTGCAATACAATACGCTGTGATTCTCTTATATCCTGCTCGCTTCCTCTGCTCCTTGCTCATGCGCTCGCCAGCTGACTTGTATTCGCGAACAACACCAGCATCGGTCTCGTAGCCGAGGATATCATCGGAGACACCTATTCGCAAAGGCTTTGTTTGTGGTGCGGAGGGTAGAAGGACAAGCTTCTGTGTGGTCTTGGAGGTACGTTGAGCTTTCTGTCCGGTAGCAGCGAGCCCCGAAACAGAGGTGCGTCGAGGCGCTGGTGTCCGCGATGTAGCAAGGCCATGCGTCGGACGGGAACGGTAACGTGCTGTAGGTGGTAGGCTGGGTGTAGGTAGTGAGCGGGAAGCTGACATGGTCGTTTGGATCAACTCAGGCTGCTAATATTCGTGCGACGATTGCGCCCGACCAAATTGAAAATGGGCTCTTGCTTATAAGGAACGACTATCTTCATTCTATTAGGGTCTGACTAGCTACTGGAGACTAGCTCTTGCATGCTACTTATTTCATGAAACTATCGATAGTAGATACTACTTTCAAGTTTCTCATCACAAACCCCAGGAATTCACTGCCATCAACAACGTCCATTGGCGCATACCTAACTCCCTTTGGAACATACGGATTCCCAATCTGCTCCAGACGAACTCCCTGTCTTTCATAGTTCACCCAGAATGCTTTAAACTTCAGCCCATGCGAGGATAACAAAAAATTGAGTTTTTTTTTACCCGTGACTCGTGTCTTCCGCTGGCAAATTGATGTCAGACGACGGTAGCAGTTTTCCCTTGCAGTGTCCGGGCAGGGTGCCCCGGGATGCTCGCAGGTAACGACACCCGCCCAGGGCAGCTGAGAGATATCATACGCTGCCTGCATCCCGCCAAGCAGGGAGTGGCGTAAAAGACCTATTACAGATATCGGCGTATGACCTTCGGCTATGGAGGGACCCAAGATTAAGCTTCGAAGAATATGAGAAAGAGCTATCTAAATCAAAGATAGTATTTGCTTACGCCCATACGTGTCCGGCTTTTGGTTTTGAGATAAATGCGGCAGGACGCTGCGCGCCCAAATGTCGCGTGTGTGGAGGTCATTCACCATTTTCTCCACCTGAACTGCATGTGGTGGATAGGCTTCTCGAACAGCAAGGTCGACAGGGTGATCAGGACGTGATCTCATACAATAGATCCTCATCTTCACTGCTGCAGGCAGTGGTTTGGTTGACGTCGAGCACCAAGAAGATAGAGCAGCGGCGCTGCCAGTGGCTACTACAAGAGGAAACCTAATGTTACGCCGGCTTCTTTGAATCCACTCCATACCAGCCAGATGCCTCGTGGATTAATTCCCCTGTATTCCCTGAGACCATGATCATATGAAATGCGCGGTCGGAACCGTTATTTGAACTTTTCAAGTAATTCAGTCTGCGTCATTTGGAGAGTGGAGGTGTGGATATAAGGTACACAGTAACATGACGCTGTCCGATATGTAAGGGTTATGTGCACGTTCTGCTTCACATCACAGGTATATACATTCCTGAGATATTGCTAAGGGTGCAAGTCAGCTTTCCACTGGAGATCCTCCGCAGTCTTCTCGAAAACTGGGGGTAAGGAACCCCAGATCAACAGTGGTCACCCGTTTTTTCCCCTTCGTGTCCTCTGCATAATTTTCGTAAAAGTTTGTCTCATCTCTCCTTGACCTCCCAACCTTCTTCCTCCCCGTCTCCATCAATGCCTTCACCCCGTCGACCAGGACCATCCCAGAAGTGGAAGGCTTGGCTGTGCACTCCATAGGAGGTCGGAACAACTTCCAACAAGTCACCTCTTGCAATTTCAATTGCAGGAATCTCGCTCGCAGGCAACCCGATCAGATACGCCAGAAGGCATCGGATAACAGAAGAGTGTCCGATAATCAGAAGGTCTTCTTTCTCGCGCTCCAATTCGATCAAGATTGGTTCTAGGCGAACTAGACCAAAAGAGCTGTTTAGAACAAAAATAGCGCTGATGGATGAGAAAATAAAGTATTACCGGATAAATCGTGATAGCTTTCTGCTCTGGGAGCACGGAACGCGTACGGATCTTTGACGAATCTTGCCCATTCCTCTGGATAAAACTTCCTCGCCTGATCGGGAGTGAGGCCGTCCCAGACCCCGGGATTGATCTCGGACATCTGCGTTTTCTCGATCACCTTGACTTTCAAAGACGAGCCAGCGGTAGCTTTTGTTTCTATCAGCTCTCCAGTTGCGTCTGTGGTAACCACGTTCCGGGCAACCGCCGACTGTGGCGGCACGGTGAGATGAGAAGCAGCAATGTGGAGTTGTTGCGGAATTGAAGAAGCTCGTGTCGCGGTCAGGAATGGCCAAGCAGTGTGATGAGCACGACGCCGAGTAGAGGTCCATATCTAGTAAGCTCTGAAAATCAATTCATATAATAAGGAGAAGCGACATACAACTAGGCGTCTGTCATCGGGGTCGAATCCACGCTGCTCGAGTGATTTGGCACGTCGCTCGACCACGAACTCTTTCAGCCGCTCAGAGTATTCCCACCCCGCCGGAGAAAGATCCGAGTCGGCTTTGTAAGAATGTTCAATGAGTGATTGTCCGGACTGTTGTTAGGATTTGGGTCAAAAGACAGTCATGCGAGATTTTGCAGCCTACCCGAGCAAAGTAAATCATGCGGGGTCGATTGTGGATATTCATGAGGAAGAAGACAATCCGCGACTGCTCATACGATCAGTCATACTGGAATAGAACGACTTGAAGTTTTCGCCCACCTGCAAATAGCCACGAATGTTCTGCACGGGGATTGATTAGGTCAACCGATATTCCGGTGCAGCAGGACGTACGTTGACCATGATCTTCTCGCCTACCTAATTTCGGTCGTGCGGGTAAGCCAAAAAATGAAACATATTTCGTATACAAGATACGCACATTTATTATACGGATAAATGGCCAAGTAGTTTCTTCAACCGTTTCATATGATTTTTCGCGATCACGGATGCGACCATAGTAATCTTCTACGGCCTTGTCTGGATCCCAGCCACGATACTACACCAGGTTCGTCAGTCAGACAAGCAAGAAGGGGAGGGAACGCACATCAGGAGAGGATATCTTGACGTTCCGGATATTAGTTTCAATAATCTCTTTGTTATCGCACACGGACTCTACACCGCAGGAAATATGAGCGACTCTCGTTCAATAATCCATACAGCTGGATGTGAGACATACCAAGGATGATAACATGAACTCCCTGCTTATCGTATTTCTCCGCCAGAGCCTGCCGCACCGTTCGCGATCCGTTGTTAGCATCATAGATTACAACCTGTCCACCGGACTCAAAGAAGTCCTCGATGAGCTTTTCGCAGCCGTCTGAAATTTCCTTGCGTAACGCCATGGTCTCTGGACTCTTTTCACCTGTTGCCGATAGCAGTTTACACAGGGCTCAGAGGAATGGACTCGTGCGCACCTAACGTGAAGTAATCCGGCGGCAGTTTTTTGGTACCGCCAAGGATCTTCCGTCGATAGTCACCCAGAGATACGACCTGAGTCTTCACGCCCATCCATCTGAGATAACGTTCGAGCGCGCGGGAAATGTGTGTCTTGCCACGAGCAGGTAGGCCAACTGTTAAGATGAGGATCTTACCAGCATGAAACAGCAAGCCAGAGGCTGTGGTATAGAGAGGTGCTGCCATGCTTCGATACGACACTTATCTGACCTTGCCTGTCTAGGGGATTTGCGCTCAGAGTTGATGTTAATGCAGAAAGGCCAATAACTATACTAACCCTTGATTACTCATAAAGATTTGATTGCCGGTGTTTATCTTATCTCCCACGGCACTAGTACTATGTAGGTTCATACGCGCCCAACGTCAACTGTTATTACCGCGGAGATCCAGAAGAACGGAGAGAAAAAAGAGAATTCCCATTAGCCGACTTGAACGACTGACCTCGTCATTACTAGTGACGCGCTCTACCAACTGAGCTAAACGGGATATGATTTTATCCGCCCACATAGCTATAAGAAGCTCTGAAATTCTAAATAGTACACGACCAATTGTGCTTGTTACACCAATGTTGCACTGTGTACAATTTTTTTACGCAGCTCCCCTCACTACTGCTGCATACTGTAACGTTCCTTGCCACCATATAACCATCGCAAGCCCCAGCACACCGTGAAATGTACCCCACAAGACCTCAGGCGTAAGATTCACGCTATGAGGTAGTCATTGGAACCACTCTAGGACGACAGGTAAAAGAACACGCACGACTCAAAGAAGGGACCTAGGGTGTGAGGAATGAATCTTGGCGTCTGAAACAGGATTGTTGACACTATGCTGTGGTAAATGCAGAACCCAATTGCAAGTGCGCGCTTTCCAGGTAGAAATTCTAATTGGGAAAAAAAAGTGTCATTCGCGCTCGCCCATTTTAAAGCAGAGTGTGCAGTACCTGGTAAAGGATACGCAAGGAATGCAGTGACGCAGGACCCAGCGACCAATGCGGTATATAGCTGGGTAATATGAGCAGCTACACGCGTATCTGAATCTTGAATGAAAGCTAACCTTCAACATGACTACCGTGGTGTTGTTCATCTGCATAAAGGGAAGGCTCTGTGGGGACCAGAATGCCTGGAGGGCAAGCGGCGCCTCCAGAGCGATATGCAGCAAGAATACAGCGGATCTGGTGAATGTTAGGCCTGACTTTGGTATATTGAAGCTTGACCTTACAGTGGGCTACGTCCTACTTGCGCAGACATGATCTTGAGGCTGGAGAGGGAAAATATGCCAGCCCGGTGTTGGACTGGTGAAGGAAACTCCGAGGTCCATCATGAGGTTCACATCATAGAAGCGAGTTAGGTAAGCAAGGCTTATCTACCTGGTGCCTGACTGCAAGACGCATGGCAGAAGGTTTGACATGGACCTTTTTGACACTTTGTGGATCTTTCCGAAGGATTTTCGTCACTCTCCTGAGAGTTTCACCTCATTTAAATTTAAGATCACTGATCAACAAAGTCTCCAGACTCCCGTAGCCTGCTTGCAGATATCTGCGCCACATTCTCTTCTGGACAGGCGCGTGGTTTTATAAGTAGTTTGACTGTCATTCCGGCCTGTACCTCATCCACTCGAGTCAGCTTTTGTTGAGCAAGAATAACTATACATGTTTGACAAAAAAAATATCAATAGAATGGTTGACATATACCAGCAGCCAGACCTTCACTCTTCCGCGTCGTCCGCGTCTTCCCCCTCCGCAACGGCACCTAGTGATGATTGGCGGAAAGTCGCAAAAGCTTCAACGGCGTCGAGATCATTTTCTAGGTCTATGTGCTCTCCTCCGTCTGCATCTCCAGCAATGGAACGCAGTCTCAGTACCTCTCTTCTCAGATTCGAGATTTCGCTGTCTCGACGCTCTACCCGACCCTTGAGTGTTCGGATATAATCGTTCCCGCATCTTAACAGCTGCAGCTTGCTGACTCCTTTATTTGGACCATCCCCGCCAGCTTTCGGTGGCCCCCTCGGAGGTAGAGCACCCGGAAGGATCGGTTCATCAGGGAAGTTGTCGTCTGAAGGTAGCGGAACTGGTGGGAGTAGAATGCGCAGATCGTCGTAAGCAGTCTTCAGAGAATCACGACGTTTTTGTTCGGCGTCCTTGTGCGACTTGCGATTGGGGACAGCAGGTAGGAGTGCAGAAGAGCCTGAATTTAGAGATGAGGGCGTGCCAGCTGGGTTAACACGAACAAAAGTTCACTCCAAACATTTCAACAACAATTGGAACAAAAGCGCACCTGGTAAAATCGGTTTAGGTCCAGGACTGATAAGTGGCATTGAGCCCTTCTTAGAGCATTTTGTTGATACACCGCTGTCGGGCGCTATCTTGGCTTTAGCGGGTTCTTTTGCTCTATCAGCTTTCTGAGATGTGGGCGCTGGAGCTGTGGTGAGGCTACTGCTAATACCGAGACGGCCAAGATTCATTATGCTTGCAGGAGTAACAGGAGTCATTGGCAATGTCCCTTCATGAGTGCTCGTTGCTGCAGGATTGGGAGGGGATTGGCGAGGTGCCGGAGGCGCGGGGGGCGGCATCGATAAGTCGACAGGTGACGGCGAATCTGTCTCCATAATCGTGCTATCTCTGCGGGATTTTGTCGAGCGCAGAAGAGGGGTATTGGTCGCACTCTTGGCATACCTCGTGGATTGTTTCAGTGTTGGCGCGGGAGAAGTGGTGGAGGTAAGCCCCCGCTTTCGCACCGCCCGTGCCGCATCTTCTGCACTTGGTGATATCGTGCGCTTATTCGGGGGTCGTTGAGTATGATATGCTTCAAGCCAGGGGCTCGTCAGCGGAGAAATATCAATGTCAAGGTCTGGGGGTGAGGGAAGCGGTATGGAAGGGCTCGTGCGATGAAAGGCAATGTGGGCAGGTGCAGAACTAGAACCTGGATGGCGCGTGTCGCGAAGATATTGCTGAGAAACGGAAGTGTCGTGGGGAGAAGGTAGCGAGACAGGGTCCAGCACGTGGGATGAGTACACGTCTTGAGGAGAAGTATTGGAGAATTGTGAGCTAATACGGTTAAGGAACTCTGGGTTAGGCAAGGGGCGGAGCTCCGTGGAGGACACTAAGATGACGATGAGACGTGAATCCGAAGGTAAACCAAATGGATCTCACTGGGAGTCGGAAGGCCACTAAAAGTTGTGATCTGATCCCTCGGAGGCTCCACGGTGGAATCATGGGTGTTCAGGGCTGATTGCCCACTGATAAGGGCAAGCTAATAGAGATGATACTTCAGCACGAGGTTCAAATCACACTTTTGTGCATCTGAGGCAGACAACGTGGTAAAGCATGGAACAGCTGCTAGCTCACCTGCTGCTGGAAAATCTGGTTCTGGATTTGACTTTGAAGTTGCTGCAGCTGGTGCAGCTGAGTAAGCTTGTACTGCTGTTCAAAAATGACCTGTGGAGTGAAGCCCGTGGAATTTGGCAGGGCCGGAAGTGATGTGGTGTCCATGCCCTGCATAGACATGAGGTTACTCATGCTCATAAGATCAATTTGTTGATTGAAAGGAGGTAGGTTGGTGGTTCCGGTGAAGTTGGGCATTCCAGATGACGGGCGTTGACCGTGCATAGCGGTTGTGTTTATGATGTCGTTCTGCTGAGACTCGTGGCTGCGTTGTTGGTCAGAGGAAGATTCCGGAAACAGGAAAGCTAAAAAGTCCTTCTGTAGATGGCCATCTTGCCCACGACTTGGGTCCATTTTCAACGGTGACACCAAAAACCAAGAAACTTTCAAGATCGTCTGGTGTCGCAGAAGGGAAAATTAGGAAGGGCAACAAAAATAGGAACAGCGTTGTCTTTCCAGAGGACGTGACTGAAGAAGAGCGAAAGTGGAAAATCTAATCTTTCCATGACCCAAACCCCCCATCAAGTCTCTTTTTGTCGATCTAGTAACCCCTCCCATTATGTAATATTATATTGGTGGCTCGCGTTCTGTGCGGACGCGTCCATCTCGAATTACTTACCTTGCACCTATCCTTCCCCTAGTTTGCTATTAGCAGGCTCTGAAAACTATGTCACGCGACCGTCCACAAGCAATGCGTATCACATCTTACCATGGTGCAAAGCGCAATCTCCTCGGAAACCAAGCTGGAAATGTGCCACCTGCATGGCGGGATAGCAAGGACAAGCAGAAAGAACGAGGAAGCAAGATTCTGCTCAGCAGGCTCCCTGTAGATGTTGGAGAAACAGAAGTTGAAGTGCGTGGTTATTTCAATGTCCACCTGAAACGCACCGGACCACCAGCCATTCTTCATAGGAACTGTTCAAGAAGACTGTAGGTCCTCTGAAAGAGTGTTTCGTGATATACAACACACAAGGGCGCTCGAAAGGGATGGCGGTAATAACATTTCAGCGCCCGGGAGATGCGGCCGCAGCTCGTGCGAAATATGATGGTAAACTCATCGACGGCAGTAAGCTATCCAGTCTCGTTTCTCTTGTACATTCGGTCTCATTTACTTATGTTGACTTTGTACCTACTTAGGACGTCCAATAAAGATCGAGATAATTGTTGATTCGGATGATGCAGCCGCGGGCTCTCTGCCTGCGCCTGCGCCTCCAATTCCTTCATTATTAGGACGTATCGGGAAAGTCGCGGGTGCCCCGAAGAGCGGCCTCCTTGCTCCTCAGAGCCAAATACTAAACATAAATGTTCCGCCCGCGTAAGATATTGCTTAGCCACTTTCTTCTGACCTCATTGACCACATCAGATTTTTCAGCGGCCCTCAAAAAATTGCAGTGGCACCTCGCATTGTTCAGACTGCTGCAACGAAGCCCGTCGCAAGGCGCCGGAAGAAGAAGGGCGCACGACGCGTCAATAAGTCAAACGTTGCCCAAAAATCACTTGCCCAACTGGACCAGGACATGGAGGAGTACAAGGCTAGCGCTGGCGGTCATAAAGAGAATAGCAGCCAGTAGTTGATGTGTCTTTCTTGGGATGTCTGACATATCGCTGATCCCTTCACCTATATTGTATAACATGCTTTTCGCTTGAGAGCAGGACCATAATGAGATAATTTAATTGGTGTACCCAGGGTAGCCCGGCATCCTGTTTTTTTCTGCGCAAGACTTATTGTTGACACATCGAGCATCCACTTGCAAATCAAACAATCAATTTACGGCTACATAATCTTGCCTATATATCCCACTCACCTGCACGGAGGAGAATTTCGACAGACCAAACACTGGCACAGTGTGGTACGTACTAACCCCAGTTTTGTTGGGCATTACGACCGTGCGTGGTCTAAATGCGTATCATTATGAATGATCGGGAAGATGCGTTATGGGTTTGACGTACGTACTAGTTGCGTACTACCAGTTGAAGCTAGGGTGAGCGTAAGGCAATCCATTTTTATTATCTTTTGTGACAGTGGGACTGCGATCTCTTGAGAAGCATTCCCCTGAAATGAGCGACTTTGTTCCTCCTATCTGCCCGCCCAAAAATGCCTATAAGTAATGTATCTTCGCGAGGCATACCGCTTCAGACATTGACGTTTAATGTATCTTATTACAAGAGAATATCCAATGGAAGGTCTCCGTATAACACACTTGAGACTGCAAGCCCAAGCACTGGCAAGTCGCAAAAATCAGAAATTGTACGTCACCCCGTATTCAAATGGTCATCCAATGTCCAACCACCTACCCTGAGATAGTCTCCCCTAGCCAGACCAATCGAAGAAAGATAGTCGTTGCTTCGACCCTGAGAAGACTCCTGTGTGAGAGATATTCCAGGTGAACACATCCCTGGAAGGTGATACGTGTGTAGCTGAGTCAATAAATCAATAAAGGAAGATGCTACCCGCATTGAAACCGAGATCTTTGACCGGTCTAGCAAATGCTACTCGGACGTTGTGATCCCAAGATGGATGAGAACATACTCGGTAATAACGTCCAGCGCTTCGCTGGCAGCGCCGAGTACTAAGGACAGAAGCAACGGGCGCAGACGTGTTTTCCCGTATTATCACCACTCGTCCCAGCTCGTCCCTAGCTCAAATCAGTTGATAATCTGGTGTCAAGAGATGCTATGCTAGTGCCACAATATTGCGTCGATAAACTTATAGAAGGGTCAGAAGCAGAAACGGTCGTGACGAGGCAATCGCGCCGGATTCAGTCTCATCACGTTCTCTCCAAGTGTTGGGACCCCTTGCCACTACGATATATAACAGATCGGTCGTCATGCAATAATTCCTTGACATATGCTAGGGGGCAACAACGTTCTGTCAACGTCAAGGTAAACAATGAGCTGGGCGTGTCATACAAGGACCTTTTAATGTCCTTTAATATCGGAATCAGTTTTCAAGAGCATGGACTGGTTAGCAGGCCAAGGGGCCAGGGTCTCTGCCGCATAAATTTCCCGCTCGATTGCTCGCAGTGAGAGCCTACACCAGACTACCGCAAACATACCGCAAATTTGAGCTATCACCTAGCTAAAAAAAGTGAACTGTTTTTGTTTTAAAAAGGGTTTTACCTGGGCTACTGTGTTCCGCCCGAAAACCGGCAAAAATATCTAAAAGCTCGCGACTGCTTGTACATGACAGCCGCACGCTAGCCTTGAGGTTGTGATTGGCGTCCTTTATCTGTCTATTGAATTTAGTGAATATGACCGAGTTGGCTCCCGTACTCCAAAATGAAAACCTCCGTTCATTCACGTGCGTCACCATCATGGCAAACGCTTAGGTATTAGGCCTCGTTGCGCCCCATAGGGACAAAATCATCGCGGAGTGACGGATTCTCCAACCACACGCCAGCCGCGTGTGTCAGTGCGTGATTTACGGTGGTAAAAGAAGGCCTGCTGGTACTTACAAGGTAAGACAGATCTAGGGCTAGTGCGTAATTTAGCCACCGGTTTAATAATTCGCTTGAAAGGCGCGAAGGTTGAGGCTCGACAGGTACGGCATACCGCAATAACGCCGTGAGGCATCCGTTTGTCGTGGAGGATGCGCGGGAGAGACTCGGGATCTGGAAAACCTTCTTCTTTGTTCTTCGGGGCTTGTATTGGCTTGTATTGTTCCTAAATGCGAGTCACCGGGTGCGGCGAGCCGCAGGGATATTTTTACTGGCCGAAGTCAAATGGACAACCAGTAAGCGCCTATTGCTGTAGAGGGTTAGAAAAATCAGCACTATTCAGGAGATGAGGCTGGGATGCTGATTTCATTTGATTGCGATGGATAACAGTATTATAACCAATCAGAGTTCACAATGGAGCAAGATTGGAAACAAGGCGGGAGCGCAGTTCCTGGAATGTTCCCAGACCGTATCACCACCGCAAATGTTAGACCCAAAACGTGCAAGGATGCACAGCTCCTGCCACATCAAGCTGTGTGGTCCAGCTCAAGAGGGGAAATAACTTACATCTTTTGTTTGCGGTCAAGCACCGGGCGCAAGAGGAAGATGGCCCGTGACCATGATCGTACATACTGATCAGTTTTCTAGGGACTTCCAAGGAAGCGTGGAAGGTTCCGTGATTGATATGGTTATGGTGTGGAAGAATCAACGAAGATTTGTTTGTGGGTGCTTATCCAAATTTGCCGTAAGTGTACAACAAGCAATAAGAATTACTTTAAAACACGACCCCACTGCGCTTTTTCTTTTATACCTCCCCCTACTTCATGCCCCCCTCAACACCATTTCGGCCGGTACCTCACAACTTGCCTATGTTTCCGACCCATAAGCGGCAGCGTCGCACCGCTACCAGCGTCCTTGCTGGCGATTTCGATATTCGACCGCCCCGGGACGTGCTTACTAGCCTGCTCAATGGCGTAGGGCCTTACAAGGAGGTCGAGAAAGAAGAAGAGACGCGCAGAACTAAAAAGAAAGAGAGGAGGGAACGCTTGAAGGAGAAACAAAGGGCGAAAGTCACTTCCAAGGTCCCAGAGAAACCTCTCAAAGTGGAGAGTGCCACTGCACCTCCGCCTGTGCCCCCCGTTGCTAGCCAGTCAATCAGTGCTCCAGTCATGCAGCCCTCCTCTTTCTGGCGCGCCCGCGGGACAAGTAACCGACCCACTATACACATTGCCACTATGCAGCGCTCTGTATCCGTGACACCGCCCCCGATGGCGTCCTCCCCACAGTCTACACCCGGTCCATCAATTTCTTCTGCCACATCCCGTACATCATCAAAGCGCCCCCGCACTCCTGCAGATGACTACCCCGGATCTGAGACTTTGAATGACTATATGTCTTCCCCACCACCACGAAAGAAGAGAATTGCTGTGAAGAAGGGTTGGAAGGGTTGGGTGGAAGGTTCACCGCCGCCATCCGAGAAGCTCATCAATCTAGACGCAGTTCCTGTGCTACAGGAGAGACGCACACGCAGTGGCAAAAGCTTCGATGCAATAGGTGTTGGAAAGGATGGTTGGGTATAAATGGTCTGATTTTTCACCGCCTCATCAGCGGCTGTAAAATTGATCTGATGAGTGTCTTACAGCTTCTCAAATACCTCATCATACCCGCACCCTTCTCATCACAATGCCGTTTGGAATCACACTGATACCAGCCACACACAAGTCGGAAGGATTTCGTCCGAATGAAAGTTACCCCCTTTGATATACTCCCGTCACCACGTTATCTGTTGCTCGACTAGTCTCCAACATCATCTACGGCTCATCTGAAATAACTATCGCTACAGTATGCAAACATATATCATTTTTGGTCCTAGTTCTGTATTTGTTGTACCTGGTCATCTTGCCATCGAATCCCATTTCGTTTCAGTTGTTTGGTCGGCCGTCATAGTGTCGGCTTTCCTTATCTGCCAGTCTTTCTCCATCCCTGGGTCCTGTGTGCTAGATATGTGTATGCATGTTGATTGATTTTGACGTCAGTCGATGAATGGAATTCCTAGTGACTTGGAAATGGGTTTTTATAATGCACGGCCTGATGAGCAAATACGTATCCACGGCAGCTCGTTGAACAGACCTTCCACGGAAGCGCCTGCGAGCTGCTAGGTCCACGTCAGGTCTCCTTGACACTCGAATTCATGAATCAATGCGTTCAGCGATCGCCGTGCCGAGATGCCGGAGGCTTTAGAATTCAACAGGGCCAAACAACCATGTTCATCCCACTATATACTATGTTTGTTACAGACCTACACCACGCAATTGAGATATCACAGCTGCTAGTTCAAGTTGTCTACCTTCAATATAGGCACGTAATTCGCTTGTTACGCACCCCAATTGTCTTCTATCAGGTTTGAGCGGAGCTTCCTCCTCTCCATTTTCCCGAACCAATTGTCCTGCACTTCGGTTGGAAGCCATCAGCCCGTTCTGCTGCCGACTGAACTCAAAGTGTCCTATCTAGTTACCGGCTGGCTCAAGATGCCGCCCGCCATGCCATTTCCTGCACTGCCATCTGCACCATCATGGTTCCCTGGTCACATGAACCGATTTACGAAGCAGCTTCCGGCGCTACTATCCCGTACCGACGTGGTCTTAGAGCTCAGAGACTCTCGTCTGCCCCTTACGAGCATCAACAACAATCTAGAAGGCAAGCTTATCTCCTCCGGTCGACCTATTACTAGTTTCCGATGTGATGCATGTGACCGCTTCGAGACACAAAATAGTCCATCATTTTGGTCTAGTTTCTGTTTCACCCTTTCATTGCCTCCGTTGTCACATACACGTTTTATTATCTTGTTCCGTCCTTGATCCGTCCTTGAGTTAACATGTTCACGACGGTAGCATTCTTCGGCTTATTCCAGCTCTGACTTATTCTATTTTTGACAGGCGCAATCAACAAATGGAGGGCTGAGCGGGGACACCATTCCACCCAATTCCCTCCCTTTTCTCCTCTTACACCTGCAAATTCGTCACTAGGATATGGTGGCCCGATTTGCGAGCGTATCGTCGTCTTGAACAAGCGCGACTTTGTCCCTGAATGGGGCGTTGAGGTAGGTACTTTCTTACATTGTCTATGCATCGTACCAACTCACGTCCCTTAAAATGTAGCCCTTTAGGAGAGCCATGAAGGCAAAGTTTCCTGATCAGACGGTGCATTTTGCTTCTTGCAATAAGCCCCGAGACATAAAATCTTTGAGCGAGATGCTCGTAAGTATGTCGCTGATTTCTTCGACATCGCCTGGATGTTTTTCTCGACGCGATGGGGCTGACCAAATATGTAGGTATAGCCAAGAGGAACCCTCATGCAACTGAGATGAATGTCCTCGTGATCGGCATGCCTAACGTTGGCAAATCGACATTATTGAATTCCCTTCGCAATATGGGTATCTCAGGCCGTGAGTTTACATCATACCCTGACCCTCAAAAATGAGTTGAGCACATCCGCGCAGGGACACCTAAGGCGCTACAAACATCTGCACAGCCTGGTCATACACGCGCTCTCTCGACCCGCCTTAAGCTCTCAGAGGATCCGCTCGTCTATTCATACGACTCGCCCGGTGTAATGCTACCATTTCTTGGAAGAGGCGATCGCGGCGCAGAGCGAGGGGTCAAGCTTGCTCTGATAGGTAAGCCGGGTTTAATCACCGTGCGCTATTGACTGAAATATGTTTCGCCGCAGCCGGCATCAAGGAGAGTTTATATGATGTTGAAGCCCTTGTCGCATACTTGCTTTACAGGCTGAACGTATTAAATCCTATATGTGCGTCTGTTCTGCCTCATTATTACTGCCTTCCGGCCTCCTGACTGTAGAAATGTAGCACCAGCATACTTAACCATCCTCCCGCCTGGCACCCGTCCATTTACAGACGCGGACGAATTTTTGGAGCAGCTCGCGATACGGCTTAATATGCTGTTACGAGGAGGCGAGAAAGACACCGTAAGAGCAGCAAAATGGTTCGTAGAATGGTGGCGAAACGAGGGTGGTCTCGTTTCTGCTTCGGTGCCAGAAAATCTTCCGATGGGGTCGGATGGAACGTTACTGCGACGTGGATGGGGTTTCGATTTCGAATGGACGGTGGACGAGTCTATGAATTGCACCGGCAAAGCTTTTGAGTCGGCAGTGCAGATAAAAATGGAAGAGTGCATAGATGAATCGGTGAGGGCGGCGGACGAGGACGAGCGGTCAGGGGTGGGGATTAGTACGACCCAAGAGAGGAAACGCGGCTGGCAGGAGAAGCAAGCCCGACGCGCTGCGAAATCCAAGGCGAAGTGGGCCGCACGTAAAGCTGCATAATTATCCACGGTGTTTTCTGCGGCCCCCCTCAATGCTTTCGGTTTATTAGTAGCCATTTGACGCGTTCTGCTGCATGCAAACACTAATACCTAACGCCCTCAATGCTTGCCCAATACGTCTTGCAAAATCTCACCGAGACACGTTCCCGCGGTGATCCGTGTATTTCGGGGTGCAAAGCCACGCGTACAACAAAAGCGATATTATAAGCACATGTGCGACACGATGTGACAGGTACCCATGATATGTAAAATTCAGAAGTCCAGATAATCCTTCCCTGTCCCCCAGCCCTGCGCACCTGCACCCGTCGTGCCGTACGGGTCCTCTGGCACATTCCCCTCAGTCATCTTGAAGGAGAACTCTCGCTTGAACTTTGCCTCGAGCGAGGATATTGTGGCGATGAGCTTCGTACAAGCTTGTTCGAGAACAGCTTGCGGCGTCATCGTCCCGTCCGTCTGTATTTTCAACAGGAAGTAGGGATGCAGTGGATGAGGTACTTTGTATCCGGCAAAGAGCACTTGTGGCATCGCAAGAACTTGCCTGGAAGAATTTTCACACGCTCCAGGAAGTAGAACATGGGTGCTTAGTAGAGACGTACGCGCGAACCATGTTACCCAATGTGTGGTCCTGCTTCACGATCTTGAAAGTGGCAGCATTGGGGATTTTGGTATCTTCTGTGACTTCGACGCTGTGACCTATCTGTCAAGTATCTAATTTTGAGATGAAATAGTGGAAACGTACGACTTCTCGCCGTCTTCGAGGACAAAGAGCTCGAATCGGTTTGGCGCGTTCATGACGGCTGTAAGGAAGCACCATAGAGACTTGTAGTAAGCTCGCAGCGGCGAGGAAGGGTCACGGCGGTCACGAACATCGTTCAGTTCAACAAACAGTACGCGATGATAATGATCGCGTAGAGCCCTGCTTTTGCTCCGGTGCTCGCACCTACTGTCGCCTTCTTGGCCAGCAAACTAATTTGAATCTGCGGTAAGCCATCAGAATCTCGAGACGAACAAATAATGATGAACAAGAAGTATCAGAGAAATAAGTTGTGTTCATGAGAGAAGTTTGCGTTGACTTCACCGACAATAAATGATGCCTGAAAGGCCATCATGTTCGATACTAAGCACCAATAAAACTCACCGTTGGATACGCCTCAAGGCCGTGAAAAGATCGCGGTGTGGTGAGGGGTTTGGCACAAAGCCGACTTTTCAAACTCCGCTCAAACCATCAACGGTTCTGCATTGAGAACCTTAGCGGCAAGGTCACCGACATCAACACTCGCGCCTCAAGGTCAGTTTACGCTCGTTCGTTGCACCCCGTTTGTCCAGCAGGAGATTCTAGGCGACTGGAGCTGTCGAGTTGAGGTGTTGTGGCGTTGAGAGATCATATCTTGCTGCTGGATGGATGGGGCTCGACTCGGATGCATCACGATGAGATTATTGATAATGGATGCTTGGTTTTGCAGAAAATGCCGACCCGCCTCTCGAAGACTCGCAAACACCGTGGCCATGTCTCGGCCGGTCACGGTCGTGTTGGAAAGCACCGCAAACATCCTGGAGGTCGTGGTCTCGCTGGTGGTCAGCACCACCACCGGTGCGTTTGATGTTGGTATCAGAATCATTGCAGTGAATTAAATTCGATAACTCTCAGCACCAATTTCGACAAGTACCATCCTGGTTACTTCGGTAAAGTTGGTATGCGCCACTACCATTTGACTCGCAACGCAGAATGGCGGCCTATCATCAACGTTGATAAACTATGGACGCTTGTGCCTGCAGCGGAAAAGGAGGGGTTAAACGAGAACTCCGATGTTGTTCCTGTCATTGATACCCTCCGGCATGGATACGGAAAGGTTCTTGGCAATGGACAGTACGTTATGATTTGTTTTAATGTATAAATTCTGACTTTGAGATAGGTTGCCCAAACTTCCTTTTATCGTCAAGGCACGTTTTGTCTCGCAGAAGGCAGAGTACGTTGAACGGACTCCCTTACTCCTGAGAAGGATGCTCACACGTTGTACAGGGCTAAAATTAAGGAGGCTGGTGGTGTTGTTTCACTAGTCGCATAGGGTCCTATCATCATTGTTTTTTTCTTTTACCTATCACACACCATGACACTATGACATGCTGCAATAAGATCGCCCATGCCTGATTTTATGATTGAGATCAACTTTTGAAACGTTTCATAGGAGACCAGCCATCTAATTAAAAATAACGTCATATTGGTCGGCAAGAGCACCGGCTTCTCCCACACCCACAGCACCAGGACCCTTACTTACTTTAGGCCATATCTACTGCGCTTCCTTCATCCTCCCCACGAGGATGGCTTCCATTTCCACTTGGTGTAAGACTCTCTTCCGTTACTTTCACTGTTAATCTAAGGGTTTGCAGATCATAATCAATATTCTACTTGGAATCGCACTCGTCGTCTACACGCTACTCCTTTCCTAGCTCGCACGGATACCCACACATCTCGCACTGCTACCTCCATGGCTCGTACAAATACGCAGGATGCCGTCATAATCAATATGGATGATAGCACATCCAAGAAGGAGAAGAAACAGGAGACCCTCTTTGGGCCTAACATCGGTGTTGTCAGCTCCACGCCCCAGTGGGCTCAGTCCATGGGGCAAAAGGTTCCCGCAGATAATGTTTCTTCGCACATCATTCAGAACTGGATCGCAAGGAGCAAAGAGGTGTTTCAAGCATCGTCTGACATCTTGTCCTATGTACTGACTCATGTATAGCCTTCGCAACCAACAACTACTCTTCAGGCGTTGGTTAATCTCAAACGGCCGACCCTCCGTTTGTGTCCTCTGACTATCTCACCAGGAGATGATCCGGAACAGGTCGATTCTCACCACCACCATGGTTTGGAATTCGAATACGATTGCGATGCACCCAAGTGTCGCATAAATGTCAATGTGGTGGTGCCTGCAGATCACCCCTGTGCAGAGACCATCGATAATACAGGCTATTCGTGCATCTCTGTTTTCGAATCCGTCATTGATGGTGGTTTTGGAAAAATGCTGCAGCTAGAAGAAGGTGCAACCCTCGAATTAGGAAGGTTTGAGCAAAAGCAGACTGAGGCAGAGAATGTCTCTTCCCAGGCTACTGGAGCTCCTGAGTCATCTGGAGCAGATGTCAATGACTCCGCCCCTGCTGGCAGCAGAAATGACCGCGCCCGGAAACGCTTCACAGGATTTCATTTCCGGAAGCGCTCCGCTGACAGGTCTGTGTCAGGACCTGCACTTGCCGTCGTCGATGCAGAAGCATCTGCACCCACCGTTGAAGGAAGTGTTGAGAAGGAAGATAAAGAGGACACGAAAGACGGTGTCCGAGTTACTATCCGCTTATCGGCGTTGGACGAGGATGGTATCGACCTGTCTCTCGCCAATGAGCAGGTAACATACCTTCATGTCGTCCGTTTTGGCGCTGCCCCACCCGAGAACGAAGAAGACTCTAGGCCTTGGGTCGTCAGGGTCGTGAAACGTGAAGCCACAGTGCGTTACTAGTCGTTTAATTATTTTCTCATCTCATGATCCGTAGATCGGACCTCACACATTCCACTTGCACGAGATCTATGGTCTTTCCTCTCAGTCCACCTCACCCCCATCCTCTCAACCTCAGGCAGCCTCTCCCACAACGGATGCACACACTTACCCGCCTACATCTGCACCGGCAGCGCCTGTGCACGAGGATGAGCCATCGTCCGAGTGTTTACTCTGTCTTTCTTCCCCGCGTGAAGTCATCCTACTTCCTTGCCGCCACCTCGTCGCATGCAAGGAATGTGCCATCAACATGGTCGAATTCGGCGCAGGGGGTAACATCGTCCACTCTGAAGACACCACAGCCACAACCACAGGCTCAGATCGTGGCGAGGGTGCCGCCACAGAAGGTTCAGCTCCACCGCCCATCACCATCCCCCAGAACATACGGAGAAAACGAAAGGCAAAAGGCTGGTTCTGCCCCGTCTGTCGTCAACGTAAGCAGCATTTACCTTAGTCATGTCTCCCCTTGACATATCGTGCACATCCCCAGCTTACACCTCGCTCTTGCGCATTTCAACGGCGCCTCCAACAAAGGACATATCCGACGACGAGCACCGTGCTTCGGCGTCCATCGATGAGCACGAGCATGAGGACGACGAGCACGAACGTGAGCATGAGCATGAAGACGAGCACGACGACGACCCGCTGTCCACACGACCAGTACCTGGCGGTATGTTCAATAGCATCCGCTCAAGCTTCATGCGCCGGAACACGACGCGCTCTGACGGCGGGCACACCGCCGAGGCTACAGAAGCCGAGCGTCCCCCCACAGAGGTGCCTGTGGGCATCGTTTAGGGGTCGACGGCTCGTCGCTGTTCCGGTGTTGTCTGTGACGTCTAGGCGTATGTCGGACGATGTAGTACTTTATTATGGTTTCGGTCGTGTTGTGACTGACTAGCTGTTTTTGAACACTGAAATATGTTGTTTTCGTACTGATTACTCTGGTATAGTTTATGTGTAGTTTCGTTCGACTCTAGGATCTTTGTTGTACCGATACCTATCCGCGTGCTCTAAATTATCGGATTAAACTGTCAAACATGCCATGAACTGTACACGAGTCGTCTGGTATTCCGTCGAGTTCGTCTAGCCATGCATAGAGCAAAGATAGGAATGAGGCATCAAAATGTGAGCCCCGCCCCCTCACACCACAAACCTCTGCGTCTCCATAAACGCCCCAGCCCCAGTGATAGGCGACTGCAAAGCATCCAACGACCACTCCTCCCTTAACCACCTACACACCATCCTAAAACTAGACACCGAGCCTTTCTCCTGCACGAGCACAATCGCGCACGTAAAACCGCTCCCCAACGACGGCCTCCCAAACCCATGCCGAAGCGTCGGCGACATCGGACCTGAAGCATGATACACGGGCAATGGTGGACTGGCAGCGGGGGACTGTGGCTGTCCCTGCGAAGACGAGGACGCAGACGCGGATGAAGAGAACTCAACTCTGAACCGAACCTGCTTCTGTACGACGGACCCTGACATCGTATCGATAAGGTCGCTCATTCGACACCGGAGAACCCCGTGCCCATCCGTCTCCTCAAGACCAACGACCACGCCAAACTGCTCGAGAATGCGAACGGCTTCGTTACGCGTGGCGTACAAGGTGTCAGTCGAACAGAGGACGTAGGTGTGTGCTTTCCAGTTGAAGAGGTTGGAGAACCAGCCTTTGACTTCGCCGACGGGGGAGGCAAGGATGGAGGGCATGACGGGGGAGGAGATCTGGAGTGGTGAGCCGAGGATGGAGCGCTTGGATGGGTGGGCTGGTGGATGCAGATCGAGCGCGGGGGCTGGTAGGATGTGTTAATATTTAAGAAACACCAGGAAAATAAAAATTCAAACGTCGTGATTTTTTGTCCTTTTCTTTCATAACCTCACGAGCACCATAGATGCTGTTGCGCAACTCACGTCCGACGCGTCCTTCGTTGAGCCTACCACCAAACAACCCGCCACGTGCTTGCATGACATCGACACCGTAAGGCTGTCGGAAGTTGTACTGGTCGTGGTTCTCCTTATCAGCCTCACCGGGGGATTGGTAACTATAATCGACCCCAGTATTTGTACAACTGCGACGGTCGACGAATGCCTCTGCGTACCCTTGAGTCGGAGAATAGAAAGCCTGCGCCTGATCGCGCCCCTGCGTTACGCTGTGCCACGCCGAAAGAACGTTCACCCAATCCGGGTCAGAGCCCGTCGCAGGCTGTATCTCGATTTCTATCGCGTTCGCTGATACCTGTTCGTTCGAAATAGCAGAAACTGGAACGGGAGCCCGGAGAATACAAGGGTTCAGGACCGGGTGCGCAGGAGCGCCAGGCAAGCGGGACCCCATTGGTGGTGTGCTCGGAACAGCCAAAGGCTGGTACATTTGCTGGTTGTGCGCGAGATAGCCGTGCTGGTCCTGATTTGCTCGAGGATAGAGAAGAGAGACGGTTGACGCACGCGTCCTGTATTGGGGCTCGGGGTGAGCATTCGCAGGTTCAGTGATGACGTGGCCAACTCTCATGCTCCTATGGCGTGTGGGAGCCTCACGGACGGGGGAAGACATAGGTCGAACGCGAGGTGGTCTGGGTCCAATTGGGGACGGAGGTCGGGCTCGTGAAGCTCCGTCAGGTGAAGGATGAGCGAGACCAGGTGGCTGTGGCGAGGGTGTGCGGGACGGAGGTGGGGGTGCATTCCGACTACTCTGCAATCGCAGAGAATATGTATCTGCGTCAATGCCCCTCTTCGGAGGGGGGGACATGTACTGCTTTGTGATGATCTTCATGCCGGGAGACACAGGCGTCTCGCCTACATCGAGAATGATACCATAATCTTTAAGAGTCTGCTCGCGGTAGTGTTGCAACAAGAAATAGAACGCCTTGGCCAATGTGCCTTCGCCTGCTGAGCTCAAGAGGTCAGCTTTGATGATGTCGATATCGCCATGTCTCCCCCAGATGACGCGGAGAGATTCCAAAAGATCCGGATCGATACGAGCCGCAGACGGTAGGGGAAGAGCCAGTTCAGCGACAGAGGGAGCTGGAACATAGACAATTCCCGGGGTTGGTTTGTTGAACCAAGGGTGCCCCATGATCTCGGGAATCTGAAGGCGTTTAATTACCTTGGAAGCAGCACGGAACTATTACTTACCGTGATCCGACGGGTGACATCTACTACAAGCATGCGAGACAAGAGGTCTTTTGCCATAGGATCGATGTAGGCTGGAACGTCGTACTTGCCCTGCCTTAACTTTGGAAAGAAGGATCCTGACATTCTTGTCGTCGAATGGAAGCCTGCCGGTAAGTAATGCAAAGAGGATAACGCCGCAGCTCCAGATGTCAGTGGCGTTGCCTCTGTATTTCAGACCGTTGACAATCTCCGGGCTAGCGTAGTGAGGGCTTCCACAGCTAGTTTCCAGTTGTAGGGCAGGAGGGGCAAAAGCTGCCATGCCCCAATCGGCAAGTTTAATGAGCGGCGGGTTCAGCGAGTGAATCAAGATATTTTCGGGTTTAAGATCACGGTGGATAATAGAGAAAGTGTGGGCGTAGTTGAGTCCGTAGACGATCTGTTTGAAAAAAGAGAGAGCCTCAAGAGGAGGGAGCCTTCCGCGGTTGACAAGGAAGTCAAAGAGCTCGCCGCCTTCTACGTACTCAAGAACAAGGTAGAGTTCCTTCTCGCCTTCGAATACATCGTAGATACGGAGGATGTTTGGGTGGTTCATGAGTTTCATCATGATAATTTCTCTGTCGATACCCAACCGTTGCTTTTCTGACTTTGCTTGCTGTGTGGCAAGGGAAGCACGGGAGTTGACTACCGGTTGAAGGGGGAGAATTTTGACGGCGGCGAGTTGGCCAGTACGGCGGTGCTTTGCGATGCGGACGCGACCGCTTGCACCTTTGCCGACGCACTCGCCGATGATCCATTGGCCGATATACCTTGGGTCTTCAGGAAACTCGAAAGCGCCGTGACCAGCAGCAGCCTTTTCTTTTTGCCAGCGAGTTCCTAGGTGAGCGGTATACTTGACGGGGGGCGCGCGAGGGGGTTGGTCGACTGTCGAAGCCATTACAAAAGGTATCTATGGGTTGATTAAAGGGTTAATATGATTGTAAAATATACAGATAATGATAGTGCCCCGAGTAGAGAGGCTATGGATAGAATAGAGTGCAGCGTGTAGAGTGTGGATGAGAGGAAGTAGCTACTACAGGCTGGCGCCGATCTCGAGAAGGTAAAGCGTGGGAATTGATATTGACCCTAATATGGTTTATCATGATTTTCCGTTAATACCTGCTATATAATTGGACAGTACTACTGATAGAAGGTGAGCACTTACTGATAGCAGCTCATAGCAGCCTATAGAAGGTCAGTACCTAATGTTAGAACTTATCAAGGCCGTGCAAGCTAGCGATCAAACGAGCTAACCGGAGTTTGGCAGAACTTATTTTGCATCATCGGTTACGACAGTGGCGTGTACCGTAAGCAAAGTCTTGGAACGGGCTCTCCACGCCGCCTCTTCAAGTTGTCCTCGCACCATACGATCGCAAGGCTTTCCTTGTCTCTACGAATGAACAAAGGAATCTGACATTGTCTGACAAAGTCTGACCACAGATCCTTGAGGGCGTCTGACGACCAGGTCATGACCATGCCCCGATTCCTAGCTGCGCTGCAATTGGGCCTCTATTTCTTTCCTCTCGTCTCCAGTTACACTTGGTCTTTTACTACCACACCCCAGCAATGTGCCACTTTATCCTTGCAGATATCTGGTTCCGGCTCTCCTCCATACAGCGTTTTAATTATTCCTTACGGTCCAACACCCCTGCCGAACAACACAGAGGTCCGCACCATCGTGTATCAACAGTTCGATGGTGACTCCACCAGTACCAGCTTCCAGCTCAAATTTCCGTCTACATCCCAGTTCGTCGCAGTGGTGAGTCTCATCACTCGCGCCACAACTTGTGCAGCAACTCATTTTTATGTAGGTCAGCGATAGCACTGGATTTGGATCTGGTGGCACCAGCGTTGCCGCTTCAGTGATGAGCAGTACCGACAGCAGCTGCTTCAACCCAAATCAAACCGTCATGCCAGATTTCCCATTCAACATATACCCCACCAACCAGGTCGTTCAATGCAACGCAAGTAGATTATGGTGGGACCCTACTCAAGTCCAAGGGTGCGATCTTCTCTTCCTTATACCAACTTCATTTTAACGGCATGTCCCAACAGCACCCCATCCTTCCAGGGTGTCATTCCTGGTGGGCAGTCTTTCTCAATTCCCGAAGGCCAGATCACACAGGTATCCAACGAGGGCACTGGGTTCAGCTGGATACCCTCTGTCCGTGAGGGCAGCACCCTCATCGTAGTTGCCGGAGATGATCGAGGACTCGGTACGGGAGGAAGCGGGCTATACACCGTCGCACAAGGCATATATCCCAACAGCTCGTGTTTGACAACCACATCGCCCTCATCCACTCTCGGTTCACCCGCAGGTGGTACATACCCAACTAACGCTAGTGGTGCAGAAACCACAGGTGGCACCAGCAGCAGCAGGTAGGCCATATTGTCCGCCTCCTGGACGGCTATTTTTAACCATCACCACGACAGCAAAACCAATGTCGGCGCAATAGTTGGTAAGCTCATTCATATCCGCGCGTTCAATATCCGTCTCACGCGCTGTAGGCGGTGTCATTGGCGGCCTTGCTGCGATCGTTATCCTTGCGCTCGCCGGGTTTTACTTCATCCGCCGTAGAACGGCCGCCACCGCAGCTAAGGAACGTCCTGTTGATCTCCTCCAAGAAGATCCAGAAGACGATCACGATCCAGCACCAGCTGAACTCGGAAATTACTACCGTCCCGAACCCTTCCTCGCCACCGAGCCCACAGAAGTATCCTCCACATACGCACGCGAGGACGGCAGAGCTGGCACAGTTATGTCAGGGTCGCGTTACGGCACCCCGGATCGCAGACAGTCTGGGCTCACGAGCTTTAGCGATCTGCGTTCTTTGACTCCTGACTATGAAATGGGCATAGCTGGTGGTACTACCATTCCAAGCAGCTCCCGCCGCAAGTCTCCTATGCCAATGCAACTCCGACCTGTAAACATTATTCAACACGACGACGCAGGCGTCGCAGACGAGCAGGCTGAGGGCGAGCCAGAGACCGTTGAACTTCCCCCTGCATACACTAATATCCGAAAAACCAGTTGAATTATTCGCTTTCGCTTTCGTCGACATTACTACCGACCTTCCTTCCCTCCTTACACTTTTTGTTCGCACCCTACGTAGTTCAAAAGTTATCATTCATCATACTGTGCATGTCTTTATTATCATTCATTGCGTTTTCCCCTGTCAAAAGCTATATCACATACGTACACTATGCCTGTTTTATATCAGCTACATACTGTTGTGATATCGCCGACTCCACTCGGACTCTCAAGGACTTTTTACCGCAGCTTTACCATCCACACGTACATGAACGTACGATGCACTTTATGTATACCAGGTAGTTTCGTTTTCCACGGTTGCTCTACAATCATGTAGATGAGGGATCAAATCGATCAAATCGTGCGCGATATAAGAATATCTGAGGTGTTGCCATCGCAGGTAACTTGACACACTTCGCGGAACCAGTATTAGAACGTCAACGATGACAACGCAACTCTCTTTCGAGTAGACTATTGGTCCTAGGACCACGAGCTGCGAATCAAATTAGATATCTGCGTGAGGATAATCAACAAACCTCGTACCGTACCGCCTCCATCAACTCGCCATCTGTCGCTCAAGGTTCCGCAGCAGACGAAGCGCATCATCCGTCGGCTTCAACTCGCCATCGACATATTCAAACCTCTCTCGGATCCTCATCTCCATATCCTGTGCATGCTCTAACCTCCTTGCAAGGACAAATCCTCTGAGCACATTCGTATAGAGCCCAATATCCGGAATTGATGGCGTTTGGTGGGCGGTTTCACCACCTACGTCCGCCTGAGCCTGCGATCCACCATCTTCTTCAAGTCGTTCAATAAGAAGAACCGCCACAGCCGGATCCCCATACTCAGCAAACCCTCTCACCACCATACTCCACTGCACAACCCCAGGACTCAACCCAACCCTCACCATATCCCTCAAAACACCCGCCGCCTGCTCCGGCCGACCGCGCTTTGCATGTAACTTTACAAAAGGCGAAAAATGAGCCGCATCGATGGCGCGCTTCGGGAGCTGCAGTAGTGATGGTGCGAATTTGGAGTCGGGGGGAGATATAGGTGTTTGTGATGTGCTTGAATCTGCGATGGCGAGGAGGTATTTGTACATGCGTTCGTGGTCGTGCTCTGGCGTTGACCAAACGAGCGCTTCCCAAACGAGGGCGGTGTGGTAGGGTGTCGGCCATAGTTTCTCTGAGATATCGTGTTGGCTATTTAGCATGTGCTTAGGAAGTGACGTCCTCTGGGAAAGCGAGGCACGGCGCTTGGAGATCAATCTCATCACTTTCAGTATGGTTCTGCGAGGGACGTCGATCATGTGAAAATGGTATGCGAAGGTTACGAGGACGAGTTGGGGTTCGTTGCGGGAGCGGTGGTAGAGCATCTCAGCCATGACCCATAGGGACTTGGCTTTGTGTGAGTGCTGGAGGGCCTTTTTCCGCAGAGCGAATAAGGCGCGTGTGCGCCCGGTAGCATGGTAGGCATTCATGAAGTCGGCGAGGGAGTAGGAAGTGGGAGGGTTCGTGGAGATGATAGCCCGTCGGAGATAACGCAGACGGGAAGCGAGGGTCAGGGTTTCAGAGTGAGAACAAGTGCGCTTATCCCAGACATCTGGGACGCTGTAAGGATCGCTGGATATCTCTTCGCGTAATTCGTGGACGCTGGCTGTGAATACTTCGTTCGGGGAGTGCTGAAGGAGGAGTCTAAACGTGAAGTCTGTGACTCGACGTCCACGTGTTGCAGCTATACGTGCAAGCTGAAGAGCGTGGTCCGTTCGGCCAGCCAGGACCTGATTTCTGATGACGAGGCTGTATATTTTGGTCCATTGTTCTGGAGTAACTTCCACACCGCCGGTCCTCAAGTGACGGGCTACCTCTGCTTCCAGCTGGCGAAGATATCTCTCAGTTGTGGCAGGACTCGCAAAGCGGGCAAGGGTGCTCAACACTTGTGACTGCGCATCGCCATAAATATATCCTTTTGACGCCACGGTAAGACCGAACCGCATGATTAGTGAGATGTTAAGGTAGTTCGATCCACGAAAGAGCTGCTGGCGTATATCCTTGAATGTGCTCCATTGTTCTGTCGCAGTAGGCAACAACGAAAGCCATTCCGAAAACGCCTCCCCTCGATTTTTGAGTCCCTTCGTCTGAAGAACAGTTCTCGCTGCCCGTTCGTAGATGATGTGCGGTTGAATAGACATCTTGAGCTCTACCATCTCTTTCCGCAATGAGTTTGCAGATGCGTAGTCTCCTATATGTATGAGATTTACGAGGGTCCCAGAAGATGTCCGGGGAGTGTATGCGGGTGGACTTGTGTCGCTGTGAGACGCGGCTAGGGTATACTCTGCGGTCATTTCCTCGAACACCGATGTATCGGGTGCTTGACGCGGAAGAGGCATGTGTTCGACCTCGACGGATGCCGGTGACTGAGTGGAAATAGCGAGAGATGCATTGAGTCGGTTGCGTGCTTGAGACCAAACTCTTGGTGGACGAAAATCTAGGCGTAAGCGCACACGGCTAGCAGGCAGCCAAGGTGATTGGCTGAGTATCCATGTTGCCATGCAAAGTGCAGCACTAACTCTGTCTTTTTACTTAGTGGGATACAAGAATCATGAGCTGGTCCTGGTGGCGAGAGTAAAACCTTTGTAACCGACCAGCTGCGAAAAGTCTCGAGCCTCCCGAAAAGGAAGAAATTTAAGCTTTTCAACATAACCAAGTTGGAATCGATTTGACCAGTCACTACTCTTAAATCAAGCACAATGTCTGGTACCCACATTCATAGAGGGAATTAGACAGGGAGGGAAGAAACGTTCATGTCATGTTTGTAACCCCAGTGCTAGCCAGCTGTGATGATGAAAGATAATCGTGGTCGAGGACTGGCGTCGCTGACTGTCGACTCCAACGACGGAGAACCCCTAGTGATTTCGACTTCGTTATACATCACACATATCATACTACACTATTATCGACTGCTTCTAGTCGATGATGTAAGTCTGTCCAGGCTCCGCAAGAAAAATCTGGCTCTCTCCACCGGCCTTAAGCACGAAGGCCATTCTCGGCTGGTCAAAGTTCCAGACCTCGGTTTCCCCTGGATTGATACTGTAAACTACAGCATCGCCGTTGAAGCTGACTTGGATCTGGCTGCTGGTGTTGTTAATAATGATTACGGGGGCCATGCTGCCTGCTACTGTGTCCAGAGTGATGAGTTATATTATAAGCTGGATGTATACCGAGGCTGAGCGCACCTTGGATGATTGAATGAGGTAGAAAGATGTGAAATGAGGCTTCAACGCAGAGTACAAGATATCTGGAGAATAGGTCAGATAGGAGGAAAAATTACACTAGACCTCGCACTCACTCAGAGCAATCGAAGAAGTGATGGGGAGTTGCTTTCAAGACATCTCGTATTTATATGCACGAATGACTTTCTTCTGAGCTCAGATTCAAAAGCTCGAAGAAAGTGCCAAGCAGCCAGCTCCATGTAATACAATGAATCGTCTGATTCGGTGACCTGTTTGGACTAGTAGGCATCAAGTCGTTCATGTTCGTGTCCGCTGCTAAGTGACTGGATAGCAGGTTCACAGAAAACTGACCTTACGTGCGCCAAGTTCAAATGATACGTGAAGCGGAGCGCAATGGGTGGGGTTCATAAACACGTTTTAGGTTCGAGCATCAGAAATCAAGGAGCAACTGATCCATAACGAAGCAAATAAAGTATGTTGACATGATCTCGTGGTCCGGATGCGAAATAGGGAGCACTAGGTGCTGTCATCATTCTTGCTATCATCGTAAGCAACATAATTTAGACCACCGATGCAGGATAACATGGTCCTCTCGACGTAAAATGCAGTTCCAGCTAGGGTCGGATCCGAGCATCCTGAATGGAATCCTGAATTCAAGCAGCTATGATCCGATTTCACAAACCCATTGGGAAACTTGAGGAACCAGCCTATTGGACTAGTCGCACCAGGTGATGTTATCATTCTTGCTGTCGCCGTAATAAGTCCATTTGGACCACTTGTCGTATAGCTTGAACAATGAAGGGTCCTCGATGCAAAATGCAGTTCCGACTGGCGGCAGTGGGGTAAAACCCAGTATCCTGAATGGATCCTGAAGGTCATTACGTCTCAAGTGTTGCCTTCACAGGCTCGAACCTGCTGGATAGGTTTGTAGCGCGACTTCACAAAGAAGAAATGTAATGCCGCGTTTCTAACCACGATCCGCAGTCACCGGTGTTCAACGACTACTTAACTTAAGAATATGAAACAAATGGACCGTCACTAGTAACACACCTTGAACTGGAATCCCTGTATACAATGGTCACCACTCAATAGAGCACTGGAGTACAGCGATTGTACTTGTCGACTGCCTTTATTGTCTAGTTGCTGTAGCCTGATGTGGGCAATCGACTGATTCCTCTTGTCAGCTTCTCGGACCAGCATTCGAGGGGAATCGAGGGTCCATTTTACACGGTCTACCAATGGGTGGCGCGCGCCTGCGTCAAAAGCTGCGAAGGGGTTATTCTGTCGATGGTCCAGGGTTTGGTGGTGGCGACTCTGGCGAGAATAAGACCTTTGAACCGACCGGCGACCGCGCCCGCAAAAAGTGGGGGACATACATCTGAGAGAGGCCTCACTTTATGTTCACAATTTGAAGCTTTCCCTAGCGTTCCTCAACCTTGAGCGAGCGCTCTCATTGGTGGAGAGGACTCCTGGACAAACCTAAGTGACGCTACGCGCTCGGCTGTGTACAGGCTCCGCTCAATGAGCGGTTTGAACTTTTAGATGTAGGGGAGTCTCCCGTACCTAGTCAGACCTTGAAAGAAGGTGTGGTACTTTGTCGGAAAGTTCCGGGAACGAGGTTTGCATCAAGCTCAAGCTTCAAGCTTCAAGGGCCGTGCACTGAGCAAGATATGACGAGAAATAAGAACCCGTCTGCGTGGTTCCAAAGCTGCTGGTGACCCACTGCGCAGCGCTGACGGGCCGGGCCCGGACTTGTCTGGTGTCTGCGTATAATTAAACCTCACCATTATGATCCCACTGTTGAGGCCGCCGTTTTGAAGAATGTACACCAAAGGTTCTCTGTAGTCTAGCGATACTATCATATGTCCAACATATCATGATATCAGACCATCTGATTAGGCTCGTAACCGGCCTGGCGTATACGTAGTACCACAGGATACTCGAGTGGTGCTAAGTCAAAAAATTCTCACCATCTCAAATTGAAGGATAGTCAGACTGGTTAATTACGAGTCTACCATCTGATGCGACTCCGTGGCTATCAACAGCTCCACTAATATCATTCTTATGGCAAGGTTTCGTGACTTTGTATACGAATCAAGAAAGAACGTATTCCTTCTATAAATCATAGTCTAGCTAGGGTCAGCCTAGTGACATATATACTGGCATACGTGGAACAAAATCGAGTTGTCAGTGTTCTATTCCCTTAAGCCGAGTCGGTTCCCAAGCTTCGGTTATATAGAAATATGCGCGCACTCTCTCAACCTCCCTTGACCCCCGGTTGTCGACACTTGCTGCTGTCGCATCAGCGTGCAGTTTCCCTTCCGAAACATGGCTCTTCCTTTAACCTGCGGCGCATCGCAGATATATCATTATTGCGTTGGCCATCGTGGTATGTCAAAGGCATATTACGTCCCGTCACCTCACCCTCAGTTTCACATACAGCTATGTATGTGCTATTTTATGTCTATTGGTCACGAAGACGACTATTCGTCTTCCGAACATCTGTCTACGCAATGGTCGATATCTAAGGACTCCACGGTTGCTTTGGGTGTCGGACAGACAAAGGAGACCCGAGTCAATACTTCTCCACCAGAGAGCGAACCGTCATCCTCCCTTGGCAATATCGTTCCACATGACCCTGCCTCTCCCCGCAGAGCCAATGCTACGCTGGTAATGCTGGCGCGTAACAGCGATATCAAGGGTGTGATATCAAGTGTAGAACAGCTGGAGGCGAGGTTCAATCGCAAGTTCAAGTATCCCTGGGTGTTTTTGAACGACGAACCCTTCTCTGCCGATTTCAAAAGGTATAGCGTATCACCATTCAGCACAGTTCGTTACTCATGCATTTTCAGGCGTGTCGGCGTGTTGACTGACGCAGATGTATCTTTTGGGCTGATCCCTCGCGAGTCCTGGGTCCCACCGGACTGGATAGATGAAGAACGGGCTCAGAAGGGGCGCAATAGTCTAGTGCGACAAGGCGTAATTTATGGCGGCAAGTCCATCATTGGTCGGACCTTCTTTACTATCTTACCATTGAAACCACAGGTAGTGTTTCGTGCGTATGTCCGTGCAACCCATTCAGGTCGCATCTCATCCTTGGCCATTAGTTACCGTAATATGTGTCGGTTCAACTCAGGCGTGAGTGCTCCGCGCTGCGGGTATAGGAATGATATTTCGTTCGGCTGACTTCTCTGCGCAGTTCTTTTTCCACCACGAACTTTTGACGCCATACAAGTGGTACTGGAGGGTAGAGTCAGTCGTCTAACATACCAGATGAATTGAGTTCTGACCCATTATGTAGACCCGACGTCAGATTCTACTGTGACCTGAATTACGATCCCTTTTTCTTCATGGAAGATCATAACAAAGTTTATGGTGAGTTATTCTTACTACAATGGGGTTTAGTTTAGTTGTTAAATTTGTGTCCACGGCCAGGCTTCACCATTTCAATGCCAGGTAAATGGACATTCCCGCTGCATCTTTTATAGCATGAATCGCGCTCTCAACAGAATTGGAACCAACTATACCCTCACTGTGGTCCACGGTGAAAGGTATGCACTAATCCTCACGCTTGGTAGCTTGAGGGTGAACCTGTTTGCCAGACTTCATCTCAGAACACCCTCAATACGTATCACCAGACAACTCAATGGATTTTATGTCTGACGACGGGGGCGAAACATACAACATGTGTCACTGTATGAGTCGTTCCATCTCATGATGGAAAAAAACCTCATTTGCCCTTCACTCAGTTTGGTCAAACTTCGAAATCGCAGATATGGATTTCTGGAGAGGCGAAGCTTATACGAAATTTTTTAACTACCTCGAGGAGGCAGGAGGGTTTTACTATGAGGTAAGTTTGGCCACATCTTTTTTGTTCGTGTTCGCCGACTGTACGCAGAGATGGGGAGATGCACCCGTTCATAGTATCGCCGCAGCCTTATTTACTCGCAAGGATCAAATACATTTCTTCAAGGATATAGGTAAGCTTCTGTCATGTCCTTTTGTAGTCATAACTCATCGTTCGAAGGTTATAAACACGCTGAATTCGCTCACTGTCCCCAGCGTAAACAGTGGCAGGAAGGACACTGCTCATGCGATCCAAACGATAACTTCGGTGCGGTAATACACCACCATTGCTCCTGGCGATACTAAACATCATTGGCCCAGATTTCGCGGAAAATTCATGTCTGAGGTACTTCATGCGGTTGGACAATTAGATGCTCATAGATGCTGCAACGTATTTCTACCTGTTCAGGCTACTGCGCAGGATAAACTATTTAGATCGCTTGACCTAATGAGTGATTGCTGACTGTCAGATCTATAGGCTTTCCTGCCATCTGGCTGACATCATTACGAGCGAGATACGTGTCTCAAGAAGAGACTGAAAGGCTGTCAATTCTCGAGCCAATAAGTATTTTCAGACTATTCCCTCGATTCATGGCATACTGCCGAATGATCAAGTCGAGACGACAGACGCTTTTCAACAGAATGTTGTAATAGCCACTGTATCATTGGGACTCGATCGACCCCACTCAGGCTGGACCCACTGGCGGATACGCCAGCGTTATTCACCACATGCTTGTACCTGAGGACTAGAGCAGGACAATCACAATGGACTTCAGCTCAAGCGTCAGAAAATAATTAGTCTATCATACACTTACAGAGATTCAGAGCACTGAGCAGCACAAAAGTCAAAATGAAAGCTACATACGTAAAGTGACAACAGGGCTTCATCAGCCAAAGGAAACGCGCGAAGGAATATAATTAACATATCCTACTATTCCATCATCCTAGCTGGGCAAATTCCCCGTCATTCCGAGGCCCTGCATCCCCCTCCAGAGGGGTGCTGGACGATACCTCAGTCGCAATCGTCCCCTGACCTGTGGTACCTAAGTTTGTTGGGGGGATGGATGTCCGACCGTTCTTCGCCAGCTCACTCCTCACACCATCCAGCATACGCTTGAGGTTAACGCGCTCGTTCACAAGGGCCACCCGAGCGCTTTCGAGACCCTTCCTTTCTTCTTCCAAAACCTCCTCCAACTCCTCGAATTGAGACGTTTTGAGCTCGAGTTTCGTCAGTGTGAGTTTTATGAGCGACGCGAGTGTCGAGCGGATATGTACGTCTTCAGCGTCTGCTAGGCTCTGAGCGGCTTTGGCAGAAGACTTGAGTGCAAGCTGAGCGGCACGCGCGACGTGTGATTGGGGTAACTTGGACTTCGCCGGTTTTGCGGCGTCGGCAGATGCCCCTTCAGTATTCGATGGGGTACTGGTTTCTGGTTCAGCGTTCGCCGCCGCGGATGCACCGGGAGCATCTTCGTCCATTGCAGTGTCACCTTCTGCATCATTTTTGTTACCAGACTCCCCTTTTTCGTCAACTGTATTCTCCGTGCCTTCCTTTTGGGTACCGTCTGTCAAGGCATGCATAGCAGTCTTGGCCGCTTCAGCGGCAACTCCCGAACCAACAACGCCGGAAAGGAAGGCTACCACGCTCATCACGGGATTATCCGCCTGTTCGAAAGGGATCCGCCCAAACCGGAGCGCACCCGCGTCGCCTTCAGAGGCAATGTACGGGTCCTCAATTGGTAGGGCCAAGAATTTCTTGATACACTGCTGAGACGTACGCGTCCCAACATGGTCCTCGATTGCGCTCCAGTCATCATCGAACATCTCGATACCTTCCAGTAACAGGAGTACCTCCTGGTCTGTCCAGTCGTCGTCCGTCCCGCCATGGCTGACACCAGGCGGACTAGAAGTGAGCCTGACGAAGTCCCCGCTAAACATCGTCGACGGGAAGCGCCCATCGAGATAGCACGGACCACACAGCTCAAAGTCCTTCACTTTCAACGAGTGATACCGCAGTGCGGTGCAGTCCGTCCCACAGGTGTCGCACTGGTACGACATGTTCCCTTTCGACGACACACCATTCGCGAGCGCATTTGCCTCGGCGGAAGTCACCGAGCGTGATGCTTTAGATGTCGTCTGGTAGATTGAATTTCGCAACTCAAGTGACGCCGAACCGGAGCCGCTGTGATGTTGCATTGGCTTCGGCGCACCGTTCATTGCTGCTGCTGGATGTGTGGCAGTAGGGCGAGTCCCGGGGTGCAATGACTGCATGCCCCGAGGCGTGTCGAGGATCACGCGGAAATGGCCAGTGAAAGGTGGTGCAAGCGCGGCTGGTCGCGCTTCCGGGTCGATCTTAAGGGTACTTAGTCATTACAAAGTGCTAGGACAACATTTCTGCCGTTCGCACCTGATAGTTAATCAAACCCCACTGCTCCAAGAATGCATGCACGCGCATTATCGCGCACACGTCGCCTGCCAAGTTTCTCCGGCATGCGGTGACAGTCAAGTACTCCGTAGGCCGAAGACGATACGTGTTAATCATAAAGTCGCGGTAATCTTTGTATATGGTAGGCGTTTTGGAGCGGTTTCTCGAGTTGAAAAATTCTGGGAGCGCGCGCCGCTCGACGGGGTGAATCTTGGACATGTCGAACCATGCAGAGTAGGATGGGATGACAACATCGTGCGTCTGCGCTGCGAGATACTTTCTTGCCTGGTCCTCCAGTCTCAACCGAGTAGCCTCGAGTTGTGCAGGGTCTTCATCATCGTTCTCGTCTCCAGATTCCGCTTCTTCGTCACCTGCTTCCCCCATCGACACGTCTCCAGCGTCTTCATCCCCCTCCCCCTCTTTCAGCACCCTGACCACACCTGAGCCATTTTCTGCTGACGTAGGTTCGCTAGTGTCAGGTGGAAGGTTGCCAATATCCCCGCCTTGAATCGGGTCGAGTTCGCTGCGCTTTCCCGGAGCAGATTCAGGTTCTACAGGCGAAGCACCTTGATTTTGCTGAGGGACTGTGAGCTTGATTCGTTTTGCCTCCGACGTTGACGACGGCGAGCCTGTGCGTTTTGGTGAGTCCATCGCGGTCAAGTAGCCGTTGAAATGGTTAGAAAGAAACCTGCTGTGCCAAACAGTTGTAAATAGTCACGGTGGCATAACACTTAGACTGAACAGCAACGATTCTACCAACTTGTACCAAGGTTGACAAGCACACTCATAGACTCACGTTGGAGGCTGAAGTTTTCTGCTAAATATTATCATCCAATAGACCAGCCAACTGGAAAGATGTTGCAGGTTTTCGATTTTGCGTTGGCACCCACCTACCCACGGACCATCTCTGTTTCTTTCTTTTCGCTGATCTTCGCTCCTGGCCCTGGTTGGATGTACACAGCTGCTGTACTCGTTGCAATATACCCAGGTCATATCCACTATGTAGTGACGTCTTCGTTTGCTGTAGGCAACACGATGATGCTACCCTCCTGCGCGGAACAACAAGATTATCGGGATTGCTCATGTAAAATACAACACAACAGTCAACGATCTCCCCTGGGCCTCTGTCGGTCAGACGCATAAATCGGAGTTTCCAAAGCAGCCAGTGTATTCACTCCGGCAATCCTATGCAATGAACAGGCGCGCAACCATAGGCAATTGACCGATCGAGAATTTGTTTTAGTTCTTCGCATCCTACAAAATATTTTCGACTGTATCCATGTACGCATCATTTTTAACAGCTAGCTATTCTTACGCGTTCTTGAATTTTGCTGATTCTGTTTAAGAGCTGCAGTTCGATTCAGTGGTGCTGATGCAGTGCAGTGGTCTTTAATAGGTAAAAATAGTGATGGGGCCTTTTTCACCAAGTCATTTCTCTCGAAAGTTGAGACGCCGGCACCGTCAGAAGGTTCCAGCGCATTGGCTGACGCGGCCTGGTGCTCTAACAGTATTTAAGTAGCGCTGGATCATCATTTCTGTACAAAGCGTCAGGGTATGACTTTCACTAGTAATACTCCATTGGATCACAGCCTCTACGGGCTGGACCCCGCTGCGCTCGAGTTCTTCAAGCAGCAAACAGGCATCACAGGAGAGGATGACTTGAAGCACCACATCCTCGCTGTTCAAGCACAAGCTTTCGAAGTGAGTGATGGGGGTTTCAAAATAGGTCAAATCTTATGCGATCCGTAAAGGTGGCGCCGTACCCTTGCATCTACAGCTTCGGATTCACAAGGCAGGTCATGCTTGTGGAACTTACATTCTATGGTTGACGTGGATTTCAGGCTCAGAATTTCGAGACACCCGAAGTACGAAAGCGTGCTTCAGCTAGGTCGCGATTGCGGAAACGCACTGCTCTTGGATCTTGGATGTTGCTGTGAGTGTATTCGATTTTTTCTGGTAAATGATGGTGATGAACTTGCCTCATTATAGTTGGCAATGATGGCCGCAAGGCAGTTACAGATGGCTGGCCAGTCAACCGAGTAATCTCTACTGATATCAGGCAAGGTATGCCCAACTCTATGCGCAATATATATTCAAATTGAGGCTTTGTAACAGAACTTTGGGACCTAGGACATGTCCTTTTCCGATCTACCCCAAGATCTTTCCCCTCGCCATTCATCGCGGGTGACTGTCTTGATCCAACGTTCTTATCATCCGAGCCTGGGCATACGTCACAGACACCACCTGACTTATCCTCGCTCACCTCATTGAATGACTTGCATGGCAAGCTTACTGCCATTCACGCATCATCCGTCTTTCACTTGTTTTCTGCGGAACAACAGGCATCGCTCGTCCGTGCTGTAGCTGCTTTGCTGTCTCCTGCACCAGGGAGCATTGTATTTGGGTCTCATGTCGGACTTCCGAAACAGGGTACCATACGGGAGGAAGTGCTTGGTATGACAGTGGAGATGTATTGTTATGACCCTGAAAGCTGGAATAAGCTTTGGGAAGATGCAGGTCCCTTCAAGACGGAGGCCATCTTGAAGGAGGTGATAGCTCCAAACGGTGAGGTCGGGTGGATGATGGTATGGAGCGCAACGATGAGCACCAGATCCGTTGTATGAATCCGAAATCGCCATGCCTTCAACTGCACCTACTTTCCAAGTCCTTAATACGTTGCTGAAGCCTACAAACATGATGAGAATAAAGAGTCTCGTTGATCAATCACGCTCACACGGGTTGTAATTGTATACGTCCGTGACGGAGTTCGAAATTTCGTTGGTTTGAACTACACTTCTACTAGTTACTACCGTTCAGCTACGATCCTAGTATCCCTGCAATTGTACGCCACTGTCTCGCTAGTAATTTGATGCAGGTCGTCTTGCTACTCCGGCGCAACACAGCAGAGGTTTGTTCCTCCGCGCGCCTTTGCTACTAGCATGGATGACTATATATGTTGTCTTCACTGCTTTCGGTTCATGTAACTTTGCCTCCTTTTATTATTCCCGTCTTGAAAGTGCTTATGTATCTAACCACTCCTTCCGTCTGGTTCAGGCTTTGCCTCTTGCACTTTACGACTGCCATCGCCCGCCCGACGTCCCGTATACGCGGGCATCCATCTCATTCTCTGCCGCTGTACGACCCTATACCTGGTCTTTGCAGCTCGACACCGCACAGGTGCTTCATCCTCGATTTCGTGACATGCCGCCCTAGACCATGGCATCACTTTGGCTGTGTTGCCTTCACTCTCTGTCCGATCTTTCAGCCTACCTGTCATGTGTATAAGTAATGAGCAGTTCTGCGACGAGACCTCCATGCTCCTCGCGAGATTACATTTGGGAGGTTTTCGGTGGTGCTGCGTAGCCCCTCTTTTCCGCCGACGCGGGGCTCTGGTCACAATATCTGACGTGTTTCTATGGGTGCCTTGTTCCACTCGCGAATATTGCGGCTGACATCCGGACTCTAGTGGGTGTCTTACCCCCCACTGTCCTGCATCTCGGACGACACTTCATCCCAGGGCAATGTGCGTGTTTTATTTCCACGCCCCTGTACGACGTTGGATCCTAGACTGTTAATTGGCGCAGGTTTGGCATGTGTGTAGCATTCGTCTTGCGGGTCATATATTTGGAGGGAGTGTATTCGTGTGCTCAGTGCGGTTCCTTTCTCGTTCCTTTCAACTTCTCTCACCAGTTACTCTTACCTATTACCTGTCAGTCTAAAGTCTTTACTCTAGTTACCCTTATTATGACTTTGCTTTCATTAATTAACTCGAGGCGCCGTGGAGTTAGCCGAGAAGTCTTTCTTTGAGCAGGCACAATGCGCATGGGCATGCCGCACACGAGGGTTGCTGCCCTGGCAATACTGGTGTTGTCTACTACCAAACCCGCATCCATCACTGCTCGAGACACTTGTATTGTTCTACCAACCGCCTGTTGACTCATTCTCACCCTGAACAACCTAGTCACATACCATGCCTCCAACAGACCTCATGAAAAAATCCCCCGCTACCAACTCATATTTGAATGTGAAACTTGTGCTAATCGGAAACGTTTCAGTTGGGAAGAGTAGCTTACTCCTCCGCTTCTCGGATGAGCGATGGTTTCCCGAGCACAAAATGATATCCACTCTTCGCATTGATCTCCGTGTGCGTTTATTGATCCTTCCTTTCTCCCACTCATGTCATGTGCTAACCTTGGTGGTCGGGGTATAGGTGCATGAAATGGAGGTCAACGGGCAGAAGGTGAAGCTCAGTGTATGGGTACGTTGATTCTTTCTTTCCCCTATATCTGTGCCAGGATGAGGACGTCTGGTGTGATGTGTTCTGCAGGATACAGCCGGCCAAGAACGCTTTGACGCAATCAGATCCCCATACTACCGTGGTGCTCAAGGGATCATACTTGGTGCGTTCTCACTTGCTTATACGGGATAAATGTCTGGAGGCCTGATGATGTTCGTATGTATAGTGTATGACGTAGCAGACCGCAGGTCATTCGAAGCGCTTCCGAGATGGTTTTCTGAAATCGACCCCCACGTCTCAACCACAGTGCCGAAGATTATTGTCGGAAATAAGGTTGATCAGGTATTTGCTATTTTCTCTTCGTACTTGTTATGATCTGGACGTCAGTTTCATTCCCTTTCATCGTCCTATTTACGCCACACTTGCATTACTGTCACCAGCGTCCCGTCTATTTTTTCACCACTAACATCCCGCTACTCGTTTCCTGTCATTCTACCGCCCACTAACCCTATTCCAGGAAAACTCTCGTCAAGTTTCCACCACCGAGGGTTCCACTTTTGCCTCTCGTCAAAATGCCCTCTTTGTCGAGGCCTCTGCAAAGACAGCCGTCGGGGTACGCGAGATATTCGAAGAGCTGGTGGCGCGGATTATTGAGACCCCAGAGCTGTGGGCACCTGTGACACCAGAAACGGGTGTGGGTTTTCTACTTGCGAAGCGGAAGGAGGACAGCACATCGGGGATGATCGTTATGAGACGTAATACGGTTGATTCGGGCGATGGGAGTTGGAGTTGTGCATGTTAGATTTAATGTGTGAGGTCGTGTTATGTAGCCGCTCGCAGCGAGGCTGTATGTATCTCCACTTGCCATAAGTTGCAACTACCACAGACGTCACAGCAACCGTTCTTCGCATAGAAGAAGATCCCAAGCGCATTTCTAGCCACAAGCCAGATCAGCAATCACGGTCACAGAACGATGTCTGTTAATATCAGGACTGATCTGAACTTGTGCCGCAGACCCACATGCCAGGGAATGGACTGCTTGAGGGGTAAGGAGCAGTCGGTAGTCGGTGGGTGTGGAGAGCCTGCAGTGCTCTGCATAAACGTCACCACAAGGAAGACACTCAATGCTCATCGAACCACGACAACTTGATGGCACGGGATCGATCTATGTTAAGCATAGAAACTGATCCGGCAGCAACAGAATTTTTACAGCTTGTACATCAAAGAGTACAGCGAAGCGCTGGCAGAATCTGCGCCCCTGATCAAGTGACGGGCCCGAGAATCTTGGGCTCTCGCTGCTTACCTGTGCTTTTAAAACTCGACTGTCCCGCCCTCAGAATCCTCGATGTCGATTACAAAGTAGCTCACTCTCTTGATCACCAATGGCTCAAGGACAACCTCACGCGTATCGAATCCGTGACGTTATCCTACGGATACGGAGATGACTTTCCATGCTATGAATTCTTAGCAAAGGATGTTCCTAAAGTGTTGAACGCAATACGACACCAAATACCCTGTCTCACTCTCGACGGCCTACGATTTGCATCTCAGACTATCTCGCAGATGGAACATTCTAATATTAAATCGGAGTAGAGAAAGCGATTTTGCGCGATTTTACGGGGGTTTTGGATTTGATCGATGATGAGTGCGAGATTATTATTCTTAGCGGCTGTGAGTTTGTGGAAAATCCAAGAACGAGATCGTGGCCAAAGGCGAAGACACTGGAGTTTGATGGGTGCTTGGGGGTGAGCTTGAAACGGGTGCTGAAGACTCCGTCGGATGATGAGACGGTGATTGTTACCGGCAGCGATTCTCTCTGTATAGAGGCAATATTGGTGCTCTTAGGTGCACCTATCAAGAAGAGTAGCCGTTCCCTGTGGCCCCGTGTCACGACGCTCAAGCTCGTGATGGGTGATTTCGTCTTGGAGTTCCCGTTGAAGAGACTGAAGGCGATGATCAGCACCCGGAAGGGAGGCTGCGGATAAAGAGATTCTAGGGAAGGATGACGATGTGTTGGATGGTTTGGGGTTGAAAGGGGTACGTTCGATTAGGGTGCCTCGTGTGCATGGGGGACCGGCTCCGTCGCGCGATGAGAGAGTGGTTCAAGGGGCATGCGAGGAACTTTGTGTGGGATGATGAGAAGAAGTGAGGGGGTGGGTGGGACGTTTTCGTAGAACTGTAGAGACGTACGTTTTACTTAGTTGCAGAAATCGGATCTCGGATGTTGCAGTGTGTTCGGTTTTTTGTGAATGATGGTCATGAACTTGCCTCGTCATAGTTGTGAATAATGCCTGAAAAGCAGTTGCACAATACAGATGCGGCTAGCCAGTCGCCCAATTGATCTCCACCGACACCATGAATCTGAAGCTAGTCGATCGAATGAAATTGCACTTTGAAGAGCTTCGAACACGTATTTGATGCTGACCATATACCCTGACAATCCCTAGGGCCTAGCGTAACTCAGTCACCACCGAGAAAACATTTTGCGCCACATTGGCAAATATTCCTCTCGAGGAATGTGGTGAAATTTCCTTTGCAACGGAAGTGTCTGTAGCATGTAGTCACCGTCCCGGAACGACTGATCTCTATAAAAATACTTGAACAGCACGAAGTTGTGTAACCTCTTTTGCAAAGGAAGTGCCAGCTAACTCTGATACATAGTTTTAATTCAAAAAGACATCCCACCTACATACCTCGGCCCTATGCTTCCTCGTCCACCTTCAACACTGTCTGAGACAGCCGCTCACAAGCGGAACATGAGAAAGAAGGCTCAGGTGAGTCAAGAGTCTGCCGCCGAAAAAAACGTAGATGATAGTAAGCATACATGAATAAAAAAACATGCGGGACACTCACTCAAGTTGCCAAGAACCACCTCAGCGGTCCTCAAAGATGAAAGCCCTGGGGCACAAAGGTGAGTGCATGCACGATTCTGTACTGTGCAAGGTGCTTGGGGGGAGCAAGCCTGATTTCAGTCTGGAATGAGACAACAGTCAGTACTGTATACATTCAACCTTAGGTTCGTGGGGGTCGTGGTGTGACATGACATAATGGTAGGTTCGCATGTTCGTTCACCGCTGTGACCTATGACAAACTTAAGATAGGTTCGCCGAGGTGGTCGGACTACACTGAAGGACTCGGAGTCTCTGAGTTAGATTGACTCTATGCTCGCTCAATCGATCCCCAGTCGACGACGGAGATTGCTACATATCTGACTTCTTTCTCCCTTTCTGTAGTGTCTCGGAGGGATATTGAACGCGAGGGTACATTGATATCTCTAGTAAGTTTATTTGTCTGGTCTGAACATCCCCCCCGCAGCACCACTGCTGCAACCAGCAGCAACAATGACTCAGCGGATAGTACTGAAGTATCCTTACCAGAAGATGATGTGGTCGAGAGTGATGGAGTCGATGACGAGGCCCCATTGGAGCTGGTGCTCGAACATATCATGTCTGGCAAGACCTATGTGCCAGAAGGATATAACATGGACGCGGATGGGTCTCTGATAGTAGACTGGTGCTGCCGACAAGTATCATGAGGTGATTTCCCTTAGTGAGGGTATCGAGGAGGCCTGGCAGAGGGAAGCAACAGGCACATTGCAAACACGCAATACAGAGATTATGATGCGCACTAGTTAGAATTTGTTTATCTCGCATAAAAATACGAGAGAACTAGATGTCACAATTTTAGGTTCAGTTCGGGGTGTCGGCGACGCTGTGACGAACCTAAGGTCGAATGTATACAGTAGTCATAAGCGTGCACTGAACTGCAATCGGTACCTGCAGCAGAATTAGCGCACAAGACACCTGCAGAAAAGTCAGATCGGAACGATAACGGTTCGTGATATCTTGTTGCTAAAACAACAAAAGGGCTTGACAGACTCAAACAACGCACGAAGAGGTCAGACAAGTCGGAGGTCGTGGTCGTGGTCGTGAGGGAAGTAGTAGGTGTGATGCCTGTTTACAACTGGTCAGCGCCCCAATTCTGCGCGCTCTCTGACTACCCACAAGTCGAGTTCAGTATCAATCGAAGATAATGACTTTGCCAGTGAATATGGAGAGAGTGACCGTATCTCTGAAAAGTCAGAAGACGATATGGAGGTATAAGATGATGAATCGTGACTTGCACTTGCACTCCCTGGAGGAACTGGTGAAAGAGGTTCGTGAGCTTGTTTAGAATGATGAGATGACATACAAGTTGACTTCCTATGACGATTTTACAAAGTTTCCACGTGTTGCTCCACCTCCGCACTCCTCAAATTCGGCTTATTCTGACACGTCCATTCGCAAACCAGCAGTGATGTATCGATGACCTCTGGTAGTGGCTACAGTGCACGACACATCATTCCCAACAATGGTGCTGAGATGTAACTTGTCGATGGAGACTCCGACAGTCTGTTTCTACTGGAGGTGTGCATCCTTCATCCGTGCTTTAATGCTTCCTGCACCAGGGAGCATCCATCGTATTTGGGTCTCATGCCGGACTCCTGAAACTGGGTACCATACGGGAGGTAGTGCTTGGTATGAGAGTGGAGATGATCTCGAGAGCAGGTCCCTGGAGGCGGTGAGAGCTCCAAACGGTGGAGTCGGGTGGATGATAGTTTCCCCTACAGTCAGACCCAATAGAAGGAAGATAGTCGTTCCTGGTGGATGATGGTATGGAGCGTGACGATGAACACGAGATCCGTTGTATAAATCCGAAATCCTTCAACTGCACCCACCTAGTCCTTTTCTTTTCCTTAGTATATTACTGAAGCCTTCAGGCTAACGGACTGTTACAGACATAACAATGACGGATCACGTGACATTTCATCTCAAGCGCGTTTCGTCCTCCACTTGAAGTTGTAGACGACATGCGTCGTGCCTCAGTCTGGATTGGCTTAGCTTACCTGTTTGCTCCGTCCCTTGCTCTTTCTCAAGGGGAAAACTACAAGGAAGATCTCCGCGTACAACCACTCAGAGATGGGCGAGTATCCACGACATTCTCTTTTGTGACTGTTCTAGAAGGTGCAGTTCCACGAAATCCGACGGCCCTGGAACAACCAGATGAATGTGCGTCTACCACTGCTACCTCTGACTCCTGAACTACATGAGACATGCAGCCCAACACTACGCCCTGTTCCCACTCACGCTTGGTCAAATCTTACGCGAGTATGCGATCACCGAGCTGCATCTGACTCTCAACGCTGGGAAATGGAATTATGATAACTGGGGGCATCCTAATGAAGCTGGGGTTAGCACCGGAGCTGAGCTATGGGCTTGGATGGGCGCCAGCGAGGCAACAACGTGTGTATACCCAACGAACAACTATGGTCATGTTCACTCATTCAGTCTGTCAGAGTGGATGAGCGGTGGTCTGGTCTTCGAAACGCACTTTCAGGACTCTTTTGCGCTTCTCTCGGGTCACTAGATTCGAGACGAACCACATCACCAATGGTCGCCTTCCCTTTATCTGGGTCCACCCCTCCTTTCGCCCTACACGAACTTCGGCATGCCTCACTTCCCTCAGAGAACGTTTGCACGGAGAATCTAACCCCCTTCTTGAAGTTGCTTCCGTGCAAGAGCCATGCAGGGCTTGCTGCACTTCTGAATCCCCAGAAGGTGTTTGATGCAGACTGGCATGGCATGGGGATCCACGTGATATGGAAGGAAGGTACTGGTGTGGAATTAAAGCTAACTTTACAAGCGGTCTTCAATCCAGTACGAACCAGCGCAGGGAAAAGACGAGGTGAAACAGCACCCATTATGATATTTCCCTCGCTGACAATGTTACAGACTGGAGTCTTCAATCACTGTTTGATCGCTCCATTGAACGATCATGTCCGGTAGCGAGCTCCAGTTCTGTTACTGTTATTCTCCCGGAAGAGGAGAATTACCAGATCACTCCTCAGCTTCCCGCCCATGTCGATGGTTTAGCCGTTTACGACTTATCCTCCTGTGCGTCGTACAGGTATCTCCGCAATAAATTTGAATTAATATCGTCAAAGTGTCTAATTTCACAATTCCATTCAATATTGCCATGTTCTGGCCAAGTGAACATAGCTTCCAGTATCGTACGGCCCTTTCTCTGCGCGTGTAACCAGCTCATTGATGATTTATCGAGCAGCACCGCCGCCATTACTACCCCTCACACGGCTCAGCGTGAAACGAACAATTCATGGTACAACACAAACACGAGGTGTTCTTTCTGTTTCTGTGACCAACAATTCTCCCGAGGAGATTTCGGCAGGTTATCTGGAGATGATGCCTGCCCTGCTCACACTGTGGATGCACACTTTGAAAGTTGAAATAAACTCACGGATACGGTGTATGACCTACAGTTATGAGAATATTCCTCTGCTGATTATCATGTGTATTTAGGCGACCTGATTTCAGGACTGAACTACCATCCACCTTCGCCACAACCTAATGGCCGCCTTTCTCCCTCGACGTTGCAAGCTGTCCTGACAATTCCACCAAAGAGCACACTCAAAATTTCCATGGAGGTCAACAAAGCCTTCCTGAAATATACCGAACATCCACCTGATGCGATGAGAGGCTGGGATCTACCGGGGGCCGTCTTTTTCCCGCTCCTTCGATCGACAAACAATACCTCTTCGAGTTATGATTGGGAGAGGATTTATACCCCGACACTACTTGTCGATCTCCCCACCCCGGATTTCAGCATGCCCTATAACGTCATCATCCTCAGCTGTACGCTCGTGACATTGATTTTCGGAAGCATCTTTAATTTGCTGACGCGCAAGTGGGTCGTGGTGGAGATTCTAGAGTAGTTGCGGTGAACTACGTAGTATTGTACTGATGCAGGGCTCATGCAACACGGGTGTTAACATCGGTCCTTCTCTAGGTCCCATCCGCATAACTTCTACAACAACTTTCTCGATCCTTGTTATCGCACACTTCTTGACGGAATCCATCCACAAATACGTTCCGGCGCATCTGAAAGTTTTGAATGCCCGTCTAGGCCTTAAGTTGGTAATATATGGTCTGATATTGAACTTGTTCTCGACTGGCCTCATTATTATGTCCCACTGTAAGCAAGTCAATCATACATATTAGCTCCCGTTGGGTCAGATTTTCAGGATCTTGCGAGTGGCGTGGAAGTGCCACCTGTACTGTTTTTATGGACTTTCGCAATGATCCCATTTGTCATCCGTCGGAAGCTGTCGGAAGGTGCCACGAAGCCCGCGGTGATAACTAACATTATGATAGCAGGTTCATGTGTACTATATCATGTAGATAGAGGGATGTATTGCGCTTTCTCGCTCACGACGTCTTCATTTCCAACGCTCCTGCAAGTATGATTGTCTCCGGCTTGTCGTTGGCGACCCTTGCAATATTAGTGGGTTCTGTGGCTGCACTTCGCTCCTTGAAGCTCTTCTTGGACTTTCGGCGGCTACTCGAAAGCATTCAGTGAGTTGGCCAGCTTCATCGAACTACATAACGTGAATGACTTGTCCCGTGCAGCCACCTGCCAGGATACCGAACAATTCTTAGTTCAACAACTGTGATCGCAAACATGCTTCCACCGACGCCCTGGTTGACCTTAGGTCATGGTCATATTTGGCTGCTGAAGCATACCCGTACGTCGAATATCTTCAACTCTCTTGGTATACGTTCCCCGATTAACGTAGATTATGGAAGCCTTCGCGGAGGGGGGCCTCGATATAATTTCCTCTGTGAGTCGGGCGCGAAACCATAATTGTGTCAGAGGCTCATAGATGTAGGTGGCATGTTGGCCTAAAGCGACGGGATCGCTTTGGATAGCAGACGTCAATATAATCAAGGTATGTGGTGCTGTCTACGTCGACCTTGATAGCATGATGAAAAATTGATCGATCATACCAAAGGACATTGTCTGGTCTCGTGGAGGACGCTTCCCGAAACCCCTACACCACTATACCCCCTTAACACTCTTCGGAGGGAATATTGTCGCTTCCGAAGGCGACGAATGGAAGCGTCACCGCAAGATTGTCGCACCTGCGTTTTCAGAAGTTCGTGACTGGTGTCCATGTGTCAAATTGGAGCTATCCTAACTTACAATTTTGAAGAGGAATAACAGATTGGTCTTGGAGACAACAACGCAGATCATGGCTCGACCTTTTTGATACAGTATGGGCCGGACAAGATGAAGTGGTTGTAAATCACGCCGTAGATTTGACTTTGCCAGTAAGAATTCTTGACGTCACCTACGCGCTTCTTTAATGTCATTCGAATCGCTAGATCGCCTTGTTCGTGATCGGCGCTGCAGGTGGGCATCTCAGCATTATCAATGAGTAACTGTCGATACTGAACTCATTATAGGCTTTGGCCGCCCTATATCCTGGAAAGAGGACGCTGTGATCCCACTCGGACACCAGCTGACTTTCAAAGATGCTCTCCACACAGCGACACAAGACCTTCACCTTAAATTATTAGTACCGACATGGGCCATGGGACTCACTAGACGTTTTAGGCATGCAAGACTTGCATTCGATGAACTGCATGTCTGTAATAGTATGCTGAACACTTCACATCTTAATGGCCCTGTTTTTTTTAGCAATACCTTACTGAGATGATTCAAGAACGTCAAGGGTCCCAGCACCAAGAAGATAATAGCGATATATTATCTAGTTTGTTGGCAGCAAATGACGATGAAAAATTGTCACAGGGCGAAGTAAAGCTAAGCGACAGCGAACTAATCGGTAAGCTACGATTTCAGACACTGCAGCAGGACATGGCGACATTGTTCGGCAGGCAATACCTTCATACTTTTGGTCGCAGGACACGAGGTAATCCATCCCTTCAACCCTTTTCCCTCACGCTGACAACTCACAGACCACAGCACATACATTGGCTTTTGCGTTCGGACTGTTGGCTTTATATCCCGACAAGCAAGAGGAATTGTACCAACACATCAAGCGAGTGCTACCTGATGGAAGACTTCCTGTATGAACCACAGATAGCTACACAGCCAGGCTTACAATGTTTTCGACAGACTCACGATGATATGCCGTCACTGGCCTACTCGTCTGCGTTAGTTTACCCCTGAATCGACTTGGGTATAGGCTGACATTATGGCAGCGTGTTCAACGAGACACTACGGATATTCCCCCCTGTATGTTGGTCTAGCAGATGTCACTGAGCGATTTATTCACTCTAGGTGCAGATCGCCGCCGTGCCAAAGTCAAACGCGGAAGACACGACCTTCACCCTCACAGATGCCCACGGGACGAAGAGAACGGTCGCTGTACCTCGAGGATTTGCCCTTACGCTGGACATATCTGGGCTTCATTATAACCGTAAGATAATTGCCAAATGGAAAAGAGGTGCAATAGCGAGCTGACGCATGATTACAGCTAAGTACTGGGAAGATCCATACGCGTTTAAACCTGAGCGATTTTTGGGTGACTGGAATCGGGACGCATTCCTCCCCTTCAGTAGTGGTAAGTAGCTTGATGCTTTGCTTGGAAACAACTTGAAGACGCTCAAACCAATGAAGGTTACAGAGCATGTGTGGGACGAAAGTGAGCGTATTGACATTGGTCTTGGTCATTCATTTGAATTTGTTCAGGTTCTCGGAAACGGAGGGAACGGCTGTTCTGACCGTTGTACTTTCGCGATATACCGTTTCAGTCAAGGATGAGCCGCAGTTTGCTGGTGAAACATTTGAGCAGCGTAAGACGAGAGTACTTGACGCGCGAAGTCGGCTCACTCTAGCGTACGTTAAACTTCTGCTCCTGAAAGGTGACAAGCTGATGCTGTTTAGACCAACCCGCCTTCCTCTGGTGTTCAGACGAAGAATTTGAAGAGGAGACTTGGTAATAGTATACACGAGATACAACACAATATACGTTGAGCTTCGGTTTGACTGTACAAGTGACTTACGACTACTCTTCACTTTGGCATCTCCAAGACTATTCTGCCCGCTACTTTGCCTTGTGTGAGTGCGTCATAGGCCCTTGAATCACGTCAGGTATGGATCCTTACAATTGTCATCTACTCACTCCTTGAGGTCAGAAAGACCCTTGCATTCGTACCTCACTACAACCCTGCCACTCGATGCGATCTCCAGAGCCTCAACGGCGTCCTGACGATTACCAACATATGAACCAATGATGTTGATGCTCTGATAATTCCTGAATCAACAACAGTACACTTAGAACACACTGTCAGCAAAGGAGCAAAAATGCGGATATGTTTTTGATATGTTTTCCACTGTATTTGATTTGCAGGGGTCTGTAGAAAGTACTGGGACAAAAATAAACAAATAAAGTGTGCTGCTATGCTCTATTATATGTACATAGTCTAAAATAAGACTGTGGTGTGGTGGTGGTGGTGGTGGTGGTAGGAATACACTGGGGAGGGGTGTGGGAAGGGTTGATATTGAGGAGATAACCAAAATGGGCTATGTTTGGGGTGTTGTGAGGAAGTTCCCACAGGTAGCTAAAAATGCGGTGGTAGCTGATGCAATGGAGGGTAGGTAATGCATCATTATTCACAGTACTGTTAGTTACGTTAATGCAATACATGTATCTTGTAACTATCCTGAATTAATGCATTAAAATGGATCACCTGACCATTAGCCTATAGGGCACTCATTCCTCTTTCAGGCAGGATTTCTCCTGCCACACCGTCCATTCCTCATATTTGTTCATTCTAAGAATGTAGTCTCTAACAAGCCTCATTACAGCCATACCCCCAAAAGTGGAGGAAGCCTTTAAGCAGTACTGCTATGTCCTGTACACAGCTTTCACTCATGTGGCTTGGTCTAAGGCTTTCCTGTGTGGAGAAGACTCATCTTTTGTCTTCACACAGGATGGGTTGACCACTAAAGGCCTGGATCACAGCATTGAGAGTTGCAGAAGAAAGAACTGCATTTTATTGGGGAGAGGATTGAGCAGCTGCACTTTTGTCACACCATCTGGTAGTGCTCGATATCGGCCACATCATGGATGGTCAGTGGCCATGCACTATGATGTACAGCAAAGAGAACTGGCCCACACCAACTATGAGCACAACCTGACCAGGCTTGATGTGGCCGCACTTACCTTAGCCAATAATAAGATTGCTTCTGCTGCTTCACAAACTATACCTTCTATTTCCTCAGCTAAGCACTCTGCTCTGAGCAACTTTTGACATCCCCTCATAAAAGAATCCCATACTCTTGCATTGAGCCATTGCTTTTGCTGTGAAGCAAGTGGCCACTTACCTGCCAACTGCACCACAGACACCACTGCCACTGGAAACCTGTTGCAGCTCTTGCCACCAATGCCCAAAGCAAGCATGCACTTGTATCCTCCAATGGGAAGCATTTCTGCTTCAACTGGGCCAACAGCTCCAGCTGCACCTATTGCACCAACTGCAGAAATGCTCATGCTTGCTAGGCTCGTGACCAGCCTGGCGTATACTACCATGGATGCTCGAGTGGCATAGCCAGGCTGGTCGATCTTGGAAAGATTTGGCAGGGGAAGCACGGAGTCTGAAAATTTGCAGTTGCCGATTGTGCCGGTGGTACTCAATCTTGAATCACTATACCGTAGTCTTTGTGTGTTCACACATATGCTATGATTGTGGCCTTGCAACCATGGATTGCGAGGCCGTTTCTGTTTCCCCAATGTCCCTTGCTGCGCTAGATGCACTTGAGAACCTTCCGACAGAGATTATTGAACCTTTGCATATATCCCAGCACCAGAACATTGTAGACTCTTTCGCCCGACTCGATTTTCTTACAGAAGGAATGAAGCAACCAAAGCTGTTTCAACTCGAGTGCCTCATGTCATTGCTCGCATCAAGACATGTTGTTGTCCGGGCTGCAACAGGTGCTGGCAAGACACTGGCAATGATCCTTCCCTTGCTGCTCTCTCCTGACAAGGTTGCAATCACTGTCACACCATTGAAGCTTTTGCAAAAAGATCACGTACACTTGACTCGGAAAATTCAAATCATGAGTTTAACCTTTCTGAATCTGTCTGTAGGTCAACGAGTTTGTCCAGTATGGCATTCCCTCTATCGCAATCAACCATGATACCCCACATGACAAGACACTATGGAATGTAAGTGAATCTCACACTAGATGATTCGTGCTTTTGTGATGAAGTCTCTACAGCATGTAGCTGCTGGCCGCTATAAGAACTTGCTCGTTGCTCCGGAACAATTTTTCCTGGAAGGTGGACACATTCCCCACCTTGCTTTGCAGCTAAAAGATCCAACATTCTCCAAGTGCATCGGTTTCTTCTTCATTGACGAAGCACATTTATTGAGCCAACATCGTCTGAATGTAGTAACTGGGCACTCCGAACTCGTGGATTGGTTGATTGATCGTTGATACATGGAATTGCTTGATCATTAAGATCGTGCATATCAAAAGCGAGTTGATCTATGTAAGCATTTCTTGCGACTTTGACATTTCCATCAGTTGTGGACTCATCTGTCGTGGTAGTTCGTAAAACACATTCTTGAGTTTGTATCCTAGGGGCGGAGGTCGATATGAACGATGCTTGAGCGCAGGTGAATTCGAAAGGTAATTGAACCCAGGGTGATTGTCGATCAGGATTTTGATGATGTTGATATGTCACATTTGAGACGGTTATCGAGTATGGGTCGAAGTTGAAGATCTTCTAAGGTTGCATTACGCAGTGGGTATATGATTGTCGTGGTGCCTGACTGGAATTTCGGGGGGGCTAAAGCACGCTGTTCAACATGAGTAGATGTCGAAACTTGAATGTTGGCCCAGCCTATCATATGCGGTCCTCTCGCAATGAGCTGTGCCCTTCGTATCTGACCATCGGCCATAATAGTATGAGAAATGTGCAATGCATCATACCCAGGCAAAAGACTGCAATGTGCGAGTAAGTCAATGGTTTTGCAAGATGTACCACCGCTGAACAAGCAAAGTCCGTGAATGATCTGAAAGGCGAGGTTGTTTTGCAAGTGAATGTTCGCAATTTGCGATTGGATTGCAGTGCAGTACTAGCTTGATGTCTACATTAGTTTAGTGTGGTTTGAAAAAAAGCTAACCATTTCGACATTTTGATGCTTATTCTCTTTCACAGCACGTGTTGTCCGCATAGCAGACATAAGGATCTGATGGAGCCAGGGAGTTGTCTCTTTCAATGGGACAGTCAATCCATGCTCGATGTCGAAAGAAAGCAAGTACTCCGGGGTGATGTCCTTTGTAGACATATGAAAAATCGGCTTAGCGTCCTCCATCTCCACATCGATCTCATGGGTGATGAGTTCTATAGCGCGAGGTTGCAGTACATTCTGAAGGTGAATGGCTCCTTGCTCATCGGACTCCAGCACGTTAAGAAATCGTGCGAGTGCAGAGCTTCAGAAGAAGCCCTTCCTCCAATTGATCATGGCAGGTTTTTGCAAGACAGAGCACAGAAGTAAGTCTATTACAGTCATCCGCAAGCCACGAAGTATTTCCAGGATAGCTAGAACTTTGATGTCTTCACTGAGGCCATGGTGGTCAACTGTCCATGCCAGAAGTTCGGATGGTTGATGATAGTGCAACATCTGAGGTAAAAGCACAGGAAATGGTATCATTATACTGCGAACAAATGATGCAGTGTTGTTGACGCTGGATGATAACGACGATAACATCAAGCGGCACAATCGGCAACTGCAAATTTTCGAACTCCGTGCTTCCCCTGCCAAATCTTTCCGAGATCGACCAGTCTGCCTACAGCAAAATTCACACACATCTCAAAAATGCACGTAGGCAGAATGGTTACGAGTCTACATGCTTGCAGCATCTGTGGAGACTCATTGCATGGAGCTGGCAATTGCAAAGCCCATCAGTGATCCATGCACCATGGTCACATCCAAATAAAGGAGCTCCTTTGTAAATATGGTATCTTTGATGATTGGTGTCATATAGTTTATGGTGTCTATAATGGTTTCAATGTTAAGATTCAAAGCCCACCTTCCTCCACTTACTTATTTTGAAAAACATTCATCCTTGTTACTCAATCCCTCCATAATTGATGCATACATACTCACAGAGCAAAGAGCAGGAAGGTACTCTATAGGCTTCAGCCCTGCAGATCTGGAACTCTTAATTGGCCTGTTTCCCATGTCTCACCTTGGCTTGGTACCAAAGCTGCACTCCACCAAATTTCAGATAGTGCAAGACCTCTCTTACCCACAAGATCCTGTAGAGATCCTGTCTGTAAATGCTGGTATCAGTGCAGATGATTTCCCCACAGTCTGGGGCACATTCAATGAGACAGCCACCCTCATACTCACTCTTCCCCCTGGTTGTGTTGCAGCAACCTTCAATACTGTAGCTAACTGTAGGGAGGCAACTGGGGGTCAAGTGTGACAGGTTGCCACATTCAGCATGTAAGCAACCAGGCAGCTTACCATTGTGACAGGCCAAAAATTAGCAACTGTTGACTCGGCGCCCACATGTCATTGTGGAGTTGCCACAGACTCTACTTAGAAAATATGATACTATTATCACAATATAATGAGCTGAACCGAGTCCGATAACAGTTGAGTGGTACTACTTGCTCCTGGCACCCATGCCTGGTCCATCCTTGGTGTTGATATCACAGATTGAACATCTTGGGAGACTCCTGAAAAATCTTCCACAATCATTGCCCCTCAACCCACCTAATTCTTTCTATGACTTTGGTCTTGACACAGAGATGGTTGAGGAGGAAGGGGTGTGGTTTGCATTCAACAGAAATCTGGAGGTCTGCTTCAAGACCCATAAACTTGGCTGAAGTGGAACAATGACTTTCTGTGAGCATGGGAGATGTTACGAGGCCCTGGTTTGGATGTTCAAGGAGATGGTGAAGAAACTTGCAAAAGATTCTGAGCATGACTTCCTTTGTGAGGTGTGGCTTGAGCGGCTGATCAGTGCTGCACAACAACAGGGTGCAAAGGACCTACGGCAGTAAGATTTTATTCTTGATTGAAAGAGATCTGCTCATGTTGGCCCGTGTGTTAGGATTGGTGGTGGTAGCACTAAAAGACCTGCCCCAGAGATACATATTTCCGAGTCAGCAGTAGATGAACATCCTGAAAAATGCTCAAAAGCTTCGCACTCACCTCACATGAATGCTAGACTGTCAACCATCAATGTGGACTCGGACTCTGAGGGTCTCAATCCAGGTTCAGAGCTTGATGTTCAATAAAAATGTGTTACTATTCACATGGTTGAGAACCCAAGACCTTCAACCCTCCTTGTCATAATTAATTTGCAGAAAACCAAACAAATGCATTTCAATGACTTCAGATGGAAACCACTTCATACCAAAGAAGAAAAAGCTGAGCAATGGGAGAGATTGGCCAAAATCACAGCTGACGAAGATGAATTGATGAAGTGAGAGGAGGAAGCTCTGAAAGCAGCATGAGAGGAGAGAAAGAAGAACCTAGCAACAGAGTGTCAGTGCCATCATCATGAGCAGATCAAAGCCACTCAGCCAAAAGGGAAGAAAGCACAAAAGAATGTCAACAAGGTGAGTGTAGGAGGTGCACAATTGACCTGAGTATTGAAATGAACTTCATATAGGTTTTGCAGGCTGAGTCCCAACCAAGCAACCTTTCAACAATGGATCTTGCAGAGCTTTCAAGGCCTGATTCAAATTGGAAAGATCAGCAGACTGGGAAGAACAGTGGAACAAAGCAGGAATGACACTGTCAAACCAACTGGCATCATCCCTTCCTCTGGACACACATAGAGCAAATTGCTCCCAAAGTTGGCTGGTCTGCACAGACAATTGCTAGCAGGCTTGCTCAAGATCAACCAGCACTCTTCTCTCACCTGAACAAGGGAATTGTCCAAAAATGGCTGGACAAGGAAACGAAATGTGGTTGGTCATTGGTGACAATTCAAAATGTCAAACAACATTATGCGCTGGCAGGATCGGGACAAATGGGGGTGCTTGCGAAGTACCCAGCAGTTGTAAAGGAGATTACAGACACATTATGAGGTTTAAGGACATCTGGTGTTCCTGTCAGTGTTGTTGTTGCTTGGTCAATCATGCTCGCTGTGATCCAGAAGCACGAACCAGGCTTACTCACTGAATTTAAATGTTCAGAGGTGCATTACTAACCATGACATTCATGGATGCTACTCACATCATTCTAACAGAAATTTGTTCAGTCGTTCTTCAAGAGTGTGTTGAACTGGAGTCTGAGGAAGGGAACACGTGCAGCAGCCCATCTTCCAGCTGATGCCGAAGAAACCTGCGAAGAATGTTTCTTTCGGTTGGTCTACATCATGAAATGGCACAATGTACCTCCAAAGGTATGTAAATTTGTTGATACTATTGTCTTGATACAATCTTGATGGTCCTCATACATGTAATAGCTCATGGTTAATTTTGACCAAGTAGGCTGCTATCTCTTACCAAATAGCAGTACCACATTTCATGAGCGAGGCTCCAAACAAGTGGTATTGTAGCTAAGGATGAAAAATGTGCTTATTCACTACTTGTAACCAGCACTGCAGATGGTGATTTCTTGCCATTTCAACAAGTTTGGGCAGGTGCATCCGAGCGTTCATTGCCATCACATAATGCTCACGGCATGAATGGTGCAATTGAGCATGGATTTCATTTTGCATTTGTGAAAAGTGATAAGAAAATGAGCCACTACAGTACATTGAAGACCATGCAAGAGGTGAATCCTGCTTCTTCATTGATTTCGACTCACTAATGACCTCACTGCTAGTGGATCGAGAACATCCTTGAGCCATGGAGAAACATTGTCATTGAGGCAGATCCCAATCTTGATGATGACCAGCATGCAATTGTCTACCTCAACTGCTACCTAGTGCACACCAGCCAGGATTTTCGTGCATATGTTTGGGAGAAGTATCCATGTGTGTTTCTATGCTTCGTACCTGCAAGTTGTGAGTGATATTTGGTTCAGGATGTGGTGGTACTTATGTAGCTTTCCAATAGGTACAGGAAAGTTCCAACCTGCTGACGTCAGGCTGAACAGGGTGATCAAGCACCATCTCAAGCAAAACCAAGTGAATTTTCTTGTTGAAACCCACAACAGTCAAATCTCTTGTGGACTCATTCCTGAGCAAGTAAAATTTACAACATCACTGCCAGTGCTACAAGACACATCAGTTGCAGCTCTTGTTGATGTTTATGACTTCATGATGAGTGCTGCAGGACACGAGTTGGTCAAAAAGGTGCATAACAATGAAAATTTGCTTCTTCAATAACTAAAAACACTCGCAGGGATGGGAAAGGTGTACTGCAAAGGAATGTAATCTTTCAGGAGACTGCCTAACAAGCAAGCGATCTTGCACAGCTCTAAATACATATCTCCATACTCACAACTCACTTTGCAAAGAGATCGAGAACCGAACAGGTACAGTTCATGATGACAGCGAAGAATCATTGGAACATGTCGAAGAGATGCAAGAAGATGACTCTGATGTTCCTTTGAGTGCTGTGATCAATGATGCACTTGGGATATCAATTGATAAAGCTTACAACCTGGGGTATGTGGTTTCGGAAGTCAAGCAAGCTGCAGATCAGACTCTGATGGCAGCTGGAGATGCGGAGGACATCTGGGCTTGGAATAATGGGGTGAAAAACTTCCTACAGTATCAGCTGATGAGCCTTGGTAGTAGCAATTTTTCATACTAGCATGACATATAAACCAGTTAGCAACTTGACCTCTGTGATGTGTGACCCGGGGCAAATTAGCAACACAACCAGCTCTGTGTGATGTGTGACAAAACGACCGATCTCGGTGAACAATTTCGTAAGTTTAAGGCGACAGTGTGCACTGCGTACAGCACCCAGGAGCTCGATCATGAGGTTGATGCGTGGTCTCGTTGGCAAGCAAAGGACGCAGCTAAGCAGACGGAGACAGGCAAGGCGAATGGCATTGGGTGAGGAACTGCAGCAAGTACCAATGCTAAAGGGAAACAGAAGGCCAGTGCAGAGCAGTTGCTGGATACACCCTTACCAAGGCAACCGAGGAGAAAGAAGTCATTCAATCTTCAGACCTACAAGTTTCATGCGCTGGGGGATTATGTGACTTCCATCCGTTGCTTTGGAACCACAGATTCATACAGCACAGAGCCAGTAAGCCATAATCTACTGCCCGTCCACCCTCTAACTCAACTGCTATTAGGGGGAGTTGGAGCACCGCATGCCGAAGGGTAGATACCGCCGAACTGATCACAGAGCATTTGTTCAACAGCTAACTCAGATTGAGCGGCGTCAAATGCGCTTGCGCTGCATTAAACAACAACAGCAACAACGGGCTTCTCATGCAGAGTCAAATGAAACCATGAGCGATCCCTGGCTACACCACCACATCGGCCAAAGCGAGAAGCTTTACGATGAAGTTGGTCATTACCTTCGCAGTCATGCAGGAGATCCTGCTATGAAGATAGCTGACCTTCTTAGAATTTATTCATTGTCGTTCTGACATGCGTCTTAGGACTTCCTGCCACGGTTAAAAGACCATATTCTGGACCGTATTGGCCTGGGAGCTTCTGGACCTTCTATGGAGAAAGCCACCCATACCGCTGAAGAACGTGCTTCCATTCTCTTTAAACATAACAGAATCTATCACCACAACCTGGTGAGGCTCAATTATACAACTTACGATGTTCAAAGGGCTCAAGACGTCATCAATCCGAGAACCCCTCATTGCAACATCATGCTGCTCCAACATGATGATGGGTGCGATGGTCACTACCATTATGCCAAGGTCCTCGGTATACACCACATCAACATTGTTCGCGCCGGGAATGTGTATGAATCTCGTCAAACAGAGTTCCTTTTCATGCGGTGGTATGAGTCTGTACAAGACCATGCATGGGAAACGCATAATTTGTGCTGTGTTCATTTCCTGCCTCTAGCGAATCTGGGAGCATTCGGCTTCGTGGACCCGGGTGCTGTGCTGAGGGCATGTCATATTATTCCAGCTTTCTCTCGAGGCCAGCGCAACTTGAATGATGGGATTTCTCCTGTAGCAGGAGATAAACACGATTGGAAAGAGTACTACATTAATAGGTGAGTGATTCTGTCCGTTTTTGGCCATGTCTGCTGATTTTACAACTCTATTAGTTTTGTTGATCGTGATTCTGATTCATGACGCCCTCATGAGGTTTCATTTTGGCCTCAGGGTAGGGCACGTTTACTCACATAGTGCGGGGGTCTTAGAAGCTCGTAACTCCACACCACAACATGCCGGCCAGACAAGCGCCCAGGTGCAAGACGAATGTATTGAAGACAACCCAACGGAAATCACCCAACCACCTGACAGAAAGCGGGATGAACAGGATGAAGAGGGCGATTACCTTGGCATCGAGGAGCCGTGTTTTTTTGGGCCGGAAAGGAATGCAAGCACAGAATCGATTGTCGAGGCGCTAGGTGAGATATTCATGGACTGCACCCTCAATTATGATTACGAAAATTAATGTTACACTACAGCACAATCTGATTTCCTGGCCGGCCTTAATGTGAAGTATGTGTTACATTACTCAATGGGCACAATTTTAATTACTCATGGACTGCCCACCACGTCTGCCCACCGCCTTGCCCACCGCTCCTGCCCACCACACATTCCTAGCTATTCGCTTCTGACCATCCATGATTTCTGGCCATTGGTAATCCATGGCTAGTCTTATAATCAATGACCGGCCTTCATTTGTTGTCAATTCACTTGCCTACTACCCTGATCATGGATAGCGTTCCCTCAATGTCCAATGTGTGGCTATACATGCCACAATGCACTTCCATCCTTTGCCTCATACAACTCGCTGTAGGTAGACTCTGTACTATGAACCATCCACTGAATTTTTCCCTCTAGAGCGAACCGGTTTGTCACCGTCCATCAGCCGTTGTTTCCTTTTAACCTGCAATTTCAGCATCCGTTTGTCACTTTTACTGGGGCAGAATTCATTCTCATTGGTTACCTGGCCGACTACGACCACATCTACCCCATCTATGTGAGTTTTACCTCAAATCACTAATTATCTCATCGTGTTGTTTTGTTCGTAGTGTGACAAAATATTCAAGGATGATCAGCCTTGGATTCATGTACTTCTACAAGTTGGAACGCTAGTTGTCCCCGGCGAGGGGGATATCAACTATATCCACAATTTATTTGCGACAATGGTGAGAACTTCGCCGCCCCAGACAGTTCACTTATGCAAGTACAAACTTAGGTGGAGAGTGGTGCCTATGTCCAGTCGATCAATTCTACCTGTTGCAGACCAGGTGTCAAAGGTTTAGCTCTCCCTTCATGGTTGGTGAGTTTTGTTCCTTAGTAGTGGTTGTACATGGCTTCTCATGTCACATTAATAGCTTTCAGAGTTGAATGGATCAGTACAATTACATCATGCCCCATTTCCATTGGGATATCTGCCCCCCAAGTGTCTCATTGTCGCTGATTCGTGTGCTGTAGAGACACCCACCTTTAGCACATCTATGCAATTTCCATCGGGACATTCGCCCCTTGAGCACTTTGATTTTGCCGATCCAGTCCTTCCATATGCTATGGAGATGCCTACCTTTAGCATGCCTGCGCCAGGTTTGGATTGCACTGATTTTACAAATAGTGACTTCAACTTCTACGACCAATCCACTGGCTATTCTGCAAGCGGTGTTGACGAGCAACTCACTCTAGAGGAAACAAATGAAATACAACTCGAGCTGGCCTTTTATGAGCAACCACAGGTCGTGCCTCCCAGCCTAGAGTGGAGAGACTCCATCAGTACCATGGACAGGGTGAAACGCACACAAATATTTCATTTCATGAGGAGGTCACCCTGGAATCGAATCATTACACTCACAAAGTGCCTGTTTGTTGGCGGTTTGTGGACAGGAGCTTCTGGAAACCCGTTTCGAATTTCTGCGACGAACACGCGACGTTTGATAACGAATTGTTTTCTCACTAGTTTAGACATGGCTCAAAAGACCTATGAGGCCATGGAGTCCCAACCAGGTAGGCGCCTTGCATCTTGGACACTACATTATGAGTCGCTATCTTACAGTTTGATCAGTGATCGCAAAGATCTCAAAGACTGAAACCATGTCTGTCGGATGGCCTGTGCTTCGCTTAAGTGTATGTTTTCTCTCGTCCTTGCATTTGCTTCCTCCAAGGAACTAATTTGAGCAGCTGGCCAAGTCGTTCTCCAGTGCTAAATCGGACCTAGGAAAAGTCCTGAAAGGCGTGATGTCAGCACACCCTGACTTTGCCACCAAGATGAGCCAGAAGGCTATCTCCTTCGTTCTGATGTTTAACTCAGGCAAATCCTCTCAGGTAAGAGACTGGAGACCAACTAGCCTAATTCGACCTCAAGTGTTTTGTTATCCAGGTCCAGCAAGCGATTTCAGACCTCATAAGTCACCAGATATTTCGAGAAGTTCTGTGGGTGTCCCTTTTGTATCCCGTCGAAGGGTTATCGGATGGAAAACGCGACGGAAGGATCGGTGACCTTTTTCCAGAAGAGGTTCTGTCAAGCTTCAATTGTTTAGCACAACACCTGGTTGGAAATTTAATGACTTTCGCAAGTCTTTCCTCCCTTTATCCTTTTGTATTGAATTAACAGAAGTTGTGTCAATATATCAGATTTACCATACTCTACTTCTCATCATGAAGGATGGAAAGAAGAAGAGGAAGAAGAAGACCAAGAGCGAGGCCAAGGCCGGGGTCAGGAACGAAGTTGAGGCCGAGGTCAAGGTGGACACCGATATTGACATTGTGAATATCCTGGAACCAGCGCCAATGAATGACATTATCATGACGGCTCTGGACCATATGTATGACCAACCACACATGTTTCCAGCATTCTCGGAGGCCGTGAGGAGTCTCCCCTTCATAATGTAAATTTCATCTGCACATTGTTTTACCTAGCTCATCATGATCTACATTTAGGAGTACTAATGTTCTGCAGATCGCTGCAAAGTCGCGACATGCGAAAAGCACTATCTCTGACACCACTGGTGACAGGCGAATGAACTTGGAAGACATTCAGCCTATCATTATTCAGCCAATCCCCACTGGTCAGTTTGGCGCACTTCCCAATAGCGACGGCTTCAGTTCCCCGAGGTCTCTGAGAGTTGTATGGGACTTGCCTATTTCATTATTCACACACAAGTAGATAGGATGTACGGTGCCACTTTCAATTCGTATGCTGAATCCATGTATAAAATGTCTTTATAGAGCTGAGACCTTTGGAGCAGAACTTGAACTTCCCTCCTGTATGGCCAGAAAGCCGCAATCCTATGCATTACTACTAGTACTAGGCTAATTGGCTGACTAGCATACGCTAATGGTGAGGGATGGCGATACTGCATAAATATTAGAAGCATACTGTAACTCTCGTTTGCCGACTGCATCTAATTACAAACAGCCATCACAAAGTCAAGCTCGTACAGCGGGTGACCACCATTTTGGAGAGATGCAAGACTTCCTTCAAGTGTTTATCTGCCGACTATCACAGTTGTGAGACCTACAAAGCTTCATCAGAATTGGAGTTCTCCTGCAATTTATTGTTGTTTGACGTCGTGATGCTGATGCTTTTACATTACTTTGTCTTTGGATATAATCTGCGCATATTTGCTTTGGTTTTGCCAAAAATATCTATTAAAAACATCTCCAGCCCGATTCCATGATGTCACTACCGTCAACCTTCAGAAAATGGCACAGCTCATTCTGAGCACCATACCTGTTCAAGTATTTGAAGATCATAAAACACGTGTATCCACAGTCGCAGTTTGCAAATTTCAGACCATCACACTGTTCAATGCAAATGAACATGAAGAGGCAATGCAGCGCGTCGAAGAGCTGGCTACATGTCCTGATGCCGATCTACTTGCTTGCCACATCGTAGAAGTGAGTACCATGCACTCAATCATGCCCAGGTCCATGTGCTGGAACTGATTCTACCCTTCGCACATCAGGCATATCTACATGTCCAACTTGGAAGCATTGCCTTGGATGACACGTGCTACAACGAAGCTATTGATCACTTCACTGCCGCCATCAACACTAGCGCTTACTTCCATAAAATGGAAATTCATTCGATGTACGAGGAATTTGCTGTGGTACATTGATATACCGAATATTCTTTTGATACTCAACCGAGTATTCTTTGCAGCTCTTTGGCCGGGACCTAAAGTCCAAACGAAGCGTGCTAGATGCTGACTCGCCACGAGTGCTTACTCCGTTACCACCAGAGCAACTGTGCATATTATGGTAAGAACTCTTTGTTACACCTCATGGAACGATTCGGGGCACCTTATCTTTGCATTCAGACCCCAAAAACTTCACGAGATTTTTGCCAACGGCTCGAGAGTTCGAACCGGTTCTGAACTTGAACCGAACCCTTGTGAACGCGTTCGCGGGGGTCCTGTCCAAGGTTCGGCCTCCTGCCTGAACTGGACCGAAGGTTCGGTTCTGGGTTCGACAAAACACCCTCAAGAACCGGACCGAACCGGACTTCGGCAGCACTAATATTATTAGGGGGCGCTTCATTCTATCTGGCAAAGAAAGTCAACCCCGAAATAGTTCGGATCGCCGGCCGATGGAAGTCGTTGGCATACGAGACTTACATCTGCGCATTTGAATAAATCTCCTCCTAGCATTTGGCTAATGCCACGTCTCTCTGACCATCGCCTCCACGTTTTTGGTTGGGCTACGCAGCTTTGAGCCGCGGGTCGTTCCGGCTCGTTGGGTGAGCGGCTCCACCTGCTTGCGTCCCATCCCGAGCTAACGCCCGGCCTAGCCCAACCTAATAGATCGTGTCACCGACTCTCGAGCCAGTCGAAGCTGGACCGATATTTAACTTGTTCTTGACTGGCCTCATTATTATGTACCACTGTAAGCAAGTCAGTCATCCATATGAGCTTCCGTTGGGTCAGATTTTCAGGATCTTACAAGTGACGTGGAATTGCAACACGTACTTATTTTATGATAGACTTTCGCAATGATCCCATTTGCCATCCGTCGGAAGCTGTCGGAAGGTGCCACGAAGCCCGCGGTAATAACTAACATTATAGCAGGTCTATGTATACTATATTATGTATTGCGCTTTCTCGCTCACGACGTCTTCATTTCCAACGCTCCTGCAAGTATGATTGTCTCCGGCTTGTCGTTGGCGACTCTTGCAATATTAGTGGGTTCTGTGGCTGCACTTCGCTCCTTGAAGCTCTTCTTGGACTTTCGGCGGCTACTCGGGAGCATTCAGTGAGTTGGCTAGCTTCATCGAACTACATAATGTGAATGACTTGTTCCATGCAGCCACCTGCCAGGATACCGAACAATTCTTAGTTCAACAACTGTGATCGCAAACATGCTTCCACCGACGCCCTGGTTGACCTTAGGTCATGATTGTATTTGGCTGCTGAAGCATACCCGTACGTCGAATGTCTTTAACTCTCTTGGTCTCCTTTCCCCGATTAACGTAGATTATGGAAGCTTTCGCAGAGGGGGGCCTCGATATAATTTCCGCTGTGAGTTGGGCGCGAAACCATAATTGTGTCAGAGGCTCATAGATGTAGGTGGCATGTTGGCCTAAAGCGACGGGATCGCTTTGGATAGCAGATGTCAATATAATCAAGGTATGTGGTGCTGTCTACGTCGACCTTGATAGCATGATGAAAAATTGATCGATCATACCAAAGGATATTGTCTGGTCTCGTGGAGCGCGCTTCCCGAAACCTCTAGACCAGTATACCCCCTTGACATTCTTCGGAAGAAATATTGTTGCTTCCGAAGGCGACGAATGGAAGCGTTACCGCAAGATTGTCGCACCTGCGTTTTCAGAAGTTCGTGACTGGTGTCCATGTGTCAAATTGGAGCTATCCTAACTTACAATTTTGAAGAGGAATAACAGATTGGTCTTAGAGACAACAATGCAGATCATGGTCGATCTTTTTGATACAGTATGGGCCGGACGAGATGAGGTGGTTGTAAATCACGCCGTAGATTTGACTTTGCCAGTAAGAATTCTTGACGTCACCTACACGCTTCTTTAATTTCATTCGAATCGCTAGATCGCCTTGTTCGTGATCGGCGCTGCAGGTGAGCATCTCAGCGTTATCAACAAGTAACTGTCGATACTGAACTCATTACAGGCTTTGGCCGCCCTATATCCTGGAAAGAGGACGCTGTGATCCCACTCGGACACCAGCTGACTTTCAAAGATGCCCTCCACACAGTGACACAAGACCTTTACCTTAAATTATTAGTACCGACATGGGCCATGGGACTCACTAAACGTTTTAGGCATGCAAGACTTGCATTCGATGAACTGCATGTCTGTACTAGTATGCTGAACACTTCACATCTTAATGACCCAGTTTTTTTTATAGCAATACCTTACTGAGATGATTCAAGAACGTCAAGGGTCCCAGCACCAAGAAGATAATAGCGATATATTATCTAGTTTGTTGGCAGCAAATGACGATGAAAAATTGTCACAGGGCGAAGTAAAGCTAAGCGACAGCGAACTAATCGGTAAGCTACGATTTCAGACACTGCAGCAGGACATGGCGACATTGTTCGGCAGGCAATACTTTCATACTTTTGCTCGCGGGTCACGAGGTAATCCATCCCTTCAACCCTTTTCCCTTACGCTGACAGCTCACAGACCACAGCACATACATTGGCTTTTGCGTTCGGACTGTTGGCTTTATATCCCGAAAAGCAAGAGGAATTGTACCAGCACATCAAACGAGTACTACCTGATGGAAGACTTCCTGTATGAACCACAGATAGCTACACAGTCAGGCTTACAATGTTTTCGACAGACTTACGATGATATGCCGTCACTGGCCTACTCGTCTGCGTTAGTTTACCCCTGGGTCGACTTGGCCATGGGCTGACATTGTGGCAGCGTGTTTAACGAGACACTACGGATATTCCCCCCTGTATGTTGGTCTAGCAGATATCACTGAGCGATTTATTCACTTCAGGTGCAGGTCTCCACCGTGCCAAAGTCAAACGCGGAAGACACGACCTTCACCCTCACAGATGCCCACGGGACGAAGAGAACGGTCGCTGTACCTCGAGGATTTGCTCTTGCGCTGAACATATCTGGGCTTCATTATAACCGTAAGATAATTGCCAAATGGAAAAGAGGTGCAATAGCGAGCTGACGCATGATTACAGCTAAGTACTGGGAAGATCCATACGCGTTTAAACCTGAGCGATTTTTGGGTGACTGGAATCGGGACGCATTCCTCCCCTTCAGTAGTGGTAAGTAGCTTGATGCTTTGCTTGGAAACAACTTGAAGACGCTCAAACCAATGAAGGTTACAGAGCATGTGTGGGACGAAAGTGAGCGTATTGACATTGGTCTTGGTCATTCATTTGAATTTGTTCAGGTTCTCGGAAACGGAGGGAACGGCTGTTCTGACCGTTGTACTTTCGCGATATACCGTTTCAGTCAAGGATGAGCCGCAGTTTGCTGGTGAAACATTTGAGCAGCGTAAGACGAGAGTACTTGACGCGCGAAGTCGGCTCACTCTAGCGTACGTTAAACGTCTGCTCCTGAAAGGTGACAAGCTGATGCTGTTTAGACCAACCCGCCTTCCTCTGGTGTTCAGACGAAGAATTTGAAGAGGAGACTTGGTAATAGTATACACGAGATACAACACAATATACGTTGAGCTTTGGTTTGACTGTACGAGTGACTTACGACTACTCTTCACTTTGGCATCTCCAAGACTATCCTGCCCGCTACTTTGCCTTGTGTGAGTGCGTCATAGGCCCTGTGAATCACGTCAGTTACGGATCCTTACAATTGTCATCTACTCACTCCTTGAGGTCAGAAAGACCCTTGCATTCGTACTTCACTACAACCCTGCCACTCGATGCGATCTCCAGAGCCTCAACGGCGTCCTGACGATTACCAACATATGAACCAATGATGTTGATGCTCTGACAATTCCTGAATGAACAACAGTACACTTGTTCTTCACAGACCTACCTACCTTGAAGACGGTGAAAAAGATGGACGCCTCTAGCTTTGCTTCACCCGGTAGCCCTACCGCCATCAGCGTTCCTCCAGGTCGAAGGTAATCGACAGCTTGAGTATAACCAGATGAATTTGCAGTGGTGACGACTGCACAGTGTGCTCCCTCGCCACCACATGCCTCTCGGACAGCCTGGACAATGTCTTTTGCCTCTTGGAAATCAATCCATTTTTCGGCTCCAAGCTCTATGCACAGTTTCTTTTTCTCGCTACCAGTGTCTGAATGCAACGATATCAGTCTCCTCACAAGTATGAGTGGGTTGATGTACCTATCGCCACGACACGGAGGCCCATGGCCACCGCATATTGAACCGCTACTCATGAAGTCAGTGGTTGGCCAGTTAATATCAGCTACAAGCGGGACTGACCGAGATGACCGAGTCCACCGCCCGCACCAGGCAAGACAACCCAATCGCCGATCTTTGAGTGGCTGTATTTGAGAGCTCTGTACACGGTGACTCCCTGAATGCAGCATGTGAGTGAATGACAATTGAGTGGAATGGTTATAACCTTACCGCACAGAGTACCGAGGCTGCAGCATTGCTGTCTAAATTTTTGGGAATAGGGGTAACATGATATACGTAGGAGACCTATCAAAGTCAGCGACACATTCTAGAATGCATGCTAGGGCTGACATACTGTATACTGTGCAAATGTCCCGTCAACGGTGAAACCGCTTAGTTTTGCCTTGGGACAGTCTGAATGTAGTATTAATCATTTATCCAAAGTCCAATCGCTCAACTCACTTTGCTCTCGTCCATTGCGGCATTGCTCGCAGTTCAGGCAAGAGTACGCAAGCCACTTGATGCCGACGCGGTCACCGATCTTCACAGGAGATTCACTGGTGTTCTCCCCAATGGCAACGATCTCCCCTACACCTTCATGCCCGCCAACAAGAGGTGTGTTGGCGTGAAGCGGCCAATCGTCCTTGCTGGCATGCAAGTCTGTGTGGCAGACACCAGTGCAGAACAATTTGACGAGGCATTCGCCCGGGGCGAGGTCAGAAGGTTGCTTGACCGGGTGATCCTTCCTGATTTCAAGAGCAGCTCCATGAGACGGCACGACTGCAGCGATTTGTGTCTTTGGGATGTTCTCCATGATTGTAATGATTGAGTGGGAATATACTTATCAGTGAAGGCTCCTGATCGCGGTATATAAAGGGGTTCGCGGCAAGACCTGACTATGATCCGACTTGTTCTTCACTGTCATATGACATCAGTTTGGTTACGCCCAGAAAAGCCTAGAACTGCGCTGGAACGAGTTCATCGCAGCTCGACCGGGCTAGATTTCTCTGCCTTGAAGCACTGCAAACTTACTTCCAAATAGAGCAGCCACCAAATCGGGTAGTAATACCAATCCAGTATATCATGTGCCTTGTTTTGGCAGACGTCGACCACCACGGACTGAACGACTACTCGGTGCTAAGTAATCGTATACCAGAGCCGTGACACTCATTCGTATCATGTCGACCGACCCATATCATACAGTCCAGCAGGAGATCCAATCTTCGCTCCAGACGGCGTCGACATTACGCTCTTCGTTCCTGCGAATCCGCAGCCTCGCTCGGGAAGGGAGTGAAGAGCTCGTATTGGCCCGAAACGAAGTGAGGCTCTCCTTAACACACTCTTCGAACACAAAGCTAACACCGGTGCGCAGTTGAAAGCTACGCTTGCCGCTCTGGAAACAGACTTGGAGGCTTTGGAAGACAGCGTCACGTGGGTTGGGATGATAGTTTGTGTTCAAGATGCTGAGTATTTTTCGCAGGATGGTGGAGGACACGGGACCTAGATATTTTGGACTGGATGATGCAGAGGTCTCTGAGCGGCGGAAATATGTGGGTCGTATACGTCGTGAAATCGAGGTTCGTCACAGGGAGCCTGAAGCACGCACACCCTGACTCAGATGACCAACCTAAGGACAGGGTATGAGGGCGGACGTCGAAGGGCGAAATGTGGGTAACTTTTTCTAACAGATATGCAGTTCCTGATAGGTCATTAGTTGCCATCTGCAGGGAAATCACCATCAACTCCCCTTCAGTCACAATCATCGCTGCCCAGTGGTTCACGGTCTCCGTTAAAACAAGTACCTAGCTCGCAATCAGGAGAGCATGATGATGAGCAGGCAAAGTGGGCTCAGGAAGAACAACAAGTATGTTTTCATTTGTTCATCTTATAAGATGGAGACGGACTGCCAAACTTGCCAAAGTTGTTACTTCAGGAGCAAGACCGTACCATGGATTCAATATCAGGAACCTTGAATACCCTTGCCCAACAAGCGGGCCTGATGGGGCATGAGATTGGCGAGCACGTTGAGTGAGTTATGCTTATTCGCTACCCTCAGTGGTTCATGCTAAGATATTCGCCCAGAATGCTTGACGATCTTGAGGCAAATGTAGAGCGGACAGATTCCAAGCTATCGAATGCAATGCGAAGGATGAAGAAATTTGTACGAGACACAGAAGGCAAGTCTGTGTTGGCTTGGTGTTGTTGCGACATACTGATGTTCTCGGAACAGAAACAAAGTCAGGGTGGTGTATAACTATCCTAGTGGTGGTGCTGCTTGCTTTATTATTGGCGGTTATTCTCTTGTAGGAGCCGCGGGATTTCCGCACGATACCCTAGTCTTACCCTGCTGATCACTGCGACATCCTTGCTGGCGGAAGTTCAACACTCGTGCTTAGTATAAAATGGGCTGAAGGTTCAATCAGCAAGAAGGGCGAAAGCACGCAGCGAATTGCGCTTTTAGGCCGAGCAGTGAGTCATAGGCTCAGAGTTGCGAGGGCGGATAAGACTTGGGTGGAACCGCCTCGCTGTGACCAGTTTACTTCGAGCATGACACGATTCGATGAAGTGCGACTTCCGGATTTCCTCAATTGAGATTAAGAGCCACTGCATCCTCCGCATCACGCATGTTCCCATTCAAATTGCACTGCAATGTGAACAATTACCTCCCGAACTTGCATATCGGCAGCCGCCACTTCAAGGTCTAAGTAACTATGGTTCTCGATTTGTCCAATTCCTCTGACAATTATATTCATACATGGCCTCGGCACTATCAAGCAAGCTAGTACGAAGTCGGCTCGATACGCCCCAACAGAAGGAAGACAACCGTTCCTTCTAAGTATACCATATCAAGGAGAAGCCCCGAGGAGCTTGGGACGATAAACTCAAGGGACTGGTCCTAGTAGGTTGTAACCTGCTGTGATATCAGTCTTGTAACGTTGAGCGCTCGTCACTACCTCTCGTTTCTACTTGGATGTAAAATCCATATATCGAAGTTCCTCCGTAGTTCAAGTTGCTGTTTGTCCATTTTACCATCCTTATCCTACGTACAGACTCGTCAGAGATATCGCCCCAACGTTGGGTTATCGAGTCGAATTTAAGTTTCTCGAAGTCGAGGACTCTTCTCAAATGAAGTTCCAGATTAAAACCAGGTGTTCTAGATAGCTAAACACTTCCAAACTCCGCGACGAAAGCTACACGCAAGTACTGTTTATCAGAATCGGTCTGCGTTGTGGAAAACATGGACTCTAGATTGTGCGAGACGTTTCGAAACTAAGACGAAAATCTAGGATTTCAAATCACTCCGTTCTGGGGCCGGCGCCATGATGGCCCGTAGTCCTCGAAATGAGTCATTAGGGCACCACTGGGCCGCAGAACAACCCACAAAATCCCATACCTAGCCAGTCTAGAGAAAGTCTGACTTGTACGGCGTGCTGGATTATGATATGATGCACGTTGCCGTCGGTTCACAGTGACATACGGACGATCTATCTTGCCACATGATATCCACGTTCGCCCAGAACGCAGTGAATGCTGCAAAGAACCCTCTGATTCTAGCTGAGAAACACCAGAGCCTGGGGAAATTCATCCATAAATTCATCCATCGATCCATGCACGAAGTTCCACGCATACGTAGGAACGAAGGTGATGACGACAATATATATTTGCAATACTTTTGCATCGGAAATTTAAGAAGTCCAAAAACTGGGGGGGTTCAGCGGTCTTTGGCCGGAGAACAATACAAATGAGGTTTTCCACATAGATTTGACAGAAATCCTTGGCTGATTAAGTATCGACGAGCTTTGCGAAGGGAGCCGAGCAAAGACAAATGGAAGGTGACGCTGGGGAATTCCTTAGTTGGTCCATTGTGATCACGATGAACTCAATCTGCACGGGGAACGAGGAATGAAGTTGATTGGCTGACTAGTACGCTACCGAATCCCTCCGAGGAGCTGGCGAAGTTCCTACTATACGTAATATCTGAACATATCAAAGGAGTAAGAATATTGAAACTGAGGAAGAGAAATAGGTAAATTTAGCAAGGGCTCAGGGCTCAGCTGCTGCCTCAGGCCTCAGGCGTTGTCACATAGGTGGCTGTAGTTATATTATATACACACCGCTGTGAAACGGATTAATATTGTCTCGGGCCAACCAGCGGTCGAATAATAAATCAAACATGACGCCGGCAACCTTGCTTGCAGAGCAGACTCAAACTCAAACTTCTTTCGATCATGTACTATCGCTGCGAAGCTCTGCTTGCTATCAATGGAAGCCATCATTTGTTCCTCATGTTGCAAGTCGCTTGACTCTACTCATTATTGTCTTCCGAGAAATCCTTTAGCGTCCAGTCAGCCCGCTGGATCTCATCAAAAATCTTTCAACTTCTTTCAACCCGGCGTTCGGACTAGATGCATGGCACAGCTACACCCGACCACCGCCGCATTCATACTCATACACCACATCCAGCCAAAGGGTCCAACGATAACAAACCCTCTTGTTTGAGAAAAATATATATTACTCGTAAGCAGAGGAATAACTACGACTGTTACGCACCTAAGCCCAATGTATAATTATAAAGCGCCACCCGCTTCTTTAACCTCCTGGTCAACCGCATCTGCCAGATCACCTAAGGTTTCGAACCTCCATGTCCACAAGCCTTGCTCCTTCATATCGGCTCTGGCTCCAATGGAATTCTTCTCATGGCGCGAAATCCACACGCTATTGAGGTTGCGAAGATTTGCGGGCTCTATATCATGTAGAAGCGAATTTGCTACTACAAGCACGTCGTGTGACTCCACGGCCCAGGGAGGGCTGGGATGCGGAAAGTGGGAGTGTGGCGCAGACGACACTTGCTGGAGTGCAGTCTCTAGCGCCCTTGAATCTGGTTTATACGCATTAATTTGCTGAGCGGTGAGGATGAGTGAGAAGGGGGAGTCTGGGGTCACGGTTGGGTATCTGCCCTCGTGAGCTTCGTAAGTTTTAGATTTCAGCAACTCATGTGTGCCATCGAAACTTCTGTTATCCACGTTGGAGAGAACGACTAGCGCAAAGTGCTCCTTGAGTCTGTGGAGGGCTTGGACGGTGTCTTCAAAAGGCTGCCACGTGTGTATGGAAGCCCCGAAGCGGTCAGTATCACTTGTGAGTGGCATCGAGGAAGCCGCATCTAAATCTTGCTGAGGAACCGCTGAACTAGATGCGCCAATCGCCTCCCCTGCTTCTGTGACTGCAGCTGTTCCGCCGCAACCAAGACTCGTGTCAGCTTGACCGCTAAGCCGCATCCAAGCGAGATCGAGGATCTTCGAGTACGCTACACTCTGATCTTTCATCTGAAGATCCAGCTCTGTAGCAGCATATTTCTTCAACACCTCCTCTCTTGGAGTATCCTTTGGGAAGAGCGGTTTGAGACTATTGTATATTCCAGTTTCCCAGTCAATGAGTGTCCCATAAACATCAAAGACCAGGACTTTGTGAGACGTTAATACGAGTTTGGGCCCCATCGATGGTTGGTGGCGAGTCGTGTGCCCTAAAATCGGCTATCGGTATCTCACACTAGTTTACAGGGGCCGAAAGGCTTTACGACGACCCGCCACGTTTAATATGATATTGAGGTCGTGTGCCGGAAATTGGACGCGTCAGAAGTGCCAGATAACCAACCTTGGGCTTCAGCCGTTTTGAAATTGGGATACTAAAATTTGGTCAAAGCTACCCACAGAAGCGGCTGGCCGTACGGTTCCAGAGGTTTTTTTTGGGCGGTTGTACCTTTTTGCCACGGCCACAGGCTCCGAAAAGCTGTCGCCATACCATGTCATCCATAGACCCCCCGCTGTCTGACGCGGCAGTTTTGGCGACGTAAACCAATCAATTTACACCGTCATCGATTACATCCATTCTTGGCTTTTTGCCAGGATTTCGGTGTCCATAAGATCTCAGATGCCAAAGCTGGCTCCAATTCACGTTCCTTGAGCCTTTTATCGACTCGTTCGCACCTGTGTCACAGTCAGAAATTTCTACTTCTGTGTGGATCATACCCTATACGCTTCTCTAGTACGCGACTCGTTTTCCAGCATAACGATCAAGTTCTTCAGCTCATTACAGTACAGTCACTATGAAGTTTGCACGGTGAGTCGGATCCCGACCTCCAACGCCTTTATACCGCAACGCATCAATTGTACTCATCTCGTGCGACTTCTTTTTGACCGCAGATACCTTAATGATACCCAAGTCAGTCCGTCAATTCGGGCTAACCGGACTTATATTGGTGATGCATGTACTGAATGAAATCTTGTTGCAGACTCCCGAGTGGAAAAAGGCATACATGTGCGTCTCAGCTCTGCGTGTGCAGACTCTACATGTTTATACACGCATCGATTGATCACCTCTACTAACGTCATCTTACCACGGTTTTGTTGCAGTGATTATCGTTGCTTGAAGAAATGTATTGGTGCAATACGTGCAGAACAGATTGCCAGGCAGAACTCCACTGGAACCACAGATGTTGATCAAGTTAATAAACAAGCCATAGAACTTGAACAGTATAACAGTGTGTTGGCTATTCTGAATAAACTCTTACCAACTCATCTCACCTCAACACTCTCTTTAGAGCAGTCGGTCGCTCCAGAACATGATGCTACAGCTGAAGGGTCGACAACTCCTTCCGCCACCCGAATCCAGCGAATGGATGGCCAGATACGTGAGCAGTCTCAGCATCGTCTGCTAAGTTCTATTTAACGGAGAATTTTAACAGGTCCATCGCTCAGCATTACATTGTCTGGTATTTCGCCTCCACATCATCTTACAGGCTCGTTGTCACAAGCTCCGTCTCAAGAGACTCCATTACCTCCGAAGACTGCGCACTCGCCACCGATATTTCCCTTTTTTCGTGATACAGGTCAGTTCAGACGTTTTCAGTCTCTTGCGCAGAAACCTTACGTTGACCAACAGGTTCCGCCGCTCCTGCTGCCTTACATACACTTCTACCTCTACTACCACCGCTTCACGCAAATTTTTTTGAGCTATTAGATTCCGAACTGGAGAAGGTCGACTCTTTTTATGCCGAGCGAGAGAAGGAAATGCGAGACCGCAGTAAGCTGCTCAAAGAGCAACTCAATGAACTTGGGCTTCATCGCAAGAAGTACTATGTCAGTATCAGCGTTTCCTTCTACTTTTTTTTGGGCCATTCTAACTTCACATATGCAGGAATCTAATGCAAATACCACAACGCCGAGTTGGGCTGCACGAGCTCACCTGTCCCTGTCGGTGGCTTTGCCCGCCCTGAACCAATGTCATAGTCGCCGTCATGCGAATACCCCCAAGCACAATAATCAACCAGGGCTAGTAGTTTCTGAGTCAGGTCGAGGAGGTATGCATTTATTGTTGTCGCAATCGAAACAGACAACAGAACGGCCAGCTGATTTTAGTGCCTGTGGACACTGGCCATTCGATCACCACCGGAGATGGAGGAGCTTCCGATCGTAAAAACACGTCGCCGCCTCCTGTGTCTATCGGAGGTGAATCAACCAAAGTAACATCGCTCAGGAGCACTCATTCACCACCACCAACAAAAGCCCACGGGAATATCCTGCTGGGGAATGGTGGGTCCTTCAAACGCGCATCTAGCCCCCAGGAATACCAGAATGCGAAGAAACGTCTCAAGAAAGCTATTGTCGAGTACTACCGGTATGTCCCGTTTGCGTTCGCCGTTTTTCGGGAACTGTGCCACATGCTCTGTGCTGCGCTACTTTCCGATTGCGAGGAAAGATCGACGCTAAATTCCCCGTGTTGGCAATGCGGATCCTTCGTGCCAGCCTGCTTCTCTCCTTTCAACAACCACTTACTGACTTTCCTTGTCCAGCGGCCTCGAGGCACTGAATAATTACCGTGTAAGTGGCTGATCCCATCATGTTGGTTATCTTGACGATTGACGCTGCCGGCATTTGCATGCTAATGCCTTGACATGACCATCACTCTCGCGTCAAACTACATCCACTGGTCGCCTATCACTCATCGTGTTGCGCATTGATCGGCGGTTTCAAATTGAACAGATACTGAACCTCACTGGCTTCCGCAAAGCTCTCAAGAAGTATGAGAAGATTACAAAGGTGCTTGCTCAAGCGGCATATATGAAGGAGAGGGTAAGCCTTTTCTGATACCCTTCCGTAACATATTTGGGAGTAAATTCCACTATGGTTAGGTCGAGCCCTCGGCCTTCGCCTCTGGCGCAATGGTCAGCTCAATGCTTAAAGAGATGGAAGAGCTGTTTGCCGCAAGGTTTGGTATGTCGCTCCAAGGTCCCGGTCTTTCTCTTTCCTCATATTATCGCAGAGCGTGGTGACAGGAAGAAAGCCATCACTCATCTCCGTGTTGGTGCGACCCAAAAATCCCATCATTTCAGCGCGTTTCGCACGGGTGTGTGGCTTGGGTTATCTATACCAGCGACGGTTGCCGGTTTGGTGACATGTATGCAATGTTTTCCTACTGATGACCGCAGTAAATCTTACGTCACTTGTAGGTCTGCATGACAATACCCGTGTCTTGTTACCTTCATGGGATATCTTACTTTTCATCTACTCCATTTTATTTATCCCCACGTTGCTCGCGTTGCTCGTTGGTTTGAACCTTGTCGTATGGGCCAGAGAAAGGATCAACTATGTGTTCATATTCGGTGCGCATAAGTTGACTTGTGTATCTACGTCACGCTGACCTTCTTGCGAAGAACTTGATGTACGATCTCGACTTGACCATCGAGAGTATTTCGAGGTATGTAGCCTTCGCGTTCTGTGGGGTACATTGATACAATTCCGCATTAGCTTCCTGCTTTCCTGTTATGTGCACTAGCACACTGCTTTATGCTCTCTTTCGTTCGAGTCGGTCCTCCGCTCATCTGGCCACTTGTGTGGCTTGCCCTTGTGATTATTGTCATGTTCAATCCCATGCCGGCAAGGTCGCATCATCTGTGTATATGATCCTAGCTCACATGTCTTCCGGAATGTGTAGAACTTCCTTTGGGGTCGTTCGCGATGGTGGCTTATCAAGAGCATTGCAAGACTAGGCGCCAGCGGTTTATGGACCGTTGAAGTACGTTTGTATCATGAGACGGGGAATATTTAATTGACGCGATTGACAGTTCACAGATTTCTGGCTTGGGTTAGTGATTGAAATTCCGCACTATTACGTCCTTCATCTCAGTCTTCACAGCGATCAGTTTTGCAGTCTCGTCTATAGCTTTTCGAACCTCTACTTTGTTGGGTGTTTCTATACCAAATACTTTCCTAGTGTTCCTTTCGACACCACTACATCTTCACCAGACTCTCATGGAATTTTCACGTCTGCATACGACCCAGCGGTTCAAGAAGCGTGGACCACCTGCGGGACGGAACTAAATTGGGGCGCTTACTTCGCATTTGCCATGTTGCCGTTCCTGGTGCGTTTCGTGCAGAGTCTCAGACGTTATGGGGATTCAAAGTTACCCACTCATCTTATCAATGTGAGTCTTGACTATCAAACGCAGGCATTCAAGAACAGCTTACCTCTTTTTGACGTGTAGGCCGGCAAGTACGGCATGGGTATTGTGTATTACTTCTGTTATTTCCTTTGGAGACGCGATGGTAGGCTGTTGTCCCGCGTTACTGCTCTCTTCTGACCTCCTTCAGGAGAAGCCAACGACAATACTACTTTCGTTCTCTGGTGTCTGTCAGCAATTATCTACACACTATATGGGTGTGCATGGGTGAGTCGATGAACAGTCAAGAGTGGTCACATTGTCAGCTTCACTTAGGACTTCTTCATGGACTGGTCCATCTGCAAACCTCGCGCTAAATATCCCCTCCTCAGGCGGGAGTTGGTGTACACATCGCATATTCCGGTGCGTTCTATCTCATACTGGGTAAAATGTTCCGACTTATCCTTCTATGCAGCTGTACTATGTTGCCCTGGTGAGCAGAATATATAGTTGTGGCTCGCTTCATTCTAGACAATAACTATAGGTCACGAACTTTTCTATTCGTTTTCTCTGGGTCTTCTATATACCCAGTTGGCAATACAAGTTTACTCTCCGGACGTTCATAGTTGGCCTACTGGAGATGTTAAGAAGGATACAGTGGAATGTCTGTCAGTATTTTTGTTTTATATCTTTGTTATCTAACTCGCTGAGCCTCAATGCCTGTCAGACCGTCTCGAGAACGAGCATCTTGGTAATATGGATCAATACCGAATTATACGCGAGGTTCCCTTGCCGTATTCGTTCGACAATCCTCAAGATGATGATGAGGACGATGAGACTGTTTAGGATGGATGTTGAGATAATCTGCGAGTCAGCTGAGAAAGAACATAGATCACTCTTGAGGCATCAATCGTACTAACTTAATTAGATGTGCATGATCTACTGGTAATAGAGACGGTCGACGTCGCGATATGCTGATTATGGACAAACGATGATATTTTATGCCACAGACGTGTCACATTCTAAGAGTCAGTGCTGTATGCATAAGCCCGCCGCTGCGAGCTGTGTTGCGTGCCAACAATTTCCAGCGTTTTATCGGCGCGCATTGAAATTTCGAAACGATACAGCTGTTGTTGTGCATGATGGGAGTTACCATGTGATTATTGAAGGTCCACATGGGACAACTAGACATCGTGCACTGGTATCCTATCATATCCCCATGAACTCGCAAACCGGCTCAACGGAAGTATAAATGCATTTGTGTGATTGACCAAAAGAACGACACAACTGCCATGAATCTTAATCATGATTCACAAAAAGCCTTCTCACTGGAGTGGGCTATGCCCGAAGACTGTGCTATCGAAGGACAACCAAGACTTGGGGTCTGCTACTGCATCCGATGACTCTAACGACTCTCCTCTCGGCTAAACCCGGCTCAAACACCGCCAAACCTTCCTCTACTCTCACCCCTTGGCTAGGGGGTCCCCTACTACATCACCAAATTAAGCGAATCACCAATCCAATGATGCATTTCCCCCACTGCACGAACTTTTCCCCCCAGAGCACGCAGACCCACTCTCAGATAGACCGATGTCGACGCCGGCAATTTCGATCCCTTCTCCACCACCGCGTGAAGCAAGCTCAGCCGAGGCTTGTTTGACCATCCATTTACTTGTTCCGATGACTGCATCCAACGTGTCTGAATCAGGGAGGAGTACGAGGAGATCATCGATTTCTTGCTTCACGTCGAATGGGATTATGGAAAAGTCTTCGTCGTTCAAACATTTACCGTCTGTCAGGCGAAAGTTCCGTTTGTGCAGAGGGCCTAAAGAAATTCGGAAGCCTCAGAAGACTAGCAGAAAAGCACATAACACATGGCACTTGCATGAGACGTAGAGATTTCCATCCAGATCGTCGGCAACAATGCCGTGATCAAGTACGAAAGCCCGCTTGTGTGGGCACATCTGCAAAAGTAATCTCAAAATAAGCTCAGAAAGGGAACAAAATGGACTGTACCTGTTGCGTGGCAAAGTAGCCCCGTCTGGGAATGTGAAAGATGGCCAACTGCGAGTCACCGTACTTGACGGCGGCAGAGCTGAAGAAGGGGAGGACTTATCAGGCGAAGTAACAGAAAGGAGTATAGGAACCCACGTGGTGGCGTCATCAGTCGGCATAAGATCGTGGACAGTGGCCAATTTTCGCCACCCCCACTCAGATTTGGGAGTAACAATGACTGGTTTGGCGGGAGGCAATTGTTTCGGCCAGTTTGCTGGACGTTCCTGCCCTCGCTCTTTGATGATTTCCGTTTGAGGGCGACGTTCATCCTGTAGTACACGAGCCATTAGCACCGTACCTCGTATTACCCAGAAACGGGAATCCACTGACAGTGTTGACGAACTGACGGAACTGACGTCTCCTCGCAGGATCATTGACCACAGCTTTCCATTCATCTGCGTAAGAGCCGATGAGCTCGCCCATTTCCCTCTCCAGGTCCTCGCAGATGCCAAGCTCATCGTCAAGAAGAATCTTCTTGAGTCGCTGTGAAAGATAGAATCAATGAGCGTGGAAGAGATAATACGATGCTCGCTGCGACAGACCTCCATACCGCCATCAAACTGTTCTACCCATCTCGCAGTTCGCATGAGCTTGTCGGCAGTGTGGATATAGTACATTAAAAACCGATCAAGGATGCGCACAACCTTCGACGGAGGCACATCTGTAGCAAAAAGCGTTGCATGTCTCGGATTCGATCCACCATTGCCAGCGAGGAAAACTGATGCAGAGTCAAGTCTGTGGGTTTACGATGTGGGAGAGTACGTACTGTTCCACCCTTTGTCAGTTGCGATCAACCCGAAGTCCTTGGACTGTGCTTCGGCGCATTCTCGAACACAACCACTCACACCACCCTTAAACTTGTGAGGCGAACGGATGCCCTTATACCGCTCTTCAAGGTGAATGGCCACTGTACACGACATTCAGTCGATACCTACACAGTATCACAACCGCACGCACTTCCAACAGAATCGCCAATTCCGTAGCGGCACCATGTGGTGCCAACGCAAGACTTCACAGTCCGCAAGGCTTTTCCTAAATCATGGGTGGTCGACACAAACTTGAGTCAACTATCAGGTTCTACCGCACCATAAGCATGTCCACTTTCGAATCCTGCAGCGATGAGCTCCTCCCAAATGTCCGGGAGATCTTGCTTCTGAGCGCCGAAGAGGTCGATGCGTTGTCTGGCACGTAAATCTCAGCGTTTAACATGTAACACCTGCGTAGCTTGATGTACTCACCCTCCTGTGATCTTGGTGTACAAGTTGTCTACCAGTATAATGTGAGTGCGTGGAACACGTGCAGCACGACAACCCACATTTCTTTGCGACTTGTCCGAGAACAATGAGTTTATCCGGCGTGATCTACATGTCACCAATGGATCTCCACTCACAAGACGAAAAGAAATTTTACTTACTTCACCTCCAGCAACTCGAGGAACGACAGAAAATGTACCTGACGCAAGATTAAAGTAAGTAAAATTTTAATTTTAAAGGGGATATAATTGTGAGCATATTCGTGAATAAACAGAACTCACCATTCCTTTGAATGTTAGCGAGGTATTTATCATTGGTGTCTTGATTGGCGTGGTGTATAGGTGCGAGTACGAGCTCGTTATACAATGACGACAGGATCGAACCTAGGTAGGGTGAGTAGTGCCTAGATAAACATTACATTACTTCCTACCGATGGCCGGCTTGCATATCTCGCATCCGATCGAATCCTTCTTCACACCGGCAGCCTCCATGATCTCTGGCAATGTTTTCAACTTGCGTATCCTAGCGGGCAGTTAAATTAGATTTTCGGGATACAAAGTCGCAGACATACTTCACGACGCCGAAGAGCTCTTGTCGAGTCATACCAAAGTGGGGACAAAGGTTGTTCGACATAGTATGTCCTGCTTTCTTCATCTCTGCCTATAAGTTCTCAAGTCACCCAGGATGTTCATGATTCAACGTGAGATTAAGAGACCTTGAATATGTTTGTGACCAAAGGCATGCATCCGCCGCATCCAGTACCAACTTTTGTCTTAGCCTTGAGGTCTGACAGAGTGTTGACACCCGCTTTCACGGAATCGCCAATCGCGCCCTTTGCGACATTCTGCAATCAAATTAGGATGCGCGAGATTTGCGACATACGAGAGGATACTTACGTGGCAGCTACAGATCTGGGTGTCATCGTCGAGGTCAGCGCCATCGTCCTGACCCTTTGACCCTGATCCGATTATGAACTTGGATGGTGGTTCCTCTAGCTCTTTCTACCATTTCGCATCAGCGGGGCTGCTAGGGGAAAATCCTTGTAAAATTCACCTTCTTCTTGACCAAGGACACGAGTTTGACATAGTCAGATGTATCACCAACCATCATGCCACCCAACAAGTACTTGCCGTCCACGGTGAAGATGTATCTACACTTCTGTGAGTGTTACATAACAAACTTCTGTCTTTGACTCACTTCTTATAGACATACGAGAACGGATCGCGATAAGTTAAGCATTCAATAGGACCTTCCAGTGCGGCCTGCCGGTTTCCGTGCTTCATCTGCGTGGTAACGGTGTTGATTGCAACTTCACCTTCCTTCACTCTGTTGCTACAGTTGGTTTCGGAGGGTTCATTTCCCATGCAACAGGTTCACGTACATCGCGTTTTCGGCTTTGTCTCGAGCCTGCGACTCTGCGACTACCACCTTACTGGTGAGGACACCCCGTGCACTGCGCCTGTCCGCGAAGTAGTCACCAAAGGAGGCGACCTATGATCGGGCGATTGAAAATAGTGATAAGTGCGGAACTACATAACTTACATCGACTCCCATCAATTTCAGCTTTGTTGAGAGGTCAGGCATGTTCTGGCAATTTTATGATGGTGAAAAGATGGTGCAAACGCAGTAACAGTTACTTACCATCACCCTTGATTTGAAGTTACCAAGACCAGTATCAACTTGGGTGAAATTGAACGATAGGATGTCGGCCATCTCCACTAGCGACGCCATCAGTAGCAACCTATAGGTGAATGCAGGGTGCTCTCACCACCAGGTGCAATGAGACCATAAGTGTTGCCCTTCCAACTCGCGCACTCGCCGATTGCATAGACATCTTGAGCACTGGTCTGCAACAGGTCATTGACAACTATACCTCCCTTTTCAACGCACTTGAGGCCCGCCTGGCGAGCCAAGTCATCTCGAGGGGTGATGCCAATAGCATAGATGACCATCTGAGCCTTAAGATGTTGATCGTCTGACAGAGTGAGGCCACTCAAAACACCATCTGAGGCGATGATATCTTTGACAGATGTCCTGGTGAAGACTCGCACGCCCATTGCTTCAATACGGCGAAGGACAATCTCTCCACCTTCATCGTCGAGTTGGCGCGACAGCGGGAAGGCTTGACGGTTGATTATCACGACTTCCGAAATTGTTTCACTTGATCGTGAATTTCTAGTGAGCAGAAAGTTGGCTTATATGGGCAAGGGTCACTTACAGATCAAAGACCGCTTTTGCGGCCTCCAATCCAATGAGTCCACCTCCAACGATAACAGCCTGAGTGAAAAAAAAAATGAGTCCACCGCGCGGACATGTTTCAGGTGTATAATACGCACGCAGCCACCTTTAACGTGTTCCTGCTCAGAATACGATAATATTTTGTCGAGATCCGAGATATTTCGATAAACAAATACTCCTCGAGTTTGCTCAGCCCTGGCCGGGGAAACGTACGACGGGAGAGTGCTTTCGGAGCCAGTAGCAAGAACGCAGTAATCATAACTTATCCTGCGCCCTTTGCTGGTCGTGACAGAATGCGCGACAGTATCCAACGAGGTAGCCTGTTCTCCAATATGGAAAAGAAACCGCTCTGGATCTTGTTGAGCATACCACTCCACTGTTTTCGGGAAGTGGTCAGTCTACGGTAAGTGAATAGGTCGTTTAATTAAAAATGTCACCTTCATTCAGATAGAGCTTCTCGACAGAGCGGTGTTGAAAATAGTCCGTGAGTGCAACACGATTGTACGCTAGATGTTTTTCTAACAAGTGGCAGGTCAGTTATATGTCAATGTTGTCTTGAAGATAAATTTCCGTGGTTTCCGAGTCAAGCGGTATCTAAGATAATTCGCTTACCTTCACCGCATGTCACCAGGCGATAACGTTTTGCTTCATCCAAGGACAACATCTTCTCGATAAACGCTTTACACACAAAGTATAAATAACAGCTGGGTCTGACTCTCCATTTAACTTACCTATCCCCACCATCCCCAAACCGACCACGAAAATCGTCTTTCGTACAGCATGATTCACGGAATCACCATCCTGGTGCACGACTTGCTTTTCCGGGGAGGCCATCCTGGCAGTAATTCTGCAGTGATTGGTGACACACGAGTGACGACGGTACCGGTTAGAAGCAAGTTAGCGTCCGGAAAGGTGGGCAAAGTTCGACGAGGTTTAAGACAATTGACTTGTAGGGGCACTGAACGGCTTTACAAAACAAGCTTGAATACCCATCAAGAAAAATCATAATGCCAGAATCACTCGGCGGTGACCCGTGGCGTTCGCGGAATGCAGGGTGTACACGTTATCTGTGGAGTATTTGGACGCGCTTCTCATGCACCTGCCAAGGGCTAAAGTTTGAAGGTGACACAACAAAGATAAGGATCCTATCTCATATATGATGCTCAGAAAGGCTAATCAGATTTTTGAGGACTTTTGAAAGGGAACAGCTCAACGAACGTGAACAGTAATATATCACAAGTCTTCAGTGAGGGGACCCCGGCCACCACAACTCCAGTACGTCTCGTATACCTTGCGTACCCGACAAGTTTTTGGCATTGTCACACGTGTAGAACGTTCCGAAGGTCGTATCTTTCTGACCTCGCTACAGATATTAATGGCGAAATATTCATCGAGTTCACCTTCCTCTAGTCACGACAAGTTTCGGGCTTCACACGATCTTTCACTGGCAGCATCCAGATTTTGATCGCCGTGTTTATTTATTCCCATCTCATTTTATTATCCTGGCGTTTGCCGCAAGTATGTCTGTCACTGACTCGCTGGACATATCTTAGCAGGTCTTAGCTTACCTGTTGGAACCAAGCCTGAGACTCTGGGACCTGAGGCTAAATGAAGACTCCGAATTATTCAAGAAGCTTGCACTCCGTTCAAGATTCTAGCAATTCGACCTTCAGTACTCTATCTGTTTGACTGCGGTCATGTCTCCCGTGACACGCTCTGGCTTTAGTGCTTTGTATGGCCTGCGTCACCCAGTGATCAACCCTATCAACCAAAAATGCACCACGGTTCCTGTTTTCTCGTTGAACAATCAGTACTCCCGCAATTTCCATTTGTGCGTTTTTTCTAGACAGTGTATGCAGTATCACGTCTTACTGGTAGTTATGCAGGTCATGGCTTGGATTTTTTGTCGCCTTGTAAATTGAGACTTGTTTCGTGCACGTTGGTTGCTGAATGTGACTTTGCTTATACAGCCTATCTTGGTTCGCATTCTCCCCTCTCATTCCAGATGCCATCAAGACCGACTTGAAGCTGACATCTGCGGAAGTCGGTATGTTCGAACTCCGAGTCCACGTATCGTTATTTAGACTCTGAATAACTGTTCAGGGAATTCGAATATTGTTTCGCTGTGCTCCACCCTCATTGTACGAGTCATCTCAGGCCCACTCGTCGATCGTGAGTGTACCTTGGCGAAGCTCTACCCCTTCATGTATCTGATCCCATTCATATTACAACTACAGGTTATGGACCTCGCAAAGTTATGGCTGGTCTTCTCATTATCGGCGCAATCCCTTCTGGCCTTGCTGGAACCGCATCGACTGTAAATGGTCTTTACATTGTCCGTTTCTTCATCGGAATTCTCGGCGGCACATTTGTATCTTGTCAGGCTTGGAATACCGTCTTCTTCGACAAGAATGTTGTCGGTACAGGTAAAACTCAGTTTAGAAAATTTTCTGTGTTGTGTATTCTGATACATCCAAATTCACAGCCAATGCATTGGGCGGAGGCTGGGGTAATTCGGGCGGCGGCTTCACGTTTATCATCATGATCGCTCTCTTCAATCAATTACTTGCTGACGGTATGAGTCCGCACGTCGCCTGGCGCGCGGCATTTGCAATCGTGCCTGTGCCGATTCTCCTTTCTGTTGCTGTCGCCACTCTGATTTTTGGCACTGACCACCCCGCGGGCAAGTGGAGTGATCGTCATAAGGTTGTCGCTCCTGCTTTTGACGGTCAAGCGATCACCAATAGCAACAATACAAATACCAAGTTTGGTGGTCATTTCGAAACCGGTGACGAGAAGAACATTCAGGTCACCATCAGTGCTATAAGTGATGAGAGTTAGTGCTTATCGCTCTCCTCGAATTTTCTTGTTTGCTTAACCAATTGTAATAGACATAGTTTCGGAATTGGACACTGCTGTCAACAAACCGGTTACCCTGAACCTTGCGTACGAAGTCATCTCAAACCCGCTGACCTGGCTGCCCTCATTGGCTTATATGACTACTTTTGGCTACGAACTTGCTATTGATGCCAACCTGGCTAATGTTCTGTTTACGCTACTCAAGTCACCCACTTTTGGGCAGACCAAGGCCGGTTATGTGAGTCTCCTTGGGCAGTCACTGCGACCTATTTGATGACAGATTTGATCAGATTGCAGGCATCTATGGCCTCCTTAACGTGTTCTCGCGGCCGCTGGGTTAGTGACTTCCATTGCATTAAGCCAAGCTGTCTCATCGTGGCATATCTACCGCCTCATCGCAGGCGGATATTTTGGAGACCTCATATATATCCGGTTTGGTGTAAGTGGCACTGGTCTTGTGTGTGGATTTTGGTCTGAAGAGCCCCTGCAGGTGCCTGGAAAGAAGTACCTGACCATCGCCTGTGGAGTCGCCCAAGGGCTTTTGTCCCTTGGTCTTGGCCTTTACATTGACAACCACTCTGATCCATCCTGTGAGCCTTAGAACTTAATTTGATTGCTGATAACGGTCTGACAGTAACAACACTAGTGACGGTTATCATTGTGATTTTTGTCATTGTCGCAATCTTCAACGAGGTTGCCAATGGAGTCAACTTCTCCCTCGTCCCACATTGTAATCCAAGTGAGTGTTCAATATACCAAATTGTCAATTCTCATGACTGACTTTTTTCTGTGGCAAGACTCCAATGGATTCATGGTCAGTATCGCAACGCTTGGTGTGTAATGATAGCAGAAACACTCAAACCTGTTCAGAGTGGAATTGTGGGTGCCATGGGCAATCTCGGTGGGATACTCTTTGCGATTATTTTCCGCTTCGAGCCATCTCCTGCCGGCAAGGCATTTTGGATTTCTGGTATCATCGCAATTGTAAGTAAAAGGTTTGTCTATGTTGTGTAATGAGTACTGAGCCAACGACTCAGGGCGTGAACCTCCTACTCTGTGTTATCCGCGTACCTCAGTTTTGAACAAGAAAAGATGGGGCTGGAAAGATTTTTGGTAGGAATGGGGACAACTTTTTTTCATCGTTCGTTGAGCCTGAGCCCTACGTTAGACAGTACATGTGGTGTTTACAATATCTCCGTGGCTATGTGTATAGTACCTGTGGATCTTCGACAATGCCTCGGTCAAGGCATTAAGCGCAAGACAGTTAAAGCTATATGAAGGGTGGTGGTGGTTAAGGGATTTCGGTCTGACGTCTCCGAAAACGCTCTCGTCGCTCTGGGCGGCAGGTACGTGCAATGAATCTGAGCAGTGCTCGATTGACTTCTACTGAGTCGTTGAGCAAAAACTTTAGTTTCAGCGTGCGTGGACCAATAAAGAAGGAACGACTGTCTTCATTCTGTGGGAAGACCAGCGCGAACCAAGCTTTGCGGAGGACCGGACTTACTACCGACGCGATTATTAATTTATGGTAGAAGACTGATTCGTCACGGCCTTTGCGGATGTGAGGGCCTATGCCCTATTGTGTAACTTATTGCAAACGCTTCATTGTACGTGTCTATAAGGACAAATGTTCTGGTTTGCTTGTCGGTTCATATCGTCCAATCATATCCTGTCGCAAACTGCTATGCAGCAGGCTGCTGCATAGCTCGTTGATCTATGCTCTATGGTGGCTTCCCTGGTCCTTCCCACCAATCAGAGGGCTCGCCTAAGGATTCAAGCGTCAACTAAAAGTGGGCTTGAGCAGGAGAGCATCGACTCGCGACCTGCTCTTTGAGTGATTTTGAAACATCTTAGGCTTTCCAAAGCCAAAAACGCTTGTGTGATAACAATCACTTATCTCGGGGGAGGAAATGAAATCAGGGTCAATAAGGACCCCAAGCACCTCGCTCGGATGAAATGATGGCCCATCACCGACCCCACGCTCGACTCCTTTAGATTCCAGTTTCCCGGAAGCCCCATGCGTGAGGAAATCCATGTCTAGCATACCAAGATAACTTTTTAATTGAGACTATGGTGGCTGCTGCATGGTTTCCCCTCAAACTCTGGGGGAGTTGACTAATCTATTGAAATCACAATGATGAGCCAATATCTGGGTATTGCTCAACAAATCTCGAGGACTTCAAGTCCGTCTCCCACTTCACCTGGCACATTCGACCCCGTTTCCACTATCCCCACCACTCCCTTTACTGCTTTCACGTCATTGGCAGGCTCCCCAGATCGCACCTACCAGAAATTTCAGGATGGTCTCCCCATACCGTTCTTCCCTGCGTCTTTGGACCAACCCGAAAGGAACGGTCCCCAACTTCCCCAACACCTTCCGCAGCTGCCACACAATGCTACCCCGACAGAAGTAGCTGAGCAGGTCGTGTCTGAGTCTAATTTTCAGCGCACAATGTTGAACTAACGTTTGCATTCACCAGGATCTTGAGACGCCAGATAAATGGGTCAATCGTGTAAGGACGGCAATTCTAAGATAGTCTGCATGATTGTTGATGAGATCTTCCGCACTCAGAATCCAGAACTGGTGCGATTGACGGGGAAACATCCTTTCAACTCCGAAGCACGACTTGGTGCTCTATTCGAGGGTGTAGGTGTCTTCTCGTCCAATGTCATGCACGGGATTCATTGTGTCTTCACAGGGCTTTTTGACTCCAGCTCACCTGCATTTCGTGCGGAACCACGGTGCAGTTCCACAGGTAAACTACGAGATGGCTGCTAATTGGACAATTCGCGTGCATGGTCTGGTGGAGCGAGAGGTAACATTCACTCTGCAAGAGCTTCAAGAAAGGTTCCCTACTGTCACCCTTCCTGTAACTCTTGTGTGCGCCGGTAACAGGCGGAAAGAGCAGAATGTCGTCCGCAAGACACTCGGCTTCAGTTGGGGAGCAGCGGGAGGTGAGGTCTCAGCTCATGGTGACTGAGAGTCCTCACTGACATCGATATCAAGTGTCAACAGCCCTTTGGACGGGCGTCTACTTGGCTGACGTATTGGATCACGTGAGACCAATCCGTAGACAAGCCAAATACGTTGTCTTTGAAGGCGGAGATAACCTTCCGAACGGGCCCTACGGAACATCACAACGACTGACATGGGCTTCCAATAAGGACAAGGGCATGCTTATTGGTAATTCAAATGACTTACGGTGTCATGATTCCTCTGAGCTCCTACTGTAGCCTGGGCAATGAACGGTTTACCGTTAGAGCCAGACCACGGTTTTCCTGTGCGCGTTATTGTGCCAGGTCAGATCGGCGGACGGTCTGTTAAGGTATGGTGTTGTATGATGTCAACGAACCTGTAAACAATTAAGCGCCTCTAGTGGTTGAGACATATCGAAATAAGCGATCGTGAAAGCCAGCACTACGTATGCCACTTCTTGTTAATTCAAATCGGCAAATTGATAATTTTGTTCACGTAGCTGCACTTTTGGGTATGCACGTTCGTTATCCTCGAGAATAGATCGCACTGATGTGATATAGGACAACAAAATGCTGCCAACGCAGGTCATGCCTGAACAAGCCCGCGCTGAGAAGCATTGGTGGTATGACCCAAGGTTAGTTCAAGTGCTCTGATGTTCCTTATCAACGACACTTACCGGACTGGCGACATTCCAGATATATCATCACGTTGGTCTATTTTTCTTTCTTTTGTACCACAGGTTGAACAGGAGTCTTCAGCGAGCTCAATGTCAATAGCGCCATCGCGAAACCGGATCATAACGAGAAACTTTATATCGATAAGACACCAAATGAAGACGGCATAATTGCATCATATCCCATTCGAGGATATGCGTATGCAGGTGGAGGTCGCAGGGTGACCCGTGTCGAGATCTCGCTTGACCAAGGGGAAACATGGACATTGGGGAACATGTACGTCTGCATGCTTCAGAATCAACACCTCATTAACTCCATGTTAAAAAGCGAGTATCCCGAGGACCGCTTCAGAGAAGCGCGTCACCAAGACCCAGTTTATGGGACTCTTGATGCGACCGAGCGCGATACTTCCTTGTGAGTAGCAAGCACATTACTACTGCAATGGAAAATGTTGAGATCCTGTACAGCTGCTGGTGCTTCTGGACATTCGACGTTTCACATGATGTTCTCGCGAGCTGTGATGCATTGATTGTTAGAGCCATGGACGAGGGCCTCGCGTTCCAACAAAGAGACATGTAAGACAGGATTGTGCCATGTGGGTCCGTTAATATCGACTTCTCAACAGGTATTGGCATGCGCTTGGCATGATGAACAACTGGTACGTCTTGACAAAGCACGGTATTCTGGGATCTGTTGCGAGCTGCTGCCAGGTGGTTCCGCGTTGCCGTTCACAAAACCGTTAACGATGATGGCAAAATTGTCTTGCAATTCGAGCACCCAACGCTCGCTGGGACAGCGCATGGAGGGTGGATGGAGGTGATGCTTAATTCCTGTCCCAGAAAACAAACGCTGATGGTGGCCTATCAGCGCATGAAAGCGGCTGGCGAGGACCTCACAAAGCCTATTTTCAGCGAAAACGGACAGGATCTCGCACCTCGTGCCCCAAAGCCTCAATCAGATGAGGTCTGCTTGACCAAACCTGGCATAAACCGGAAAATCACCCCGGAGGAGTTCAAAGCGCAAGATCGACAGAAACCATGGTTTGTCGTCAACGACGAGGTTTACGACGGAACCCCCTTTCTAAAGGATCATCCGGGAGGTGGTGACTCTATATTGCTTGTGGCTGGTGAAGACGCCTCTGAAGACTTCTTCGCCATACATTCTGCCGAAGGTAAAATTAAATTGGCTGAAGTGAGTCCTTTTGACTTGGCAGAAAACGGCGGTTGATAACCTTCCCACAGCACCATATTGGCACCCTCGTGACAAGCATAGTCAACGAAGAGCCGACTACAACACAGTCGGATGGGACCTTTTTAGAGCGTAACAGATGGAAGGGCGTCATATTGTGTGACATCAAGCAGATCAACCATGATTCTTGCCTGTATCGGTTCGCCTTGCCAAAAGAAGACCAACTGCTCGGTCTGCCAGTTGGACAGCACGTTTTCGTCCGCTTACGCCGGCAGGATACTGGGGAAATGGTACAAAGAGCATATACCCCAGTGTCGCCACAAGGCGCAGTGGGCTTCATCGACTTTCTCATCAAGTGCGTATTCTCCGTCAAGACATGCGCTTTTGACTGAGTTCTTCATTAGATTGTATCTTCCTTCCGCGGCAATCCCCATTGGAGGGAAAATGACCACTGGCTTCCATAAACTACGTCTCGGAGATAGCGTAGAACTCAAAGGGCCGTTAGGGTCCTTCATCTGGGATGGACCAAACACATCATCATGGAAGGGGATAAGGATGATAGTCAAGGAAGTCGGCATGATCTGCGGCGGAAGCGGTACGACTCCGAATTGACATCGTCAATATGTGATTCTAAAAACTGTGCAGGGATAACGCCGATCCTCCAGGTACTCCGCAGTATTCTCCAGAACGCCGAAAGCGAGACCCGAGTGTGGTTAATCAGTGCGAACAAAACAGAGCAAGACATCCTCTGTAGAGAAGAGCTTGACAAGCTTCTCGCATCGCACGGCAAGGAGCGTTTCAAGTTGCACTACACGCTTAGCGTCGCTCCTGAGGAGTGGACGTACAGCGTTGGGACGAATCAATGATGTGTTACTGTCGGAGCACATGCCCCCGCACTCTGAGCATGGACTCATCCTAGCGTGTGGGCCTGACTGCTATGATATCGCATGTCATTAAGCCCTGGACTCCAGAATATGGGATGGGATATAGAGGAATCTCTGGTAGTGTTCTGAAAGGTGAGATGGTTGTAAGAAGTCGCAGATTGTATGATATTGTGATACCACTTGCAAAATGCTTGCGGCATAGTAAGGCATGTATGATTGGTGAGGCCTAGGGCTGGCCCCATTAATGGGTTGGCTTGCGAGTGTAGAGGTAAATGACAAGGTCTACGACTACGAATGATGTGTGTGTTGCATACTGCCACACAGGACTTTGGATGGAGAGGGGGCAGAGGTGTTCTTGGGCATTCGGCAAGAGTTCCGAACTTGCTTGGAAAAGAAGTCGCTGGACGGCATGCAGCATTTGAGATCCATATGAAGTTCACTACATAAGCTTGTCATGGACCTGCAGTGAATGTCAAGTAAGCCTTGACTCGAGGAATTCGGGCAACCCTCCATCACTTAATGCTGTGCAGTGGCTGTGCATATGCAAGGAAGTACGACAGATTTATAGAATGCAGTTATTCGCATTGCAATCGTTCAGATCGCATCGATGAGGACCCTGTAACCTGTTTTCGGCTTAGTTGCAGATCTCCTTGCGAAAAGTTGCTTGCAATGCTCGCCTCGAAGGTCACTCGGACAAGTCGCTTTGCCGGAGTGGTCAACGGGATCACCTACGCGGTAATGTACGGTAAATAAATAAATAGGGTAGGTATATTTACTTTCTCTGTAGTGAAAACGATTAATTCGCATGACAGCAGGTTGTATCCCGCAATTCTGCAAAATGATATTTGGTGGTGATATAATCACAAACTCCTATTATATCCTCCAGCTAGCACCCGCTTACATGTAGATCTGGTCCCGCACCTGCCACGTATTGTCGTACCAGCCAACTTTCTCGAGCACCAGATATTCCACCACACGACGAGGCTCTGCAGATCCAGTATCTACTAACTGACCCTGTTTTGTGAACATCTTGAATTCCTGGAGCAGCGTAAGCTCGAACGTAACTCGCATCTGCTAGAAGGACGCCTACCTGCGTAGTCTCGAACTTGACTAGTGCGTGTATCACCAACCGGTGTCCACGCTTCGGGGGTTCCTTCGCCACATAAACCTCACCGGAACGGATAGATACAATAGTAGCTCCTGGTGATATTGCAAGGGGACGGAATACTAGATTATCGGGTAAATCCAAATATCAGCCACAAAAATTCTCAAAGAGCGTAACGTCGAAAGACACTTACGGCTTTTCTCTTGGAACAAGGTTTTGTCTGAGACGTCGCTTAGAACCTTCCACTGCCAAACCTGGCCAGGTTGACGGGCGCGGACAATCTTGTTTACCTTAGTGGCATGTTCGGCTGTTGTCAGTGCCTTGAGGGTGACTCCATCCTTGCTATTGATACAATTCAACATATTGGGGATGAGTGAAAAATGTACGCACTCAGCTATGGCGCGGCCCATAGCCAGATAGTTATCCATGGCAATACGTCGCAATGGCGCTAGCCAGGATTTTGAAGAAGGTGATGTTATGTTGCCTAGTTGACGCCATGTGCGCGGTAGGAATAAGTGACTAAATCGAAAATCATGACTGACTCCCGGAAAAGCTCCAGATGTGGCAATGGTATACATGCTGCATAAAGTGCAAAGGAGGCTGAGCTAGGCAAAACGAGTGCACTAAACTACTGGACGCGAACCTGAATGTGTTCTTCAACCAATTGGAGAAGTTGTGCTGTATCGCGTGCCAAAATGCGCCTGGATTTGAGAAAAGCATGCGCAATGGAGCGTCGCGTGGTATTTCTACGTCTGAATGGATGATAGACTGAGCTTAAGTGATGTTTCTATAGGGAATATACACACCGAGAGTCAGTATCTTAGTACCCCACATATCCATGGTTGGAAACAGGTTCGACGTGTTTGCCATGTTCATCATATGCTCTATTTGTTTGAGCTGCGCCTCTGTGCTGTCTGGAGCAGGGATAGGCTTTTTCACCTTCTTCTCGTTCTTGGTCGCAGATTTTCTCGAGGCACTAGATGAGGCCGTAGCAGTAGCTACAGGCGCTGAACCACTCATGGTAGAAGCCTTGGACGTTGAAGGGGGATATAGAGGACCCGTTCCGGTGGTGGAACGCTTTGATGCGGATTTTAAGGTCGAGAATGAGCGTCCATAGTGTGGGGAGGGTAAGCAGCTATTCTTCAGTCGAGACCCAAGGGGAATACGCGCCGCCATCACCGTCGCCATCGTCGTCACCCAGCAGCTGAAGCTTGTCAGTGAGCAACGAAAGCTTTGAAGTCGGCGAATGTCAGTTTCTCAAAAAGGATGTCGCCGAAATATTATATGCGTGGGAAAATATTCGGCAGCCAGGGACGCGTGTGCTCAGGGAGGACGGATATAAAAGGGTTGCTTCGCCGGTCAAAAATTCCATCCAGTTCTACCCGACGTAAGTAGCTTTGCTCTAAACCGCCATCAGCCCGAATTTCAATCACCATGCCTGTAAGAAATTTTAACTTACTTGTTTTTCTACTGCCAGCTTATTTGGTTTCTCTTCATAGCGTTCTTCACGTTCCTCTCGTCCAGCTGCCAAGCCTGCAGCTCCTGCGCCAACCCAGTCCCGTGGTGCTCATACGGCCGCGATGCCTCCTGCTGCAGCCCACGGTAACCCAGCACACGCCCCAGCACCACCCGTCCCCGCTCAGACATCTAGCGGTCCCGGAATGATGGCACAGATGGCCGCAACTGCTGGTTCCGTCGCCGTTGGATCTACCATCGGCCATGGTATCTCCTCCATGCTCTTCGGCTCCAGCTCAAGTGCGGCACCCGCGGAGCCAGCAGCACCTGTAGCAGCAACAAGCATACCAGACGACTGGCGCTGCCTGTGAAATTCAGGCTAAGGAGTTCACCAAGTGCTTAGACAAGGCAGACCTTCAAAGTTGTTCGTGGTACCTTGAGCAATTGAAGGCTGTACGTATCCGTTTTATTAGTCGTAGCTCTACGACTGACTCTGCTTCCAGTGCCAAGCTGCCGCTGCTCCTTATTAATTTAGCGGGATATATTATGTTGGCGAATACTGTCACATGACACCCTGCCCTTCGTCTCCTCCCACGTAATCAGATATCCTGCGAATGAACGAACAAATTCCTCGGTTTCCCATGAACGGCAAATACAATTCGACATGATTTTAAACATTTTTCATTGAGACTACCGGGGTATCGCCCACTGATCCTTCCCTAAGAGCAATGAACCGTCTTGATAACTACATTGGGCATGACTTCAACTTGACGAAAAGGGGTTGCCAGGACACGGTAACTTTACTTCGCCCCCCAGTTTCCAAGCTAGAACGTATTTGCATGCAACACCAGAATGTCAGAGAAAGTAGCGAACTGAGTTTGCCTAATCCCACCACCAGCGAACCTTTGGTTTGGTTATCTTCAGGTGGACCGAGTGGCATGTCACATACCCGACAGTATTCACTTTTTCGCAGCTTCGCATCGGTTGTCCACTCCGAGTGGGCTGAGCAATAGGTTCAAGGACTCTTTGGAACTGAGTGGCAACGCTTCCTTCGCCTGTGCAATGACGGTCGCCACTTCTTCCACCGTTCCTGGACCTGACCCTGTACCGGTTCATTAGCCCCATCTGCGAGCTCGAAATGTCGACGGTCCGAGCTGGGAAAGCCTGAGGTTTCTCCTGTGACTTGACAGCATCATTCGGCTTGGTCATTTGACGAGGAATCAAAATACTTACTAGAAGATGGTGACTGAGGGTGTCCGAATTAATTCGAGAGCTCCAATCTAGCACTTGATATCAAAGCTCTCAAGTCGCGTCTAAATCGTGAAGGGCCCAAAGTATCTCCGAGAGTCCAGGCGTACTATAGTAGTGAACCCGGAGATACTAAGTGTACTCTGGCTAGCTCTCGCAGCCCGTAGGTTACTTTTATCGAGAAAGAAAAATAGCTCTCCAGACATGACACCGTGCACCTTGTGCACTTCATTTTCCGTTGTTACCCCTTGGCCGTTGCAGTGTTGAGTTCATGCTAGCGATACAGAGTCTTACAGTGGTGCATTTGGTTCTTAGTAGGCCGCTCTCAAGATCTGGGATCCGTGCCCCTCGGTGAGTCGGCCCAGGCAGGTCCCTCAGCCGTACGGTAGAGCTGGTAAACTTCCTTGGTATCGGAGAAAATTTAGCTCTAGTATATTTATGATTTATGTACATGTTAGCTTTGAATTCCCAAATTTCAGATCAATGAGTCTTACTTGAAGGGGGAAATTCATCATATTCGTAAGCTGATTCCTCTTCATTGTCGCTCGTCTCATGTTGAGACGAGAAAAAAACCATAGCGAAGCTCGTCCCTTCAGAAGCTTCAAAATGATTGTGGATTACGGTGTTATGTATTTCGAATGATCACCTGGAATATTAATGTTTGGGAGAACACTTTTTCATATCTCCTCATTTACTTACTCACATACTTTTCACCTGGAACATATATTCCCTGTTGAAATTGCGATGATTGATATTGTTGAAGGAGAAGCTCTAATCTCCCCTACTTAGATCATATAGAAGGAAGACAGTTGTTCCTTCTATTAGAGAAGCTCGGCCCTTCAAGTACCCTCGTAGTAGTCCGTATCAATGATTGTACTTGTGGTTATTCATTAGAATCGGATGTGGAAAGTTTGAACGGTGATCTTCCTTGAGGCATACTCGCGCGTTGGTTTGACAAGCCAATATTTGTAGTGTAGTGGGAAGAGTGGAGCTGAGCGGTAAAGTGCACACTGCAAAGCACCAATGGCAACAAATAAGAAGGGACCATTCTGTTTTTCCGGCTCCACAAATGAATAGAAGCACTGAGCGGAAAGTGACACCTGTTCGTCGACACGAAAGTAGCTGCAGAACTATAGTATGTCACTTACTTTCAAACGGACTGCAACATTTTGGCGACATGGCAGGCTCTATTTATTTCCGTTTCCACCAAGGTAGTTGCCTTCTGCCGATTGGCGGGCTGTTTATGTTTCGTCTGTGACATCGCTGATGAGTGTTATTTTTTCGATGGATGGAGTGGTGCTCTGGTTGGTCGGCAGTCGCTTCAGTTCCGTCCCCGACGGACGCCATGTCGTCGACAACGATTACGTACATAGTCGCGGATGGTGCTCCACCACTGTTGTTTCATCGCACAGCCAAGTCCTTGCCAGAGGGGCCTCGAAGCCAGTACTGCGGAAATTACACGTACTGTCTCCTTTATCTGCTTGCGAATGATCAGGCTCAAGTATACACAACGCGTCACCTGCTATTCTCCCACCTTTTCTCCAGCACCTTGATCATGATGGCCAGCTCCAACTACCACATCTAGCTGCAGCGCACAATGAGATCATGCTTATTTCCGTAATCATTGCCGCTCACCCTGTCTCGTGTGGGCTGATGCATTTGTCCGTAATAAGATGTCAGGAGTGTGTGGAAGCACAGGCAGTTTAGTTGGTGCCACGCATCCGTAACAGTCTAAGACTTCGTATGCCGCTAGAATTGTTCGGACATGTGCATGAGCGCTCGTTGATTATCTGCCAAGCGTAAGTACTGTGCGAGAATGTTCCTCGCGTGAACAATCGTCCAAGGGCGATTTTATGACGAGTTCAACCCAGTCAGATAACCGGTAGAGCCGCTACTAGAGCGCGCATCTAGAGGCATCCATACACAACCTCATGATTATACGGCGAACCTCCTTGTCATTGGCTAATGAGTCGAGGCAGAGGGGAGCTGCAGCGAGAAATGGTGGAGGAGGCGCCAGGAAGTGCGGGGAAGTGTGGGGAAGGGAACAATTTCAAATACAAGACCCGAAAAGGGGGAGAGAAGCCCAAACCCGCATGCTACGATGGAGGATTCCAATGGATACATTCGATACAATAGATCAACAGTACCAGGTATATCACCGGTTTGATGTATCAGTAGTATGACATTATCATTATGAGCTGCGAACCTCTCGTGAAGAAGAGCGCATGTTAAACTCAGCCACAAGACAAGTCCCGGGACGTTAACAGCTGTATAGACGATTACAGAGAATATCGGAGAGAGATATGACCGTCCGTGTCTGACAATCAGAAGTTATTCGAGCGACATTTGTATGATATTTCAAGCCAGGTGATATGCAATTGCAAGTGTTTGAGGTCTAGTGTCTTGTGCCGCGTCAAGTATTTTCACCAGCCATACCGTGACGTCGACGTTCACACTAGTACTGTAAGTTTCAGCCTATAAAACACCTGCCTGCTACTATGGCTTTGCTTCATTCCCTGTAACAAGCACCATCATTTTTACTTCCCGCTTCATCATCTTTGCGCTGCTCAGCTTCTTCACTGGTGCCAATGCGCATACATGTGCAATGTGCCCAGCCACAGTCAAGCTGTTTGGCACCGGTGCCATCGTGGACTAATCAAGACCGTTCAAGACAAGCTCAAGTGGCACACATTATGCGCGTGCGTTGCATCTACACATTGATCTTCATCGAACAAAGTAACTGATAGGCCGGCAGTTACAATGGTAAGAATAAGGATGGCTCACCAGTGGTCTGTATGTATAACGGCGTAAGTGCTTTCTGGATATTGTGCAGCTCATTGTTCTCGGTTAACATGCTAGCGATCATCAGTAGGGCGGCCAGTTTGTTAGTGGGTATCCTGCTTGTGCGAAAACAGCACCTGTGAAGACCTGCTGAATGTGATGTGAAGAAGTGGGGGAGACGAGACACCCAACAGGAGGAGTAATGTTCAGCTGGGTGTATGCCAGTAGATCACGATCTGTTACGAGAATTGCCAAATAGTCAATCAGCAAAAGACCCAGTTTTCTTGCTTGTCAGAAAGAAGTTTGATGCTGCGCCTTGCTATAACCGACAAGGTAATCATACCGAATCAAATCATTCTCAAGAAGTCATTTTCTGGTATTGTGCTGTATGGATAACCCACGACTCTAATAATTCTATCACAACCCAGCGAGGTTCTTCAACATCGCGAATTCATTCTCCCCCGTTGCCTCACACAACCCGTAGAATTGCGAAGAGGGGTCGGAAAGTAGAACAGCAGGGCTGGAGGTCCTAGGTTAACTTCCCGCACGATATACTTCGCAATCACTTACTGATCAAACTCGGCGATTTTGCCTTGGTCGAGGAGCATCACCTGCTAGTCTGTGAGTAATGCACAAACGACAGATGCTGGATACATTTACCCTATCATAATCGATGACAGTGCGCAGTCGATGCGCGATGGTGAGAATGGTGCTGTTTGCAAATTCTCTGTTGCAAGTGTGGTCAATGTCTCGTTAGAGTTATAAATATCGCAGAACGAACTGTCTGATCGTCTTTCCAATGAGCTCGTCAGTCGCATAGTCAACACTAAAGTTATGGTCGCTTAGAATTCTGCCTTCTATCAGACAATCGACATTACCTTGCTGTTGCCTGCAACGTATACTTGAGGAATGAAGTGCATGTAAAGGACAAGAGAACGTACCTCGTCCATAACCAAGACCTTCGACCGTTTCAGGATTGCTCGAGCCATGCACAGAAGCTGCTTCTCGCTACAAACAAGCCGTGAGCAACTTTATTTGGTGGCGCTGGCGGAATGCTCACCCAGTAGAGAAGTTCTCCCCTCCTTCCGATACTGGCGACTCTAAGTTTCGGAAAACATTAACATTGACCTCCACATCTTCAATTTCAACGTCATCGGCAGCATCAGATGGAATCAAATGCACGCGTCGAAGAGCTTCGAACTAAAGAACGGTGAGCATACATTTGTGGTCAAGGAATGTAAACTGACAATTTCCGCATCTTCGTACTCGTCGAATACATCCAGCGTGGATCGCACAGTGCCGCTAAGGATGGTTGGATCCTCTGTTCGGTGTCAGTACAATAATCGTCACTTGTCAGGATAAACGCACGAGGAATGATGGTGAGTTTGCTGCGAAGGTCTGAAAGTCCTATTTTGGAGATGTCCAGATCGTCAACGGTGATACAACCCTCCGTTGCCTCTACGAAGCGGAAGAATGAGAGTGCAAGGGTGCTCTTTCCGGAACCCGTGCGGCCTAGGATGCCGACCTAAAAACGAAGCTCAGTTGCTGACAACCGAAGCAATCCTCGAATATCTAGTACCTTCTCTCCGGGGTGGATCTCGAAGTTCAAGTTGTGAAGAACATCGGGCAATTCAGGCTACGGGAAAGGTTATGTACAGATGAAGTTTTCCACTGAAAATTGCTTACCGCATAGCGAATGATCAAGTTTTCACACTTAATAGCACCTCGGTCTGGCCAAGACGCTGGCGGACGTGGCTCGATGAACTCAGGAGGCTCGCGTTTAAGCTCCGAATACTCCTTGACACGCTCCAGGGCGACCTGTCAAAGGTACATCAATAACACCACACGTCGCACAACATGTAAAAGGTACTAGCCATGGATTGTTCAAGGCCGACGAACCGGCGCACCTGGGTTCGAGATAAATCAGGGATCTAGACAAACGCCAGTTTCACCTACCAAGAATAGCAACTGCAGGTAGGGTCAGTATGTCGGTCCGGAGTCCATGATAAGTAGGCACATACTGTCCACGTCATGCCTCCAGCAAATGAAAGAGCAAACCCAGCGAGTGCAGCTGAGATGGTCGGGGTAGAAACTACTATAATACCTGTCACGCCGACGGTCGCAGCGGACAACAGGTCAAACCGGGCGGAAAGCCAGCGATTAACTAAATGCAACAGCCTATGTCAACCAATCTCGACAATCAAATGGCCGCGCGACATACCAACCCATTGCCACCAATTCGGGTTTGTGTTCTAATAGGCATCGATCAGTTTAAGTGAAAGCGAGTTCTGATTGACTCACCGTATCGACACAGCGAAGCATGTCTCGCAAGAATTTTGACGAAGCACCGAAAGCTCGAAGGATAGGCGCTCCGGCAATGGTTTCACCATAGATCGAGTAAAGGGGGGACCGTGCCACGGAGTCTTAAGGTAATTCGAGTTAACCAACCGCTCGTAAAAACGGGGAACACTTACCCAGGCGCCGCATATCTCTAGCAGCTTGCCCATAGTTCTAGACACTTGAGCATCCCTCGTTCTCAAAAGGAAATGAAAGAGTACCTTCGCAACTAAAGACCAGATCAATAGTCAGCGTTGAAGCGAATCATCAAGAAAACAGGTTGCAGACCATCATAGTACATGAAGCCAAGGAAGACCATAGCAATGAGGAACGGAACACCGCCTGCCAAAGCGACGGACACGACCATAACGAAAAAACCCAATGCATAGATGACACTTCGACCAAAATGATCCGAGAGTCTACTATCAATGCCTATATTGTCATGGGTCACTGCACGAGTGAAGAAAGCGTCGTCTCAGAGAACGAACCTTCAAAGTCTTTCCCGAATCGATTTAGGAGTCTCCCCCGTGACACGGTATCATGGAATCGAATATGCGCAAACAATACGGTTTCCAGAAGTTCTATCACAAGCGATGTAAGTGATTGGTCACAAGGAAAGTCTCGACTTTGACCCACGTTGGTACAAAACAGTGGACGCGTGAATAGATCCGTTGTCTGGAATAAGAGATGGTTCAGCAGTAGTTCAGCAAAGAGGGTGTGGTTCGCCTACAGAGTACGAAGTATCTGTAGGTCGAAATAAAGACGCCTGAAAACAATCAGCTTCTCTTGAACAATGCAGTAAAGTTTAACTGATCCAAACCTGTAAGAGTGACCTACAAGGACATGAGTCATGATGGGGGATGCTCTAGAACCATGCTTACCGCAGCATAAACGATGATGTAATATATTGGTCCTTTGGCATCGACTTCCTCTGCGCTCGATCCCGACCACGTCCTACGGATGCAATATCAGTCATACGACAGCAAAGTGGTAGAATTGTGAACATACTTAAGCCACCAGTTCTCTGCAACAGGACATAAGGATCCCAACACGAGAATGAACGCGAACCACGTCCAGTACCCAGAGGCGCCGCACGATTTCACATAAAGCTCCCAGACATCACGACTGACTCGTCCTACAGCGCGTTTCTCGTCTTCCACAAGCTTCCTGGGTGCTTTCCGCTCTCCTTCTGCATGTGGCTCATTGACCACCGTGGAGCTCGTTTCGGATATCGGGTCCGGTTCCGCACCCTCTTGCACGAGTGTGGCAATGGGAGAATGATCTGCAGGTACTAATGGATTCGTTGAAGTACTTGCGGCGCCCTGCTTCTTGCCATTGCCACCCATGGTCTGCACCAATGTCCCCTTCACATTGGATGCTTCGAAAGATTCACGGTCACCAGCGAATAGAAGATGACCATTATCAAGAGCGACAACGTATGAAGCACCAGTCAAGCAAAGCTGGACATGATGTGATACAAGGATCACGGTCCGCCCCTGCATCAGCTCTCCTTTGATGCACTTGTGGTAGATGTGATGAGCCGTGTGAGCGTCAACTGCACTCAAAGGTTGGCATTTAGAAGTATGGCACTTAGAACAAACGCACCAGCAGACAGAACGTCATCAAGCAACAGGATGGATGCTCGGGAGTAAACAGCCCTAGCCAAGGAAACTGAAATCTAGGTTCAGTATCTGTGGCAAGTCGAATCTCAGTCCACTGACCTCGAGCCTTTTGCCCACCCGATAAGTTCACCTGCCATTGCAACTTTGATCAATATACGTGGCGCTGAGTAGGAAAATGCAACATACACCACGCTCGCCAATTTCGGAGTCGTCTCCATCTTCGAGGATCTTGAGATCGCTAATGAGTGCACAGACCTGAGCATACAGTCAGTCAAGCTTTCATTGACCATGGAGTGCAGCTGACCTCTAATGTTTTCTGATAGCGCTCTTCGTCAAATGGTAGACCGAACAAGATATTGTCTGAACATGACGATAAGCGGGGTGGGACTGATTTAACGCCCATAGCTCACCTTTAATGGAAGCATTTCGTAACCAGGCAGCCTTGAAGCGCCAGGGACTTCAATTCATAATATAATCTACAACCCCACTGCTGCTTACCTGTGGTACGTAGGCGCAAACGCCAGGCACTACCCACTCTTCCTTTGTGACCTTCTGGTCGGCGAAGGACGCAAGCGCGTCCGGTGGTGAACGCGGACAGATGACCTGGCCGGTGAGGACGTCCGCCTCGCCGAGTAACGCTGGATCGCATTGAGTAGTATTCCATAATTCGCTCCATAAAACATACCTAACAATAACAGAGTCTTTCCACTGCCCAGCTTTCCACAGATGAGTGAAAGTTGCCCGTCAGGGAACTTCAGAGCAAGATCGACGAGCATGAACTTGTGCCGGGGCGTGGAAGCTGCTGATGAGCCCGCTGATGAACCTGTGGAGCGATCGCGGGGCCATGTAATGTTAGCAGATTGAATAGCGATGGTGTTAATGGCCGGTGCAGCCGAGAGCGGAGGTACAGGCGCCACTTCAGTTAGTTGGAGGTACTTCCCAATTCGCTTGACGGAAACGTGGACCTGAAGCAGATTGATGAAAGTTTCTGGCAGCGCGTTCATCGCAAAACGCATTTCATTGAAAACTACGCCAGGTGTGTTAGCTCAAACACCGAGCACATTCTGAGGTTCCTACCAAGCATCTAGGCATATAAAATCAGTCGGTGAACACAAAGTGGTATGATAACCGAAAGACTTACAGAGGTGAAGGCGATAGAGGGAGTCAAGGTCTGCTGACGCCAGACTGCGAAGTGCCAGAAAGAAACCAGGGTGACGATGAGAGGAGACGCCTCCCTGAGCCATCGTTAGACAAGACAACGGAAGCCAACGCGAAAACATACCAGATGGCGGAGAACATGACCTGAAGGGTGGACACGTTAGGAATCAGACGACACAAGAAGGAAAGTTACGTACCTCAATCCTATAGTTCAGCTTTTGATATTTCAGTTCTCTCTCGCGGATTTTCAGAACGCGCTTTTCAAAACTGCGCTCCCATGCCATGAACTGCAAATTGATGAGGAAGAGTTCCGAAAAGACAGAATGGAAAGGATCATCACCTTGAGCATGCGGATGCCACCCAGTATCTGTCAGAGGTTGTCATTTAGGTCAGGTAAAGTGATGTTTCGCAATGTAATTACCTCGTTCATAAGCGATACCCGTTCGTCCCTGGCTTTCATCAAGTTGTCCTGTGCGCTGATCACCACTTTACCAGCCAGGTGATTCAATGGCAGAAAAAGACAGATGACCCCAAGACCAACGAAGCACGAGACACCTAACATACTGTAGAGCAACGTCGTCCCTACAACAATTTCGATCGGAGAGTCTGAAAGAAATCAGGACTAGAACGATGGTGTGATCAAAGAATCTCACCCGCAATGGCGAAAAGATGGTAAGGAAACTCGGAGACCCGATCAACATCAGTGGTCATCAAAGTCATGATCTGCGCTTTGCTCGAAAACTCGTTCTCCTCCTCATCCTTGTCGTTGCTATCTCCTTTAGCATCTTTCGATTTTTTATCATTGTTCTCCACAGATGCAGAGGAACCAGAAGACACGACATCTTTCCGAACTAGCGTCTTCGCGAAAAGCATTGTATTGAGCTGCGTCCGCAGGCGAATTTGGAGAACGCTTGTTGCGAGGTACCACATTTGAGAGCCGACTATGGCATATTAATATCGGAGTAGACAGCGTTACACTAAAAAAACTTACGCTGCGTGACAATAATAAGGGATGCAAACTGTCCAAAAGCGTATACCCATCCCCATCCTCTATCAAGGCGGCCAGGATCGTCTTCCAGGTATGCGAGGAGCTTTCGAACGAAGAATGGGGACCCAAACCACATAGGAGCAGCTGCAGCGGCCAAGAGCATTTCTATGCCAAATGCAAGCTTGTTGATACTGATAAGGCGCCAAGCGAGGTCCCATCCCGGTTTGAGAGGACTTGCACGAAGACTCGTGCGCACCCTAAAGAACTGATAGGTCGCCCGCATCTTCGCTGGAAGGATTGGCAAGTCGCCAATTTCGACTGAATTGGAACTTCCAAGCTGAACGACCCGTGTCACGTAACAGAAAAACAGATAATCGATCACGGAGGTGCCTGGAATGCCGCAGACGTTTTCGTATGATTCGTTAGTCGTATCGTCGATGGTTTTTTGAGAGTAGATGAGTGAAGGAGAAAAGTGCAGCGGTGGTCCACGGGGTGTTGTCGCAATTATCGCAAAAACCAAGGTATACAGCGCGGTCATGCTATACCATAAAACAAGTATAGGAAGGGCTTGTAGATTGGGTGACGAGATGGAGTCAGACGAAGGAAGGATTGCTGCGACGAAGTGAAGGACCGAGGAGAAGAAGGTCAAGGCAGTGACATGTATCACTGACTCAGAATGATGATCCGTGGTGCATTGGCCAACGGAACGAACAACTAGAACACTGACGTAGAGTGCAAACGTAGTCCGACATATATGCTCTGCAAGTATGTTCTGGCCATCCAATGTGGAGGTCGTCCATCCCAGAGAAATGCCCTCGAGTGCAAGGATCGCCGCTGAAAGGAAGACAAGTAGTAATTTCCTATTGCGCATCTGAATTATGTGAGACCCTGGTACAAAGCGCATAACTGTAATGCTCACTTTGGCCCAGAACGCGTCTTCGTCAATTGGTTCTCCATTGATAAAATCTTCCGGCTTGGTCACGTTAAAGGGATCATCCTGATTCACGTCGCCTGCCAGACTAGCATCTTGGGTAGTCGGCAAGTGTATCTTCTGCTGTTGAGACAGTGGCAGAAAAAGCGCAAAGCTACTGATTATTGTTGCCCCGACGAGTGCTTCTGCTAAAAGCAACTGGTATGGAGGCATGATTAACCGCATCTTTGAGAATAGCACTACTTCCGACTTTTAGTTGGGGTGGTAAAAAGTAGGATAAAACGATTCGGGCCAGTAGAAATACAGGGTCAATTACGCGCCCATGAGATAAGAATATGACTTGTACTGCCGCAACCGGGAGCGAGTCGTAAGTCACGAGAATATTTTTAACACGCAACCACATGGTCATTTTGACGTCGGGAGACCAACAACAACCGGATATGCCAGCTGTGCGTAACTTCTCTCAGTAACTGTGAACTTACTACCACGGATGATAGGGCCGAGTCAGTTTGCAGACTCCTCGTTTATCACTCCGCAGCCACGTCCGATACGGCTTAGTTCTGGGACGACACCACAGCTCAAAAACACATGTAAAAAGGTTCTTCCTGAGGTTCATGCATAATATGATCAAGTCAGTGCATAATTTAGCGGGAAGCAACTTTTTGGAGACAAGTGAGCACAAAACTGTGACGATGCAGCACTTAAATAACCAAGTATGCACTAGTCCAGACTCCAGACTCCACGACACACGGACCGGGGACTAAAGTCAGACCGAAGCGTTTACCAAACGCCACATGCGTCGTGTTTGAATACTAGCAGTACGATGGTAGAAGGTATGAATGGTCTACAGACAGGGAGGCGGCTCAACGAAGCCCTCCAGCTGCAGTTTAGTCTTCCCTAGTCAGACTATCAGAAGGAAGACGATCGTTCCTTCTTAATAATGGCTGCTGTTTGCGTCTCATCCCTTTCTCATTTCCGCCGTGATCGAAATTCTTTGAACTGGACTTAAAGGTTCAGCCAGCATTCATTGTCACATATGGCTTCCTCATTCCCTTACACTCCTACAACACCTCAGACGACAGTGAACCCGCGCCCACGGGTGTCATTCAGTCCTCGCAAAGGGCGCGTTGAGGTTCCACCCCTGCCTTTCAAGCCCCGGACCGATAATTTACTTGACATTTATAATACCAGCTGCGGTCAGTCCCAGAGTCACCCCGGATATCGCTGTTCCCGAGTCATCCCCTCGCTCTTCGAAAAGAACCGATGGGGTCATCAAGAAGCTGGGACTTGAATTAATGGGATAAAGCTGGTGCTTTTTTCAAGTGATTTTACAAAGGTTTTACTCGATTGAGAGTCGTTGCTTTTACACTAAGCCTGCGCAACTAGAGACCAGTCAACCAAGTTCAAATTCGGTGAACCAACGGTGACCTGTCAACAACGCTATCCCAAGATGCTACTTGCGCAATCCTGAATCAAATGTTTCGTTACCCGTTCGTAATTCTCTGAATGCACACGCAAAAGCAGAACCCACATCAACACTAGTAGAGCTTACGTGTACCTATTCCTCGGCGCAGAGCATCTGATCATGCCGATATCTAGTCTCTGATAGGGACGAACCTCCAGTACACCACGTTGCTCGCGGAATCGTGGATGAGACCAACCGAAAGGGTAAAGTGAGTTCCCGAGGAGTATGAGGTGACTCCTAGAAAGATCTGACCTGCACATGACGCACATTTAAACGATGTAACCATCGCAATTTTTCAAGACAGACTCACTCTCATTCCCTCCTATCTCCCAACGCATGCCCGCGACTTTTACAAACGTCCAGTACCGAAAATGCTTGACTTCGAGGACCCACGGGCAAGTTACTAGGGTCCAATGCGATGGCAGCGAATATCAGAAGGTTCGTGTCAGGGATGCACCGACGCTGGTGCTGACAAATGATACACATCCCCGACGGCGAGCCTCGGCGGACCATGAATGAAGGCAGTGGTGAAGTTTTCAATTGGGAAATAAGTATTCGTCGATGGAGACACGAACGAAGTCGCGTATGGTCATTCGAACCTATCTACTGACGTGGAAATTTTGAGTCTGGTAGATGCAGATTATACCGTCCCACTTAAACCGGATGGTGCGGTAACCTCGCGGCATGCTACGTCTTTTGTACTACACTTTACTGACAATCATTACGTCACTACTTATCGTCATCGTGCCCTTATCAGGACAGTTCACCAGATCGCAATGATGGACAAAATCGTAAGATTTGCAGCTGTGGGATGTCAGTGAGTTGTGCGAATGTTGATGGGTTACTGTCATGGTGATTGGGCTGCTGTGTTATGCGAATGATGTGTGATTACCTTTAGTGCTTGCAAGGTTTCTCCGACCCCATTCACAACAATGTCTGACATTGCAAGCTCTTGCGCAGGTGACATATCAAAGTGGTGGAGAACAGTGGTGGACAGATGCTGTTGAAGATAACGAACACACTTACACGGCAAGCAAGGTTTCTACCGCAAGTCAAGAAAATATGTTTGTACTTGTTGAATCCCAAAGCCTTTGACTTCCTTTTTTAGAAGCAGGAACCTTCCTCCGCTGGCCGAGAACGAAGCCAAGTTAAAGTAATGCAATAAGAATGCATTCTATGAAATCTGGCTCTACTTCCAGGGTGTCCGGAAACAAAACAAAACTCAAGACCGTGAAACTCGACGCGACCGCTGAGCCTCCGAACAAGAAGCTAAGAACAGTAAGTTTGTCGTCTTCTATGGGACGCATCTTTGCCCGGTCTTATACTACGTGTCAAACCAAGCTAAACCACATTTATCTTCGCTGTTATCTCAGTCCGCAAGGCCACCCGTTTTTGATTTCACAGGGTCTGCACCTCAGCCGCCATCAGAAGGGCCGCCGGCATCGTCGCAACGACCCTCACTCTTACAGTCGCAGACACAACGCCAAAGGAAGGACGTGAAGGGAAAGGGAAAGGTGGTTTTGCCTCTAGTGCATCAGGAAGATAATAGGCTCTGGGTGGACAAGTATGAGCCAACGATCGAGGTCTGCCTCAGTTTATCTCGAGTTGTGCCCAGCTAAACGTCGGTGCGATTGTTCTTGTTGGGTATCGCCCATAGGCTGATCTAGCAGTGCACAAGCGCAAAGTTGAGGATGTGCGGCGATGGCTCTCCGAAGCTTTTGAAGGAGGGCCGACTGGGAAGCTGCGGAAATATCGCGTATGTCGTCAACATTCTGTTGTTCTGTGGATTTATTCATGACTGAATCATACATGGTGCATTTACTCACAGCGTATTCTAGTTCTCACTGGGCCTGCTGGTACCGCAAAGACTACCACACTCCGCGTAATAGCTCGAGAGATGGGTTTCGATATCGTCGAGTGGCGCAACAGCATGAGCGAACGCGGCCCGAGTAATTTTACCGAAGATTCCAAGGACCCTGGTGGTGAGCACCATAAAACCATATGCTATCTGTATGAAATCATCGAATTCTCTCCTGCAGACGACTCTTGGATGGATACGGAAGCATTGTTCGACAAGTTTCAGGCATTCCTCAAGAGAGCTTCCGCATGTCATAACATTTTCTCTGCAAGTTCTGCAGCCTCGTCGGCGCAACCAGAATCCCACACTCAGTCACAATCTGTACCGCAATCCTTCACGCAATCCCTCCCCTTTACTTCCAAACCTACTAACCGCCACTTGATCCTTCTAGAGGATCTCCCAAATATCCTGCACCTCCCCACGCAAGGGCGATTTCACGCTGCCTTGCAGTCGCTCTGCGGTTCTTCTGACTCTGGGCCCCCAGTCGTGATCATCATATCCGACTCTGGTCTCCGCGGCGAGAATGCCTATAATGATGATGCATGGGACGGTGCGGGCGGTACGCGCTGGTCCAAGAAAGAGACTATCGACATTCGAAGTGTTCTTGGAGCCGACCTTTCCACCAGTCCATATGTCACGCGCATCGGATTCAACCCTATCGCGCCAACACTCATGACCAAAGCCCTGCAGGCGATGCTCACCAACCATTTTGCGTCTACATCCGGAAAGCCACCAACAAAAGACGTTGTAGAGATGATTGTCGAGTCCTCGAATGGGGACATCAGGAGTGCGGTGATGGCATTGGAGTTTGCGTGTGTTGTCACGTTACCGATCAAGGGTACTGGGAAGGGTAAGAAGCGAGGGAATACGACTGGAAGTGGGGGTGCACGGGCTGTCCTGGAGGCTGTTACGCGAAGAGAGCAAAGTCTAGTGCTATTTCATCTGATGGGGAAGATATTGTATAACAAACGTAGGTACTTGCGCCGCTGCCATTTTGGTCAAAGCTGACGAGATGCAGGCAAGGGAGACTCTCCGGCAACACACCTCTCTGCCAAAGATGCCGCAAAGGAGCGCGAGCTGGATGAAACCCTTATGGACCCATCACGTTTACCAGACTGGCTTTCGGAACATGATCGGAAGGCGAGCCGGGTATGCCTAGAGGTACGACTTCTGTTGAGTGCGACACTGATGTGTACTGAGGTGTTTTTAAATGGTTGGTAGACAATTGCATCAGAATCACCCATTGATTCATCACTACTGGGATTGTACATCCACCAAAATTATACCATGTTTTGTACGGATGTCGATCAATGTGACGGGGTCTGCGAGGGGCTTAGTTGGGTTGACTGGATTGGCGGCGTGAGTACGAGCGTCGTTCATATCTCCCTCATTTTTAATCTCTCTCCCGACCACAGCACCTCCCAACCAACACTCCATACGCTTTTCCAACACTCGCATTGTCGACGCTTCATGCTCTCCCAACACCAGTCCCACGAAAAGGGCAGAAGGTGTGCAAGCCCTCATGGTTTGATGTGCGCAACAAGGAGCAGGATGCGTTGGAAGGTGTGGGCCATGTCGCGGCCTGGTTGGGACACGGAGGGGGAAGTGACGAGTGTGCGCCAGGGAGATGGACACATGGTAACATTGCAGTTGAGCTGGGTGGCTGGTTGCGCGCTGTTGATCGCCCTGGCAATGCTCAACTGCAGGTTCCGCGAGCGCACAAGCTTTTCTCGTGCATTCAGTGGGGTACGGGAGGTGTTGGTGGCGATGTGCTTGGAGAAGATGAGTATGGGGAGGCATATGATGGCAGGGATGAGGGTGATATCATGGTTTTGGGGGCTTTGAGAGATGAAGAGGAAGAAAAGGGCTGGTGGCTGGAGAGCGATGATATAGAGGAGGTGGAGTAGGAGGCTTGGAGCTATATCATAATAACCTACGTTGCCTTCATATTGACATTGTCCGATGTCGAAACTAATTTCAGTCTCAACATTGGACAACGTCAATATTAAATAAATCTGAGAGAGGCATCATGACATGTACTTTACCAAATGCATAGCGCCCAGTGCCCAGTGTCTTCAAAAATCAACCACCATGTCTGTAATTAGACACGGTCATAGACTAGTTCGACGTGAAGTTAATCATCTCAACTCTCGACCAGCATGGTGCCTTGTTACCCGTCCAGCAGCACGTAGGGTTTTCTCTTCAGCTGCACCACCACAAAGTACAACTGGCGGGGTACGCGTTTCCAAACTCTTCACAGCGTTGCTAGCACTCGGTATCGGAGCGACTGGTCTTGGACTGTGAGTCCTGGCCTCGAACTTTTCCTTCAACCTGAATAATCTTGCTCTCCGCTAAAGTTATGAGTTCTACACCTCCTTTACCCTCTGGCCTGAGCAGGTTCGCGGAGACCTGCGCGCAGGAATCAAAGCAAGGAATCAAGGAGATTTGTCTCTGAGCGAGAGGTATATCACCCGGTACGTATTGTTGCATATAGTGTATCGTAAAACTCTGACCCTTGATTTTAGTGCATTCCAAACAGCACTGTCTCTTCCCTATCAAACATTCGCGCCAGATCCGTATCTAAAGCTATCAGGAATAGCCTCTCTCCTTTCTGAAGTTTCCTCCGACCGTCGCTCCCGAGAGGCCCTGCGAATTGCTTGGGAGCTAGGTGCCGGTCCGAGCGAACAAACTCATCCCTCACCAGACGCCGAGAAGACGCCGAGTCCTGTGGCAGAAGGAGCACCTGGATGGTCAAGCTACACCTTGAGCGACGAGGAACGCCTTCGACGAGTGGCGCTTGCATATAAATTGGGTCAATTGTCAAGTGAGCGGGACGTGGATGAGGAGGAGAAATGGCTCATTTGGGCTGTGGAGGAGGTCTTGAGGCTGTCTGGACTTGGGACGAAAAATGCAGACTCAGATACGAATACAAAAGCGCACTCAAATTCAGGGTCTAGTGCGCTCGAGGAACTCGACCCTCCGGCATGGATGTCAAAGACAGATCTTGGTGCCCCATTGGAAGCCCTTGGTGCCCTTTACGCAAAGAAGGGTAGAATCGAGTGAGTAGCATGCCAGTTAGAGATGTGGATCCCCTTCCATGTTAACATCGGCCTTTCATTTAAAGCTAACGCTTCTACCGACAGGTATGCGATGCCATTGTATCTTCAGGCGATCTCCTTACTCTTGCCACCCAAAACGCACAACGTGCCTGTTGAAGACCGATGTCGCGGTGAGTCATAGTACTGCGGCTGGTTCGATTTTCTCTCATGCACAAGCCGCCAACAAGCCGCTCAACTCATGAACAACCTTTCTGAGTTGATAATGCGTCGTCCTCCCACACCAGAAATACGTGCACAAGCTGAGGCTTGGGCACGTCAAGCATTGGGAGTTATTGAGCGAGCTCAAGCGCAAGCGCAGCCGAGCAGCTCACGATGGTTCGAATGGGGACAGCCCGCTGATGATGGAAGGGAGGTTTGTGAGCAGGCGCTCGGCGTAGGTGCTCTTCAATTTGGGGAGCTTCAGAGAAGTAAGTGTTTTTTCATTACGAGTCACGTCAAAAACGCTTATTTGACGTCTGCCCAGATGTCATCCGACTTAGATGGTGCAAGGGAGCTATTCGAGAAGAGTGTAGAGCAATGTAGCAAGGTGGGGATTAGGGAGGGCGTTGCTGAAGCGCAAGAAGCACTACGGAGGGTTGAGAAAGCGAAGAAGGTGGGTTGATAGACTTGTTCTATATTATCAAGATTCGAAACATGTTTCTGGATTTTGTCTGTCAGCGAACTTCTCCAGGATGACACCAAATTTTCTACGTGCTTGAGCACAGGTGGCGACGGAGAATTGAACCAAGAACGTTGCCCATCACTCAATTTTTCTACTGAAGCACGCTTCATACTAGAAGACACAGGTGGTACTTTTAGAGGATTCACGACAATCATCCTGCACATTCAGAACTTCCTTTGAATTCAAATCTTAGTTAAAGAAAGAGCGCCGGGTACTGGACTTTCCAACATCGCAACACAAGCTAGCCTGAATCTGTTAGAATCGATCAGTGAGCGCTTTTCCTGCGTCGTAAGACGATGCGGCTCTAAAGCAACATATATTGGATATTCAAGCGAAGGCATCAAGATATTCAGCCACCTGACCACATCGTTCTATCTGTAATGACTTGTGCACGAATAGGTTGCTCCTTATGGGCGCATCTATCTTTTCGCTTTTGCCAAGTATGTTTGTATGCAAGTATGTTTGTATGCAAGTTTGAGATTGATACGCAAGCATCGAGCTCTTCAGACGCAGACTGTCGGGGCTACCTGCCTATGAGCAAGTTTTGCGCCTCGGACGCGAACGCGAGAACCCAATTTTCCTTGACATCGGTTGCTGCTGTATGTGCTCTCCCTATTGTGTCCGCAGGAAGCTGATGCACGGTTTACTTACTAGTTGGCAATGTCATCAGGGAAGCAGTTCTTGATGGTTTCCCGGCAGCCCAAACTATCGGAAGTGATCCCCATCCAGGTGAGCATAGAATACGGCATGATATAGGACTAACGAAGCACTTACAATTATCGCAGAACTCTGGGATTTGGGGCATGAACTCTTCAAGTCGTCTCCAGAGACCTTTCCAGCTCACTTCGTGGGTAGTGACGCCTTCGACCCAGAAATGCTTGCCATAGCTCCCGTGCAGACAACAGGGGCTCCGAGTCCTGACCTCGATAACATCACTTCGCTGAACCCTTTACGTGGATGTGTTTCTGCAATTCACGCAACAGTCTTCTTCCACTTGTTTAAAGAGGATGAACAGCTGCGCATGGCCCGTGCTTTCGCTGTCCTGCTGTCCGCTGAGCCAGGCTCCGTCATTCTCGGGGCGCACATAGGTGCCCCAGAGAAGGGTCCCGTGAAAAAAAAATGATGTCGAGGTTGATATGTTCGCCCACAACCCAAAGAGCTGGAGTGCCATGTGGAATGGCGAAGTATTCAAGGAGGGGACAGTCAAGGTAGATGTAGAGTTGATGCAGGAGAAAATTGGCACCGCAGGGAGGGACGAACGCCCGTTGGCATTGGTCTGGTCTGTGACTAGGTTGTAAGCAAAGTGGATGATAAGTCATTAACACACAACCTCGGTTTTTTGTTTATAAATCACGCTGTAGATATTAGCATCTAATGGTATAAAGCCCGAGCGCCGGCAACTCGGATGTGTTGTATTCTTCAATTCGTCATGTGAAGCAAGTACATTATTCTCACCTGCCTGCTACGGTGGATGTCCGACGCTTATGCTCAATGACGATCAACGTCTTATCGAGCTTTGACGAGGGAACAGTAGACTTCAAATCCCAAGACAGTTTGAGAGTAGTTGAACGTATTTCCTCGTCAGAAAATGCTGTTCGAGCATCGGCGAGAACTAGTCTCCCCGCCGACACACAATATGGTGGTTGATTTTCGTCGGCAGAAACATGCGATAAACTCTGGTTGGGATGTTGGCACGACCAAAAACTGACTCCTCGATTTTCGTGGACTGGGAAGGTCTGCAACAGCAAACGTTGGGAGATACTTACGCCGCTGTACTTACATTCCTATCTTGGTCCTCAATGCCAGCAAGTTGCTGACATAATCGTACCTGTTCTTCGCTGGACTTATATTCGCGGTCGCTTCCATCCCAGTACCAGACCTCAGGTCACCCACCGAATTGAATCCTTGTCATCACAAATGGCCACGAAGGATGATACACAGGCAAAAGCCCCTCCAGAAACTCGCAACGTTGTCCAATTCCTTCGCAGCAGTAAATCCGGCATGAAAATACGTGTCGGTGCGCTGAATGGAAAACGCGTCGACTACTTCAAAGGTATTTCATTGTCTTGCGTGGTTTTTTTTTGCCTCTGTTCTAACTACGATCACGACCATCAGGGAAATCCGCAGTGAAAGCCCTCCTCTCCCCCGCCTACGCAAAAGTCAAAAATGCACCCAAGGTCACCACCGAAGCCGAAGCCGAGGCCCTCCTCCAATTATCCATCCAATACGCATTCTACCTCCGCGTAGACCGTGGAGCACCCACGGGCTCATCCACATCCCCGCGCCACGTCACTCTCGTTCCGCAGCAACAATTCACCCAAGACGCGTACTTTGTGTGGCTTTATGAAGGTTCTCAATGGACAACTTATGCAGGAGGACTGTTGATGGTCGCGCTTATGCTTGCGGCTGTGATGTTCCCGTTGTGGCCGCCAGTGTTGCGCTTGGGCGTGTGGTACCTCAGTATTGCCATGTTAGGCTTACTCGGAGCGTTCTTCGGGCTCGCGATCATACGGTTGATATTCTACATCATCACCATGGTCGTAGCCAGCCCTGGAATTTGGATCTTCCCACAACTATTTGCAGACGTCGGCGTGGTGAGTCCTGATATGTTTTCGCGGTTTCCTTTGTTGTTTCTTAGGCGTTTGGTCTAGATCGAGTCGTTTATTCCGTTTTGGGAGTGGGATATTCCGAAGAAGAAGTCTGGGAAAAAGAAAAAGGGAAAGGCTCCTGCTGGTACGAATCCTGAGGAGCAGCTTGCTATCAATGGTGGGGCTTTTATTGAGGAGGTTAATGACGAGTCACCCGAGCACTCGCGTCCAGGGAGTCGCTCAGTGCGAGTTGAGGAGGTTCCGGACGTGGATTCATGACAGGATCTTTGCACGGTTGGTTGTAGGCCTTCATGTTTTTTTTATGTTTTCAGTGGAGCAGACGGGAACAAAGGGACTAGATGTTCGTTATGAGCACTTCCATTGCACTCATCAGGAATCTAGATTAGAGCTCATTCCCTGGTCCCAGGTTCGCCCATACACCATGTGAAATTGCATCTTTACTCTCAGCTCTTTGAACGCCGTCACAATTAATATTGTCCTGCGGCGCTCGGTAACCATATGATTGAGGTTATCAGGTTCTATCAGTCGTTCCTCTGTGTTGGTCGTAGGAATGATTCTCATGCCACTGCTAAAGACAGGACAAAGTTCAAACGGAGCAATCCAACAGGAATCATGTAATAGTATCACCACGGCGGAACAGGCATCAGAGTATACGACCTGGCGTGACATGCCCTGACCTCCACACAGTAATAACTTGGGGACACTTTATGCGTGCGATGCATACGGACTCATATAACATGCATGACATATAAAGTGACGATGAACGACAAGGACCAAGACCCATGGTATGATCACGAACTAGCCCAAGGCTTAAAGCTTGCCAAGAGCAGCAGCCTTGGAATCCAGACCAGCAGCCTTTGCGCGCTTGCGCATCATCTGGGTAGACTTGTTGCCACGAAGACCGCCACCCCATTGACGACGCTGTTCCTCGTACTTGTCAGTGCTGTAGTTTCTCGATTAGCATCAAAGAGAAGTATAAAATTTAAAGGGAAAGCTCACAAGTTGGCTTTGGCGGCGCTGACAAGGGTTGCAAGCTCGCGCTGGTCCTCACTGTTGACATCTTGGAGGGTAAGGACGGCAGCAGTCTTCTTGTGGACGACTGTACCGAGACGGGCTTTGCCCTTGACGATGACATAGGGGACACCCATCTTGCGGCAAAGAGCGGGGAGGAAGACGACCAACTCAATGGGGTCAACATCGTGGGCAATGACGACGAGGGACGCTTTCTTGGCCTCGATGAGGGCAACGCAGTGGTTCAAACCGTACTTGACGAAAAGAGGCTTCTTGTCCTGTAGATCGTTGAGTCAACAATCTGTGTTATATGATGCCTTGTATACAAACTTTGGCAGGCTCCTTTGCGTCAGTGGCAGCTTTAGCTAGAGCCTCGAGACGCTCCTTCTTCTCGACCTTGCTCTCTGGGCGGTACTTGTTAAGGAGCTTGAAGAGCTGTGTGGCGGTGTTCTTGTCCAGAGTGTGGGAGAACTGGGCAATGGCGGGGGGAACCTTCAAGCGCTGAGAAAGGATGACCTTCTGGCGTTGAAGACGAATGTACTCGGGCCATTTGACGAAACGAGTGAGATCGGTCTTGGGACGAATGTGTTGACCTAAGAAACTTTGATCAGTCGTCGATTCAGCGAGAAAGACATGTAGCGCGGACCGATGCCAAAGTTTTTGGGTTGGGCCTCAAAGAGAGGGTTTTTTGTGGATTTTACGGCTTTGCCAGCAGCACCTGGTGCAGGTGCAGGCTTCTTACGGGAACCGGCCTTGGCTTTGGGGGGCTGGTCATTGAGACGAGAACGAATGAGCATGCGAAGCAAAGCACAAAAGTGCCAGCAACGTAAGCTGCATGTTTCGGAGCTCTAACGCTCGTGGATGACCGTGCATCCAACGAGCCCAGCAGATAAAGTATCATTGCCGTACGTGACGACTCCACTTGACTTGATAACAACTATCAAGATGTGCGCTGAACCGATTCTATAAGACCGTAAGCATGATATTCCAAAGATGCATCTGAATGAAGGACTTGCCATCCATTGCGTTGTGAGAGAGGCGGAATGAATTGAACGGTGCTAGGGTACTCCGATGCGTGCAGGGAACGATGCTTGCTGGTAACTCACCATTTTGATAGTCTTGAGGAGTAGGCCTTGAGCTTGAGGTCGTCGATGATCGATCTCTGTGAGTGCTTTGGGTATTTGAGTATTTGTTACTCCGCCCCGGCACCGGCCGGCTGACTTGTCCTGACAGCGACGGTTTGATCTCCCGGAACCGATAAGTACTCCAACAAGGGCAACAACCAGTTCAAGAGGACTAGTGCGCCATAGTAAAAGGAGGCGAGTGCAGGCGGGATGTCGTCCGAACGTAGTGGTCTATGTGGATGTTTCCTGTAGCATACTAGGCCGCAACTGTGCTTCGACTTTAACACTTCAACCCTCGATCGATTTAACTTGAGTAGGCTTTTTTTGTTGCGGTATATTCAAGGTATGTATCGCATCTCTCTTAATCCAGGTCCCGCCACTAGTACTCCACGCCATTTTCCCTTTGGCACTCTCAGGAGGCTTGAGTGGACTGTTTATGTGATGGACCTGTTTCTACACTTTGCAGCGACCTGGGGCAGCGGGTGAGAATTCATTTTGCAAGTACGCGTCAACTGTCAGCCTACAGCAGTGAGGACATCGAGTCTCGACCGGTTAATACCGGATACGAGATATCTAACAGTCAGTGTAGGACAAGGGCCATATGACCTCGTTAGATAACGTAAGTACTAGGTGAGTTCCGATGTGAGACCAGGGCCTCATCGACAATGCTGAACACGGATGTGGCATTAGCCCACACAGGTTAGAATATGACCTCGGTAATAATTCTGATGTTATCAAGCGCACGCTGAGTATTGCTAGTCCCATCATTGACTCCATCAAAAAGTTGACCAAGCCAATTTTGCCGCAGTGATTGTAATATTGATCTTGAGTTTGCACGACGACAACAATATTCTGTCTCGTACCATTCTGAGATCCATTGGATGGTATGAAGATCGAGGTTCACTCTAATCCCGTGCTTCTGTGCCCATTGAAGAACACACAGGATGTAGCTAACTTCATCACCAACAGGGCATCAGAAGATGAAAAACGTTCATGCAATGATTCAGATGCGCAGTGCTCACAGCCAACAGACTTTCTCGAGGAAAGGCTCGAAGTCCCAGACCTCATTCTCAATGGACTCAAAGCAAACCTATTCAGTTCAGTTCAGCTCCAGCAATTTCCGCGATATCCTGCTCGGTTTACAAGCGTATTTGGGCGCCGTCAAAGAGGCCAAAAGAAATCCACTTACAATAAAGGTATTTTAATGGTTCTCTAGCTGCTCAAGTCCCCATCTGCCGCCACCGTGGAGTATGCTCAGGATCCACTCGTTAATGCGTCAACTGCGCCCGAATACTTCTTGTAAAGGGCGGATGTAATGAAGGGTTCCAGGACAAAAAGTCCCGCCGATCTCAGTCGACACTGTACCCGGTGCCACGGATGTTAAACTCGTGAACGGATACATCACTAGAGTGTTTTTGCTGAGGATGATTACAATGTAAAATAGCGCTCCACTTGATGCAGTATAAGTGTGGAAATGTCGAGTCGAAGTACTAAATCAACTTGACCGTCCACCAACGTGATCAATCGATTGCGACGTCAACCCCTCCGACTCGATGCCGTTCAAGGCGCCTTGAACGGAAGGAAATCCCGCCACTAACGAAACTGCAAGCAACTATTGTCACATTGCCAAGCTATATCTCCTCTAGGCAGACCAAACAGAATGAAGACACCCGTTCCTTCCATCGCCAAGCTACAAATAGATGATCGTCGAGTCATGCAGTCGTTTCCTCCAGTCGTAGCTCCTCCAGCCGGTGTATCGGGAGGTACCGAGGGGCGTTATTGATTCGGAATCTAGTCGAATAGAGCAGCGACGTGGTTCAAGTAGAGCATAGTTCAAACTTCAGGCAGGGCGTGGAAGCAGCGATTCAAATTACGAGCAGTGGCACGGGTCATACTGGCACAGTGTTTGGGGTCTCGGACACACCGTAGACGAAATAATTATGATCATGCATCATGTTCTAGTAGTAATATTAAGTTCGACCTACGAAGCCCAGATCTTCAATTGAGCAGCTCTAGAATCTACATAAGAATCTAGCCCTCAATGAGGGCCCAAGGCGAATGGCTACAGTATTACACAGGTTCCGGGTCGATAAACCCTTCACACTCTTACTATTCCGGAATTAGCGGCACTCACAAGCCAGAAGATGAGAGGAAAAACCCAGTGACTCTGGCGCAAGTCTGATTCATGCACGTATGGTATCAGCAGGGAAAGCTACGTGCGATGTTGTCTTCAAGTGTAGCCTCAGTCTACCAGCTGAACAAAGAGCTAGACAGCGAAGGATGAGGCTGAGCGCTGACCTCCTGTGCACCAGTCGTTGGTCTGAAGCCTGAGAAACGGTAGTTAGGCCTTTAGGTGTCATTGTGGGCGCAAGGTGCTTGCAACTTGATCTGAGAGACGGCCTAGTTTACGTTCACATTTGAAACTTTCTTCAGCCGTAAGCGTGCGCTCTCATTGTTGGAGAGGGTACTTAGGCGACGCTAAGCGCTCGGCTACATACAGGCTCCGGTCGATGAGCACTCGACGAGCAGCCCCGACTTCCAGATTTGCAGGTACAATTGTGATGATTTCGTTTGAAGTATTTTCGGCGGCTACTTATTCTTGTACGACAGTTGCGGCCGTTCAGAAGAGTTGACAAAAACCCCAACATGATACCGTGGTATCCAAATTGGTGCACATGCCTAATAAGCTGAGGATTGATTTGCGAGATATGACGTTAACGACACGACAGGTTGTGGAAATGAATTGGGAGTTCTCCGTGTTCGGGGAGTTTTCATCGCCGGAGGATCATCGCATCGATCAACTGGCGCTCTGCCCTAATCAGTGTGAGTGACAATGCGCCATCTTGCTGGGATACTTTGTACTAGGAGGTCACTAATATCAACGTCTTCTCGCGAACAGATGGGTTTTACCGCCGCGAACTATGATCTATATTGATTGTTTTAGGCATGGGCCACAGTGAGTCTTGACGTGTCTTTTTACGCATGCATAATGGCCGTCACGTACAGCGTCAGAAACTTCCAACCGTTCTTGGTTGGATGCTCCAATATTGGCACCGCGAAACCTTGCGCACTGGGTCGGTAGCTTGATCAACTGCAAAGAGGTTCTAGATCTATGTTCGTTAACAAATTGTCCCGTGATGCGCCTGTCTCCAAAGTGGTTTCGTTGTTAATTATACAACTGCTCTGCCGCAATTCGGGAAACTTAGTGCTATATTTGCCGGTACCCCACACCCCACACCCTTTATATTAACCCACCTCCGATTCATGCACTTTACCTGCTTTGACGCACAATCACATCGCTCTCATGTTGCATTCTCCTGCACCCATCCTCCATCGCTCACGCTCTGAACGCTGCTCATCGCCATTTGCTGGCAGCATGACAAGTTCATGTGGTCTCGATATTCTGCCGCTAATGTCACCGAGCCAAAGTACAGAAGACATTTTTCGGACGATCATGAAGGTCAGAAAAAACTGGAAAATTATGAAGGGTGATACCAAGCCTGTATGGCCACCTTATCTTGAGGCCACTATGCTGAAAGGTGCGGATCACATCTGCTGGTCACAACCTTATCCACATGACTCCTCCAGGCCTTCAGGAATATGAACCGGTTAGCCGGGAAGCCCAGCTTTTAGGTCGATTCCCTAAGCGCAGTCGCTTCATCTCGCAGTACATTTACCGCCAGACGGGAAGGTACAGGTCATCAAAACAAATAAGCAGTCGTCTACAACAACTCAGGGACACATCCGAGGGACGGGAGTGTGAGTATCATCCCTTGGTAGTTTGTGCGTTCGTTGAGACGGCATCATTAACATTCTTCTATTTTGGTTTATCATTGGAAGTAATCGATTCCCTCACGCAAGGTTATCTTGCACGAAGGGAATCCGGCTCGTCACAGAGGCTTTCTCCTCATAACCAGATATTTGAGGCCAAATCCAAGCCTCCGTTTTCAACCAGCGACAACTCATACACTTCTTCATCCGCCGGCTCGCCCATATCATCCGCAAAATACAGCCCTGTCATGCCATCATCTAAGCAAAACCACCTCCCTGACACGCGTCCTCTAGTATACATCGACATTTTGCCAGAGCCTAGCCTATTCTCGAGCTCATCCTCATCAAGTTTATGTGCACCGTCTGCTTCTCCATACCAGTCCCCACAAGGTATCGCTGCATCCCACCCCTCCTCGAACGCGCCACGTCGCATGAGGGACATTGATCCCACCGCTACCTTCGTTTCGCCCTCTGCTGTCATTGGCAAGTCATCCTATATAGTGTTATTAGATGGCGCACCCATACACAGCGAGGACACGAAACTCGAATGCGTTGGACCATATTTGACCGGTTCTTCCGGTGACGGTCTATTGCTCCACACCACAACTCTTGTTCCCAAATACTGGGAGACCTTGTGCAAATCTCCAGGTCCGTATTTTCTTACCTTGACGTGCAACAGGCATTTATTTATTGCCCCAAGACCCAACCGTATACACCATCATTCAGGATGTGTACAGCGCTCCAGACTCAGAAACTTCCACAAGGTCCTCAGGTCGCCCGCATCTGGTCCCTATCTTCTCTGCCACATACCACTTCCGATACCCTGTCTCTGTATGCACGCCTCCATCTTCTATGTCACCACATTTCGCATATCAAGCCAATTCATCGTTTCTCGCAAACAATACTCATGCTTCTCCTGATTTACTCTACCGCATGTCTCCGAGCCTCTCGGACCAATGGTGGCTTCAGTCGCACGAATGCAACACGCAAAACCAGCTGGACGAGCCATTCATATTGGACCTTAACCTGGATGAATTTTCCTTCGATGACTTCATTCACGACTTGCCTGAGGCGACATCAAAAGAGATGATTGCACAGTCGTCGTCAAGCTTGCCGAAGGACATCCGTAATTATGTGAGTAACCGACCCAATGAGGAGGTCTGCTCTCACATCTCCGTCAGATCATGTAGAAAAGTAGTGCACATACAACCGTAATATTGACATGTACTATATTGCTTGTTATTTTACATATTGGAGGTGTCAGATGCTTCTAGACTGAATGTAGGTTCCTTAGCATTCGATGGATATGAGAACGGTCATGGTGTTGCGTTCTGTTGGTTCCCTCGGTTCATCGCTTATTCGTAATTTTGAGCAATATAGTCTGGGCAGACATGTATAACTGCGCCGGTGGCACGTCTTCAACCCGAAGCTCTTACTAGAGTTCACTAGCTATCCTCGTTCTTTTCCTGATTGATGTCGCGATTTTGGTGGGAAGAACGCCAAACCGTCGGGTGCATGACACTCTGTAACTAACCAATCTAACCGCTGCACGAAACATTTACCCGAGTTGCAAGTACCCAAGCATGGCGATGATATTCAAAAATTCATCGGATGTGACTCTACTAGTGCGTATTTGAAAGTCGAATATATTCAGCGTAAAACAATAAACTATCCCGACTGTTTAGAGATGCGAACTCATTTCACCCGAGCATTAGATTTGAACCCTGAGCTTCACAACATGTGTACACTTCTCCCCATCGCGAACTTAGAATGATGCTAGAAGTCCAACTCACCGCTCTTTAGCGGCGGGGTGACTTGTATCCTCGCCGCAAATTCTCTTGCCGCATCAGGGTGACGGCGGTCAACTGATTGATGCCCCTAGTAATTCACCGTCCAACTTTTGCTGCGGTAGACGCACTGCTTGTCTCGCCGTACGTGGCACCAAGTGCATCGACCCACGGTACGCATCATGATGGCCGTGGTTCCCGCCATTCCGCCCCACTCGCTCACCTTGAGGATCATGCTCATAATGCCAGCGACAATCGCTGGATCTGTTTGGTAATGCATCCACCTAACTTTCATATCAGGGAAATGCTTGTGGGTTCTGGGCTGATAGGCAACGCTATAACCGGCTTTTGATGAACCAGGGCTTCGAGCGCTTGCCGCTGCAGCGAGGATGCTAGAAAGGCTGCTGGACACCATAATTCTATGGTGTCGGCTTATGCGCCGCAAGTTTTCTGCTATTCTTGTGATAGCATTTGCTACAGGACTTGCAAGGGATTGATTCAGAAAAGGCGGACGTCTGTGCCGCGCCAAGTGTCGAGAGAGATCCAATAATGTAAACAGAGGTACTGTATGCCTTCGTTAGCCTGTACGTATGGGAAACACGAGGTGACGGAGGTAAGAATTCCATGATGGTGATCCGAGAAAAGGTTCCTTACGAAGTTTGATCATGATAAAAATGATGTAAAGTCGTGAAGACATTTTTGAACCATCAAGTAAGATTCAATGTGCGACTTACCTGAAAAGTCCATTATGATTTCTTGACGTTAATTTTTAATTGTGATCAGGCGCCTAACCTTGGAAAATGAAATGCCTGCGCGGGCACTCTAAGATCGGGTTTTTGTCATGGCGCTTTTACAGTGGAGACGACTACTATGAGATCTAGCCCAATCGTCCATCGATATCTCTTCTCTGGGCCTCGATACTTATTGCCTGATGGGCCGTGGCTATATCGTTTATGCTCATCCATGCTATGGGGTTACTATATTGACAGGGGCCTCGCAAGTACCTTGCGTCCATGATAGGCCACGGCGGACGTAATGCAGTCGCAGTCACTTGCGATAACCCATACCGAACCATGAGTCTGAACGTGAGGTAATGCTCATGTCTTGCCATAGATCGTTAGCAGTGACTTGCCAGGGTTGGTACATATTAATCGGGGGGCGAACTCGGGAGCGCTTGGGTTTAAGATGTTGTGTGGTTTGGGCAGAACTCAGGGCTGGCGAGAACTCACCCATGATAACATGTACACAACCTTCATCCAAAATATGGTCCATGGTGGTGGCCACCCAGTGCCATCCCTAATCAACGATACTTTGAGCATCTCGAAAGAGATCAGAGTCAACTCTGGAGAAATCTATCAAGATATCTCATTCGCGATACCTGGCCGCTGGGCATGGTGGGGAAACAGACCCGTCGAAAAAGGTGCGTCAAGTCATTCTTTTGAAGAGATTTAAAATATTCCCACGCATCTTGACACATTCGTTAGTTTCATGGGTTCCAATATTTTCCAACGCATACTCCGGTTGAATGCAAATGTACGACTTTTCTCGACCAGAACCCCACCCGCCGCCCGTCCGCCATACCGCTACCTAAGAACATTAGCCCTCGGAGGGTCGGTCGCTGTCACCGGTTACACCCTCGGGGCCCTCTACCCGCACCGGCACATCACATTCATATCCCCCCGCCCAGCCCCAGGTCCACCCGATCCCGAATCCCCCCAATCAATCGCATACACAGCAGCCCTCGAACAATCCCTACAGACCCTCCCCCTCCTCACTTCCCTCCGCGCCAAGCCCGATGCTGACGAGTGGTACGAAACTCGCCCTTATGTCAATTACGCAGAGCAGTTCCGCGTAAACAGCCTCACTGCAGGCGCACTTCGCGGCCCGGGAAAGCTCGCGCTTCCGCCCCTAGTACGCGCTAGGAGGGATGAAAGTGAGGCTGTCGTCATCGTGCATGTTGGTCGGGGGTTATGTGGGCACGATGGTATTATTCATGGCGGTTTGCTGGCTACTATATTGGACGAGAGTCTGGCAAGAACTGTGAGTTTTATGTACGTAGCGTTGCGTGTGTGTATGTGTTAACGCGTGTCGTACAAGGCGATCATCAATTTACCAGACAAGATTGGCGTCACTGCCAACCTGTCCATAAATTATCGCGCCCCGACATTTGCAGATCAGGCAAGCGCCTCTCCCTTTTAAATACTCGCGTGCATGACATAGTCCTAGTTTATCGTTGTCCGAATCAGTTTGGTCGACAAGGCGGGCCGCAAATCCAAAGTGAGCGGCAAAGTAGAGGACCTCAAAGGCAACGTACTCGTTGAAGCACAGTCAGTCTTTTATCTCTATTTCAACTCTCCTTACCCACTCTCCATTTTACAGCGCAACTTTTGTCCAACCTAAATACGCTCACTTGCTCAAGAGTAAAGCCATCCAACAGATGATGGGCCAACCCGAACCCGCTAAATCAACACCCGTGCTCCTCAGCGAGGGCATGCCGCCTCCACCTAAGGCATAGAGCAATTTATACAATTTACTCGCTAAGATATCATACAGTTAGAGATACCTGTATCATAGACCACTCTGCTGCAACCCTAGACGCAATTCGCGGAGCTGGACTCACGCGGACATATTCATGTACTGCCACTCAACCTACTTAAGAACAACTTCCAAGCCTCTTTCACCATGCCCCCTATTACTGAAAGCACTTATAGTACAGGAGGTCAACCGTGGACATAGAAATTAAGGAAACAAATTGGATATGAAGACGCGAAGAAGACGGCGCGCAGACTCATTTAAATTAGCAACGCGAAGCTCCCTTGTTCTCCACAAAAACATCGCCCCGCTGCAGAAAATAGCACTAGCATGCTGTCCAACCGTGAGTCTTGATAGAAACTGATGCCTGAACTCCCTAGACGTCATGCCAGCCTCCTGATCTACTGAGAACAAGCCAAGCAAATAAGGAACACTTCCTCTAACTACTTAGGAGAGACTAGGCCGCGCCTCCCTCCCCCCCTCCCATACACAACACCTCAACAAATACCCCTCTTGGATCAACACGGCAGACACCCGCGTGCGATTCGAAGTCTGAGCCACTCGAAGGATATTCCGCATCAGTTTCGAGCGCATCTTCCCTCCAAAGGGACAAAGCATAAGTCAATTGCAAGCACCAGAATTCAACAGCTACAACCTTCCCATTCGTCGATATACCACTCGGCACTTAGCTTCGTGCAACAGCGCATGCACCTGCCCCTGTCAACTGCCAGGCCCCAATGGGAACACAAGCCAATGGACATCTATATGTATTGTCAACTCTAGGCTAGCCTATGGGGACAATAAATGGAAAAACTCCAGTATAATCCTCCTAACACACCCATCATATGAGCCCATTCCCTTCGCACATATTCTCAGCCGAGATAGAGCAATGCATGTTGTTTACTGGTTAATATATCATAGTACTGTTAGATATACTTGTATGATATATCATAGTCCACTCCGTTGCAACCCTAGATGAAATTGATCGCGATAATATCCCTGTGATGCCACCCAACCTAGTTCCGATCCCCAAGAACAACCTCCATGGCCTCTTCCACAGCCCATGCCCCAACCCGCGCCCAGCGCGCATCCCCTCTTCTCAAATATCTTGCAATCTCCTCTGCTCTAACTTTGGTACTCTTCCCACCTATCCTCTTCGCACGCATGATTTCTCGAATAGGTCCAGCGAGCAGCGCTGGCGTCACAGAAATATAAGTCTCGTCTTCCTCGTCCATCGGTGGATCCGAGAGATATGCGTCTTCTTCAGACATTACGAACTTGGATGAAGAAGCACCGGTAGTCGAAAACATCGTACTATTGGCGGTCGAAAACACAGAATTGTTTGCAGTTGAGAAACTGGTTGTGCTGTTCGCAGTCTTCCACAAGTTATCCGTGTCGCCAAACCCAGGAGAAAGCAGCACGGAGAGAGCGCCGGGCAAAAGACGCAAAGATCTATCCCAGAGCACGATACTGCCCTCTTCGTACAGCTTTAGCACTGCCCATGAAAAAAGGCGCTTCATCTTCACACGCGGCGCATCAGAGGGCTTGATCCTCGTTTGGGAATGCGCGTGGGTGGGGTTCGATGAGGGCACATGGGCAGGTTTCGAAGAAGCCTTCTGCGTCTGCGCAGCTTTGGCTTTTTCAGTCTCCCTCTCCGCTCGGGCGCGCCGCTTCATTTCAGCATGAACGATTCGGACCAGCTAGAAGGGCTAGTTCCGGAACGCGGCGTAGATGCGAGAGCGTGAATCCTGTAGGGCCGCTAGGAGCACTGTCATCCAGAGTAGATACTCGCGGCGTCCGATCCTGCGCTACATACCCCGTCCGCGCCTTGGGTGTTTGATCAAACTGAACGCGAGGGCGCTTAATCGGCGTCGAGAACGGATCGTCACTTGCTACCACAGCGGGCGCATGATCCATATAATGTTTGAGATACAACCGAAATGTGTTTTCCCGTCAAGTCTCGCGTATGTAATCGAGAGGGGTGTCGAAGTTTCGGCGGGTCCTGCAAAATAATGGGTTAGGCGTTGACGGTATACGGTGCAGAAACTCACTGTGGATCCGGGTTTGACTGGACTTGATGGGGCGGAGGTGGTACTGTCTGTAAGTGGTGATGATGGGGCATGGGCTTGTAATGGACGCTTCACGGGAGTGCGGGGGGCGGGAATGTTCGTCTTCGATGTCAGCATATAGTTTTGTCTGTTCAAAGAGGGTGCTGGCTTGGACGTCGTGGCCAGTATTTCCACGCTCTTCCAAACCTGTGTCACATGAAGAAACAACAAGTGGCATGGGTATCTCAAATGGTTTCGGCACGGAATATTTCGACTTGTGAAGCTCCACGACGGTTTTCCAGTGTTTCCATTGATCGTTAGTTGATTGACAGGGCTCTTCAAGTCCATTCCCGTGGGGAGGTGCGTTGGGTTCGTGAAGAGCAGGTACGGGACATGCTCAGCTTGAAGTCAGAGATACGAGGTGCAGTACATACCGATAGATTCAGCTATTATTTGTCTCACATCATAGAACCGCACAACTTTGCCAATCACTTGTACAGGATATCCTATAGCAGTGACAGGAGTGGGTGGCGGAGGAGGAGGCATAGATCTGTTAAATCCACGCGACATCCCATCCCATCCGGATTTCTGAACCAAGCGACTTGCATCGGCGCTCATTGAAGATTTTGGTGGCGAGGGATGGCGAAGCACGCATTCTATGACAGCTGTAGAATCATCGACTGCGGGACGACCTCAGTAACGATTCGACCACGAAAACTGTTCACTTACTAGTATACAGCGTTCCGTTTCTCGTAGTCCTGGATTCCTACTACTATTCCAACGATGAGCACTGTTCGACAAGGGATATGTCCCAGCCAGTAAAAGTCGGTGTCTGATTCCGTGGATGATTTTAGTAGGTGTTGCAGTTAAGGTGACGAGGCAGACCTTTGGCGTTGCTTTGCTTCATCGAGAGAACGTCTCTGATGACGCATGGAGCAGTGGCTTCCTTGGTGAATGTCCATTTCCAGATGTCTTGTGCGGATAGAGATGTGCTGAAAGAGCTCATCTCGTTGAACTTTGACTTGACCGTAATCTCATTCGTAGTGAGTCGGGTTTGTGGTCAGAATAGGGTCGTGACGCGATGTAACTGACACGACCACGTGATGCCTCATAAAATTGGTCACCTGCTGTTACGCGTGCACTACCTACGCTACTGTTTAAAGTAGACAGCTTGCCAGCTGAAAGCTACCTAAGACTACTTAGGTCCAATGTCCAGAACATAATCTACATTCTGACTTCAAGGAGCTTTATGCAATTTATCTGGGGCTATATCATCACTAAGGATGAATCCCTGTGCGCGATCCGACTTCCAGAGCTCGAGATGCACTCGTATAACGAGCAAGGCATGACCTGCAAGCTTTGATACCATCCTAATGAGTATCCGGTGCTTCGCCGACATCAAGCACACGACGACCAGTACAGTAATAAGCGTAAATCCCAGTTACCGGAGACGTGCACGTACGGGAAGGAACCCTATGGCCAAGATAACAATGAGCGAAAAGACTGGTCAAACATCAGCTGCAGGCATGAATTACTAAAAACGCAGCCACGCACCAAGGAGTCCGCGGGTGAAGTAAAATATATTGTGCTGAATGAGAATCTTGAATTATCACTCCCAAGGCTTTCGTAATGTTTAATTGGGCGGGTTAGTGACAAGACAGATTGCGATACTTCTACAGCATGCAGATAAGAAATGTGAACTCAGGCTCACGGTATGTACTATCGGTTATCACAACTTCGGTCAACCACTGGTTCGGACACTTTGCAATAGTTCACACAATTCAGCCTCAATAAATATTCTATCTCACCACATATCATTGTACACATATTCTAAGCTACTATAAAGTTGAATCATCGAAATTGGTGGAGAAATGATTGAGATAGTTGTTAAGGTGTGACAAAGCAGCTGTTTGTCACTCGGCGAGTCTGCCGTGGCGGAGTTTCGATACCTTGTAGGAAAGATGGGCTCGTAACGCCAAATACCGAGCGGAGTTCGCTTCAGACAGCCAGTGACATGGTGTTACTACCCAGTGACATTGTGTGACTGTCCGAACCAGTGGTTGACCGAAGTTGTGGTAACCGATAGTAGCACCGTTCCCCACCTCTCGGAGTGGGGAATAAATGCCACAAATCATTATCGCAGGAGTGCAATGAGGCATGCAGGCACTAAAATATTTGTAGTGAGTGGTTTTCACGTCTACAACAGGTTTTTCACCATCCCTATGCTCAACCAGTGATGTCAAACCACAATCTCCTTCACCCTCTGGCAGCCTCCAAATAGCTTCTAACAGCCTTCAGCATCCATGCCTGCCATCACCCTACACTCGTCTACACTCCACCTCTGCGTTTGTCTGCATGTTTTTACTTGTTTCCGCATGTCACCACTCAATTTTGCTTGTCTGTACTTGTTTCCACATGCCGCCACTCATTTGTGTGTGCCTGCATTGCTCCCAATATATGGGTGGATATTATATATGTCTATGTATGTATGTACTTGCTTGTATCTGCACGCTCACTTGTTCGCATCGCCATCGCAGAAAATTCAGCGCGCGGGCTGCGGCTTGCTTGAGCCCAAGCCCCGGCTTTGGGCTGGCTTAGGCTCACAGCTCAGGCTTGAATTCTGGCGAGCTTAAGCCCCTCCAGGCCGAGCCTAAGCCGGAGATTTGAGCCCAAGCTGGGCCAGAACATCACTAGTCCGAGAAGGTAGAGCTGTTGCAAGAGGAAATGTGGCGCGGCATCGGCAAGCTGCCATTCGGAGGATGATGCGTGACCACTGCTCTTCCGACAATTTGGAGTGTCATCCCTGGCCTCATTGCCCAGTCATCGCGCGGTACCGCTATCTAATGCTTCGCGGGATATGTTTTTTTCCGTGATTTTGACATATTTTGTTATTAATGTTTGATTTACTTGACATTGTGTATTGAGCTATTGATCCAATAAACTAGTACCTATTTGTTCCCAATGGCATAGCGGACGCGGGAGCCAAGCAAATGCTATGTTTTAATGTTTTTACAATTCTCCGTGTTTACCTAATTGGGCAATGAGGTGGTAGGAAGTATTTGACGGACGTTGACGGACGATTTGATGGAAGGAAGGCCCGGAAACGATCTTTGATGGACGGAAGGCCTGGAAATGATCCAGGGACAGGGAACAGTGAGATCTTTGCCTGATATACGAGCTGAAGGGATCTAAGGAACCATACTAGCACTCCCCGGCTATGTATCAATAACTTGGGAATCCCCACTGAGTATCAAAAACAGTACCCAAGGTGTATGGATACTCCTATCAGGGTGTGGTGGATTAACAAGTGTTTGTCTCTCACCATAAGCGTAGCCTAGACCCAAATGTGCTTCTGGAAATCTTGTCTGGTAGCTGCATTAGTGCACGGTTTACTTCAACTCCTTCTCGGTAGGATAAGCTGAAAGACACAGAACTACGAAGCTGGAGGACATCTTCTCAAAGTTCTGGCCAGGACGTCACTTGCAACTATGGCTAATTCGAGGTGAGTTATCCTCGGGGTTTAAGACCTTGATGGGGCTTGATACCTTTTGGTGTAGCGTGCTTAGAGTGGTCCTGCCATGCCGGGCTGCGAATGTTCATTGGTCAGACTGAGATAGACACATACACAGACCGATCACCTACAATATTTGATTGTAATCCTGATCAAGCAGCGTATGTATTCAAAGTCAAGGCGTCCTCGCCCCCACGAAAAGACAAATCCCCATGCAGAAGCAGGCACACATCCCATCCTGAAAGGCTTCGAGCTCTCCCTTCTCTTCGCGGCTGCGTGTGCGCTGTGCATTGCCGTGGGAAGCAGTGGTGAACGGGACCTGGGTGTTGGCTCGTAGAGACGGGCATCGCGAGGGACTGAGTATTATCAAATAGGAAAGGAATATCAGAAAGAAGTTGCGTAATACCGACGAAATGCGATAGACCTAGCAGTAAACATATTCTTCTCTCCAAAAACAAGGAAGACATAATCGACAACACCGTGACATAGATGCCGCAAACTCGTAGCAATGTTAAAATTGTGATGTGATATTATCAGCGAGAGTACTTCCTAGAGGGAAGAACGAATTACCAGTAACTCGTTCCGAACCGGTTGTTCACCGCCTCCCTGGTGAGCTACCCTAGTGGCGACACCACCCAGGCATCAAGGTTTCTCATGCAACCTCGGGATAATTCTGCATCATGCGCCAGAGATCATTGCGCGGACAAACACCTTTACCTGTTCCCAATGTGTAGACCGGAAGGGGACAGAACTAGCAGAACTTGACAGAATCATGTTCTGCCAGCACAGCAGATGGCATTGATTCTGGAACTTCGAGATTATAGTGGCGTCGCCGGGGACTGCTGCCAGCAGGAACAGATGCACAGTCGTCTTCTTCCACTTTCGAACAGGGGCAGTTGCGCTAGACGGTTCGAAGAAGCATTACTTCCCTCGTCATCGCCGGAAATAACTGCAGCCATCAAAGCCACCTTTCCACTTACGGTTTCTTCATAAAGTGTTGCAGCGCCTCGTGACGAGTCTCTTGTGGACAATTGCTACATTTTACAGCATCCGTGAGGTATTCGAAGAGGTTATTATTACATCCATATCGATGCGGGCGTCACGGTGGTTGCAATTCCATCAATATTTGTTGGACTTAGAAGAAGTAATGTCCCCCTTTTTGAAGTTGTTTTCGATGAGGGTGTTCAGAGGCCGGACTTAGTAGCTATTGTAGGTACCTTAATTCGCGCTATCATACACTTATCTGATACTGTATAGCATGTCCTGCCACATCTGCCCGGGAGGTTCTGCCATCTCAGCCTGGCAGTGCCAGTTCTACCCACAACACTACCAGGAGGCCTTTCGGATCTTGGTGCTTACTGATTGTTGCCGAATACTGTAGTCCCAGCTGGAATACAATAGTTTCGTGCCGGACCGTGATTCGTGCCGTTCACAAATCACATCTGCAGTTGTCCGATGGGGAAACCCTGCAATGTGAAGGACGTAAACTTCAGGTACACAACCACAACGAAGATACTTACCATTAATATTGGGAGTTACCGACCTCTATATCAGCGCCTCAAATATGAAGGCTTCCAGGGGAAGGGATTTCTGATTGTCGAAGGTGGTGCTGCGGTGAAAATATCATCGAATCGATGGAATTGCAATAGACAATTGAGTTGCCTCGGTGTATTCCGATCACCCCATTGATCTCCACCTGAACTTTAGCTGGTTCTTCGGGGAAACATGCGGCTGCCATGAGCATCGTGCATAACGTCACGGGAATCTGATAAATGATTTATCATTTCAACAACACATTTTCCGAAACAACAAAAGGCCACCTCGCCATGTCTGATCCTGCTGTAAAGAAGCTTAGTGTAGAGTTGCCTGCTTTTCTCATAATCCCGTCTGAGTTCTTGGCCATACCAAGGAAGGTACCTTCAATGATTATACCCTATTTCCTAGGAAGGTAAAATTGATCGCTCGTACTATCCAAACCCTAGCACCGCGGACGAACTGCCACTGGCAGTCATTCTATTGAAGCCGGGAACTTTTCGACGATGCGTGCCTACGCGATGCTTAGTGCTCAAGCGCTCAAGAGTCATGGGATGGAGTTAGGCTATGCATAATCATCAACGCAAGCGTATGGATAAAACGATGTGCATACTTACCTTGGATCCCGTGACTGATCGATGATCCCCGTAAATGTATGGATAACACACTGCACAGTTCCTCGAAGTATCAATGCACCCGGCATTGCGGCTATGCCGCTTAGTAGAGAAGTAACTACTGTCTTCATTCATCCAAGGTCTGGCTAGGGGAGACTAGGTATGCCGTAGGCAGAAGGTCCTGTGCAGGAGTATGATAAAGAATGGGGCCAGACATACTGCCGGCACTGATCGTGGTGTATCACCGTCAAGTTCCTTACTAAGGTTTTGAATTAACGTCGTACGTGGCGTCTTGCCATACGGCCGAGCTGAGAAATGTTTCTTGGTCAGACAGACCACATACATAGTACACTGGTCTTATTTGTTTGTACTGCTAATCAAGCAGCTTATGCGCCGTTAGTTACTTCCGAACCACACATCCGACTTCAAAAGGCTCTCGAGCTCAAACGAGTATCCTCTTCGTCCTCGGGCCAAAACATCTCCTCGAGCTCCACAACCCTCGCCCAGATACTCTCCATCGCACGCACAGCTGAGTATGAAGGCCCATGGTGATGTCTCGCAAAGTGTCTGTTTGCTAGATCCTCCACCTTCTCGACAAACTCTTCGAACTCCGGTGTCGTCCAGTTGTTTGTTAATTGGCGGATCGCATTCGCAGTACTGTCTTCTGATTCGCTTCGAGGAGGGAACAAGGATTTCACATACTTCCATGCGTCGAGGTATACCTAGGAAGGCTGTCTTAAGCAGCGAAATGTGGATTGCGAGAGGTATATACCTGTTCCATTGCCCAGAGAAATACGAGCCCCTCTTCCAAAGAGCCAACAGCAGCTACCCTTGCCATCTCAGCTGTGTAGTCTCGAGTAGCTTTCCGTTCTATCCACCCATTAATATCCAATCCCCATTCCTTTGCGACCCCTTCGAAGAAAGCAACCTCGCGAATAACCCCCTGCAAGCATATAGTCAGCAGCGCGAGAGTCTCTCTGTTCAATTCCTCGTCAACAGCTGGTCCGTCGAAGGGAATTTTAGATATGAGGAGACCGATGAAACGTGGATATGCGTGTGCAGCATAAATGCGATCCTGACAGAGCCACAGCGCAAGACGGGCTGGAGATAGGGTTAAGGTACCAGCAGCTGTGAGAAATACGTGCTGTGTGGCTGCGCTGTATGGTCTCGGAGTAGATCGGTCCTTCAGATGATGCGTGATACGACCTTCAACTGATGAATGCATTTCAAGTAGTGTGAAGGTGAATGGTAGATAGGAAGTAACTACGCCACGCTTGAAATGCATACGAATTATCTTATCTTATCTAGTTAGATGTCTAGTCCTTCACTTCCCAGGCAACTCGACTTCCCAAACGCGTACGCATCCATCCGCGCCAGCGCTCAAAATACGTCCCGTCTTTTTACTATCGGTTATACGTGCGTCACCGAGCCAAACGACACAGTTAACACCCCCTGGACCCGCCCCTTTAACGAGAACACGTTTCGAGATGTTTTCCAAGCTCCAGACGTGGACATTGGTGTCGAGAGATCCCGAAACAACATGTGTCGGGGGCGACGACAAGAATGCCAAGGAGGATATGCGCGCGGTGTGCCAGTCCCAGCGAGTCGGGACAGGCTAGCGATCCACCACGTTACTTCAGCTTGCCTGATGTAGTGATTAGCAGGACTTACCTCGCCCGTCTGCGAGTAATATAACGCGATCTTTCCGGCAGACTGTCGAAGACGATGTGTCAGGGATGGGAAGTCGAATTGGAAATAATGTTAAAAACTCACGTTTCCTTGCACTATCAATGCCCCATCACTTGATACCGCTAGCGCGGTGATGGTGCCCTCGCTTTGTGGAAGTGCCCTGTTTTCCGTCAACGTGCTGCCATTCCAGGTGTGTATATGCACGCGTTTATCCTTGAGCACGATGAGTCCAAAAAAAATCGCATCATATAAATTATTAATGTAGATGCTCACCTCTCCACCAACTGCAACCACATTTCCCCCGGCACCCACTACACTTGGTGCATATGATGGCTTCAGTTCGAAAACCCGTTGATTGTTACGGATTGCTTCAACCGAACTGATGCCAGCAATAAACACGGTTTCATCTGACGCCACTGCAACAGACTTTGGCTGCGACAATGAAGGAATGGAAGCAGGTCTATCACACCCATTTCAATACATGACGACACGGATCGGGAAACGACAGACGTGTACGCGGATCCCTCGATCTCTCGGATGTGGTCATCATACCCGATGGTGAATACCTTCCCAGAGCTTGCGGCCGCCATGCCAGATACAAGACTGGTGTGTAGCGTGCCACCCACGAGCCGAACAGCATCTGAGGGTGAAGTCGAGTCCGTGTCATATGACAACACTCGCCCATCAGCTGACCCGGCGAAGAACGTGCTCGAAGACGTTGACGAGGCTGCCGTGATCGCTTTCTGCGGAGCCTGCACAGAGTGTCATGCAAAGCATTATGAACTGAGGGAGGGATTGCATACTTGAAGGATGCGAGTTGGCTTATCAGCCGCCCGCGGGTCAAAAATGTTCAAATCGCCAGACATGGAGAGGGACACAAGGTCACTGATACCACTCCAGACACCGCCGACTTGCTGGTTGGGCACTCCACTACCAACTGTCCAAGCCTGCAACGACTTGCGGGCCTCGATGTCCCCTAAATATGACGAGTTCAGTCAAGGAAAGCGCAGTACTTTTGAGCGCGCGCACATAGTCTAACGGTGCAATCCAGAGAAGTAGTGAAGAATGACCTGCTATCTGGGCTCCAAGAGCAGGACATCTGAAGAAATAATGTGAATATCCCAAACTCAAGCAATGCTTCCCTTGCGACTTACAATGGTCCCTTTGTGTGGGTTGTCGGTGATCTCTGCGATCGTCTCACCAGTCTTCCCATCGTAGAGGAAAATTTTGGAATCTGAGCCCACGCTGGCGAAGTGGTCGCCTGATGGTCCAAATTGGACGTCTTGCACAAATTTGGTGTGCGTTCTGATGGTCTTCACACTATTTATAGTCAAGATTCGAACACTATAAAAAAGCTTCAGACCTTATCGTATTTGAAAGGGACGCCTGCAGGATGCCGAGAATTCAGTGTTAATTCGATAATCTTAAAGGCCGGGTACCTTGATGAAATACGATGGAATTGTCGTCGGAGGCGGTAGCTGCCCTAAAGGGGCGCTGGCACCTAATCGAAACAGCGTTGATGACCTATCGAAATGAGCCTGCTGATTCACAAAAATGGCGACGACAAACCTTTGAGTGACCACTGATTTGTCCGGTCGAAGAACCAGAATCGGCGAGAAAAGCGTGGCCAAATCTTCGAAATTACGCTTAGCCTCTGTCCGCTCTGCACAAACATCCTGCATACTTCTCTCTGCCATCGCCAACCGCAATTATTCTCTTGCTTTCGGCATCCCAAGCTAGGTCGTTGCTACCGATTGAGTGCAGATATCATCCGGATAAGAGCACAAGGGACGGGCATACTACTTACACTTTCCCGGAGAGCACTTTGTATTCCCCCTTCACAGATTGGTCATCGCCTATAGTATCCCATATCTTGACTGCAAGATCGCGGCCTTAATCAGTGGATGTTGCCATCGCATCTAGTACGAGTAGAGGCGCACCTGTTCCAGTAGTGTCTGCCGACGCGCAGTAGAAGCCAGATGGCGAGAAACGTGCAACAGTCGTGTTGTACGCGTGACCAGAGAAAGTCGTTGATAGATCGGGGTTCTAGGTGATTATCAGCATTGAATAACACAAGCATGAAGAACGTGGATTCTCGCATTAAGGTCACGGATCTAGAGGTAGATAGCTTATGAGCGAACGGCATGAGGGTCATATGAAGGGGAACGACGCACGATCACAGTTTTGCCATTGGCATAAACGACTTTATCTTTGCTAGCTGAGAGCTTTGTCGATGTTCCACGCACGGTATTAGGAGAGCAAGGATATAAAGCGATTCGCTTAGATGACATTGTGGGGGTCACTGCAAGTGTGTCTTGCAACAGAAGATGTGTGGAGAGACTGATGAATGAAACCGCGGCTTGTGCGCGGCAACTGACTGAACGCTGCGGATGGTCAGGGGAAAGACAGATTAGGAAACCAGCAACCACGTCTCGGGTAGAGATAAGTCAGGGTCAGCTCCTCAGAGCAAGTATCATTTACAGAGCTCAAGACCACAAAAGGTACTAAAACAGGAGGGAAAGGTGAAAATGTAGATCAAAAATATAGCATAACCAACAATAGCCTACGGGCTATACGGGAAAGAGCGAGCGAACAAGAGGTAATTATTCAGCCATCTCGCGGGCATTCGTCGGCAGGATAGTTCTTCAGCGGATCTCTCCTCAACGCCTCTGCTTCAGATCCTACCACAGGTCCTCCTCCTACAGTTTTTTGTTTCATCACCGTCTCGGGTGCAATCGCCGCAGCAGCCGACGTACTTATTTCAGGCTAAATCGATCAAGCGGCCGTCAGCAACTTTTCGGCATACAGCAACATTTGCTCACCTCATCTCGAAAGGGTGTGAATCGAGGAGTGGACGGAATGCCGCTACCATCGGGGACGTCATAGAATGGTATGATGTTCTTTGTGGGAGTCTTCGGTACCGCGTTCTTCTGCCTCGACATGGGAACGGGAGGTGGGGCCATCGCTCCCCTCGCTTCCACGTCCACGTCTGGTCCGGGGTCTCTGAATGGCACAATTTTTGTTGCTACCGCGCCCGAATTCGACCCAGACGCAATTCGTCGAGTGCGACCTGCTTGCTTCAAGGTGCTGCCTGCTGCTTTGCTAACCTCAGGTACATTTTCTTTGACCCGAGATTTACGCGTTCCAATATCAGGATAGGGTGTGACTGAATCCGTTGCATCCGCTGATTCTGCTCCAGAAGGATCAACAAAAATCTGGAGACGAGTGTTTGAGCCCAGCCGGGACTCAGATCGAGACCCGTGGGCATCGGCTTGCGATGAGGACGAAGGAGCCCGAGAAATAGATCCGAACAAAGGTGCTGCAGTGGAAGATGAGGAAGCCATACCCAATGCTGTTCTACGAGGTGGAGCATTCGGGGCGGGCTGCGGGGGGATTGTAGCTGCGGTCATCATTCGTTTCTGGAATTCACCATGTTTGGCTATAAGTCTATCAAGGGGGCTAGCCTGACGGGCAATTCCAAGTAGATATGCAGCATCTGCCTCATTGCGCCTGCGACGAAAATCCACCTTTAAAATGATTCCTTGCGTGAAATGAGGCTGAAGCTTACCGTCCGGCTCTCTCAAGTGCAGCAGCGTATTCCTCGTACAGCAGAGCATGATCGGTTCCAATGTCATTTGCAAGCAAAAATTTGTAGATGATAGTCGGTTTCTCCACGTAGCTCGCGTAAAGTACCCAAAGTTTGAGGTATGTTGATGTCCCTTTCCATTGTCCTTTGCGGTTGTCCTTTAATACCCTTGTTGCCTCTTCAAGAAGCTCTAAGAGTCCAGACTCTGCACTTTGTCCTTGGGGGTAATTTTCGAGAGTCCATTGAACAAAACGCGAGTATGCTTCCAGTGGGTCATCATCCTCATCTTCGAGTGCGATTTGGATGTTGGTACGGAAGCGCTTACGCGCTGCAAGTAGTTGCGCATCCCGCTGTGCGTGCGGAGTCTGCAGGATAGCTGAAAGAGTGGTGACTCGACGACCAGATGCAAGTGGCTGTATATTCTCTTTGGCTGCCTCTAGGACATCACAGTCCACGATCACTGGAACTTGTGTGAACACGTCATCTTCTGTATTCTCCATGTGTCAGAGAGAAAACAAGAGCTGTGGATTCGGAGTGAAATTTTGGTCAGTGAAGTAACTTGTCAGACTCTATCGACGGTGCTATTCATAGTGGCAACAAAAAACTTGAAACAACAACGCGCTGTGTGGTCACGTGAAACACGCGTGACTTTGAAATCTGGCACTAGTGCAGCCAGTCACTACTGATCAGCAAAAGCGGCTGAAATTTCGCGCAGTTTAAGTGTTAGAAATCAATTCAGTTCACCTGAGACTATACCAAACAGGGAATGTCAGGGATCGTAAAACGATAGTTTTTCGACGGGTCCAAACATTGATGTAGTCAACGTTCAACGTTCAACAGTGAGTGACTCACTGTCATGCAGCCTATGTGAAGCTTCTGAAGTCCGGGTGATATTATTCAAAACGAACTCAAATATTATGCGCATATCTCGAGCTCTGCGACAGGAAGTTTGAGGACTCTTGAACCAACATCAGACGGCACACCGCGCTACCGGAAATTCGTCCGCCGACTGATTAATGCTAGTGTCACTAATGTTTGCCGGACACCATGTACAGCCGTTAGTCAGATCTCCTGCCAATCATGTATCACTATAAGATACTTTCCGCACCGCCGCAGTCGCAGCGGCATAGTGTAGGTATACGATCGCATGTTCCGCCGCATCTTGGATCGACCATGCGCAATGTGCATTGTGTTCTGTCTGCTAGCGCTAAGCACACGAACCTAGCTCGGATTATCGAGACAATGCTCTACTAGAGGATGGGGCCGAACTTCGTCGGCAGGAACCTTGTTTACTGTTTCTGTACAGTGTAAAGTAGCAAACGATCTTCCGAAGTATTTTGTACAACATTACATAGTGAGATACATTTTTGTACAGAGGTGCGAGGCTGCAATCCTTGAGTTATTTAGTGACGAATTTTGAGCATATTGGTAGGAATATACGTAGTAGTACAACAATACTTGTTACACGTTTGGAGATCCTTTGGGTACTAGCCTGCACGATGTTCAACTGTGGAAGGTAATTAGTGTACGAACAATGATGATGCCAGTGAATAGACTGAACACATACCACAATTCTTCAAGGTGAAGACCCGGATCCTCTGATTGATCGTTTTCCTTTATTGGTTCGTTCTGTTGAAGGTCCTGCGTTGAGGCGGCGACGTTTGAAGGGGCTGGTTGGCATGGCTGCAGGCGGTGAGAGTACAATGAGTTCTCGTAAAATGGAATTAAAAACGTCGCGCTTCGATTTGTTGATGCGATGATGGCAAAATGCCATGTGAACCTCCACAAGTGCACCTTTGAGTTTTGATTCGTATTGAAGGGGTGGGATCAGAACGTGGTTCTCGTATGCATGTCATGGTGACTTTCAACGTGGAAACTGACCTAGACATCGCCAACGGTTCTCGAGGCGAAATAACGAAAATCGTTCTTGATGAACGTGAAACAGATTTCTCGCCGACAGCTGCAATCGTGGAACTGACATATCCACCAGCATATGTTCTTATTAAGCTGAACCGTACGAAAGCGGTTCAGCTTGAAGGTCTGGAGAAGAACATAATACCGTTAGTTCCAATGGAGCGCACGTTTACCGTTATCCACGGAAATCACCCGAAATCCATAAGAAGACGGCAGCTGCCTCTCACACCAGCATACTCGTTCACGGACTATCGGTCACAAGGTCAGACCATCAATAACGCCATTATAGACATTGCGACACCACCTACCGCGGGGCTTACTCCATTCAATGTCTATGTCGCACTATCGCGAGCTCGTGGCCGAGACGGAGTTCGGTTGTTGAGAGATTTTGACGAGAACTTGCTGATGACACATCCGTCAGAACATTTGAGAATTGAAGATGAAAGGTTGGCAATGATGGATCGGGAGACGGAGCAATGGTGGAAAGAAAAGACGACACGTGAAGTAGTGTTAGAAGACATTGAGATGTTGTAGTACCAGTTGTGCGAGTTAAGGTGTATACTGTATGACAAGTGGGCGCTGCGAGTTTTGGTCCACGTTTCGCGATGGTGGCACAGAAGGCAAAGAGACTACGATCATGGCATACGCAAAGGGTGCGAGATCTACCAGTGATGCGTCAAAGTGCGCGCAGGTCAGCTACGAGGTGTGATTAGGCAGTGCGAGCTCCACCTATTTACACCGTTCGCCACCCGGTTACACCAAAGGCAGTTACTAAGTGAGGAGGGTAGAGCTGCGAGCACCGCTCACATTCTCGTTCCTTGCCAGAGTCGCCTACTTGGTAAGTAGTAAGATAAGTAGTGAGAGAACTGGATGCCAAATTTGTCCATAAATTCCCATGTGTACACAAGTTGGTTCTCTTCAGCCACAATTATCAGCCGTAGTGACCTTGTAAACAAGGTAACCATGGTCTATAGATTTATCATCTTCCCATTGTCTGTTGAAAAATTAACTTTCAGCTGTATTGTCTTCAGCCGACATCTAGATTGGCATCACCGTACACTCGTTGCCTCCGTACGAGTGTACCAACGATCTGAATTATTCCTTTTGCCTTTGACAGGAGTCACGGTTAGGCACAGCAACCAACAATTGAGCCCCAAGCTGATACATTGGCGCACAGCGCCGACTTATTTACTGCCAAGATACTATATTTCGGTCAGTATGGTTCAATGTTCACTATAAGATATTCTTGGGTCGCTGATGCTTGTTGGTCGATTATTATACCTTGAGCATCGAGATTCGAGGTATAACATTATTAGTATGTACCATTACGTACTACTTATACTTAGCCGGCCAGTAGTGATATATTATAATCACCAATTCCAAGTCAGTATCCACTCAAAGAAACCACAACAAAAGTTCTAGCTAGTGATACTGAAACACGAGGGGATGTACTGCCCCTCTACATACACGAAACGGTGCCCTTCAATCTGATGTTTGTTATGTAAACATAAATTGGCATTGAAATTTGAATCAGTTGTGTCAAAGCTTACGTTACATGCTCCTCCTGAATTTCGAAGAGTTGTTAATTCGCCGTCAAGTCCCGGGCGCAACCCTGTAGATTTGGTTGTAGCCCGAGAATGTAGTATATTGATGACGGTAGGTCTTTCGAGATCAGTGGCCTCTTGCCCTATGTAGTATATACCATGGGCCAAAAATCGATACATACTACTGGCCAAAAACTGATTAGGTTGCTCTTGATCCGAGCGTGATACGCTTCTCCGAGTTAGATTCGACATGGTATGGTCGATAGGCATCGATCTGATTTCTGATTTCATGTCTAGCTTGCCGTATGGCACTATGTAATCGCAAAAGGGCCTATGATGAAAATTGAGTAAGTACAGGTTCCACCCATCGAATACTGACGGTGATGCTGTGACCTGTATCACTCCGAAATTATTCGGGTCCTGAAGCTAGGTACCACCATTACCACACTTACAGCAGAAGCGAAGACCTCCATCACCGCTCGGCAAGCATATTTTCAGGTCATGGGCCCATCTGAGAGACGGCCCAGTTTACGTTCACATTTGAAACTTTCTTCAGCCATAAGCGTGTGCTCTCATTGGTGGAGAGGTGCCAGTGGTCAGGTCTCGACTGGACAGGACTGCCGCGATTGTATGTACTAGTGGGGCAGCGCTTCTCTTGCACCCGACACCTTCGAATCCTCATCTCACTCAAAACTTTCATGTGTAGTGTAGCATGTTCTCCACTGTGGTTTCATTATGTTCTGTGCATTCCAATGAATTCAACAAGTTGACATCCTCAATGTACGAGCTACGAGATTATCTTTGAGGCTTGATCATCTTTGGTAAGTAGGTGAGATACGAGGAAATGATTGAATTGTGACCACGAAGAAGTAGATAGTAATACTGATAGTTTAGGTGCAACTCGCGAGACGCAAGAGGGAAAAATCCACCGCAATGAGGACAGTCCGGATTCTGGAAGAAGAGCGTGACATTGTGATATTGCTGGCTGCTGGTTGGGAACCATCGGCACAGGAGAGGAAGGGGTGGGCGGGGAAAATCGAAGGACAAGGATGGGGGAGACGTCAACAACGACTGGGGGCAAGCTTCCCTCGCTTCACGAATTACCATTAATGTAGCCAACAAGGTTTTCGAGGTCATTTCTTACGTTACACGGCTGGTACCTAGTAGTTTTTGCTGTGGCTTGGCAGCCGAATGGTGGCGGAGTGAGAATAGGGCATCACACATCAGGGTTATCAATATTTAAGAGCACTTTGAATATTATACAAAATGCAAACAACATACTTCAAACTTAGATTGAGATGTGAGTGCAGAATTTCATGTATGAGTGAGACATCAAATTTTTTGAGTATCTGCCAACATTGTCTCATTGAATAAATATAAAATATAAAATTATCCTCGAATGTTTGACTAAACTTGAAGTTTTGTCGGATCAAAGGTCTGCACAACACTTAAATGCCAAAACCACACATTTAAGTTGAGTTTTAATGTTATACAAAACTTTGATTCGACAAAATTTCAAGTTTAGGCAAACTTCCAATATATTATTGAATTTTGCACATTGAAAATCTCAATACAAGTTTAAAGTATTTTCTTTGCATTTCGTACAACATTCAAAGTGCTCTTAAATATTGATAACCCCGATGTGTCAGACTCACCGCAGTAAGTGTGGCGACAAGCTCCCAGAATAACGTCAAGTTGCATGCATGCATGCTAAACTAATCAACTCAATAGAAAGCGCCCATATTAAGCGGAACAAACAACATGAAATACCTCATAAGTTCCGACCCAGTCCTTCTGATCACGCGTGACACAAAAGTAGTAGGAAACACTGAATCAGTCAACTTGGTATATTGGCTACAAGTACAACTCAAAAGTCAAAATACCATGATCATAAGGATCATCTCTAAATGATAGCGAATAAAAACTCCTTTAGTACGTTCACAAAATTCACAAGCGATGCTAACGCTGAAAAACTCGTACAGATACGTGACAAATTATTCGTTTTACCGTTGCGATAAATAAGTCCGGGAATTTGAACATCGCGAAGTTGATTAATAAACGGGACCGACGACCTCCTGCTTAACCTTGGAAAGGCTGGCAATGGTAGCGTCATCGAGGCCGAGATGTGCTTTGACAAGCTCGGGAGGCGTCAATGCAAGCCACTGATTGAGAGAAATATCCTGGAACAAGCCTATAGCGGGGGATGGATGAGTTTGGCACGGAGCAATGGTTTGAGACAGCGAACCTGATCTGAAAATTTCCAGGAACGTCAAAGTGGTATTGCCAGTGTTCTCAACGTAATGACCTAAAAGGCATTCAGAAAAATATCGAACATAATCACATTGTATCATACCAAACGACGGTGGGATGTATGCGATGTCACCAGCCTAAAACAGAAGCATCCGCTGTCAGTAACTGCTAATTCACAGGGATCAATTGACCTACTTGGAAGTCCGTTGTCATTGCCTGAGCTGAGGATGCATAAACGGTAATGCGAGCGCTGCCGGAGCTGGAAAGGGTTTAGCTGGGCGATATTACATGTGAACTTTACACGCACACAAAGTAAGTCCACTCGGGTTCCGTAGGGTGCCACTTTAAAAACGAGGGTCAGGAAGGCTGTATTCTTAGGACAAAAGGACATCCTCACATGAAGCTCCCTAAGAACACAGGTAGTTAGCTCGAGTTCTGATAAGGATAGGGTTTGGAGTCACACACCTCATGCCGCCAACCTCGACGGTTACTTCAGCACCGCAAACTGTAGTAGACGCAGGGAATGTGCGCGTGTCTACAACCTTGTATGTACCTCCAGGTGCCTGCGTTGCATTCACCTGTGACAGGGCAAAGGTGAAAGGCATCGGAGTGTCATTGGGAACCACCATATCCGACTCGATGTTTACCGGAGGAGGTGTAGCTAATGAAGACATGAATTTATATGATGACCGGAAACGGGGAAAACCTACACGGAAATATGTACAATTCTGAGGCTGGGATGTGATCGAATGCTGATATATTAACCTGGAAGTTCTTTGCGATAACCTCTTTGGGCACATGGGCCAGCCAGTCCTGTCGATCATGTTCAGGTAAGGACTCGCACAAGACAAACAACCAACCGTAAGAAGGAAGGTGGAATCTTCACTGAACGTGCCAGAATCGAAGACCAACAAAAACTCTGCGCCGTTGGCTGTGGTGTTTTTGGCCTGAATACTGAATCACAGTTTAGCCCATTTCCTCACCGCAGGGGAGGACACATACCTGTGCGGATAACCTGCAGGGAAATACCACAGATCCCCTTGTGACTAAATCCTAGTTTAAGCGAAGTATGTGTGAGTGGTGCGATGCACTCACAACGTCACCGAGGTATACTTGACCATCTGGAGTCACAGTGCTGACACGAAGGTCACCCGAGATAATATATGCCCACTAGAAAGGGACCATTAATATCATTCTAAGTAGTCCAAGAACTTGCATACCTCGCCATCGTTGTGCCAGTGCATCTCACGGATGGCACCTACTTCCAGGCGCATATTGACGCCTGCCAAAGCCGTAGCGACACTCATGGCATTCACTGGCGAGTCCCATTAATTAAAAACGAAGCGATGGCAAAAAGCACATACTATTCTGCTGCCTTGCCCAACCACCAGTCTGAAGGCGGTTGTGACTTAAGGAAAAAGGCCACTTATAATTTGGTCTAGTGTGCACCATAAGAAACGAAAAACAACATGAAACATATGCCTTACACAGAGCCACTGTCGGTGGTAGGAGGAGCAAGGAGGTCGGGGTTTTGCAGCTCCAGCGGAATATTTTGGGGTCCCAGGATGGTACTCCCAAGGGTACCACGGATAGCTTCGGGGATTATGTTTTCAGATGCATCCCACAGAGGATAGTTGGGGTCGTCGCTGGCATAAGGGACAGTTGGGCTAGCTGCCGGAGCTGATGACACCACTGAACTGGCAGCTGGTACAGCAACTGCGGATGACAGGAGAGCCAAAGTCGAGAGAAGTCGGCGCCAGGAGTGCATTTTTGAATATGCAGAAGATGAACCAAGAAACTTAAAAAAAACGACACTGACGAACAGCACATTGCAAGTCGATGCTTTTATATGGTTTAGTGAACCGCGGTTCCGTCATTATTAACGTACCAGGAAAAGGGTCGCCAGAAAACATTGATTACGAACACGCTTGGTAAACCAGATCGCGATAATTGCGGGTGTATTAAAAGCAACACCGTTCCGCAGGATAATCATTGGATTTGTTCAAGGAGCCTCAAGTTGCAAATAACCTTCAAGGATAATAATAGCTGACCACATGATAAAAATTTCGCATGAGGTGGCAGCCATTTTATCGTCGACGGTTTGGGAAAGTATTTTTATACGTTCAGATTTGGGCATGTCGTAGAATGCCGACCCTGTGTCCCGCTCCGGCAGAAGCTATTATCCAAGGGTCCAAGTCGGTGGTATCTTATCGACGCTCTCCTCCCAGTTTTTCTCCTAACTGAATAGCATCTGTAGTTATGAGGTATTTTTGGCCGTGTATAGTTTCGCAATTAGCGGCCCAGACTCTGCACAGAATTTGACTATCAAGATAATTAGATTTAATATCGTGAAGAAGAAGTTATCCGATTTCGAATTCTAACAGTGGTCTGCCCCTCGATGAAGTTAAGTATGGCTTGTCGATCAGCAACAGCTCGCGGCCGTTTCTCTATATCAGTCTTATGGACGGCCGAAGAGGATCAACACTACCCATCCATTGGAGGAGTTGCCTAAGAAAAGTTCAAGCACTTTTTGGGAAAGCGCTTTTCGACTTTCTGGGAGAACACGCGGCATTCAATTCACGGGATAGTCCGCCCAAGCATGGCCAGCTGAATGAGGTAAGGGGGGGCAACCTAGACTGATGAACAGCCCCAGAGTCTATGAGGCAAGCCATCTGGTCTAGGGCCAATCACATTTGGCCACTTATCATCACAGCGACACGGCTACTTACTTTGAACTCACTCGGGTTTCGGATTGTGACGTAATACCTAAGAGAAGCACCGTAAGTCGAGGATTCCTGGGAGGTGTTCTCACTGATCGTTTTTGTCCAGTTCGCCGTTCCTGGCGGATTGCACACTTGATGCGAAACAACTCCTGTGCAACGGGTCAACTGCGCTTGACATGGGACATCTATTCTACAATTGCTGGCCCTTTTAATTGCCGCGAACACGGGCAAACGTATCACGAGACTCCGGCAGCATCCACAAAGTCGATCCCTGATCAGGAAGCACATTCTACGCGGTGTCACGTAGAAGTGTTCCACGTTCCAAGTTCAACTGTTACGCAACCAGCATGACGAGTTGTGCTGATCATCACCTCTGCGATAACTCCATCCCAAACAAGACTGGTCTGGATCGGTTTATTGAAGCCTATGCCCAGTGATGAGCTAGATGCGCCGGCCACCTTGCCCTTGCATATCTTTTCACTTGTGAGCTCACAGGTTTCGTACACTGTACAAACGTTAGATGCACCCTCATCAATCCTGCTCATTCCGAATCTGTAAAATCAAATACTGCTCTTGTGACCAGTGTTCCTACTCACTGCTGGATGATTACGCCGTGAGCCCGTGCTTCCCTGTTTTGGTTGAACCGGTGCATACCTCTACACTATACATATTAGTCAGCCACACGAATCGTTTTCTCGTGCCTGTCGATTTCAATGTGGGTATCGTGGCGACCGACAAATCCAGATAAGTTTTTTCTGTTCATTTCGTCATATCGTGATTGGTTCCTTCCGTGCTTGATTCCTGTCTTATTAATGAAAGAGTATCCTTTAATCCAATACAATCGTCGCCTCACCACTTAACGGCGGCCAAGTTTCGACGTCTCGAAGGCGCTCAGGAAGGGCCTTGAACGTTTTGGTACTACGCAAACACACACACACACACACACATACATACATACATACATACACATACACACATATATATACACACATACACACACACACCAAGAGAAGCTGTGTCAAGTTGTGCACAGACTAGATCATGAACATTTTAGCCGCTCCTAGTCCGCGGTCGTAGTTGAGATCCAGGCATTCATGTCGTGAGGACGCGTCCATCTTGTTTTGTTATCCGGGATGGGATACCCATTAGGCTTCACTGCGTGTTGCAATGTGCGAGCAACTCACGTTTGACGTAGGACCTCCAATCAATGTGTGCTGTTCTCAAGAGCATCATTAGAGGTTTAGATAGAGCCTCGTGTTTAGCATCTGGTAATGAGTCACGTCCTTGCTGTCAAGTCAAGTAAGTATTATTATGAATCCTTAACATGTACTGTGGTCACAGACTCATAACCTCTCATAACACATGGATTTATGTATCAATGGTGTCGTTATCGATCCCTTCAAACTCGATTCCGTCTCTGTCATCCACATGTAAGTACCGAGCGGAAATGCATGCCAATATATTGTTTTCAGGGAAGGTGAGCGTGAAGTGTCCCGAGTTTTGTCCCTTTCTCGCTAGACTGCGCATAAAAAGTTTCCATTAGAGACCAAACGATATGTGTGGAACTACCAGTAACTGCACATACTGATACTTAGGTGCCCTCGTGGAGTCTTGGTACCAAGATAATTCAGTCTAACCAGTAAACAATCCCCCAAAATGAGCGTGATCCGAGAGGAAGATCAGTGATACAATCATATACGAGTCCGTGTGTGTGAAAATAGTGCACTCACCAGATGGGCCGACAGCTATTTTCGTGCTATCTTTTTGTGGGACCGTCGGGATACCGAGTCGGAGATGAGCCTCGCTTAGACGTCGCAGCAGAATGGGGATCGCCATGATACGCGATCTCCGAAAAACCAAACTAAGGACACCGAGGAAGACTCAGGGAGATGGAATGCCACGTGTGCAGTGACTGCGAAACTTCCACTGGGTGACTTCCTGTCAGGTTTTACAGACGAATTTCTGGTAATCCTCATGTCTTAGCCGAATAGCTGCGCTGGATTTGGAAGGTAGCTATCAACGCCTGTCAAACCGTTGCTCTCGCACCTGTCTGTAAATTTGCCAATCTGTGGAGGGGTAGGTACCCCTCTGTAAATCGTCGTAACGCACGGAATGTCTGATTCGGGTAATCTTCTTACTCTTTTTAGATGGTTTGCTCACGGAATTGTCGTCTGGATCATTATTGGTATTGTTCCCAGTCCATCGTCTTGCAGAGTTCTTACGGTTTACAGATTCTGTCCGTAAATTAGCCGATGTCGAGCAGTCAAGCTTGCTTCTGTAAATTCTTACGGGAAGTCACCCACTGTCGAGTGATCCGAACGGCGTTTGCAGTAACAGTTACCCTTGGCAAACGAGTATTCCGCCTGTAGAGGCACTCACTGTCCATGACTGACTACCAGACCACTAGGATGCAAGTATCGCGAAACAAGCCATGAGCTCCCTCCCCCTCCTCCCCACCACCGCCACGAGGGGAGGGGGAACCGAACATTTCGCGACAACGAGCAGCATAGAAAAACCCGGATGTTCCTAGATAACACTAGGTTCAGACATATTCGTACGTGCAAAGTCATATTTGTCCCGATACACATGAGACCACGGCGACCACGACAACTGGAGCGATAGCAAACATACCAGGAGTGAATCCAGAGTTTGGACGGCAAGTGAGAGAGTGGATATGTCACAGAAAGACTATAAATAGAGCATCGAGATCGGCGGGATGTACTCTGAGAGGAAATGACGTGAGAATAATGCTTCAACTGTGCTGAGAATGACGGTTACATACCGAAATGGAGAGGAGGCTGTGGAAGACATCCTACCGGATACATGGTGTGTATTATGTCACTTGAAGCGCGGGCGAAGAGAGATTCTGCTCCTTACCCCTGAGATAGATGCGTTCTTAGTGGGGTCTCGACAATCTACACGAAAGAGCTTACAGTAGGTTGTACAGGATCTCAGTCACCTGTCAGAGTAACCTGTAGACTCCAGCACTTAAACTAGCGGGAGACGTGAGGATCCTTCCACTTCTGACTGAACACAGTGGAATGGTCATTCACAAACAGGACAGAAGGCGGCCGGGTATTCTGGGGTGTCACCCAGGTGTACTGTCTAGTTACCACCGGGGAGAAAATTCCGCGGAATCAAGCTGCAGAAAGTCAGAGGAAAGCTTGCACAAATGACAAAAATTCCCGCATGGAGTGGATCGCCATGAGTTACATTTGCGAACGAATGGTAAACAAGTATTCTCGTGCAAAAACGTACATTAGCAAAAGTCGCAAGTGCAACATTATCTCAACTTATGTCCGGCATTTTTCCTGATATACCGCACGGATGCATCGACGTACCCGAAATCAGCGGATTCCCACTCGCAAGTCCCGAGGGTTCACAAGCTCAGCCGCCGGAGTAGAGGAACAGGGTCCGTTCACGAATGAACGATGTTGTTTAGTGTCAAGTGATATAGTCGACACAGGTAAGAATTCACGACTAGCACATCCGGAAGTCCGAGGGAGATCTGCATGACAGTGTTGAACGTGAGCTTGTCAAAAAGATCCATTTCAATGGGACAGACCATAGAGAGAATCCTCCCAAGGATATAATAGAGACATACCTACTACTAGTATTCGGGGCACGAATATATGCAGCTTTCCCCCAAACTGGTGGTAAGGTATCCTTCAACCAGATAATTCGTGCAGTTCAGAGCAGTTCAGAGCAACTTGATCAACGCGATTATGACCAGACTCACTTTGGACGAAGCAGTCCTTGATTGTGTTATGGCACACGCGCCGCTGATATAAGCTTTCCACGCCCCGATTTTTCACTTGCTTAGGTAGGGCATTGACTACCTCGAGTTGGTGACCCCAAGGTCGTTGATTTGCCCGTTGACTGCGTAAGTTCTATCGTTAGATCAACCTAGACTGATAGAAAATCTATCTATTGAACATAGAATCGACTTGGAGTAGTCATCTTATACCGATAATCAAGATGGCTACTGGATATTCTTCTCCGACTCTGCAGGACACTGAGGTTCCCCAGCCTCATCCATATCTTCATGACCCTCTGCTTTATATCTCCAATCTTCCCCCTTATGTCACTGATGAAAATCTTGCCATGACCTTCCAGCCATGTGCTCCATTCAGGCCCAATATTGCGCGCGATGGCAGTAATCGCCCTCTCTCGGGAACCATAGAATTCAAGTACCTCGAGAAAGGTTCTGCCTGATTTGCGCGTTGTTTCAATCTTTCTAACTGAAGTGTTGATTGACACACAGCGGAGAAGGCTCTCGCCACCTTGCAGTCGCGTCCGATTCAGAGCTTGCAACCCCCCGTGTTTTTGGTACTATCTCCGTATCCACCAACTACGCCACCGACGCCGCTCCCTCCTCCATCCGCTCTGCCACGTCTCGTCAAGCATCTTCCAGTCGGCTTTACTGATTTCCAGCTTTATGATTTATTCCGATCATTTGGCGCCCTTGCATCTACTCGGACCCAGACTGGATTTGGAAGCGATACCGGGGTTGTCGAGTTCTGGCGTGAAGAGGATGCGCAAGTTGCTGAAGAAGCTATGCACTGCGCTGAAGTTGAAGGACAAAATATTGCTGTAACAGTATACCAGGCGCGACGTACCAGCGGTACTGTCTCCGAGTTCAGTGCCCACGCGCCAACATTTGTCCCATCAGGATCTGTATTCCCCTATCCTCAAGTTTGTATCTTGATTATATCATTGTCGAATGGGCCCACTAACCAAGGATCAGTACTCGCCTCCTCGAGTGAGTCCATACCCTGTTGCAAGAGCCCCCGTATTTGTTCATGGCCCGGGGCAGCAAGTACAACTTGCCCCATTATCGGGACCCGGATCCAGTAGTCACAGTGGTCTGATAGATCCCTGCAATCTGTTCTGCAAGGTCAGCGCTTCACTACATCACTCCTCTGAAAGTACTTATCCTCGGGTGCAGAACTTGGATCCTGAGATAAACTCCAACGGTCTTTTCGCCCATTTCCGTCAGGTATTGATTTTACTTTCTCGTGATAATTTGTTCATCTCAGGCTACCATGAAATGTAGTTCGGTCAGATTGTCAGGTATACAATATCTTTTATCTATTTATCGGCAGACGCCCTAATGATCGCAACAGTGCTCGCGTGATGCGGAACGAGAACGGCGAGAGCCGTGGCTTTGGATTCGTGTCCTTCCAGACTCCCGACGCAGGTATAATATTCCTATTTATTCGCCACCCGTGTTGTTCATTACATGCCGATTTAGCTGCTACTGCTATGCATGGCATGAATGGTGTCGTTTTAGGCACAAAACAACTAGTTGTCAGACTTCACGAACCAAAACAATTACGGCAGGAGAAACTCGCCCAGCGGTTTGGCCATAACGGACATCCAAGAAGTGCAAGCGGAGCAACAAGTCCCACTGCCAGTGAAGCTGGCGAGAGTTATGTTGGCTTCTCCAGCCCGCGCCGTGCTCCTTCTGCTCTCGGCTCGCCCGTTATGGGTTATATGGACCGTCCGGACAGAGGCAGACGAGGCTCAGGCAGCTATTATAATGTAATAGCTCTGTCCTTTTCCATCATTCAAAGATCAATCCTGACGCATTCACAGGCTGCGCTTTCCGGCACTCTTAATTTGCCAATGCGCTACGATGATCTTGCCGCACTTTCACCTGTGGTGAGAAAGGAAGTTCTTACTGGAGAACTGAGCAGGCGAGTGAAGGCGATCGACACTGTAGCTGCCAATGAGGTCGATGCCATCGTTGAATCTTTGGTATCACTGTCTCTCGGCGAGGCTGTCTCCGGTATCCAAGATCCTGCCAAATTTGCTGACCAAGTAGCGACCGCCCGTAATTCTCTCAAGCCTGTCAGCACACCTTCACCTGTAAAGTCGCCCTCGCCCTCGAACTCTCAAGATTCACGTGTGCTCGATGCCAACGCTCTGAATGCTACTGCCTCTGCGCCGGAGCATCCATCTACTCCTATTTCAGTCTCTGCGTCCCTTTCCACACCCCCACGCACTTCCTCTCCCTCTGGCTCGGTGCCACCCATTTCCGAGCAAGACCGCATGGCACTGGCGGTAAGCAAACTCGAGTCGTCCAGGCAGGCCGAGCTTGTCGAACTTCTCATGAGTCTTTCCAAGCGCGAGCGCGCCATGTGTCTGTTCAGCACTGAGGTTCTGCGAGCAAAGATTGCAGATGCGAAAACGGTCCTGGATAGTGATGATGGAGATGAGGGACAGCAGAAGCCGGACACTCAGTCTGTGCATTCCGCTCCTGCACAGCCCGTCCCAGTCACGCCTCAAGCGAAGAAGACCGTTGCAACTACCGAAGATTCTCCCAAGACTCCTGCGTTATCGTCCAAGGGTCCTTCCGCCGCGTCGTCGCCCGTACCAGTCACGCCCGGGTCATCGTCTTCACATACGATTGCATCTCTGGCACGTTTACCTGCCGCCGAGATTGTCAAACTCGCGAATTCATCATCAGCAACCGGCCTCCCTCTGCCGAAAGTAGACCCATTAGTGGTCAAAACTACAGATGAGTTTATCGACAGCCTTATGGATAAGCCAATACAAGCGCAGAAGCAACAGCTTGGTGATAAGCTGTACGTCGGTAGTGACAATGTTCGGCTTTACGGAAATCTAACTTTGCAATCAATTCAGATGGCGAACTATCAAGGCGTTTGGTATCAAAGGCGCTGTAGGTTTCGGTTTTATCGGTACTACTTATTTATTCGTGCGACTGAACGTTTCTTCTTTTAGCCCAAACTTACCATTGCTCTGCTTGATCAAGACGATCTCCGGGCTCTGGCTCATCTTATGAATAGCTACCCTTCTGTTCTCAAGGAGAAAGCTCTCCTCCTCCAGGCTGGCGGCAAGTAACGAATGCATCTGCTTGATCTCTGACGCATTTGGATCTATTCTCATGTTCATTCTCGATGTTCCCATTCACATCCGCACTATACCGTGCACTACACACTTCTAGGAATGCATTCGGAGCAATTACGCCTTATATCGTTACCTTGTGCTTCACTTTTACTATCCAAATCTTTTTGTCTACGATTAATCCAGCCATCCAATACGCTTTTGTTGCCTAACACCACATTCTTCCCGCGTTTGAGACCCTGGATTTACGACTTCACGACTCTTACTCCCTATACGCTTGCTGTTTGGTTTCGCAATACCGTCGGCTTCAAAAAAAATCACCACATTCCCTAATATTACATACGTGTTGCGTCTCGCTCCTGAATATTTTGTTCGAGTTGCAGAGCAGGATACAAACAATATTTAATTCCAGACTCCCGACGGGGGATACTTACTGCCTGGATGAATATCAGTCCATCGTTGCAAATGGGAGAAATCTAGGTGGACCCGAGTGAGGTATCATTTCTGCCAAAATCATCAGTTCCTTTCTACAAAACACTAGCAGATGTTGTTCTCAGGTAGTAGGAAGATGGAGGGACATTGCCTAGGGTGGCTTGTGTGTGCCGCTACGATATATTACTTCATAAATATATTCACTCCCTGGATAGATGTACTTAATACTTCCCTGTACTTCCATAGATGTGTTTCTCTATGGATATTCAAGGTATGTAACGAAATCGGGGGGCCTGAAAGATCCATGTATGAATGTAGTTGGAGAGAACATGCCGAACCGACCCACCTTATCCGCTTGCTCTGATGTATCGACCTTGGCATCTAAATCGATGATCTGGCAGTCAACCTGTCTATCTCGTTGCTTGTTGTCCCAACGGTAAGATATCTGAAGTGGAAGGTGTTTAGCGCTCGACCATGAGGGAAGGAATCATTCGGCCAACACTCAGTAACAGGGCACAAAGTGCAGAAACTAGGAGTAGAGACCCTGAAACTTGAAGACCATAAGACCAGCCATCTCAGTGAGAAGGAATCTTACTAACCAATTAATCCTCGCCTGAAAGAATTCAGTCGATGAGCGTTTAGCTAAAAACTAGTATGACTTACCTGTACTCAGGCTGTTCAGTGAGCGGATATAAGTGCGAACCCAAGATGCTCCCTCCCTGTCCAATCGCTCCACACAAGGAAATTCCAGTAGCTCTTTTCGATTCAGAGCCAAGATTGTGAGTGACTAATAACACGTCGCATTTAAATTTTAAATCGGTAACTGAAAAACACTTACACCAAGCCATACTGAGTCCAATTCCAGAATAAGCGCCAGTAGTTGCACAAAACACGGCAAAGTAACGGATACGCTGATGGTGAGGAAAACACAATAGTAACCTTGATTGGCAAGAGTGTTCATGAGTGATTCTCGTTCACTAGGGGCTCGTTCACGTACACATAGCCTGCTGCACCCAAGATGCAGGCAGCGAAAACGAATGGCCCCCTGCTTTGCAGTCTATCCGATGTATATGCCATTGAGACAAGAACGACCGTGGCCACTGTATACGGCGGTACGGTCAGTAACTGTGCCGACGCATTCGCTGGAAATTGGTTGAGTCAGCTCCTAATATTGTGGTTTCAAGTGACTCACCGTAACCCATGGTAGCGATTATCGTTGGCAGGAAGGCTCCGATAGATCCAGAAGCACAAAATAGTCCGAAATAAAGCACCCCAAACACTGTACACCTGAGAAATATTGTCCACTAGTGCAGAGAAGAAAGATCACGCCGCTTACCCTCCAATCCAAAATGGCGGCAAGTACGTGTCCTGTCATTTGCTTGAGCATCCAAGAAATTGAATCTAAGTCGGGGCACATACTCCTGTTGATCACTTTACCCACATCTCCACTTGTGCCCCTGCTCGTACGCACCAAGGCCAATTTTCGCTCAATGGCATTGAGAGAATGAGTAGACTCTGGTCTATCTAGCAAGGCAAACATACAAACCATCCCAACCAGTATCGTCGGAACACCCTTAATATACTATCAGTAAGGTTAAAACAATCAACAGGTAGAAGTTACCTCAACAATGAATAACAGTCTCCAATTCGCAACCGACACTTTTGCGTGCTGAATTCCAAAGGCAATGAGCCCACTGAATGCTCCTGCGATCGTCGCGAATCCAAACCAATATGCAATTCGAGAACCATACTCCGCTTTTGTGTAGTAGAAGGCTAGCGCGATCCGTTAGATATGCTGTTATTCGAGAAAGAACGTACTTATTCGCACAAAAGTACAAGACCAGCGTTGGCCCGAAGCCCGCCTCACATAATCCCAGCGCCAATCGCACAGCTATCAAGCCAGAAAAGTTGGAAGTCGTTGCCTATAATAAATTTAACCTTGTGTGATTTCGGATAATTTGCCTACAGACCATGAGAGTTGAACATAAACCCCACGCAATCGCAAAGCATCCTAGCCAACGTCGGGGGTTGAAGCGCTTCGACAGTACCGTGATTGGAACTTGAAAAAGCATCTAGCGTGTTTAGGAATCAGCTCTCCTTTTTCAGCCAAGTGGACGTTGACCGACGAATGTGATAAAGAAAGCAGAATTGGCCACATCAAATAGTACACCTGTGGGATCCCCTCCAAGCGTGTCCCGTGCTAGACCCATCAGCCGAGCGTTGCCGAGGTTGGTACGATCTAGGTCTGGTGCTAGTATCAGTGATGTTTGCTTTTCAAACTCATGTAGAAGGACACGCACAAGCAAGGAGATATAGTGTGCAAGTCAACGGTAAGATCTTCCGATCAAGCTTCCGAAGCAGCTTCTTCTCATGTTCCAGGGTCACAGCATCAATCGAAACGGTAGTGGTTTCAAACATCTTTTGGTCACCACTTGACTCTTCTCCAACTTGATGAGCGTCTGACATGTTCAGTGATCCACGCTGGCAGTGAGACAAGAGCGGACACAAACAAGAAGTGAGCGGGCAAGCGAGTTAAAAGAGATTACATATGAGTTTCATTAATCATTGATTACGCATATTCTTCTGCACAGGTGCCGTAATATTCGGATGAGAAGCGGCACTCAACGGCATGACAGCGTAATAGTCTCGCAGTTTAGATTAGCAATTCAGTAGACGATTATCTGCTACATAATGTAACGGAATGCAGGAGCCTATTTATCGGTCAGAACGGATATTGGATCCCTTTTCAGTTCAAGAACTTACTTTGTCTGCGAGCTCCGATGTGTCTACCATATCGTTTGGATCTGGCTTGCCATACTTCTCATCTCGCTGCATATTGTCCAAACGGAAAGAAATCTTTGGAGAATATGAGAATGATGAATGATGGGATCACAAAAAGAGATTTAGGCTTACGCTCAACAAGAGTGCGCACAGTGCAGCCAAAAAAAGCAGGAATGCAGAAACTGAGGTCAGTTCGTCAATGCGGCAGAATGCTGTAGTATGGCTATCACATTACCAGTGAATCCATTCCTAATATGCAATGAGTTAGGTAAGGCATATTCGTGCAGAGAGGTAGTAAAGACGAACGTATAAGCGGGACCCTCAGTCAAAGGGTATAGATGGGATCCTAATATACTTCCGCATTGACCAATGGCACCGTAAAGAGGAATCCCAGTAGCCCTCTTTGTTTCAGAACCAAGATTATGGTTAACTGTCGAGTAGGAAAATCAGTTGAACAGTAGACGTGTACAAAATGGCGCATACACCAAGCAATAGTCAAGCCGATGCTCGCATACGTTCCGCTAGTGATAAGAAATGTTGCGCCGTAGCGTACATCTTGCCGGTGAGTGGTGCCAAGTAGTATCCTAGAGTAGAATCCGGTCAGCCTCTACATCCTGTCCGTGGATAAAAGCTTCGTTCACATATAACCTAGACCACCAATTGTGCTGGTACAGATAAGTAAGGGTCCCCTAATCTGCAGCCTGTCGGAACAATAGGAAGTAGCAATGAGGACACAACCGGCCATAGCATATGGCGGCACTGTCATCAGTTGAGCCATTGCATTTGCTGATGTGAATTTGAGTCAAAGATTGTTTGACAACAGAAACGATAGCCTTACTATGCCCCATGGTAGCGATGATAGTTGGTAAGAAGGCCGACAGCGATGCCAAGGCACAGTTGAGGCCAAAGTAAATTACCCCGCCTACGTAGATCTGCCGTGTACATCAGACACTGGATTTTAGAAATGCGAATGGAAGCTTGCCCTCCAGTCCTGGAAAGCCGCAATGACGTGACCTGTTTATTAGTCAGAATCTTATAATTTGCATTGCTTCCACGAGAAGTACTTTGACGGACAACTGCACCAAAGTCACCGCTTGTCCCTCTGTTCATGCGGTTGATCGCGATTTTACGTTCCGCTGTAGTGAGGAACGGCGTGGACTCGGGACGGCCTGGAAGCATAAATACGCAGAGAACACCTAGAAGTATCGTTGGCGCTCCCTGCAGGGCATCATCATCATCAGTACATGGCTTATATTCCGTCTGATGAACATACATACCTCCAAGATGAAAAGCAACCTCCAGTTCGCAATCGACACCTTGATGTGTTGAATCCCGTACGCGAGGAGCCCCCCAAATGCCCCTGCGACGGTTGCAAACCCGAACCAATATGCGATGCGAGTACCGTACTCGGCTTTGGTATAATAGAAAGCTAAAAGATGTCAAATCCAGTAATCACGCTCCGAAATCTCCACGACTCACAAAAGTATAATGCAACGGCACCTCCAAAGGCTGCTTCGAAAGTCCCTAGCCCAAGCCGAGCGATCATCAGGCCAGTAAAATTCTGCGCTACTGCCTGAGTGGGTTACATATCATGAAAACGATGAAATATCGATCATAGATGTTCGAACCATTGATGTGGAACATATCCCCCATAGGATAGCAGAGCAGCCAATCCATATGCGCGGGTTGTAATACTTCGAGAGGACTGTGAACGGAATTTGCAAGAGTATCTAAAAGCCGCGTTGCCGATAAGTAGTCACGCGACCTATGTAATTCAAAAGTTTGGAAACTCACATAGGTGAAAAAGAAGGCTGAGTTGACCCAGTTAAATAGTACTCCAGTTGGATCTCCACCAAGAACATCTTGAGGCAAACCCTGTAACCGAGCATTGCCCAGGTTCGAGCGATCAAGGTCTGTCGAGTTCAGAGGTCAGACTGCTTGATTTATTTCCTGCTAAAATCGCTGAGGAGAGGCAGCGGTTAAACTCACAAGCAAATAGATAAAGCAGGCATAGTATCGGTAGGATCCTTTGATCTAATTTCCGCAGAAGCCTCCGCTCTTGAGTTTCTGGGTCCAACGGAATCAGCAGATCTATTTCGCTAACGCCTTCAATGCCAGGACCATCTTGTCTTCGGTCGCAGTGTTCATAATGTTCAAGATCCATTCTCCCAACACTCGTGGTTCAGAAGATAAGTAAAGAGATAGATAGAAAGAGAGATGTATGTACTTCAGACTGACAGGGTCGTCAGGGAGGCCCATAATAGTCCCGCTACAATAACAGAACCACCCGACTTCGGTGCCGGGCACTAATCCTCATGATCCGTCTTTCATCGGTCCCGTGTTTACCGGACCTACTAAGGCAGTCCTCGTGATCCGTCCTGCATTGACTGCGTGTCGAAGTATTAGTGACCAACCAGAGATTGTCTTTCAGTGCACTGCCAGTGCTGGAGCATTGCAGGTCCTGGGGTGGTAGCATCCATCACGCGCTCTGTTACAGCAAGGGAGAAAAGTCATCATGATATCACGGTTGGATGCATACGTTGCAAGTTGTTGACACAGCGATGAGTCTGCAGGTTGTTACTAGTCTATAGTTGCCACTCCGCCACAGGATAATAAGTAAGTTATGTTTGGGCTGATACAAAATTTTGATCGCTGTTTCCATCCAGAACAAACACGTATTAAAGAGCGGCTGTCTTCCTTCTTTCAAGGTCTGGCTTAGGGAGAATAAGCACGTATATAGTTAGACTGTGGTAAGACAAACAGTTCTAACGGTCAGCAAGTAGCAAACAAATCTAGAACGGAAGTTTCGCGTTCTTAGCGGTGCGGGGAGGTTTGAGAGGGTGTGGACGTCTCCTCTTGTAATACTGAAACACAATGTCAGACATCGCCGCGAAAGCAACCGTAGAAATCATACCTGCTTAAATTCTGTGATACGCTTCGGCATACTGCGCATGAGCAATGCCCTTCGTTTCCCCCTCTTCTCTGCAGTGCGTTGCCACTTGTGCCCCTTGAACATCCGCTTCTTCCCTGCATACAACCTGTTCCCAACCTCCGCACCAAGAACTTTCTTCTCCTTCACCTCGCCTGTCCATTCTATTGGGCGCGTCCACGGTGCGGCAGTACTTTGAACTTTGTATTTTTCTGACGCCGAGAGCCCTGGAATGATAGCATGCGCAGAAGCAGCAGCAGCAATTTCTGCCGCTGAAATTTTAGGACCAGGAGGTAGAAGCGTCAGCGTGCCAGATTCACGAGCGTTCTTGATAAGCATAGCCTGTTGGCGCAGGGAGTACTTTGGCGGCGCCCATCTGCCCGTCTTTGGATTGAGCTTCGGAAGGAAGGGATTATCGATGCTAGTAACTGGAACCTTGTTACGAGATGAGGATGCCGGGCTAGGAGATAACTTGGCCTTGGGAGCAGATTTCACAAGAGCGGGAGTGACAACCCCCAGCTCCCGTATTCGAAACCGTTTGACGGCTTGCAGAGCAGACATTGGAGGTTGTCCGTCCAAACCTTTGACAAGGGAAATCAAACCGACAAACTTCAAATAGTTACATACCCAAGACAGACGAAAACAGACAAAAACAGCTGTGCACTGCCACTTATCGGTGGTCCATGTACTTGCAGGGTTACACCCCGTTGATCCGTTTTATACCTGATGGCTCATCGTATGACTGACTGCGTATACCAGCCTGTCACTGGCGTTTCAGGTCACATTCAATATTACCATCCTCGATTGTTCAATAATAACAATTACACTCAAATCTACACCGGTGACAAGACGCGCGTGTCCTGAACATTTCGTCGTACAACTATCTCGGCGGCTGCTCAGATGCCCGAGGACTGCATTTGCCGATATGACATCTCCATATGTGGCACGTGTTTTGAGAGCAGGAGTAACGAGTTTCATGCGTTGACGTTCCTCTGCATACTTCGTATGGGCTTCGCCACCACCTCCACTTTCATCCCTGCACTCGTGAGAAAAGGGTCCCTTGTCACTTCTGACGAATTGCAATTCCACTGAGCATTCGCATCGGTGCACGACAAAGCAATGGTGCACATACATATCTGGGTATTCAAACACAATGATACGAGTCTCTCCGCATGCGTGAGGTGATAAGCCAAGGTCAGCCCAAGGCGCATCATCCGTGGAAGAAAATCTTGGTCGTCAAGGGGTTGTCCTCCATGGAGGGTGGCACACTCGTAAACCTTCCAAGGATTGTCAAGCTTTTTGATGGGTATTTTATGTAGAGACCGTGATGTACCTCTGACAGCAGGTTCCATGCAGCGTGTTGTCAGAGTCCTGACGGCAAGTTGATATCTCACAAAATGCTTTACGGATTACGCTAATGCCCGCGCTCTTTCCATGGCACGTCTTTTGTTTCTGATCGGCCAGGGTTGAGTAACATGAAGTTGTTGTTCGAACCTTCAAGTTGGTTCGCTGACATCATGGATCAGATCTCAAAGTGCTATATATACTAAGACGCTTCAATCCTCCTCCTTACTTACAGAAATACATCTAACGATGCTCGACGATGGACCCGAACTTTACTTGGTCACATCAGCCTTGGCGCTAGCTGTTGTAAGTTGTTTTCGAAGATATTGGCTCAATCCTTTGGTGTCCCCCGCTGCCGCCTGGTCTTACTCCCCTCCCAATAGTGGGAAATGTTCTCAGTCTTGATGTCGCTCGGTCTTGGCTGATCTTCAATGCCTGGAGATCCACATATGGTTGGCATATTGTGATGGGGATCTGTTTATAATTTCTTCAGGTGACATCATTTATGCTCGTCTGCTCAATAAGCCTGTCGTTGTGATTAACGCTGAGGAGGTCGCAAGAGACTTCTTTGAAGGGCGCTCTACCATATATTCAGATAAACCCCAGTCGATCGTTTATGAACCGTGAGTTAGTACATCTTGGAGTTCGCTACTTATCGATCACGAGGATATGGCCAGCTTCGCTTCGGACTTCAACACAGCACTTATGCCATATGGAGACAGGCAATATATCGGTATATATTATGTTGATGTGTCTGATGTGCAGCAGGTGGCACCTTCACCGACGAATTTTACATCAGGCATTTTGTCCAGCTGAGATACCCACTTATCACGCTGTACAACTCCGTTCCGCCCACAAAATGTTGTTCGGTGTTCTACAAGACCCTGACAATTATGCAAGCCATTTTCAGCTGTTAGTTGCAACAGTTCATTTTGGTCTCCTGTTGAAGCTGATGTTTATCAGGTTTATTTGACGCCAGGTGCTACTGTGATGATGGAAACATTCCCTTTCCGTATGTTTGCACATGGAATGATGGCTTGCAATTACATCTCAATGGTCGGCCTAGTTTTGAAGCTACCCAGCTGGTTTCCTGGTGCCACATTCAAGCGAGCGTCAGTGGAGTGTTTAAAGGCAGGTCATGACACGAAGGGTATGCCCTTTCAACATGTCGAAGAGAGGATGGTGAATCACCCCGTCCATAAAGGTGCAATGAACTGATGAACTACACCGTCTACCGGCGGCGCGGCCCCATGCCTTGTGGCAAATAGTATGAACGGAATAAAACTTTCTGAAGAGGACGTCGTCGTTGTTACAACTGCAGTCAAGGAGGCTGTCACTATCACATTTGCAGGTATTCAAGATGCAGAACTTTTCCCCCTCCATGCTCGACTCTCTTTCTTGGTCTTCAGGGGAGTAAGTAAGTATCCCCTTGGTATGTGTTTGTCATAGTAATCAATTTGCCTTCAACTCAGATGACTTCCGTATTACTTATATTTCTTCTTGCTATTGTACTCCATCTAGAGATACAAACCAAAGCTCAAGCGGAGATTGATCGAGTCGTTGGCAAAGATAGGCTCCCGGACTTCGATGATAGACCAGTGTTGTCTTATGTGGAAGCTATTTTGCGCGAAACACTCAGGTGGCACCCTGTGTTTCCGTTTGGTCTGTCCACCATAACGCCTTTGACCTTTTTCTGATGATGTACCAAGGCATTCCGAACGCAAGAAAGACTAGTGACATCTACAAAGGCTATTTCATCCCCAAAGGTTGGTATCATACTGATCTACCAAATATCGCTGATTATCGAGATTGTCAGGGGTTGTTGTATTTGCAAGCCTGCACTACCTTACCAACAAATCCCCAAAATTGACCCATGGTGTAGGGCGATGACACATGAAGTACCCATGTCCTGATGAATTCAAGCCGGAAAGATTTCTCCATGAAGATGGTTCCTTACCGGTGACACAATGCCTTTAAGTTTTGGCCGGGGCCGCTGGATCTGGTGAGCATGTATTCGTGCACCTTCGCACTCCGTTGAAAGCTGCTGGTCAGTGTGGGACGGCATCTCGCGGACGCGTCACCCTGGATCGCGATTGCGAGCTTCCTCGCCATTTCATCCCAGTCGTCCCAAGTTCTCCACTGGGCTCGCTATGTTTGCAGAATCCCATCTGTCCCCGAAAGCAATCTGCTGATCTCTTATCTCAGTCATGCAGAGAAATTTCCCTGCCGCATTGTCCCGCGATTTCCCAATGCACCCGCGAAGACATTGATGCACTTGACTGGGTTAGGTCTGTCTGTCGACATGACCTTGAAATATTGAAAGCCTGAGACCGACGTACAGTGGCAGAGCAATCGCGATCGTGGCATACAGTACCAAGCCCTGCTTTGAGATTTTGTCTAAGTACTGTTGGATGGCAACGCCAGCCTACCCTCTGAGTCCCCCAGGGGCCCCAAGGGGGCGACATTCGAGCGGGACAATCAAAAACAATCGCGATGCGTTCAATTTCAGTGAGACACATACTGCATTGAGGACCATGTTGCCAAGACGAGGATCACGAGTAACCTTGAATATTGAGAATTTCAGTTACCGCAGCTCCCATCGCGTCATAAGTCTCCTTTCTTGCTGCCTAATCAGCAGCAGCTCGAACCATGTTGACAACAAAACCCTAAGCTTCCTTTGCTCCAAAATTTTATCAGCCAGTCAGGATCCATAAATTCAAGGCCTTCAAGTGGAATTCTGAGTTGAGGGACCAGTAAAAACTGCTGGCCACGGCCCTGCTCCTGAAGCGTAGATTGCCACAGTAAATGGCGCGTGACGCAGCCTCTGAGGGTTCTGGGTTGTGTTTGTTCTGGCCTAACGAAAAGTAGCGGCAGCCTCATGTCGTGAAATAATCGAATGACCGTCTCGAAAAGTCCTCCAGCGGTACAGACTCGGTCGTACACTGTATATAATTGTGCCCCTCCCCTGCAGCAGTCCAATGGACTGCCCCTCAATGCGCTGGAAAGCCACAAATGGCTGTCTTGATACCAGTCTGAATTTCTCCACTGTGACAAAAGGCAGGGTTGATCCGGTAGCTTAATCGGACAGACAGAGCTCCACGCCCGTCATTTGTGCTTTTTACTTAGTGCGCGCAGTTGGCGTGCAGCTGATGATCTTCCTGTCTTCCAGTGGAGTACAAACGAGCGGTGTAGAAGGACCACTGTGGTGTAAGCGATCAAGAGGACTAGCAAATTAACCTGTCAGCAAACATTTGAATACGGAATGCGGGTCCGATGTAATGACCCTGTGCGATGGAGAAACATGGTCGACCAGCGTTGTCACTGGCAGTGGGCTCGAGTACCTACATGAAGTGCTTACCAGTAATGTCAACCGTCAGACTATGCATGAGCGGACGATATGTATATTTGCGGTCAATGTCGGTCGACACTGGAATGGTTCTGCTTCACGCGGAGCGACCGCACAGAGCAGCTCGGAGGAATGGCGCCTGCAATAATCCTGCCGAGTCAGGCCGACGTGGATAAACCTTCAAGCTCACAGGCGCATTCGCTGTCTTGCCTTCAACTGTCGGTATCTGCACGCGGGCCGCAACTTCATCATCTACGGTTATTCAGCCCGGTTCCCCTGCTTATCTCCAACCTGGGCAAATTATGCACGTTCGTGCATATGATGCATTCACGGGGCACACCTGATTTGTTACCTTGCGAGGATTCTGTGCCCCAGATCACGCTACTTCCGTAGAATCAGCGCTATTGCACGTAAGGAGTGATGATTGCGGTCCGTCCGCGCGCGGACGCCCAGGTATAGGTATATACCTCGCTGAAAGGGGCCTTTAGCCACACTGCGGTACATCATTGAAAGGTAAGTAAGTAAACATCATGCGCGGCCCCCCGTGTTGATTAAGGTTCAATATTCTGCATTCGTTGCATGGGACGCTTGGGTGGCTTAGCACATCACCCTCTGTCACCCATTTCGCCGCCGCCGAAGGTCCACCTTCCCTACGAAATGTGTTGAACATCGCAGAGCGGATTAACGGATCTGGGATCTGATCTGGATGCCAAAAATTGACTCGGGGACGAGAAAAAATAACCACTCCCAGTGAGTGCGACCTCCGACTGCGATTTTGTGTCAGTGAAGCGATCGGGGAATCATCGGTGGAACACAGGGAGCCTGAGGTGGACGTAATCGAGGCATAGCTGGTACGCGAGTGAGCCACTAAGGTGACATGTCAGGACATGCAACACTGAGTATTCCCTTCGGCCCGCCGGTGGAAGGGGTGCATAGAATATCTGTTAATAGCTCAGAAGCTGTGTGGCTCCCCGGATTAGATATGAAATCATGACGACAGAGCAAGAGTCGTTGCCTTTGCGGAGATGTGCAATCCAAAAATGCTTAACTGCGGGGATCAGGAAGGCACTGCCTACTGTTCATATTGAACGGTAAGCAGCGTCCGACATTTTGACCATGCGACCAAGGGTATATAAATGTCTTGACATGATAACCCGATATGTCAGAGTTAAATGAGCCTGACATACGGAGTTAGACCCTGTGCACCGGGCTCAGTGCCGCGAGCTCGATGACCAAGCGACACCGCGGATAATGGTTTTCTCGAGATGCAGAAATACAGCTCTTTTATGGCAGACGTAAAAGCAAGATTGTTCACGAGGCAGTGCAAGGATTATAAGGATACATAACATCGAGCTTGATACCATCCCTGACGAAAGTGTTCGTAAGGAGCGATAATTTAAGCCATGGACGAGAACTCGTATAAGCGTTACACGGTGGGTGTTGCCCACCACCATTAATATAACTGCGAAGAATCAAGACGAAAAGAAACATTTGCAGGTCCACTCAAGAACACGTGATAGTCATCAGTCGGTCACGTGCAGAAAACACAGCGCGTTCTCTTGTTTGTATCAGTTTGGTCCTTGCAGCGCGTGTGACGCTGGTAGGCGAGTGATCTTCTCTCCCTCATTCCACTACCACGTCAATCTTTAATGCATCTGCTATCAGCGCCTCACAATTTTGATTTATTCTGTTAATGGCCGGAGCTTTCAGCGGCCATCTCTTAGATTCATACACTACGGCAATGCAACGACCAACACCAGGATTCGGTCAGCCTCAGCCTCGGGTAGTCACCAGCGGAGCGATGTCGTTCGATGCTTCGATGCATGGCGGATTTAGATCAAACAATTTCTTCTCAGATAACTCATTCTCTATGGATCTCTCCGAAGATACCGCCATCAAGATCGCTACTCTCCAGGCTAAGCTAAACAAACAGCTTGGGCCGGAGTACATCTCACAGAGACCTGGGCCTGGAGGCGGACCTAAGCTCACGTATGCGGAAGGGTGGAAGATCATCAACCTTGCAAACGAGGTGTTTGGGTTTAATGGATGGAGTTCCCAAATTGTCAACATGACTACCGACTTCATGGACTGCAATGAGGAGTCTAAACGATATAACGTCGGTGTTTCTTGCATTGTCCGTGTCACCCTTAGTTGCGGTGTGTATCATGAAGATGTGGGATATGGGGCGGCTGAGAATGCGAAGAGCAAGGCTCAGGCTATCGACAAGGTAATATTTATACAATTGACGTTCCACTCATTCATATTCATATTTTCTTAGAGTAAGAAGGAAGCTGTGACTGATGGAGTGAAGCGAGCGCTCCGCAACTTCGGAACACTCCTTGGAAATTGTTTATACGACAAATCATATACTCAAGAGATCACAAAGATTAAAGTTCAACCTGTAAGTAACCCCCGCAGTGCCGGGAACCAAGAGCTTATTTGAGAATTCTGGTAAGGCAAAATTTGACAAGTCCGAGTTATATCGCCGTCCAGAGTTCGATGATACAAAGCCTAACATCACAGGCAGTACTTCCAAGGCTGCACCTGCTTCAGTACAGACAGCACCACAGACGCCCGCCATTGCTCCAGATAGGAAAGCGAACACAGTTTTTGTCAAGTCCGAGCCGGTTCAAGGAGGAGGGACCCCTATCACGTGTATCCCCCGACACTTGCGACAGGAGATGACTACCGGGTGCAACTAGTGCCACGAGCACTACCCCAAGCCGTAATGAACAAGCACCGGGGAACGCTCACGGTACTACGAACGGCCTGAAAACTCCTATCCATACACCAGTCCAACGGGCAGGAAATGCGAATCACGGACAGTATAGGCAAACCGCCCCGTCACCCCTCGCTCAGCCTGAACCACGGCATGTGTCTTTTACAGAACCGGCTACAGAACCCCCACCAGCGGACGAGGTTGCGATACCAGCAGACGACGAGACGTCATACTCCCTTGACTCAGAAGACGACGAATTCTGGGCCAACGTTGATCTCGGGGATGGTGACTTGGGGAGACCAATCCACTTCGAAGAGGGCTTGGGCGGAGTGAGTGTCTCAGAGGTGACTTTCGACCAGGGAGAAGCTAGTACATCAGGGATTCAGCGAGAATCCTCGAGGGCTCCCCAGGGAAACTCGGTGCATGGCCGGGAAAGCTCGGTCTCTGGAAGAGGCGAAGTAACTGCTCCAGGGGGTTCTCGTGTTTCTCAGGCGAACGCATCACGCCCCCAAGCTGGTCTAATAACTTCAAATCGAGCACTTCATGGACTCGATGCAGCAAGTGCACCTGCAGTGTCCTCCGAAAACGCACCAATCAAGCTCCGGTGTAGTTGTATCTTCTTCATCAGACGCTAGGCGCACTACTCCATCTATGGGAGGGTTCCATTTCCCTCCGGGCTTGGTGGGTACAATCTTACTCTCTGACCGACTGTTGCTCATATCAAAGACAGAATCCGGCTGCTCAACCAAAACCAATGGGGCCTCCTCAACCCCCAAACTGGACAACGAGCTCTGCTTCCAGCTCGTCCAACAATTCGGGTCTGAAACGTAAAGCCGACGCCATGCAGTATGTAGTTCTTGAAACCACTATATGATTAACACTGGACTCATCACTGATTTGCAGAGCCTCTTCATCATCCAGGCCCGTGCAAGGCCTTGGCCTCGCTCAGCAACAACGGTCAGTCTCTGAAAACCTTTAACGGAACCCGAACGCCCCTGGCCAACCATGATATTGGCGCCAGGCAGTGATATAAAACGAACAAAACGCTAGTTTTTGCGACTCCGAGTCCTAGGAGTTTTTCCCCCCATGTCCCCCTTGTTTCAAGCATGCTTTTACAGTTCCTATTTTATGTCGTCCAGCAATTGTACAGCTACTCTGCACTTTCTTTCCTGATTCTTTGCATCGTTTCATCAGTCACAATCACATATGCATCCTAATACATTGTTTTCTATGGCACAGAGGATCTCTTCAAGTTGTCTCTGAATCACAAACGTCACAAAATTGAAGTTCGCTGCCCAGCTGGTGAATCGATTGAGAGTTCGATGCTGGATTTACCGGATTCTTTAACTTTAAGGCGGGTGCTGATTCCCTGGTGGACATCGACGGGAACCCTCACTCTCCCGGAATCTTGCCACGTCCGGAACGGGGAAGGAACTCATTGGCACGGCCCAGCGCGAACTTCTTCGCGTCGCCTCTTCACTAGTAGCCAGACCTAATCGAAGGAAGATGACGGTCGTTCCTTCGTAGTAAGCCTCTTCACATATCCGCACAGCTGCGAGTCTCAAAGCCTGCTAAATGTGACTTCGTAGAAAGATGAGCGGTGTCGGTGTATGCCTTGGGCAACCTGGGATCATTGGACATGGGCTGTCAAAACATGAGGTTCGCTCGGTGATGTGTGTTCTATTACTTACCGATCTAGATTGGTTTTCTTCGACAACGTCTGAATGATCACCAGCGCGTATTCCGAGACTCTAATACTTACGTTCACCCTCATCGTTTACTGTTTCAGATCTCCCTGGGTTCAAGCTCAAGATGACGCTAAATGCATGTCCCAAAGTTATGCAATTGATCCAAGATATTAGCTGCGGGGTATATACGTATATGGCATCGTGGGTATGCAGTCTAGCTGTCACTCGGAAAGTGCGGGCTTGCGGCAAATTGCCAGGTACATGGGCGTGAACAGCTTCAAACGAATTGTGAGTCCTCGCTCAAATCTACCAAAATGTGCTTCAACTCACTTTGGTCTGGCCACCCTTCACAAGCGCGTCGGCAGCGACCTTGAGGGATTCGCCAACATCATAAGTGCCCTTGGGCAGAAGACCAAGCATTTCCATGAACTTGATTGCAGTGTGAGAAACGAGCTTTCCACTCCAGCTCATCCGCCAAACAGTAAAGCAATCCCATGCAGTCTGGGCCTTCCATATATCACCTTCAAGGGGGTAATACCATGGAACTTCGTCGGGGCGTTCGGCGAGATCCTCTTCGTGCTCAATGACGAAGCCGACCTTGATCATGGCTTCGCGGGCTTGCTTCAGGGGACGCATCTCTGGGATACCATTGCCAAACTCAATGGCATGCGCAAGTTCCTTGTGCGCAGGGATGGATGGATCCCACGTGTCAGTCATACACCACTCGTAGACACCGAACTGCAAACCAATGTCAACATGTTGAACCCCGGAGTCGAAAAATAATCATACCACTCCTCCGGGCTTCAGAACCTTCATAATTTCGCCATAAACTCCCTCCCATGCAGGTGCATGGACAGTTGCTTCAATGGCATACACTAATTCCAATGTTGTTAGGCTTCAACAATTTCTCATAAGATGCAAAAGCACCCACCAGCATCGAACGAGTTTTCGCCAAACTGTTCCGACAACTTCATAAAATCACCCTTGGCAAAGCTCACTTGGTTCTCAAGACCAGCCTTCTTAGTGTATTTCCTAGCACGCTGAATCTGGAAATCGTTGTTATTCAATCCAACGATGTTGACGTCAGAAAAGCGAGCGATCTCGCGTGCAGGTCCACCGACGCCGCACCCGACGTCCAGTACGCGCATGCCAGGGCGAAGTGACATTTGTGCTGAGAGGTAGTGCTCATGGCGGGCCAAAGAAGCCGTGAAAGCCTCGCCTTTATAGAATCGCGAGAAGTGGAAGGACTGCGCCCAGCCATACTCGTACAACTCCGTGGCACCATCGTAGTAGCCTGTGTCGTCTGTCACCAAAAGTCATTCAGAAAAAAATTATGAGGTAATACCGTTTACAACGTCGGTGTAGCTCTCGACACGGTTTTGATTATCCGCTTCACCCTCCTTGCCAAGATCCTTTTGCCAGAACTTGGTATAGTTCTCAACACGCGTCTCTTGACGTCCGTCGGAGTACTGAGTTGAAGCCATGTTGTCTGTAAGGAAAAGGCCCCATGAGTATCGAACACCACAACGTGTTCAAGGGATGTACTCTCGCAAGAACAGACGGTGTTAAAGACTTACTGAGAAAGTATAATAGAATAAACTTATGAAGGGAACGGACAATTTAATGCAGCTAACTTGAAGGAACGAGGGTAAGTAGAGTTTTTGTAGGTTCAGTATCCGACGGCAAGCGCTCGGGCACATTTTCTGTTCACGTGATACGTACAGAGCGAGCAGCATACAGAAGGAACGACTCTGTCTAGTGACTTCCTTCTATTGGGTCTGCTTAGGGGAGACTATGACTTAGCTCCTTATTATAAATACAGGTAGGTACCCAGACTTTCCCAGAATCACAATCCCCGTTGTCATTGTTGAGCGCAGACGTTTCGGAGGACGGACCGGGAGGAGGAAACGAGATGTCAGAGTGAGACATTGCGAGCACAACCAGTCTGCGTGACGCGCGACGTCGTGACGTCGGCCGAGGTGCAGTAATATTTTCCTATGCTACCATTTATTCGTATCACTATGCTAACCTACTATAATGTATCGAGTACCGCAGTCGAGTATCTCGAGACTGAGATGTAAGTCGTTATTATTATTTCCGTTTACTTAAAACGAGCTAACATACCCGTAGTATATATTCTTAACAGCTCTTTGTTCGTCTGCCGCTCGACTAAACTCGCTTTAGTCATTAACAGTGCTAGATGCTGACAATACCCTGCCATAGCTCATATTTTCATGGTGAGAAGCAGTTCTATTATGATACCGACCGATGGCCTTCACGAAAGTTGGCTGTTCAAAGTTCAACAGGCGGAGAGCTGAACTCCGCTGACCAACAAACATCTCGGGCATTTCTTGCCCTCCTTCCTACCGCCTGAGACATGTCCCTACAACGTGACCAACTGTTCGCTTGAGATGGTTCGTCAAACTATAGAACGACCTTGGATTCCTTCGAGCTGCCGCGTCTTTTCCTGCCGGCATCTAAGGCTATTCCGAGTTATGACCCCATCCCTACGACTCAACGATGTGCGTCGAGCGGTTACCCTTTCCTGGTTCCCAAGTCAAGGGATCGCTAGTCTCCCAGGCAAGCCGTAGGAACGGCAGACCTTCAAATGGCAAATAGGTAATTACATGACAGTTCGACTGTAACTATCTGATGACGGTCTTGATAGGGCGCACGAATTTTGGTCAATTCACCTCGGAATCCCCTGTGTTGATCCAATCACCTGGGAGTCGACTTCCCAGGACTCGTCAATCCTAATCATATACGTGGGCAATTCTAAGTGGTTGCTCACCAATGGCTAGTAATATCATTTGAAACTAAAGATAATAATAAGGCTTGCTTACGATCATACAGATCAGATGATCATCCGTCCTGAGAACACCTCAACGCTTCAGGTTGTATATTTGGGCTTTCGGACGGCATATTCGTCGCGCTTTTGGAATTGGTCTGCCTCCGACGCTCCAAAGCCATGGGCAGCTTGATTTTTGAACTACCTCTGCAACACCTCTGGCTAACAGGGGTGGTGTGCGCGACGTTGATTTCGGATGATTAGCATACGCTGTGCACTTGCGGAGTGACGTATTTTAAACAATAATGAACTTGCCCGAATTCATTTGACAGTTCAGCGCTTCAGTGCTCCACCCCGTCATGACTTGACGTGGACGTCAACTGGCTTGGGGTGATTCAGAGCTTGGATACGATCCTGCTATGGTCGAAACCAGTGCCACGAATTTAGACTACGAGTCTGATAGGCTAGACGCAAATACCGAGACAGAACACAACACGAGGCATCTTGGCACTTCTAAAAGAAGAATTACTACGCCCGAAACTATGGCAAGGATTAGTCGACGCGTCTACTTATGTATGTCATATAAGTTTAGAAATACAAGCCGAATTTGCCGTGTCACACACGAATAGTTGTATAGTACTAGTATTAGCTAGCTACCCGTCGATACCCGCCCATACCCATGCTCCACGATTCTTTCCACTAACCTCTGTGGGACGAGCGTTTGATCTGCACCTCTTAGATTTCGTGTAAGTCTCGATGGTTTTCTTTCTGACTGACTACCATATGGGCGCCACTCACTGAATTGTACTTAGGATCTGACAGCTGGCTAAACTCGATTCGTGCTTACTTCTAGAGAACCCTGCAAGGCTCGGCACTTGCACTGAGATAAGTAGTGCTTATTGTCCATAAGGCTCCCTTGGAGTATATTCTCGACCTCCACGATGGAGCAGTCTCGTTCGCAACCTGCGACACAATTCCAGGTATGTATGACTTCACCTTTGTCTCATGTTAGTTGAAATACTAATCAGTCCACCGTGTTCCAGGCTCGTGCAGCACAGCTTCTCAAGAAACTGAACTGGCGTCCGCGCTTGGGGGGCAGGCACTCAAAAGATAACATGTCTATCATTTCCACTGGCACAAACAACGGCCGCTCAAACATAGTCTCTCCTGACGTTCCCTGCAAGCCAGACATGTCCAGCCCTCTTGCAGGCTTTCGCCTAGATGAAGCTTCTAATCCGACGGACACGGATGATTCGTCGTCTAGCAATAGCCCCTCCCGCCAATCAAGGCGCTATTCTGCTTGGGAGGCTCTCACGCAGTCTTCTGTAAGCCCGGTATTTGCAGCACATGGTCCAGCCGCGTTATTTTTACGAGAGACAACTGCCTCACAGCAGAACACCTCAGTTCAGCCTAGCTGTGATAAGGTAAACGTCCTTGCTCCAGCACCGTTGTTTTTATGGACAGGCGCCTCAACCGACTGCCTCACACGTGCAGCAAATGACGGCTTACTACACTCCACGGCTCCGAACAACATGCCGGATGTCGCAGTCCTGCAAGACACATCTCTTGTACCAGACGAGACCACACAGTTGGACAGATCACAAACGCCACGACAAATGGAGGGACTCGATCCTTCTAACGAACCAATCACGACTATAGACACGCCCAACTTACTCTTAGAACCAGAATCCGCGCAAACAGCTCTTTCAGTTTCACTTACTGTACCACCCATACCCTCATCCAGCATTCAGGGTCGCCGCTCGCCCGAGACGCGGCTGACGACGACCTTGCCACCACCATTTCGCGTTGCCACTGAGCGTGGTCTCCGTCTTTCCCCTTCCATTATTTCAAGGCATCGTATGCCAATCTTGAACCTTCCAACTTTACCCGTACCTACTCCTACTCCAGAGACCGCTGTGCGGCCAGTTGTGCGTCTCCAGCATGTGCCATCATTAACTGTTAACGGACGGCCCGATGTGGATCAAGAGCCAGACTCTGCTGTCGAATATGAGGACGATGACGATGGGGATGATGACAACGACAACGACAACGACAACGATGACGATGGAGATGGAGATGGAGATGAGGGTTTGAAAAATGAAAACTGGGAGCACCAGAGTGACGAGGACGGTGATAGGGAGGAAATGCGGAGTTCAAGTACAGGTCGTTCTCTATCTCATTCTCCACTGCGAGAGTTCCAGACACGAGTCATCGATTTGGCTCCTACCCCAGACGCTGGTCCTTCTTCTCGACCCTTTGCCTCGTCATCTTCAGCAGGGGAGGCTACTCCCACTCTCTACAATGCCGTCGATTTCTTCTCGTCCAAGACATATGGGAAGCTCGTCGACTCGACTCCGAGCCAGGACGCCTCTACACCTAAGCCCTTCTCCCCAAAAACACCTCTCGCAGAGTCTATCAATGTTAGGCGGAGAATAACACCTATACCCTCACTCGAGCATCATCGCGCACAGCCTTCCCTGAATGTCAGCCGCGCACCCAGTCTATACCGCGCGCCATCACACAGCATGATTGACCTGAGTGTGTCGCGGAGAGACTTGCGACTAAAACGCAAAAAGTCGTGCGACACGGTGCGGTCGAATGTACCCTCCGTTTCAGGAAACACTGTCGAAACCACCGAGAGCGATCACACGGACAAGATAATTGGAAAGCTTTTGCGACGCACCTCTATGCCTACTTTCACCTCCACGTCGGACCCACCTCCATACCCTTCATTTGACCCGCGCCCGCCGAGGAGTGCACCTGTGATCCAGTCCCGTGAGGACGAAGGTCGTGAACGCTTACCGCCATATAGCAATTCGCTATATCTCACTGCTATTATGCCTTGCAAGATGGAGTTCAGCTCGCCCGGTATTCAGGCGAAGGACAGGAAATGGAGGCGTGTGTTTTGTGAGCTTGAAGGGACAACGCTCCGCGTGTACAAGTGTCCTCCCGGCGCAAGCGGCGCGGGCATCATTGGCGAGTGGTGGGAGAGACGTGTCGGCGTGGGTGACCTAACTAGTGGATATCATGCGCTAGTGCGGAAACCGGATGAGGGCCCTGCGCCCTCTTCGAAAATCGACCAATCGGTCGCCTCGTCAAGTTCACCACCTCTTACGCCACACAGGCCGCGGAGTGAATCGCAATCATCAAGAGCTACCAATCAATCCGCGACACCTTCGACGCGAGCCAACAGGCGGTTGTCCGGAGCCAGTTTCTTGGCCTCGTGGCGGAACGGTGGCTCTTCGAGTGTGCCGCAATTGCGAGGTAGGGGTATGCCATCTTCCGGTCAGTCTGGGACAAACGGGGGCATGGAGCTGCTCCCGGTGAGCGAGCCAAACAGTCGTCGCAATTCTGTGTCTAGTTCGAACTCACAAGAGACCACGCCACAAAGGTCGTCAACTCCGACACCGCGAGCTCTGTCGCGCCTCAGCTTCCTTTCATCGAAGATGCAATTGCGGAACGGGGAGATACAGAAGCCTGGAAAAGGGGATTTGATTCGTGCATATACCCTTCAACACGCAGAGAGCGGGCTTGGGAATGATTACCTGAAGCGGAAGAACGTGATAAGGGTGCGGTTGGAGGGGGAACAGTTCCTCTTGCAGGCATCAGACGTATCTTCTGTCGTGGAGTGGATAGAAGTGAGTTCTATGCTACGAGGAGGCGGTTCGATGATTGACCGTGCACGCAGGGTTTCCATGCGGGTACGAACATCGCACTCGACCTCGACCATCGTGTCATGCCCAAAGGGCCAATGTTCCCGAGGTACGTTATTTCTTTGTTCAGTATTATATGCATCTCAATGGCGTTTACAGGCGTCGACGGAGAAGGAATCGACGACCACAAGATGGGAACAATGATGATGCAGGAGCATCATCCTCTGCAGTGGTGATATAACTTTGAATGTTCGCGCGTTACTTGTGTATGTACTTTGGATTGTATCTGCTTTCTAGCACCTTCGCTGTGTGGTGCTATGACGCTCGTTGGACGAGTTGTATTGGTACCCTTGTCATCGCAATCAATCCCATAGTTCTAGACAACAAGAGTCATATTGTCTTCTTTTCCTTGTTTTTTTTTTTTCAGGAGAGGAAGAGATAGAGAGAAAGTTCTCACGGGTTGTTTCCGTTTTGAGCCGAGTTCGGTTTTTGCCTTGACACCGATCTGCTCATCCAGGTTGCTTGTTATCTGGATCCTTAGTGTTTTCCCTCATCGATATTCTCATTTTTCCTTTCTTTTACCCGGTTCTGGCAGCCATCGTCAGCTGAACGACTATACGTCTTCAAATCTCCAAAGCCGTTCAAAAACAACACATCAAAAATCAACCTTACAACGCCGAAAACGATCTTCCTTCTCGCGGTTATTTCGCCCTTTTTTTCTCCTCATACCATCATCCTTCACGTCAAGCCCGACGCAGTGAGCACACTCAGTTAGACAAGTCATGGCAGATTCGCAGACGGAAATCGATCTGGACTCGGTTATTGACCGCTTGTTGGAGGGTGAGTGGCTCGTGCTCTGACTCTTAGGCTCCTTGGGGCACAGATTCGGACCTTGGGGAGCAGGCGGGTGGAAGGAATATAGCGGGTCGGTGTTTGAGGTGGGCTAGTGCAACGTGGTTCGCAATCCCTGACATACGTGAGATGTGGGGCCGCGTGAGCACTACAGCAAGTATCCTTGGAAAAAAATGATGGGGTCCACATGCACACAGCACCGCCCATAACCTACATCCATTTCTTGGAAGGGCCGCCCGTAATATGGTACAAAGCAGGCGTTAACCACAAATTTTGCATTCAGTGCGAGGCAACCGCCCAGGCAAACCCGTCCAGCTACAGGAATACGAAATCAAATATCTCTGCACAAAAGCACGCGAGATATTCATAAATCAACCAATATTGCTTGAGTTAGAGGCCCCCATAAAGATTTGCGGTGAGCATGGCTCAGTTCTTGGAATTTATCTTGATGACTCATTCGGGTCCACCTTCGGCTAGGCGACATCCACGGTCAATATTATGACCTGCTTCGACTTTTCGAGTATGGCGGATTCCCACCAGAAGCAAACTATCTTTTCCTCGGCGACTACGTCGATCGGGGAAAGCAATCTCTTGAGACTATCTGTCTCCTCCTAGCCTACAAGATCAAGTACCCCGAAAACTTTTTCATCCTCCGGGGCAACCACGAATGTGCAAGTATAAACCGAATCTATGGTTTCTATGATGAATGTGAGTTGCGTTGTGCCTCTTGACGAATGGGGCTCTGATGGCATTGATAGGCAAACGGCGTTACAATATCAAGTTGTGGAAGACGTTTACGGATTGCTTTAATTGTCTCCCTATAGCCGCTATCATTGATGAAAAGATCTTCACGATGCATGGTGGTCTCAGCCCCGATCTCCAGTCCATGGAGCAAATACGGAGAGTGATGAGACCTACGGATGTTCCTGACACAGGTAGGCTTGTTGTACATCTTGCTTGAGCTAGAGTGTCTTACCCGACTAAGGCTTGCTATGTGACCTACTATGGTCAGATCCCGACAAGGATATCACCGGGTGGTCAGAGAATGACCGAGGAGTATCATTCACTTTTGGACCCGACGTGGTGTCACGATTTTTGCAGAAACATGACATGGACCTCATCTGCAGGGCTCATCAGGTATGCTGCGCTTTGCGGACGGCGTCCGTACGGACCCTAAGTGTTGTGTCGATGACTGACGCTGTGGAATCAGGTCGTGGAGGACGGTTACGAATTTTTTGCGAAGCGGCATTTGGTCACTTTATTCTCGGCCCCTAATTACTGTGGAGAATTCGACAACGCGGGCGCGATGATGAGTGTGGATGAAACCCTATTATGCTCCTTCCAGGTATAACAACAGTCACTTTTCATGTTCTTTGACAATGATTGACCTTGATCTTCAGATCCTGAAGCCTGCCGAGAAGAAGGCCAAGTATCCGTACGGAGGAATGAACATGGGTCGACCAGTAACGCCACCACGTAAGCAGAAGAAGAAGGACAGCAAGATGGGCTGAGTCGAGCAGGGCCAGCCGTGCCTTCACTCGTTCCCCGGTCGTCGACATTCCCTCTTATCATTCTGTATTGTTCTGTGCTGGTTGTAATTGTGCGGTACATTGGCCAAGGCATACTGTGAAGGCGGTCATTGGGCTCTGATTCACTAGTGGTAAGAAGATGGCATAGAACGCGCGAGCAGCATTGTTGTACGGACGTTTGGGGTTGCGTGTGGAGGGAAAAATTCATTGCCAGTACATCCCACCATGTTACGATTCTTACATATCTATTCACTCATTGGACTAACCCGCCCACGGTGCCCTTCCTGTCCATATTCTGTCCATCAGTGTTCCATGTTAAGCTCTTTCTGGCTCTCGTGTGCTATAGGTTTTTATGCACATGGCTCATTCCGTCTCGTGCTCTTAATGCTCCTTCGCCAGATACTCCAGTATTTCCATCTTTGTTTTCCCTTTGTCACAGTAAATGCTGTCGTATATTATGAAATTCTGTACATACATTCCTGCGTTCGCCATTACACGTGGCTTCGAGCGGCTTTCCAAAACCTTCAGGCAAGCTCGATATTATTGACACGGTCTAGGTCACGCCGCTGTCGATTTGTGGATATGATATCCGTCGGCTGCGGGGGATTGGTCTCCAGAGCTGACCTAATGCACACATATAACAGTCGATATCGTGTGATGCGGGGAATTGTATTTTTAGTCGAGCTTGTGCAGCACACTGCAACACAAAACATGTGGTGTAGCACCTCACTGGCATGAGATATCACGATAGATATAGCATCAGACGAGGTCCAATAATATTAATACTAGCAATCATGCGATAAAATAGACAATATTGTACATGCATGGCGAAGGCAGCGCGGTGGATCTGCCTACGGCCGTGATAGATTTAATCCCAAAAATCCCTCATAATCTCAGGACAACATCATACGAGATATGTAGTGGGAAAATTAAGCTCTGGACACCTCGTTGTCCGCGCCGAAAGATCTCTTCTCCAATGTACCATCTTCGTGCACCTCGTTTGCACCCTCCGCCTTGTTAGCGATCTGTTCAAGGACGTCATCACCATCGAAGAGGGCAGCGGTTTCTTCAAGAGTCCGGTTCTTAGTCTCAACGAGGAAGAACCATAGGAAGATGAACTCGACAGCGAGCCAGCAGACGTATACGATCTAGATATGATCCGTTCAGAAAAAAAATCAGAACAAGCTCACAGCCAAAACTTACGTAGTACTTCCATGACAGGGCGTCCAATGCAATTGGGTTTACATATTGATTAAAAATGAGCGTAATAGAGATAACGAAGTTGAAGATGTTGAAGCCCTTTGCACGAATGTTGAAAGGTAGAATTTCCACCGTGTAGGAGACGATGAGAGGGGTAAATGCTAGGTCGTATGCCGCGTAGAAGAGGAAGATAAAGGCGATGACTGCGTGACCGGCAGCGGCACGACCATGCTCGGCGTATTCCGCGAAGCAGATAGCTTGTGCCATGTAGAAGAGTGTCATCAAAGACGCCGAAAGTAAGAACAAGAAACGACGCCCAAGTTTATTGACCATGGTAGCAGCGAAGACGGCCCATGCCAAGTTCCATATTTGCAAGATACCGTTGATCAGCAACTGAGTGCTTGAGCCGGTGATACCGATCTGATCGAAGACCTTATTGAGGTAGTACGAAACAAGACCATTGCCAGACCATTGAGAGAAGAATGCAAGAGCAACGATGATGCGCATGCGCTTCCTGTTGCCGGGAGTGGCAATAAGAGACTTCCAACCGACATTTGAGGCAACTAGAGTTTATGTGTAAAAGTGCTCATTGTAGCGAGCAAGTAAAATAAAACATACCAGCGTTGTCATACTCGAGAGCGGCTTTGATCTCCTGGAACTCATACAAAACCAACGGGTCTTGTCTGCGGAAAGAGCTTCAGGTTGCGAAATGCGGTCAAAATAATGCAACTCACTCATTGCCATCAGCATGGTAATAGGCGAGGGTCTTAAGAGCCTCAGCATCACGACCCTTTTTGATCAACCAACGGGGTGACTCAGGTCCAAATAGGACAAGAGTAAACTGCAGGATGGACGGGATGCCTTGGAGGAGAGAAGGTATTCGCCACGCCCATGTGCTGTTAATCTTGAAAGTGCCATAAGTTGTCCATGCAGCGCTAATAATATCTCATCAGCGTCAAAGATCCGTTGCGCGGATTCACGCGATCGGACCCACATGATAGATCCAGAGTACCAAAGGGAGTTGTATAGCGAGGTCAGGGGGGCACGGTACGTGGGATACGAAATCTCGGTGACCAACATTGGTGCGGCGTTAGCTAAACATAGCGTGTCAATTGATTCGTTACTTTAAGTTGTGGCGGCCTGTACTAACCGGCAAAAGTAAGACCAAAACCAATGAGGAATCGAGCGCCAATGAACATGCCGACGGACTGAGCAGCAGTCTGTATGGCAGTAGCGACACACATAATTGTTGCACCAAAGAAGACTGTCCTACGGCGACCTATGCCGTCAGACATGTAAGGGGCAAATGGGTAGCCTGCTAAAGAACCAATATTCTGCGCATGATTAATCATCAACAAAAATTATCAGCGCAGGTACAAAAAAACAAAGCTCACCTGAATGGCATTCAAGAGACCAAGTTTAGATCCAGAGGGGTAGTCAAAAGCGCTTTCCCACTGAGGAAGGGACTGCAGTCCATTCATCATACTGCCGTCATACCCATTCGTTGAGGAAGTGATGAGACTGAAGAAAAGACGATCAGCAGAAGGACGACAAAAAGAACAATTCAACGCACAGGAGCACAATCCAGGCGTTGAGAGTGATGAGTCTATCATACATTTACATCAATGCACGATCAGGAGTATTCAAACGACGGTTGCTTACCGCTTGTTGTTGTACCACTTCCTCCTCTCATCAATGAGATGCGTAAATGAAGCGTCTTGTCCGCTGGTAGCAGTAACACCACCCATGATTCGCGATAGTGAGATCGTCAAAGAGGGAAAGATCACAGATAATCATTCGGAGAAGCTACAGGTACGTTTTATGCAGAATGGCGGGCCGCCGGATATAGTCGGGCAGGTGACATTTTTTCCAGAGGTACCCCGCTGTGCATTCCTCTTTTTGTGTTCCCAGATCCGTGCATGTGTAACTGAACGGAAAATGGTAAGCTTAACAAGTTGACAATCAACACCCACAGACTTTGAAGGGGGCGATACGCCGTCACGGGGAACATTGACGGCCGGATTAATGGAATGACGTTCCCAGCGCTCCTAACATTATTGACGAGTCGGGAGGCTTTTCCTGGTGCCAGGTCCCTACTACCCCGCATTTTTCCTAAAAATAAACTCACTAAATGTTTTTAGCATATCCTACTCGTAAGCCAGTGCCTTGATCCGAGTGAAAGCAAAGCTTGGAGTGCGGGCGAAACGGAGCCTGCGCGGAAGGATCTCCTGCTTGCGCCCTACGCAAGTACTGTTGTTTCGTCAATCGAGTCGCGTCGTTCCACGTCACGGTGGTAGTAATTATCACAGGACGAGCAGTCGGGGTTTTCTACATGACTTCAGCCGACCGTTTCCCAAGATGTCCTATTTTTCTTCTCGGATCCGCCTAGCATTCCTGGCTCAAAACTGCACAAACAAATAAAGTTCTTAATACTTACTGCTCTAGGTATACTAGCAGGCAGTTGGGGTTTCGCACCGTGACTCGGACGCGTCGCAAGAATTTCTGAACTCAGACCGCGACCGCTGCACTGCAGCACGTGGAAAGCTCCCCAGCGATCCTACAAGCGAAGTTCAACAAAGCGGAAATTTGGCGGAAATAAGTACTTATGCCATTCCAATATTAATGAGCGGCACTACTTGGGGAATCGCCGTAGTACACCTAGTCTCTCTTAGGCAGTTAGTCGTTTCTTTTATAGTACACCCGGTGTCGAACTAAGTAGAGTTCCAACTTTCAGTAGCTACAAGGTAAGAGTCTCTGTAGTCCATCTGTACTTCTCTTTAAACTCAGTACTCAGTAACCCTCGATCCGTCCTTGGGGAACATAATTCAAGAGCCATCACCCATGTTCCATTAGATCACGAATGGGGAGCCGGACGCACTAGTACATACTGCATTGATCGAGCGGTGAACAGCGATCGTGGATAGCATGTGGCAATGGAACCCACCTTGCATACATTTTTGGTCAGAGCTATCTAAAAATCTATGAGATGCGACCTAAAACCGTCTTAGCATTTCACTGGCTGATACCTCACTTCCCCCGGCTTGATCACGGATAGGCCCACTCTCCATGATGGGGGTAGGCATGTCGACCTTCTTTCTTCTCCCGAAAGGCACCCCGAAATTGCTGGCCAAGCTCGCAAGGGTGCTAGTAGCGGATATAGAAGGTGCGCCTGAGAAATTACTAGACGCCAATGGCGAGGATCGGGGGACATGGTGAGAAGTAGTTCGGTGTCTGTGAAGAAAGATACTGGTCATCCCTTCGGACAATGAGCCTTGCGGGGAGGGCGGTTCTCTACTGGCTGAAAATTCGTGTGGAGGAGAGATAGAGGATGGATCGTGTTCCGTCACAGCGGTAGTAGCCACTGCTTTCACAGTAGCGGGAGAAGCAGATGCAGATGCAAGTGGCGGAAGCCGCACCGCGGAGAACCTAGAGGACGAGGAACCGCGGGATGCGCGCGAACCTGGGCGCAGTGGAGATGATACATGTGGAGGATGAGTTAATGACGCAGGCTGTTGTGCATTCAAATCAATTTGTTGTGGAGGCGGTGAAGGGAGAGACGGTGGCGGAGGGGTAGTGGGGGGAGAGGCATCCCGTGACGGTGCAATAGTTTCCAGTAGGCTCTCAGACGGGGCTTGAGCAAGTAGACGAGACAATGAAGACGGACCAGTGACTGGTGTGGAGTTTGCTCTTGCCCTGATGGGGAAGGACGATGATGTAGGAGGCTGGGTAACACTGAAAGCACTCTCAAATTCAGATTGGGGTGGCGCTGGCGGTTTGCTAGGAGGAGGTTCGGGCGGATCTGAGCTTGTCTTGCGGTCCGTTTCAGGATCCGATAACGCTGAAACCTTTCTGACAGCAGGTCTCCGCTTATTCATCTGACCTGCTTGAGTCCAGTCCTCCACTTCCAACATGTAGTACTTTACACCGTCGCCTAAACCATATGGATTGCTGGAGGGGTCCTAATCGGGTTTTGAGTATAAAAATAGTCGCATGTCCCACGTGGTACGCACCTTGCTGTCGACAACACGTTCTGTTATGGATGTTATCCGCGCCACTATCCATTCTCTCGTTTTCAGCTGCTCGGCGAGGTGGCCAGTGGCCAAAAGGAAGTAATGCGGAAATGAAACTAGATGTCGAGAACAACGTCAGGAGAAGTTTCATCCGCGTAGTAACATAGCTACGTACCGTTAAATGCCGCCCAAGGCTTTGAAATAGAATTCCTAGTCGGAAGGAACAGTGCTAAATCCCCTTTGGCGAAATTGCGGAAAGAAATCTTGCCCTTCGCGCGTTCTCGATATTCCTTGCATTGCTTCTGCCACTTCCGGATAATGGAACCCGTTCTGGCCACTGCTTCCAAGAAATGATCATGATCGAAGGCGCGTAATGATTCCAGGGCACCCAGAAGATCTGATGGATCAATCGGAGAGGGCTCGTCGGTTTGTGCACCAGCACTATGCCCATGCCGTTGGGTGGGCATAAATGCAGATTCGGCCAGTGGCTGTGCCTGCTTTGACGAACTGGGGTGACTGGTGAGATTGTGCACAAGAGAAAGCGTCTTGCAATGAGAGTTTCGGAAAGCAATCGCGACGTCGAGCATTTGAGCAACCAGGCGACCACTGTTTTCCAATCGATGCTCGTAGTCAGATTGGGAAGCTCGTCCAGCTGTCAAGTCATCTCGGAGAATCCTCTCTACGTGCCTTGCCTCCCGAAGCTCATGCTCAACCCGTTGAAGTTCCTCACGCAAACCCATGGCGTCTGCGTTTGTTAACTCGGTTTGTGAGCGTGCCTCCTTCAGTTGCCGTTCAGTATCTTCAAGCTGTGCTCTGAGCTCCGAGAATTGGTGCTCGAGAACAGCCCGGTCGCCATCAGCTTCAGCAATGTGATCCCGCATGATGCGATCGTGCTCGTTAGCCTGCAACCGAAGTAATCTATCTTTCTCCATGTTGGAAATCTTTAGCGCTCTGTTCACCTCCTCGCATTCAGAGCGAGCGGTTTGGATCTGGGTCTCCATATCTTCCCCTCTGGCACGTGCCGCTTCCAAGTTCCGCAGAGTGGTTGCTTGCTCCTCGACCAGCTGAGCAACTTTTAACGCGTTCCTAGCTTCCAGTGCTTTCACTTCGTCCGCTTGCGAACGGACCTGTGATAAGTCCTGCCTCATGACTTCGACCATACGTGTCTGTTCCGTCGCATCAGCGAGTGCTAGAACACGTTCTCGCCGCTCTTTTTCGAGATCTTCGGCCAACTCCAAGTTACGGCGCTCCAGTATTCGTCGGGCTGCAGCTTCGCTTTCAATCTGCGCTTTGGCTTGGTGCAGCTCGCGCTCCAGTACATCCGCGCGTTCCCTCTCGGAATGAGATGTGAGTTCAGTAGCCTGAAGGTCGCTATGGACTCGATGGATTTCAGCCTGCAAGGCCATCCGCTCTTGCTGTATCAACTTTTCCTGGTTTGCCTGGGCTGCTTGCGTTTCACGCAGTTGCTCAGCCAATTCCTGAAATGCTTGTTCGTCCGCTTCTGTTACTGTGAATCGTGTTGGCGCACATATCAAAGAAAACGAAAGATATCGACTTACGCCTTCTGCGTGACGATGACAATCGTGACGCCGAAAGCACTTGCACAAAGTCAGCTAGAGGAATATTTGGCGATGTCTTTTGCTTACAAGAACGTTCAGCAATACGGTCGAATCCAGCCTCCAGGTTGTCCATCTTAGCAATGAGCTTATCCACTGCAATTCTCGCCTCATGCACTGAGCCCATTGCCGCAGGGTCTGAACCTGACCGCGACCAGGACTCCAGATCGTTCAGGACTTGAAGCAGCGCTGGAATTCCACTATGAGTTTGGCGACGTGGAAGTGGAAAAAAACAATACCATCAATGTCTTCTCTGTTCAACGAATACGACGGCTCTTTGCTACCAGAAGGAGAGAAGTCGATGGTCGGTACAGCATCATCCATTCCCTTTGTATCGAAGGGTAGTTGGCCGTGCACTTCCCCCCTGTATACCTGTCGACGCTTCCGCTCACTTGCACTACACCCTCGTCAAGAACTGCAACATTTAATAATCGTGGGTTTCACTTACGACAGCTTGGCCATTACTTCTAAAATGCTTTGCGCTCGCTGATAGAAAAAGTGAGCTATAGTAAAAAGATCAGACATGGGGTCACGCAATACTGCGTTGACTCACCAAACTCCTTGCGTCGTACGATCTCAACTACAGTGGCGCCATATGCATACAGCATATTGTGAAGCCTCTGTATGTGCGAGAAGCTATTCTTTGCCCTGAATTTACCTTGCAGGTTAGAAAGCGTCGTCGGTAACTGCACGATGTCGATATTCAAGGCGCTGATTTGCCGAAGGACACCTATACATTGTTCGGTATAAGCGTTCTGTAATCCGTCAGTAAGGGCATTTTCATCCACTTTAAAGACGAACCTTGGCTTTCGTCACGTCTCGTACTTCGTTTCGCAGTGCAGCATCGAGATGTTTCAGCTCTGAAACATGATTATCCTGTTATTGCATCCATGAAACGGACATACCACGAAGAAGGTTATCTGGGTCCGTGGCAGGACTCTCGAGAGCTGCTGCAACATCCGACGCCTTTTCTACAATCTCCTGAGCCCGGCGACATGAGGCATCCGCACCCTCCAGAATTCTATGCACGAGTGAGATAAACATACTATCATAGAATCAAGGAACACCAACTGGGTATTTGCGACTGTTGCGCGCACAGTATCAGTTCCATTTGTTAACCTGGCCGCTGACTTCTCAGCGTCTTGAAATTGTGTCCGAAGCTCCTCTATACCAACGTCATCATCAGAAGGTCATCCCAATTTCTTCCAATTACGTACCATGCGTCCTCGCACACGCGTCGGCGACCTGCCTCATCTTCACATTCGATACATAATCACCCAACGTCCTCGGCCGTTCTCCATTTTCAATCGCATTTCTCACAGCAGGCGACATAAACTCAACATGTATCCTCACGCGACTTATGATTTCCAGGTCCGCATCCAGACCTGCAAGGAGCGCAGCCTGGCGCTCGAGGTCCTTACGGGCCGTCATAGCGATACCATCGAACACGTCGGCTATAGCGAGGACATTCAGTTCGAGGCTGCTGCATGCAATTCGTGCTGCTTGATGTTGGCGGTGGAGGGTGGCCGCTGTATGTACGATGTGTTCGAGGTGAGTATGCGTTGTGCGGAGGTAAGATGCAGCGAGTTGTGAGGGACGATAGGGAGGTGTTGTAGAGATTGACTCTGTGATACTTTGTTGACGTCAAAATGTCAAACCTTGGCTGTAGTCACGCACCTTCAATCGGTGGTTGTAATAGCGGAGTGACCCTCAGCTCGTGAAGCACATCGTTCAAGTCAAAATCCAGATAATACTTGTTGAAAACATAAATAGTCTGTTCAGGAGTTAATAATTTCCGCTTTTCGAGGAAGAATACTGGCTTGCCTGGTCATGGGCACCCACTAGCTCACGAACGTTGTCAGTACGCAAGCGTGTGCCATCCGAAAGGTATGCCAAGATGGCGTCCTGATCAACACCCGTCTCTTGGTGCAAAAAGGCCTCGAGGCTTCCTCGCCTAGAAATCAACTGTCAGCGCGGTACAACGCTGGGCCTAGGCGTAGACAGACCTCTCAATGTCTCGTAAGTTAGCATTGACCTGTTGTTTGATGTAAGTGTGGTACCGAAGTGCTCTGGTGAGACATACCTGATATGATTCGCCGTCTTCCGCACGGCATATCTGAATCATTATCCTGGTGTACTGCAGACAATATTATGGTTCGACGTTATGTTGCCTGCTGCAGACTTGCTAACAGGCAAAGTGGCACGGCCACATGATGTAAACGCTCCCGTTAAGGAAAAACTACCCCTAACTGCATGCGATCGTAATATTTCATCCAATAAACAAAAAGTAATTAAAACAGTAGTAAGCCTCCGGCTATATCGTGTCTAAATGTCCTCCGAATCTTCCTGATGTACATCGCTTTCATCTGTAGTCTCTATCGAGACAATCCAAAATATGTCACCAGTCGGCTGCCCGTCACGGCGTTCCTTGTCTTCTGGCTTTCTCCGTTTGCAGCAAACGAACCTCACAGGATGTCTATCCCAGTACTTCATGAGGTCGAATGACATACCACCTGGAAGCCTTAAGGCAAGAGTCGGATTGAATTGTAGATACCCATAGCAGAAATCCGTCGTGATTTGATCCTAAGGTAGTCGTCAGCATGCAGCAATTCAAATGATGTTGAACGACATACTTCAGGTCCAAATACGATCTCCTGACGATGCTGAGGACTACTGAAGTATGACCTACGACCGCTTGTAGTCCGCAAATCTAGGGAACCTAGATTTCTGCTTCTTCATCTTCAAGTGCGATTTTTCAAGGGGCAACTTAAGTGATTTTTTCACTGAGGCACCCAACGAGCCAGGCATTCTCGAGAGATTAGATGAAGACGAGGTAGCAGATGGTGAAATCGACGATAACGACGAATATGGGGTCAGAAACGGAGAGTTAGATGAAGACGAGGTCAGAAACGTAGAGCTAGACGAATTCGAGGATGCAATGGCAAACTGCAACTGCGAGGTATCCTCCCCTATTGATTGCGACGGTGGAAATGAGGGGGACAGTGAACTCCGACCGTTTACACTCCAGTAAGGGTGAAGCTCGAACGTCATCTAATCTTTCGTGCACAAAATAGGGCATCGTTGCGATCAGTGGTGAAAGGGCCCATGGCTTTGTCTCTGACATCAAATCATGTTCCAAGCTAGCATCAACGTATCTAAAAGTCGTTATTAGTTCCGGTCGCGTGCTCCACATACGATAGTAGCAGTTGAACGAACACAATAACACACTCACTTCATGAATTTGAGGGCCACACCAGCACCCCAAGGCAGCTTCAAACGTTTGTCGAACGTGTTTCCAAACATAATATCATCCGCTGAATTCGCTTGAAGGAACCGGCCTGACATATTCACCACACAACAGCTGTCAGCATCAGGGTAGACGAACAATAGCCGAGGAGCTCAAACGCACCCTGAACCTGAATACTCCACGTTATCCCTTTCCTGTCCTCTCTATCAAAATACTCCGCGGAAAGCTCTTCGCCAGTGGGATTGGTGAAACCTTTGATGTTAATGGCCACCTTGCCTTCGAACAGTTCTGACGATATATCGTGCGCTTTTCCGCTGTTCACTTTATCTGTGATACAGACGAGCTTGTCCATGGACGGTCCAACGCGTACCCGTAAACGAGAGTGAAACATGGCGGTTGGTCACAAGGAATGAACGGGTAGCAGAAAAGGGGCAGTGCACATGTGACAATAAGGTGGTGCGCAGGATCTCAGTCGTTTAAGGGTTTTAGAACAAGAAAATAAGACGTAAGACCAGCTTGCCGTCGTCGTGGTTTTGGGATGAACGTATCATGCCAAGTGTTGGCCATCTCAAAATGACATGAAGAGGTTGGAGTTGACCGTATTAGGAAAGTTGCTGTCCGTTGTCTTCGCGATCGGAAAGATATTATACAGGATGTCGGAAATCCTTGCAAAGGACATCCGATTGACATCTGCCGAAATGAGGAGAGGTTCAGAGCACCTCAAAGTCATCGATGACGTGTCAAAATCGAAACTACCGATGTCGCCTCCGCCTCGGCGCCCAACTCTACATTATAAGCGCTCAAGAAGATTGATCACAGCAACAGGGTGTCCACCATATTATGGAATAACAATAACAGTATACACGAAAAAGCAATGAATGCACAACGACCGTCAGCTATCAGCACAATAATAGGATAGGGGTGAGTAATAGGTGACGCTGTGAATGTGTAAGAAGTCCGAGTGGTAGTCTGCGCGCTCAAGTAGATCCGCAGGAAAACTAAATAACCCCAAAATCGATGAAACCCGAAAACCCAACTGATTGTCTCAGACAACAGATTGGTCCTACTCTCCCACTGAAACCGATAGTACACCCACGGCGAGCAGCACAGCCCAAGCCCCTCCCACGTTCGTCAATTTTGGCGCTGACGAGGATGCCACGGTCGTACTTTGCGCGTAAGACGATCCACACGCATTGTTCAGTTTGTTTGCCGCATCCCCGTAAGTAGCTTGTAATCCCGTCAAGCTGGAGGCGTTTGAGCTGGTCAGAGCAGCCGAGTACATCGACATGAGACTCTTAGTGCAAGAGGTGCAAGCTCCGTTGGTGATTTTGGGCAGTGGTTGTCCCAGGGGTAGCTGGTAGAAATAATAGCTGGAAGGGTCAGAGCTCGCCACTGCTTCGACATAACAGTATGCATTTGCCACGGGATCCACGGAACACGCTGCATCCCGCATCAAGTCAAATGCTTGTAGACCTACGTAAAAGTGTTTCGTTATCAGGACCCACACCGAGCATCGCTAGTATCAGATCGTACCTATCAATGCGCCGACTGCCATGAGATTTTGATTGTTCAAGTCGGTAGCACATGAAGAACGTAGTGCCGATACAAACCACGCCATGTTCAGGTCACATTGACTCTGGGAGATGTCAGTGTTGCACGTCCCCCAGATATCTGTGTTCACGGCATTTATATCGTCTTGTATCTGCTTACGCCACAGTACCGAAGAAGTGATATTAAACAGTCTGTCGAACGTCATCTAGGAAAAAACGCACCTTTATAAATGCTTGAGAATGAGTGAGCAAGAGTGAGAAAGGACGGCAGGATCGTAAAGCATCTGTCTGTGTCATATTAAGGAAGAAATTGTAGCAGGATGTGGTCGAGAAATTTGATGACAAAGTTGTGTCATAGGGCTGGGGAAACGGGGTTGGCAGAGTTGGATTTGTTGGGACAGTGGGGGCGATGGTGGTTGAAGGTGTACTTCTCTTCGTGAAAGATGGTCTTGTGTCAGATAGTACTGAGAGCTGCGATATGTTCTCGATAGGTTTGTGCTTCTCATGCAGTGACCAGTCGGTCATGCTTTTGGCCCACGATTTCCATTCGTGGGTCGAGGTTGGTGAAAAAGCGTCAAACGCTGCTGGATGAACAAAACAGCGTGTGGAGACTGCGATTGAAATGAGAATTATTGGCACCAAGATGATCGTCCAGCGAACAGTAAGGGTATATTTTTGTTTGGATTGGAATGAACGTATGGGGGACGCAGTTGGGGTAGCGGGTGTGGGGGTATCGTTAGTCATTTGCAGCTTTTGCGATTCAGAGCTTTGAAACCTTGGGGACGGAAGAGGAGAAGGAGGAGGCGTAAACATTTATGATATCTAATCGCTGAGATATAGGTGTAAGGAATGTTGATAAAAAAGAGTGTGGATGTTGACTTGACAAGATCACCGTCAGAGGCGACCTGTGCTGTGTCGCTGTGTCAGAAAAATAAAGAAGGTTGTCAGCGTACACGAATAGCTCTGCGCTGGCACTCACTTTTAGGGGACGTAGGTGGTTGGTAGGAGGAGAAGGGACACCAAAAGTTTAAATCTTAAGGTCGAGGGTTAGCGCTCGCGTCCATTCAATGAAACCCGACGGGGTAAAAATGTAACGCGGCCGAAATTCAAAGTCTTCGAATGACGAGGATTTAAATTGCCACGTCTCACGAGTGATCACACTCGTTCTCATGATGTCGTTCCTCGTCGTAAGTCACCTGCTGAACTTCGCTGATTTGCGGTGATTTTCAACCTATTCAAGTGGAACCGTCCCAAATCTTCGTTCCCCATCTCCTTCTGTGAATTCATTTCTTGAACTTCTTGGTCCTTTTGTTATTATTTCCTCTTTCAAAATTGTTCATCTTTCCCTCCTTTCGTCAGTCTGGACTGTGGTCTAGACCGCTCTGGCCCCTCCCGACACAAACAATCCCACTAATATTTAAGTCCGGACTTCGTACCTCGCACGGAACCTTGAGAACACAACCATAGTATCCAAGCTAATGAGAGGGAAATTGCTATTATAAGTAATTGTATGACTTTTCAATCTGGAATTCCTCGTGTCATGACTTACTGGCAGTCTATTCACGCAAGCCGCCTCGTAAATACAGACAGTTAGTGATAAAATACAGGCAATAGATGCACCGTGTGGGTTTTTCCGTGCGTCGACTTACTGCTTCTCTTTTCACAACAGGTTAATGAAGCTTCGTAGGTGAGTGATCTTGGTCCTCATCAGCTATGATTGGCCCAGCTCCGCCGTGACGGCGACGGTGTCACTTGATGCTCGTTCTAACTTCTAACTCCAATCTGCTGGCCTTCGGACAAGTCGGGACGAATACGCTGTAAGAGGTTGCAAGTAGTTTCCAATTTCTTCGATTCTGCCATTTCAAAGCAAGCTAATAAGTAACTTTCCCCTCATCCGTGGGACAGCCCGGTACCACGACTCAGCGGTCAGTACGCTGGCAAAGGCTGGCAATCGAATCGTTATACTAAGATAACAGTGGTTGCTTGAACCCTCGCGGACTGACTGGCAACAACCCTAGAACAATAAAATAAAATTCTGACCTAGCTGTACTTTTCAACGACTATACTTTACAACCCTCCTGTCCATGGAGCGTGTCCAGTGCCTGACTGCGGGCACCGCCTTTGCCTGGAAACATCAATTTACGGGTCAACATCGAGTCATGCCGTCCTGGTCAGGAACTGTAGCGGTGCCCAAAACATCGTTGTGTTTGACTTCGATGACCATCGTCATGCAACATGCTCCTTTTCCCCTTACGTACCTAGGTGGTCGGTACGTCTATAATCCATGCCACATATTCTCCAAAATCTTAGTCTGAGCGTTGTCATAGCACACGTATCAATCAGAAAACAGATCCACCGCCTGGATGATTTTTGTCAAGTATTCACATCCAAACATGGATTGCGGGAACATACCGTCTACAAGAATATCAGTCCCGTTGATGTACCTCCCCGCACGGCTGCAGAGGAGCACAACAACACCCGTCAGCTCGCTCGGGTCCCCCATGCGTCCCATGGGGTTTCTCGAGTACCATAGATCCCTAGCTTCTTCAAGCCCTGGACCTTCATTCAATATCGTGTCCATATATCCTGGGCTGATGCTGTTGACACGGATACCATAACGAGCCCACTCGGCAGCGAGAGAGCTCTTGAGCTGCAGGAGCGCGCCCTTGGAAACGTTGTACGCGACCTGCGGCTGCGGGAAATTGACACTGTGCGCGGAGATGGATGCTGTGAAGACGATGCTACCGCCTGTCCCTTGTTTGACCATCTGCCTTTCAGACTGTCAGGATGTAGGTTTTGGCTTCAAATGGGGTTGATTTACTTTGCTGCTGCTTGGGCGCACAGCCAGCTTCCTGTCGTATTGATGTCAAGGGTACGCTTCCACTCATCAAGAGCAACATCAAGGGCGTGGTTACAAGCGACCACACCTGCAAAGCACAGGAGAATATCAACGCTTCCGAGCTCGTCAGTAGTCTCCGCGACGGCTGCTTGAACGACCTGCTGGTCGCGAACGTCCACCTTCCTCGTGATGATCTTTGCCGATGGGAAATCAGAACGCAACTTATCAACAACATCCAGGGATTGCGCTGGATTGACGTCAAATAGCGACACGCCCGATGCGCCATGCTCCAGGAGGGCACGCGCTGCCTCGATCCCAAGGTTGCCACACCCTCCGCTGACTGATAATTTATTTCATATCAAGATCGGCACACTTCACGCGACTATACCCACCGATCGCGTTTCCTTTGACAGAGAACCTCGCCTGCCGCCTTTTCTGTGACTATAAGGTTGCCTGACAAGGGGGTATGGGGTCTGGTTAGCGGATTAGACTTCTCAGAAAGCTACCATCTGAGGGAGAACACGGCTGGTAAGGTCATCTCTGGATGCTGGCGCGGGACCCATGTCTGTGGCACACGATGATGAGTATGTCGGAAGGGAACTGATGGCTTTGGATCAGACCCGTGACGCACGAGACTTCAGTGAGCTTGATGCGACTTGGCCAATTCGCACGATTACGATACTTCTCGATACTTTTCCATACTGGTAGTAGGTTCGAGTTAGTCCCTCTTGGTCTCCCTTAGGCAGACCAAATAGAATGAAGAGTTTCCTCTAGTCAGACCATATAGAAGAAAGACCATCGTTCCTTCGTGATTGGTTCGAGTCATCCACAGTAACCCACCGTTTGTGCCTTGCATCGCGGGGCTGCAACATGATCGTCGAATCACATTATGCACTTAGAGAATTCTTGTGGGTATATTTTTTATGCAATGTGGAGCTATGTATGGCCAGTCTAATGCCTCTAATCTGGACACTCGCTTACTACAAGTGCAAGGTTAACGTTCACCTTTAATAATCTAGTTGACTGATCTCCAGTTGCTAAAAATGCTCGCTCGCGAGCAAAATCTTCGTCAAATCACTTGCAAAACATGCACTCAGCCTCGGGCAATTCATACATACATAATATCTGTCAGAGCTTTGACTGCCTTGACAAAACACCATATTTTCTGTGCACAAAGTTGGCCATAATTTGCGCTGCACGGGTAGTTAAACAAGAATTAATTAGTTCCTTTGAGGTAACGTACCAAGCGCTTCCGGACACTGCTAAGGAATCTAAACTACAATCATGTTAGATACAGGAATTATTCAGGACGAGATACAGACGAGATGACCAGATTTGATGATAATATTAGATGAATTTGCTGGTCTGCGTCAAACACGCTCCTTCGCGACTTGCTCTGTCATTGGCCTGTCGCATAGTGCCTATTAGTGAGTGAGTTTCTCCTGCTTGACTGGCTTACGCATCATGACGGAGTTTCGCGGGGACAATCCACAGCAACTCGATGTTCTCGTCGAGCTTTGCGGCTAGCTCGTGGGTTGGCATAGGCGAGAACTTCATGGATGACAGGCATTTTCAATCTGACACGTCCGCTTTCATCCTCGTGCGGTCCATAATTGACATAGAGCCGAAGTACGTTAGGATGCCAAGCGGAGAACGTGTGTGAAAATTTGAAGGAATGCAAGGCATCCTCCCTGCAATCGTAGTCAGTACTCTGATGCGAGTGATGATCGAAATTTAAACACCATGATGGCCATCGTTCGCGCCTTATCAAGGTAGTTCTAATTAGGAACTTGTTGAACGCCCACACACCTCCTAGGAATGGATCGATTATTGCATCGATGAGGATCATCGAAGGAAACAAGGCCGGAAAATTCAACGCGGCTAAAGACCTGTTAAATACCATGAGATTCAATGAACCACTGAAAAAGAAAACACGAATGGCATACACGGAGCAACCTCCGAACGAGTATCCCGCTACGACAAGGATGCGGGAAGAGAAACCGTTCTTTTGCCGTGATTCGCCAATGGACGCAGGAAGGCGATGAAGTTGAATGGGTAGCGCAATGTTTCTACCTCTTCTGGCATGTAATTGATGAGAAATTTTGCAATAGTCTCTTGCATTGTCAGCCAGTCAGCTGTTGTCAATTGATTCCAAGCAAGCGGGCATGAAAGGCGTCCTCTTACACCCACTACCACTGAGATTCTGTCCGTTTAGCAGAGCAGAGTCCCCATGTTGCACTTAGTCCCATGACCATATCTCATCTATGACGCCACAGACAGATAGTAAATGACATAGAGTGATCTCCCATGTCTAATCGTAACGGATAGTCAGACTCTTATTTTCCTATCATGCGGACAATGGACACTGGAAAGGACTCACTTCCTTCGGAAAGTCCGCTTCGTTCCGACATTAGCCTCCTTGTCCTTTTTTGCATATCGGTTGACGCAATTCCATAACAGATTTTCGTTCGTAACCCCGAAATGGTCGGCGCCCCCTTGCCGGACCTGTTGTTCCGTGAATTCCACTCCCGACTTCTTGATATCTTTCAAGGTTCTCTTCGAAGTGGGAGGTGGCTCGGGAACTGGAGCTTCTGGGGTGATTCTGGGATTGGCTGCAGGTATGATATGAGTGCTGATGTTATAGATGCCAAGTAATTTATCGGTCCGGGGCTTGGAGGGCAAGGGCAGGACCTCGATGGGCTCTTGATGAGGTTTAAATGGCCCCCATGGGCGTGGTTTCACAGCCATCCGGAGTGTTGTAGGGGTATAAGTGAACGAGGGGGCGCCATTGGATGTTAAAGCACCTTACGAAACCTAATCTTATGTATGTAGGTTTTGTTCTCGCACGCCCAGGAAGAAAGAATTCGAAACACAAGCCAGGAGAGTCAGGGCAGTGCGGTGGTATTGTGTGGAGATCATCATCCGTACATAAGTTCCGTACTCGACGCAATTGGGCCAGGGTTTGGGGCGAAAGGCGGAGAGGCACGCCGACCAATAGGCAACCAGACATGCAAAGTCTAATGGTCGAATCAACCATTTCGTTCAAAACCCTCACGAGCGACAACCAAGTGAGTTACAGTAGTTGTCCCAACGCATTAATTTATTAGATGCTTACTGCATGATCATCAGAAGCAAGGTAAGCCATGTGCCCTCCTGAGTAATTATTCTGAGGTGAGCGTGAAACACTCTACGAATGCCGCATCGCCGAGTTGGGGTCAGGACAGACGCTCATATATGCGTTTAGCGATCAACGTTGCTTTAGATGTAAAGTAGGAAGTAAGCGGGTCCAATAGGTCGTGAGAAAACGGGAAACCTTGAATGAAATAGTCTTGTAGAACGGGTTTTACACTTGACCAACTCACAACTCAAACATCCTTCAAGCCTTTCAAGCCTTTACAACAAACCTCGTCGTCGCTAGCCTATCGAATCTTTTTTGGCGCGACTAAGAAACAAAGGAGTTACCGATCCACAAATACTCAAACTTCAGTGCAGACTCGTGGCTGATCAAACTCGACCTTGCCTTTTTACATCCTCCAATAGCGACTAAACCATCCTACTTTCAGTGCTCATCAACATCAATTTCTGCACATGTCTCAATCAGCAAGACCATCCACTTCTACATCCACCTCGTAAGATCTTCTTTCCTCTTTTTAACTTATCTTTTTTAATTCAATTTTGATTTCGTAGCTCATCCGCAACTCCCAGTGACGCTTCTTGGAGGGCGGGTCTTCGTCCACCACCAAAAGACTTGCGCCCACAGACAGAAGATGTCACAAAGACCAAAGGAACCGAATTTGAAGACATGTTCCTCCGTCGTGAACTCCTTATGGGCATTTTCGAAGCAGGTTTCGAAAGACCTTCACCTATACAAGAAGAAGCCATCCCAGTCGCCCTCACCAAACGTGACATTCTTGCTCGTGCTAAAAACGGGACCGGCAAAACTGCCGCTTTCGTTATACCCTCCCTACAGCAGATTGATGTCGGCAAGAATAAGATTCAAGCCCTACTCCTCGTCCCTACTCGTGAACTTGCCCTCCAGACATCCCAGGTCTGTAAAATACTGGGAAAACATATGGGTATCCAGGTCATGGTGACCACAGGTGGCACGACCCTTAAAGATGATATTATGCGCTTATCAGAGACGGTCCATGTACTCGTTGGAACACCGGGACGTATCCTGGATCTAGCTGGCAAGAACGTCGCTGATCTCAGCGAGTGTCCCGTGTTCGTCATGGACGAGGCAGACAAACTTTTGTCGCCCGAGTTTACTCCTGTCATGGAGCAATTGCTCTCTTTCCTTCCTGCGGATCGTCAGGTCATGCTTTTCAGCGCAACCTTCCCTATGATGGTGAAGGACTTCAAGGTAGGCTCGCCACGAATACAGCCCTTGTTACCAGTGTTTGATGTATTTCTTTTTGTGTAGGACAAACGCATGAGAACCCCCTACGAGATAAATCTTATGGAGGAGCTCACCTTACGTGGTGTCACGCAGTATTACGCTTATGTCGAGGAACGGCAGAAGGTTCACTGTCTGAACACCCTCTTCTCTAAAGTAAGTTCCTGCACATCAGCCCCCCTCTCCTTGCTGACCATCCGTCTCCAGTTGCAAATTAATCAATCCATCATCTTCTGTAACTCTACCAACCGCGTCGAGCTTCTCGCAAAGAAAGTCACCGACCTCGGCTATTCCTGTTTCTACTCCCACGCCAAGATGCTTCAGTCACATCGTAATCGCGTATTCCACGACTTCCGCAATGGGGTCTGCCGGAACCTCGTCTGTTCAGACCTGTTGACCCGAGGAATCGATATCCAGGCGGTCAACGTCGTAATCAACTTTGACTTTCCCAAGAACTCGGAGACGTACCTCCACCGCATTGGTCGTTCCGGTCGGTTCGGGCACTTGGGTCTTGCTATCAATCTGGTCACCTATGAGGACCGTTTCAACTTATATCGCATCGAACAGGAGCTGGGCACCGAGATCCAGCCAATTCCCCAGACTATCGACAAGGGCCTTTATGTCGCGCCCAGCGTCGTTGAGGATGCCCCGCAGAAGCCCCAGCCTCAGCCACAACCATCTCAGCAGCAGCGACAACAAACAACTCCTCAGCAAGCTCCAAGCAACGGCCCGGGTCGCCAGAACGGGGGACCGCCTGCACCCCCGCAAGGGCAACAAGCCCAACGAGGAGGTTATGCTAACCAGGCAGCGCACCGTAACGGCACTCCCGCACGATGAGCTGTTTCCTTTATGAGGCGTGTTGGAGGGGGGGAGGAGGAGGAGGAGGAGGCTGCCATCACCGTTCGAACATCATTCTCATCCATCATCGTCAGCCGTCATCTCGACATCTCGTATTCCAGGGGTCGTGTTTCCCTTTGTTCGGCATCGCCATGTCCATGAATCTCACTGCTCTGGCATCGGTCACATCTTGCGCTCCGTCCTTTTTTTCTCGCTTGTTTTTGCGTGTTCGATTATATATATCATATTAGGTTACACTACGCTCATAGTCTGGCCCCTACGTACGTACTACTCGAGAGTCGAGTTTTTTTGCTGATGGTGAATGGTGTGGGTGGTGGTCTCGGGGTGGTTGTTGGGATTGGTGTTGGGGTTGGGATTAGTGTGGGGGGTTTGGAATGATGTTTGTGTAGTTCTGACTTTTGTCTGGCACCGTATTCTGTGTCGGACGTTATTGGTACTACCGGTGACAATACACACTTCATTCCCCAAAACCTGATGTTGGCGAATTGCACTTGGTCTTTCGAATTCCCAGACCGGCACTCTTGAACCGGTCACTCCTTTCGAGCGCTAACATATGCACCAGTACTTACTGCCAACACATTTATAGCAAGGAACGATGTCTTTCTTCGTATTGGTCTACGTACCTACCGCCCAGATTCCAGGGTACACAAGACGTTATTGGGGTTGGTATGCGACGTTACCAAACGATAAGTCCTCGATCGGGAACTACTGAACGGGAATTCCGAAGTTGCCAACATAGCAGGCGCTTCCCCAGTATAGAATAGGAACGAAGGCTATCCTCCAAGCTTCGCCTACAAATTGCCTTGGGGCCCACGAGGGTTAGTACTTGAATTCAGGCAGTCCACGGCAAACTACATTCCCGAGGCAAATTTGGAGGTCTCGAATCTCGAGGGCTCTCAGTGTCAGGTCTGCCTATCCCTACTTTCGGGCACTTCAGTAGCAGGTGACCCTATCGGCTTCCTTGGCCTATGCCAACCAAACGATAACTGCTGTAATATTTTCGGATTCCTTGCTGACACCAGGTCTAATCATCTTGCCAAGGATGAAATCACTTCAAGAGTCTCGACTGCTTCCATCAACATTGATATGATCATAAGTATGTTATCTGTGGGAGATGCCGGAAGTTATCCTCCTCTACACACACGTCGTGCGCGTGACAAAGTGAGCCTCATTTTTCAACCTCCTCTGCTACGACGGCTCCCCTATCGTCCGGCGCTAGGCACACCATGATGGGAGAGTTCATGTCGATGACCTTGTTATCGGGCTTTTATTAGCGATCGCCGTAGGAGGGATTCATTTTACTCGCTGCAGATCCCTCCGACGGTTTGATACTCAGTTGAAGATAAGCGGATTGTGTTACATAAATACGGCGTGCTTAATATTTGCACCTTCTATGCCCGGCGTTTGCTCCAGTTGCGACCAATGGACTTTGCAAGAAAACTTATCAAAGCGCTCGAGGTCCCCCATACCCATGAAGAGGGTGCTTCTAGCGGCTTGCAATTTGTTTCGGTGAGTTTAAATTTCTGATCAGGTGTTTCGAATTTAGGCTTACTCTGTTGCTCTTCAGAGCGACGACCTGCTGCCTGTTCCGGTTGAGGAAAGAACATGGACTGCATTCAGTTATGTCTCTTTGTGAGGACTGATTTTTTTTAGATTGACTGTGCAACTGACACTCTTCTTGGACAGTTGGGGGAGCACTTCGGTTGGTATTGATTTATCAAAATTACACAGAACGCTCATAGAAGATCTACTCATAGATCAATGTTTCAACGTTTGTTGCTACAAATTTTCAGTTCGCAACATGACCTCACACTTGTTCCCTGCAGATGGATGGTAACCTCTAGCATGATTGTCCTCGGCATGTCATGGTGGCAAGCCTGGCTGAGCATCTGGATTGGTTATGGTGTAATGACGCCGTTTGTCATACTGGCGGGTCGACCAGGTTCTGTATTCCACATAACGTTCCCTGTCGTCAACCGTGCCAGCTTCGGAATATTTGGAAGTTTGTGGTGCGTGTTCAACAGAGCGACAATGGCATGGTAGGTGCATACGATACCCCCCGTGCTGTGCTGTGTTCACTTCATTTGCAGTATCTGGTACGGAGTGCAATCTAGTATCGGCGGCACATGCGTCTTGGTGATGCTTCGTGCAATGTGGCCAAGTGTCAATGATATCCGTGAGTCCAACGATGAGATGGGTTCTTTGTGATTTGATATTCACACGACGAAGCAAATTCCATGCCGTTGTCCTCTGGCACCAATACAAGGGATTTCATGTGCTTCTTGATTTTTTGGATTATATCTTTGCCTTTCATATGGCCTCCTGTGCACACAATGTACGTTTAACGAGGTTATTCAGAAGGATTACTGATGAACTTGTAACAGTCGCCACTTCTTCACGTTTAAGACGATCATCACGTCCATTGCCTGTCTCATCTTTATGATTTGGTGCATTATCAAGGCAAAAGGTGTTGGACCTGTTGTTAAACAGCCAGGGACTCTACATGGCTCAGAACTGGCCTGGTCCATGATCGTGGGTGCTGGCGCATGCATCAGTAACCTCATAACACTGACAACGTATGCCCACCGTGCTTTCATATATAATGTCTTACCATATTTGCAGGAACGCGCCAGATTTTGGGTCACGAGCGAAGACTAAATCTGCACCGATCTATTCCCAGCTCTGGTCCATCCCCTTCTCTTATGGTTCTATCTGTCTCCTTGGTGTCATCGTCAGTTCATCATCGCAAACAATCTACGGGGAAACGATTTGGTCACCTGTGGACTTGCTAGCCAGGTTCTTAGACGATAACCCATCCCCTGCTACTCGATTTGGTGTGAGTTTGAATATCGGATGGTATTTCACACTGATGAGAGGGTTATCATAGGTCTGGTTCATCGCCGCCTCGTTCATCATAGCTCAGGTAGGCACCATACTGACCTCCTAACCGACGTAATGCTGATTTATCTCAGATAGGGTATGGAACGAACACATGAGTCTCTGGCATAGCTCACGCCCTCGTTTTCAGAACGAACATATCCGCTAACTCGGTCAGTGCGGGGTGTGATCTGACGGCGCTATTTCCACGTTTCATCGTAAATCATTCGCTCCATGCATGTGTCCAAGGAAGTACTTACTAGCATCTCAGAATATCAGACGCGGCGGGTATATATCAGCCATTGTCGGACTCGTCATGTGTCCCTGGAATCTGGTGTCGAGCAGCAGCCGCTTCACGTCCTATATGACTGCGTACTCGGTTTTCCTGAGCGCGATCGCAGGAGTTATGGTGAGTGGACCTGGACATGGTTTTATTTTGACTCAATATGCCCCATAGGTCACCGAGTACTGGTTTGTGCGCAAGGGCCATTATAACGTTGCTGACCTCTACGTCACCCGCAAAGGGAGCTGGTATTGGTACAATTATGGTTTCAATCCCAGGTCCGTGGGAGATTACTGTTGGCTCTCCATTGCTCACCCGAGTTTAAAGAGCATACGCAGCATATGTGGCAGGCATCCTCATCAATGTAGTTGGCTTTGTTGGGGATAGTACGTCCCTTTAGTTTGTATTTCGCTTGCGGTACTCACAATTTCACAGCTGGAGTACCAGTACCAGTAGCTGCAACTCACATATTTGACTTGTCCTTCTTCACAGGATTTGGTACATCCGGTATCGTGTACTACATATTGAACAGGATATTTACAGTTCCGGGAGCTTCCGATATATTTGAGGAAATAGATGTATCTGGGTACGAGGAAAGGATGACGAGTAGCGACGAAGATACAAAGGACGACATCATTGAGAAGGAATCTTCCGCATAGATTGAATAGTCCTCGGAAGTAGACTTATGCAGCGTGTTTATTAGATGATCCAAGGAGATTCAAGTTGAATTCAGAGATACGATTTGATTATGATTGACGTACGTCAAATACTAGTATGTGGTTACAGTGCTCAAAGGACTCGCCCTCGGACGCCGATCTATTCGTCAGGATAGAGGACCCAGGTGAGCTCCCGCGTCAGGTTTCTGCAACTCGAGCAGTGATATTCAGGTACTAGTAACGTCATAGACGAGGCAGAGGGTCCCATATCGCACCAATGGTGAGAACTAACGTAGTGTTCTCAGTCAACATTCACTATGAACACAACACGCCCTATGAGTTCTCAAAGGACGAGGACAGGTAGAGCTTGAGATCCGTATTATTCAGCATTTTAAAACCAACTCGACTTTCACCCAGACACTGGTTGGCGGGATAGTATTGGTAGGCTCAGGCCGTGGAGCTTTCAATGCAGAAACGTCGAGCTCGAAAGAACCAATAGATCTTGTTCATGACAGAGCTCTCCCTACATGCCGGTCTTTCTAGGCCACCGATCTGACGAAATATTTCAGGGGAATACCGTATTTACGAAGAACATCCCACTGACAGTACAAGCAACCCTGCTACACTTCGAGCCTGGATTCACTGCAGGTACCCAGACTTCGCGCAGGTCAAGCTGTTCCACATGCGCCACGACCAATCCCAATGTACCGGGCCAGCTCCAGGAGAAGAACCCACTGCACAGTGCACTGACGGAGGCGATGGGAGGGTTTATACAAAGGCTCCTGCATACGTCGATACCTATAACAAAGAAAAAATGAGTGAAATTCTTGACGTCGGCGATGTATTTACTTTCATGTCATCCCTTCATTAACTGTCGCGCCAAGGGATAACCCCGGCCAATGACCGAAAACAGCATTTGCAATACACAAGGACCCAGAGACGTAAATATCACCAGCTAGGTGACATCATAACTCAGGTCACCCACTCCTATAAGGACACGAGGTCTCTTTCACTACCACCATCAGCAGAGAATCAATTTCAAGATGCACCCAACCTCTAATTTCCGCCAGCAGGGAGATATGTCCCAGCGATACTGGCATAATCAGCCCCCACGGAACAGATTTGTGCGCTGAATGGTTCGGAACTCTGACCGTGACTGCTCATCATCCACGCAGTTTATCATGACCGCAACCCTCCTTGCTGGGACAGGGCTTGCGTATTATTGGGGTTACCGGGGTGTGGAACGGAGGCACAGTGCTGACAGTGAGTATCATGATCACCTTCAGGAAATTGTGTTCAGAGCATATTTCCTAGAAATTTCTGCGAAGAAGTAATCAATATGTCACGGGCTTCGTGTCGTGGGAGTACGAGGAATGTTTTACTAGTCCCCCTTGGTGTGGTGAAAGTTTGGTATTAATTTATGTCCATCTATCCTACTTTTATTTGACACATAATGTTCCGATCCCACTACTGTCCGTAAGATGACAAGCCCAATAAGTATTTTTGAACGCTCACACCTTTCCTAGGGTGGTTAACTATCTGAACCATTTTGCGACATGGCATCTTCTAGTCCATGTTTGACCACTGACTGGTCAATGAGATACTGCAACGTTGATGTATTTTCGTCACATCTGGACAACAATCAATAAGATCCAAACGCCCATGGAAGTAAAGACGCACAGCCTTGATATGGACCCCTCTACGTCACCTAATGCCTTCTGGGCTGCTCGCAATACTGGTGCGTGTTCACCGCTACTGATCCCTCAGGAAGCGACCAGTGTGCCGTGATCACGGTCTGCACCCAAATGAGGTCGAACTCGAGATGAGGGCTTTTCTCTAGATGCTCCGAGGTGAACCGAAGGAGTGCAGGGACATAAACATCAGGCATCTGTCGTGCAACAAGTCGTATATCACTGTGGGGAATGCGCTCGTAAACTTGCTGTATGATGGGCTTTTCGTTCAAGCGGAATGCAAGAACAAGCGCCTTCAGGTACTCGCCCTCTGCGAGGATATTGAGCACAGCTTGTGGAGTGAGATCTAACGTGAGGTCGAAAGGGTCGAACATGACGGTATCGTCAAGAGAGTAGATCAAGAGACCTTCTGTGCTTGCGGCTGCCCAAGCACGTCCTGTTGGTGAGAAGCGCACACATTTCGTGCGTGCTTCTTGGCGGTGCTTTCGTACAGACATATCACCCGCTCCTCTTGATGCTCCCGGTAAAGCCGTATCCATCCTATCTTCTAGGTCGCTGGCATCGCCGCGGTCATCAATAAGATCGATGTTAATACCCGCATCGTTAACCTTGCGACTGTCTAGGAACTCCTGAGTGCCATCCAGCGAGAGGTTTTCTGAAATCTGGAACTTCTTCACCAGCACCCCTTCCCCTCCACGCACGTCATATAGACAGACGTACTTGCTATTCCCACCAGGCAAGTAAACACGACCCATCTGCGGTATATGCAAGGCTCGTGAACGCCTTCGTGGAGGAGCTGTTGGCAGCCTGCTACTCGATCATCGGCTTTCCGTCCTCCAGAAACATCCTTGCGGCCATCAATGACATTTGACTGCTTGCCGGATCGCACATCAAATAATGTGATTTGGCCATCAAGCGTCGACGCTCCTAACTCCACACCGTCCGGACGGAATGCAATTGAGAGAACATCAGAGGAGAGGGTAAGAGGCTCCACAGCGCGTGATCTACCGAAAACGTTCCAAATGCGAATGGTGCGGTCCCAGGAGCCACTCGCTAGTTGATTAGCACCCGTTGGCGAGAAGGCAAGCGCAGATACAGGTGCTTCATGACCAGCGAGAATATCGAGGAGCTTCCCGGTCTGGACTGACCACATAAAGACTTCGAACGTGTCTGTTGAGCCTGCGGCAACAACCTCTCCCGATGGATCGACTGCTATGGAAGAAAACTGAACAGGCGATGGGGAGGTGAACGTTCGGAAATTGCGATACCGAACTAGGTCGAATGCACGAACGGTACCATCAAGGGATGCAGAGAAGAGAATGGAGCCGTGCTTTGCAAATGTGATGTCCATGATGGGTGCCGTGTGCTCGGAGAATGTTACGAAGCAGAAGCCATTTTGTACGGACCAGACTTTCAGCTTGCCATCATCACCCCCCGTGGCGATGGTCTGCCCATCTGGAGCGTAAACCAGGGTGTTCATATCGAAATAGTGCCCCTGTTGTTTGAGGAATGTAGGACTCTGATTGCCACTCCCAGACAAGGAGCTGTCCAAGCCTGCGTGCACCGAAGGCAAGCCACTCTCCAGATGGAGATATCGCAACAGATGAAATCTTCTCCTGCGAGATGCTCAGGGTATGGATATTTGTGAAGGCCGGAAGCTCCCAAAGTCCAAACACTCCACTGGAAAAACCAACGACTAATAGGTTTGAAGATGGGTGGAAGGTAGTACAGACCACCTTCGTATTTGGGAGATTGAAATAGTGGCGGTCATGTACACCCCACCTTGTCTGAGGAATTGAACGTGCGAAGGTTGAAGAAACAGGCTGTAGAGCCTCAGCGTCGTCTGGTTCGTCTTTTGCCGTCCATGTGAAGACAGCACCATCACGACTGACGGTATATATCTGGGCATATGTAAATCCAAGAGAAGATGAAAGACTGGCATAACTCACGAATTTGCCATTGGCGGAGAAGTATGCTCCAACGACAGCGTCCTTATGACCAGCAAACGTTTTCGGTCGAAAGCCTTCCAAGGGATCGAGGGTGAATAATCGGGCGGTCATGTCGCGCGATGTTGTTATAAAGCAGCTGATCATACTGAGCTGAGTGATCAACTACAACATTTAGATGCACTCACGTTGAATCTGGTGACCATCGAATACTGGATACCTCATCATGATGCCCCGTGTATGTACGGTGGAGTACAAAGGGTGCGAACTCCCGGACTAGGTGATTTGGCGTGCGCCAAACTTGTACATGGGACTCATGGGTCACTGCGATGAACCTGTGGCGTGATCATAACATGGAAGGCATCAATCGCAGGAAATACGCAGAACTCACTTTCCATCATGTGAAAATTGTATGTCCTTGACAGGTTTTTGGAAGTTGAAATGATGCAAAACCACGCCTCTCTTAAAATTTACGAGTAACGCTCTGCCATCTAGATGAAATCGTGAGTATTCGCAAGAACGTGAAAGCATCCTAACGAACCTTCATCGATAGATACCAGAACGTTCCCATCTGGACTGAGGGCGATTGCAGCAATATTTTTGCGATTCTCGACTGGTAGCGTTCGGGATTTATTGCTTAGGAAGAGCGTCATCCTTCAGGATCTCTCATAGCTATGAGACGCACTTACTTGACCAAATCAAACACTGATACTCGATTCCCGACAGGACTCAGCAGGGTGTTTCCATCGGGAGTAAAAAGAATGTTCCCTTGTTGATAAACTGTCCCGCAGATGTTGGAGAACTAAGTAGATGGTAAACTTCTGTTGCTGCCGACTGGTCAAAGTCTCACCTTGTAATTCGCCTTCATGGGCTCTGAAAGGACGGCTGGCAAGCAAAAGCTTATTTAAAGCTTGTCAAAAGTGTGCTCACGAAGTTATGAGGTTCAAGCACTCTCGAAAACCATCACGTGACACTATTGGTTAGACTTGCTACCAACATTTTAGAAATCAAATAGTTCTGTAGTACCGAGAACATTTGCTAGGTAGTGACCAGTTTGACCTCAAGAACACAATTGCAAAGAGTGGAGTGGACATCAGCTCCTATCAAGTATCTTCTGGTTGAAAACGAATACCCAAAACACAAGTGAAGGATTTTGAATCACAAGGAGCACCATTCACTGTCACATTATCGTGGCAAGGTACTCCACTTACCCATTCGCCACCCTTCCCTCCAGTATTTTCTGAGGTGTCTTCTCGTACCTCGCGCTGAATCTAATAATTTTATAAGCTCGCCCGCTGCCGTCCCATTCGGACGCTTGAGCCAGCTTGTTGGGATCATTCCTCCAGGAATGCGGAAAGCTGATTGCTAGTGTGTGAAGACACGAGTCATATCTCCGCCGTTCAGTTGACGGGAAATCAGACGCCTGGAAATACGTCAACATGCGAAGTCAAAGGGATTCATGATGCACAGGCGGATATAGCACTCCTTCGATACGGACTCCTCATCCTATGACGTTGGTGTGAGTTGGCGAAAAATAGTGCGACGCCACTTGCCTAGTTTTTCACCGATGATATCATTTGCTTACCGGCCTTGTCATTGTTAGAATGAAAGCCAGAGGTTTGGCTCGCGATTTCGGTCATAACTTGGAAGACCAGGAGCGAACAGTTGGTGCTAACAGCGCACTTGTGATATATCCGGCGACAGTCGATCCTATCTGCATATGACACTGTAGACCGTAACAGAGTCTTGAAAAGCATCTCGAATCGAAATGGGCAAACGCTGGATTTACATAAACAGACGACTGTTTGTTGCAAACATCAAGTTATAATCTTCTATCAATACTATTGTCCGGTACAACAGCATGGCGCATATCACTTATCAACCAGCGGTGTGTGGAGCAGTAATAAAGCTTGGAAGCGCACTTCATTTCAGCCAAAATTACAGTATTGCATCATTGGCCTCGCTCGAAGGCTCCTTGTGGCTCCAAGATGACATGCAGCCTGGAACGAGCATCCCATAGTTCAAACTCGAATACGAAATTGCCCATGTCTCAAGCGAAAAAGAATCAAAAACATAACATGGGAACAAGAAACAGACTCACGAGGACCCACAGTCCGTGTCATTTCAAGGTCCATGCCCCGGAAGAGAAAGCTGTCGCCTCCTGCGATCTTTCAATGCCATCTTCACATAGAGAAAACTGCCACCAGCAGCTAGAATGAGGCTACCCCAGCCAAGAGCCTTCGAAGGAAACAAAGTTTAGGGTGTTAATTACAAATGGCTTCTGCTGGCTACTCAATTTGTACTTACCATGCGTCGACTTAGCATCACTGATTTGATGCCACGGAATTCAGAGCCTCGCAGAAATATTTGGTTATTTCAGAATCTGAGCAGCCGGTGTGTGTTATCGAGGGTCGAGTGTGTCACAAACGAAGGGTACATAATAATAACGGCGTGACCAACTTTGAACCAAATAACTCGTAAGTCATGCAACAAAGTTGAGTTTCCATGTCTCTACAGGCAATCTGCGGGTCTTCGAGCCCCAAAGCCAGTGTTTGACGACAAGGTTTGTTTGATCCTGCGAGGGGTAGTACTCGTCTTGCACTCGTCTGTATATTTTTACTCACTCCGAGTGGTTGAATTCCCTAGTACGTAATGTGCGAGGCGTAACCGATAAAACAAGTGGACGATGATTCAATTCAACGACCCATTGATTTAAGTTTGTTTGATCCTCATGCGGGCCCCCTAGGGTATGTAGTAAGTTTCCCTCACTCATGTACTGCTGTTTGTATGTAGTATGGGGCACATAGCAAGTGCCAATTCTCCATGGTCGAATGTGGCCAGGTGGTCGGGTCAATGACGCTGTTTTCCTTACAGTATCATAGAACACCACACTTGAGCGTTTGAGCAATAAATCGCGCCAAACGGCTCTTGGCGATTTCCAGCGGTCGACTGGTCACTACTCACGAGCCCTTTCTAAAGGAATTTGTCACACCCTAGTATGGAATTAATGCGCTATTCTCAGGAACTGGGGTACTGATGTCGGCGCTCTTGCCAATCAGACCTACATGTGCAATATACTTACCCCACGCTCCTCGGTAGGCGATTGTTCTAGACGTCTCGCCCTCCCACCCTCATCTTGGCAGAATTCCTTGAACATACACTCACCTCCAGAAGGCTCATCTAGGTTGTGATAACAGAGCATGTGATGACCTTGTTCCTGGTTGCTACGGCTGCACATGTTCACCACTGGATACGGTGTCACTACCCCGCTTACCGCAGATACAATCAGTCCGCAACCTTCATGGTAAGGTTCACATGGTACTGTGGGTCAGGGAAGCCTCTTCTGAACTTGCTTCGTGTCCGCTGAGTGACAGCTTCTATGGTTTGATTGCAGGTGCATCATGCGAGCGAAGAAAGATCGTGGGCACCATCGCGCGCGCACACCCCATTCGCTGAGGTTTTGCCAAAGTTATTGAAATTCCCGATAACTTGATGGGATTAGCACCTAATAGTACTTGCTCGGTTACTCGGTTGCGAAACAAGCTTCTGCTTATTAAAGACACGTTGGCTTGTCCCCCAATCCCAACCAGCCAAGAACAGATCGCGGCTCGGAATGTTCATCAGATCTGTGGCATTTTCCTTCATAGCTTTCGTCACTTTTCTCACAAAGGTTCTCGAAGGCAATCCTTGGTTCCCGGCGACTCATGTGACCTCACGTTTCGTCCGATGACGGTGCCGGTTGCTCGTTATCAACCGAAGTTCTGCTCCGCGCTTTGTTCTGAAATTATCACTTTCGATTCCGTGGACACTGCGAAACCGCCAGTTGTTCAGGGAATGTTGCCGACAGATGCCATCAAAGGTGAAGTTCATCTACCTTATCTCCGCAATGCATTTAAGAGGAGAAATATCATGAACAAAGGGCAGTCCTTACGCGATATGATCTGAGTTCGATGCGTCATGCACCGAAGTAGGTGAGATTGGTTGGGTATATATTGTGACCGGAGCAAAAGATAGAACACTTTGGATCAGCCCGTGAATGTGGCTCGACAGCTATGTCGTCACCTTGAGTGAATCAAATCCCTTCAAATCCCAGCCGCGTCATCACATTTTGGCAGGCTTGTGAAGTTTCGCGCTAGGTCTAGAATTCGAATACGTTACAGTCCAACGCGTTTAAATGGAGTACCCGGTATTCATGACCATTTTTATAGTTGGTGTATTTCTTCTAGCTCTAATAAATTTATCAAGTCACATCCAGCAAAGAGAGCAATCTATTAACTCTACGAGTTCGCGTTCATGCTTTCGCGTCGGTGCTAGTGAGATGTCATCCCTTCAGTGAAAAGGTTGTACCGATGAACTATTACTTAGCACTCCCGAATGACGTCGGATACCACTAGCGCGGGTGACATATGCTATATTGGGAAGCGATCGCCGATTTGATTGTGTAGAATTTCGTACATAAAATATGTTCAAATGTCTTTATTAACCGCTGCTGTCACACTAACGTAATATATGTTGATGTCACTGCTTTGGGTCGTCACAATCTTGCCTTTCTTCCCGTCAGCTATAAATGTTGTCACGACTCTCCCTAACCATTTGACGATCCGATCCCTACCCTGGCACCAATCAAAAAACTCTACGACTTGTCTCTCAATATATAGAGCCGTCGTTCTCTCTCATCCTTTACCGCTTCCTCACTAGCCATCATTCAGTCGTCTCATCCTTCTTCCTCTGCTAGCAGTATGCCTGGCACAACACCATACATTGGCAATGCTACAAGAATATGGGAGATTAATGTGCACTGGAGCCTGTACTCTCAGTGCGGAATTTGGGATCCTAAAGGTCGTGGCGTGGATATATGGGAATGCATTAGAGCCCGTAAGTCGCCACTCTCCTTTGTGTCTTCTTAGCAGTCCTCATGTCTGCCCCTCTAGATGACTCAACCCAATATACCCAGGTTTGTTCACCGTCTTGCCTCGTTCTCTCCTTTCAACAATCTCACCTTTTTCCCCAGCCACCAAACGGTCTTTACTGGCGCTACATCGCCCGCCGGTGACCAGTTTCATGGTTTCAGTGAACACTGCCATAGTACACACCTTGGCGCCGTGATTCCATCACGTTACCAGTGTTGGAAAATCTGGTACCCACAGACGCCTAACTGCGTCATGCCACCCTCCTCAACGTCGCGAGTGAAGGCTATATATCTCCCAGGTCTAGGAGAGACACCCTTGGTCACGTCGCCTTCAAAGAGGATGTGGAAGGTCATGTCATGAATGACACGCATTTTTACGATATTACTCTTCTCTATATTTTCTTTGGCTGGTCCCACTTCGTTTTGGTCTTATCCCCTCCCCGTTTCTCGATCTATTTGCATATTTCTATTGGGTCTTCATAACAAAAAACACTTACCATAGTGCATAATGTGTTTCATGTATGTCCTAATATCCACTGATCTTTTGAGAGGCGCGCATACAGGCCTCCAGACGGACCATAGAAGGAGGACAATGTCGTTAATCCGCTACAAGCCTAATTTGTGCGTTCCTGGTTGCAGGAGGGCACGGGAGATATGTGCCTCCGTTACCAGGGGCAAGGTGCGTGTGTACTAGGTGAACGAGTGTCAGACCCGTTTTCATTTGTCAGTTCATGTGCCGGCCGCGTATCATTGCCTCGTAAGTAACAGTAACTGGTGACTACCATAGCGAGGGGGCGCACCTCGAAACACATCATGTTATTCATACTGTAAGCCTCATCGAACACACGTGTGCATATCCGGCCAACGGCTTCCGATCAAAGTGAAGGCTTGTAACGAGGTGCGCCATCAGCTACCATCAATCGAAGGGGGAGATATGGGACACGGATACAAGCTGTTGAAGCAAATCAAGTAGAAGCACCCCCCCAAGAATCTACGAGCGCGCTGTTGCAAATTTTGAATACAGATGAGTCGAGGAGTTATTAATATTAATGTCACTGCGCGAGTTTCCATCCTGCAGAAGACCAACGTGTGGATTAGGTTACTTCCCGATTATTCGACAAAAAAATAGCGCCACGCATTACCGAACGTAGAAAGCGCCTATCAATTTCTCCCCACCTGTCGCCGGGGTTGGCAGGAAAGCCCATATCAAGAGACGACGATCACTCGAAAAAGGTGTCCGATCAGTCTGGCTGGCGCTAAATTCAGCGGTAGGCTCCGCGAAAGACGCAGCCCTCAAACTGATATCCCCAACCATGAAACGCACAGCAATAGTCTTGGTCTATCGACACTATCGGAAACCATATTGCCTGCAGAGATGATATCATGATAAGTCTTGATAGGGTACGATGTGCCAGGATCGCTGGTACGGTCTTGCTAGCTTGAGGATGTTGCTTGGCCTTCTGCGATCGAGAAGTTGACGGATCGGAGCACGAGGGATGGTGATAAAGGGTTTTCTTATTCCGCTTTCATTTGTTCCGTAGCCCGCGCGTTCTCATTCTCCGAGTCAGTGACTATTTCCCTCTGCCTCCTGGTTGATTCTTGATAGGAAACTACAGATGAACCTGCCGCTCGGTCATTAGAAAAGCTGCGACTCTGGCGATGTATCAATGCGTGTTTTTGTTTTTGTGGTTCGCAGTCCGATAACTGAACGACTTAACGCGTAGCAAGGCATCGTTAAAGTAAAACAGAGCTCACCCGCTGGTGTTGACCACTATGATACGTCATGGCACACACAGCATGTGTACTGTCTCCGTGTGTGATAAGTAGTACACGTTCAAATCTGCCACTCCCTAACCTTAATCAGCGACAGCGTCGGAGGCATAACTTACGATGTATATTTAAGCTTTGACACGTTGAAGCGTGCCGCGGGGTGCATGCGTGGTTTCAACATCTGTATCAGATACTGAGATAGGCAATAAATAAAACCAGATCGGTGGATGGCCCTTGAGTACCAGCACCGGTCGATATGGAAATAAACCCACGGGTATGTGCGACCCGCAGTGAAGTTGGCTCATTTAACTTGCGAGAAAATTGTGCAACCGACCGCATTCCACTGACTAGCCCCAACCTCGCAGGATGGCCCTAGCGTAGAGCGTCAGTGCATTCATATCTGGGCAAATATGCAAATACTCGGCCCGAAGATGTTTGGAAGCTCTTGCATGGCTAGGTGAACGAGACTATGGCGTCACGAACTCATCAAACCGTGTCATGGAACAGGCAGGAATTTGCAATAGACGCATAGGACTCCTTATCTATTCTTGATGTGATAGCGTCAAAAGTGACAGGCGTCCCCTTCAGCGCTAACTCGTCGACTTCCTTTGTCACGATTGCATGATGCGTACGTCACGCGGTTCTGCAGAAAATGTTATTTACGGCGAGGCTCAAAGATAACGAGAAGTTATCAATTTGGATCATTCAAAGGATTGGTAAAGTACATTCGGATCTTGATACAAAGAACAGCAGACGCTGGAATTATTTTGAACATGGTATTACCTAGAGGGGGATGTGAAGTATGAAAGCAGTAAGTAAAACTCGATGTCACAGGAGGTGGACACGCACTTGACAGAGCTGATGAGATCCATCACTGATCACTTGATCACACCGACATCTTCAAACCTGGCACCATCTTAAGGTATTCCGCGAGGTGTGACTTAGCACCCTTGCTGCGGTATATGGTGAGCCTCTTGAGTGGGCATTTGGAGCGAGTAACGAAGGATGCGAATTGTTCGTGTGGCCAAGGATCTCTCTCCGGAAAGCAGAAGCAGATGACCAGCTCCTCCAACACTGGTAAGGTTAGGGCATCAAAAAGACTACCCAAGCCAGCGCGGATAACCTTGATCTCAAGTCGATGGATACTGTGGTTCGCCGTGTGTGCCAGAGGGAACGGCTCTAGGTCAGTCTGCGGCGATATATTCGCACATATGCAGGAAACGCTGACTCGTTGCACTTGCGTGCAGAGGCCGATGGCCTGCAAAAATGCAGCACTGCTAACCAGTGCGAACTGTATCTTCAGTTCCAAAAGCTGATGCCAAGGTAAATCAATTGAACGCAAAGACTGCAGATCGTAGGCCAGGGATTGCAAGACCGCAGGAACGAAGTTGTGGCATTGGGCTGGGTACGGAGACCAGGAAATTTGCTTTGTGGAAAGTGACCTGAAAGCGCGACAGAGACTGGACACAGTTGTCCAATAGACCTTGCACATGAGGTCCATGCCACCAAAGGTCAGAACATTGGCTCAAGAAAGGTCGGAGCCACTGTATGGAAAGAGGCTCGTTCCCATCTGAGAGGTCCACATCATGCACCACACGAATGGATAGCGGGACACTCCTGGCTTTCTCCAGCCAGCACTTGTACGCGTCACTACCAGACATCTCTGCTTTGAGTAGGGATATGCTTAATGATGACCACAATCGAGGAGTGGACAAGGCAACTGCTCGCCACTGACGACAAACCCTTGTCAAGACCAGTGGGCAGTCGTTCGACGAAGGCGTGACATAATTTCTCTCGGGAAGACACCGAAGGAATATCTCTCCAAGAAGCTCCGATGGTAGTAGGCGGTGTAGCTGGAGATTCTAGCGCTTCGTGGAATGCCAAAGACTCTTGCACAAGAGCTCGTTTCTCCTTTAGTCTAGCCTGGATTACTTGTAATTTGTCCAATGTGTGGTTTAGAAGGTCGATGTGGTCGTTGAGAGCTGCAAGTTGTGACTTTTGCTGCGTCACGACAGCATGAATGGTTGAGACCTTGTCGGATGGGACATGACTGGTGGAGAGATGATGAGAGAACGATGCCGGCGTCAAATCAGGTAGCTGAACCAGAGCATCAATCCTAAATCAAACGAAAATAATTGGAATTTTCCATACCGATAAGATGGGAGACTGGGAGTAGTATGAGCAATGATCACGCCATCGCAACTGATAAGTAGCAAACTCACCAATGCTTCATCCAGCAAATTATTCAATGAATCGAGACTAGTCATCTACAAAATTGCAACGTACAAGGCGGTACGATATTTTGCGATATTTTGCGTGAGAGGTGCAAGCGACTCAGGCGCTGGTTCAAGTTGGTGTTAAACAGGCGTTGAGTCAGGTGGAGGTCGTATAACCTATAGAAGACTGCAAGTTCCGTCGTTTATTGCTTCGCCAATGCGGTTTTGTTCTGCAGTGCGTAGCTGGCGGATCACTGAATTCTGGAGGGTGTAGTATCATACACACAATAGCTTGCCATGTGGCCCACGCCCAGGCTGTTCTCTGAGTCGCACACTGAGTAACGTGCCTTAAGACAGGTCACTGAACTCTGTCTCCCTTAGCCAGACCTATAGAAGAAGGAAGACAGTCGTTCCTTCTAACTGAACACTGGCGATAACAGTGGTGGGTAATATTTTGCTAAATCTTTGAATAATGGTCCGTGTCCGTTAGCTGGCGCGCAGGAACTTTCGCTGCGAGGACACCGTGTCCACTGACAGAGCGGCGGCGTGTATCTCCCCAAGAATGATACGCGGCAAGATACTTAATTACCATGCCGATGTAAGTATTATGATCCACCTCACTGCCCTTGCACTACCCCATGGTAAACTACGCTGAGTCCTGACCCTGTCTTAGGTGTTGCGGAGTAATCATTTTTTGGTCTCTTAAAGACGCTCAATTGCCATGGCTCTGTCTGTATCCAAAGCTCTGCTTGGTTGTCTCGATCGGACTCTGTCCCGTACGATCGGGCCCAGGGCCTCTCAACAACACCAAGGTTCCAAGAGTACCGCTATATTCGCACAGCAGTCACGGTGGATCGCAGTCTGATATTAGCACATGGTGCGTCACTTTAAAACATACCCTTAATCAATTTTCCCTGCAGGGTTCGCCGTCGGTTTCCCGACGTCTCGGAAAAACCTAGGCGATCAATCGATGCAGAACGTTGGAGCGGAAGAAAATGTTTGAATACCGCCGAGACACTTTTGAGGGACAAAATTCCACTTGGGACTCCGTAAGTAGACTGTGACATTCATTAAGCGTAACTTCTTCAGCTGCATGTTGAACTTCAATCAATGTTTTAGGAACATCAGGCGGACGTATATCATGCTTCCTATCATATTACCTCCCTTTGATTCTCTCTAGTGGATTATCGAGGACTCGGTACCAAAACGGAAAGATGGGATGTCACATCATTCGCCGCCTTTCAAATTTCCAGCTTTGACTTTCACCTCTAATCGACTTGCGACCTAGTGGCCTTTTAGGATGAATATGCTGTAGTGCGGTATGCCGCATCACGATTCTCGAAAGGAGAAGAAGGCTTGTATGTCGGGCCTTCAAAGCTTCAGGTTTGGTGGGAGTGACTATGCTCCATTGGAGCAAAAGAACTTCACGTGCATCCGATCGAAAGCCGTTCTTCTCATACAGAAGCATGGTCTCCGAATGTGCCTGCTCATTCTGATTGGTCGGTAGCAATACTGGCTGCTTTCTTGGACCCCGACGCGGAGTTGGCATACGGGTATGCTCAGACTTTTTGTTTTGCCGCGGGAAACCAGCCAAACTTTGATTCATAGCATGTTATGGTTTCATCAAAAATTTATTATGCTGTAAATCAACTAACTGACTTGCGTTCTGTGCGTTCCGTGTGTGGAGTTTCGTCCAGGGTTGTCCTCGTTCTGGTATTCGAATTGTTGATCTTCTTCAAAGCCCCATGACATCACCCCATGAGCGGGTCTCATCGGAAGTGAGCGAAGTATTAAAGTGAGGTCTCCGTTGGACTGGGGGTTCCACGGACAGGGACTATGCACTCGGGGTCTCCACGGCCCTTTCCATAGCTTATGTCAGCACGTAGAGTAGGCTCCAGAATCCAGTGTGTCCGTAGAGTAGCATCACCACCATTTGAGGCTGTTTTCCATTGCTCTAGGCTGAGGCCACTGGAGTGGCAACTCCAGCTAGTGTGAATGCGAACTGTGACCTGGTGGAGTGGATTGACTCTGACTACGACATCTGCCACTGAAGGACCCTTGCTGGCTCCTGTCGGCTCTACTGGTCTCTACTAGCCCCTGCTAACCCTCTACCTGATCACCCCCTGCTAGGGGGTGATCCACTCCATCGCTGACCCTGCTCCACTGTTTCTTTTCTTGTTATCCTATGAATCCCAAGAAGGGGAAAAGTGCCTGGCAAGATAGGAGTGAGCGGGAGGCTTGTTTGCGTTATCCAAGATTAGATGATGTAACTTCTTCAGCTACGGTCATAGGCCCAGACGATCTGCACTAAGAACGAAATGACGAGACCATTTGAAGGTCAGAGTGAATGCGCCAATGAGGTCGGCGATTTTTGAAACGACAAGAAGGCTAATGCTCGTCGACCCAATGCAGCGGCTTGGACAATAATATCTCACCTCGCGCTTGAGCAGGAGGGATCCGGATCCGCGTTCGCCGGAGGTGACTAGATTTCCCCTTAGATTGAGGTTTACGCCGCTCTAGTATTCCGGAGGAAGGTTTCCTGATATCCATAGGCTTCTCACCGATTTGATCGTTAGCCAAACGTTGGCCTATAATGTTCTCGTCTTATCACATATGTGCACTGGCGCGCGGTTGGTGCTACGTTTGAGGGAATCGATATCTGGGTATGATCATCTGACACTTTGTGAAGGCTGTTCACCCACGGTACTGGTGATCGGGCGGTGGAACTTCGGAACTGAGAACTATCAAACCTTGTATTCCAGTTCGCAACGAGAATAAAACTATACATACCTATTGAGCAGACCAATAGGATACAAGGTTCGACACGTTTTAGGGTAGACGCGGCAGAACGCTACCAGCGAAGGTATTGACAGCCGGGTCCACATTGGCTGTGTCCGGTACATGGGTAATGGACAAAATAGAGCAATGCGACAGGATGTCATTCACAAGACTGGAACTCCTGTCCTGGCGCCCTGCTGTCGAGCGTGCAGCACAGCATCCACTCCCGGATTGCGTTTGGTATTTGAGAAGAATAATGTGGGAGAGGCGAAACCGTCTAATGAACTGTGATGGTCCATGATCAATGTTTAGAGCCTGGACAGCAGCGTTTATTTCCCAGTTTGTTTTGCAGTTAGTTTCTGTATGTGGCGTGGCAACAAGTGACGGTCTGTGTGACGACCAGTGACAGTCTGTGTGACATCTGCGTCGGCTCTGATCTCCAGTTAATTATTATTCATGGCGCCGAGGAAGAAGCCTACAGCTTCTGCGAACAATGCCGCAACTTCAAGTTCTGGCTCGTCTGCTCACTGGACCGTTGAAGAGACCTCCCGCCTCATCGAATATCTCATAATTCATCGTGCAGAAGGTGGAGATGGCGTCAATTTCAAGCAGACAACATTTACAGGTGCAGCAGATCATCTACTGGAGCCACCAGACGGCATCGCGAAGGAGAAATATGTAGCAAATAATAGGGATGGGCTGTCTTGTAAAAACAAGTGGAACTCGGTATGTGTGACCACTCTACCCAAATTGCGCCAGCTGATTACATGCCGCCAGTGCAAGAAAAAGCATGCCGCTATTGTCGACATCAAATCGCAGTCAGGCTTTTCGTGGGATGACGAGTTGGGTGCGAATATTGGTCCAGCTGATGCTGCACGATGGACAGCATTTGCAAAGGTGTGTTTGCAGTGCGGCGATATGACTATCATCTGCCAGCGGTCTAACTATTTTTCCAGACACGTCCTGATACAAAGCCATTTCGCAACAAAGGCTGGAAACACTTTCATGAGGTGGACGAGCTCATGCATTCGCAACTCTCATGTGGCACCAACTCCTTTCATGCTGGTCAAGAAACCTTCGAATCTGGACAGGCGACTCACGGCGATAATCCAACTCACGGCGATAATCTGACTCACGGCAATAATCTGACTCACGGCAATAATCTGGTGGATGAAGAAATACCTGAGGATGTTGCTTTGAAGGATGATGGGCCTGTTGACTTGGTGCACGGTGACTTGGTGGAGCAGGTCGCAGGTGTTGATGGTGGGGTGGCGGTTGACAGAGAACCATTGGTGGTGGAGGGTGACGATGACGATGAAGATGATATCATTCCCTGGGAAGCAACTCCTCCACCAGTTCCTGTCAAGCGCAAGTTCATAGCTGCGTCTTCGATGACTCCATCACTCACGGCTTCTGGGTCTGGCACCTCTGCTCCATCATCAAAACGCCAGCGCGTCAGTGGACCGTCAGCAGCGCTCTATGCGATCAACGATCAATTTGCTGAGTTCACCGACGTCTTTCGCACAACTTCACAATCACAATCCTCATCTACCATCACACAGGCACTGGTAGTATTGTCACCTCAGCGCAAGCAGGCAGCCATGCGGCGTGCACAGGAGCTAGAGAAGCACCTCGACGATGATAGTATGGCGGCGCTTATTGAAGCGTTTCAGATGGATGTCAGTGCCGCTGATGCCTATATGGTCATGCTTGATGACGGACCGAGGAAGTCTTTTGTCAACCGAAAAATCAAACATATTAACTGGCAGGTTCTATAGTAGCTAGTGTAGACTTTGCAGCATCATCTACTGTCCCACTGCATTCTGACAAGCACGGCAAATTCTAGTGTAGTCCCCCCACATAGCGGCTGCAATATTATCTCTGTTCTCGGTTGCCTGTTGCCTCTCTGCACGGTCGGCTGGCCCTTCAGCAAGATCACCTCTTGGCTCACCCGGATCAAGGTCAACAACATCTTCATCGGCAAATTCTTCTATTTCTATTGGATCGTGAATCCGGATGAAGTTGTGGACAGCACAAAGTGCTGGGGGGATTCGGGCTTGTGTCGACATGCTATATTCTGGTGGGTGCACGAGTATGACGAACCGTCTCTTGAGAACCCCAAAAATTCGCTCGATGACATTTCGAGCTTGTGCATGCCGAAGGTTGTAGATTTCTTGGGATGTTTTGGGCCTGTCTTGCATGAGAAGATTCATTGGTCCAGTCATAGTGAATGTTGCTCACCGAACGGCAGCTCGGCCCCATTCAGCCAAGTGGTATCGAACACTGCAATATGGAACGAGAAGTGTGCTGCATATCCCAAACCCTGCATCTGCAAGATAGTACCGTCCACGTGGAATGTATAGATCAGTGAGTCGGGTGTTATTGTAGAGAGTCGAGTCTGAGGTCGATCTGTCCCAACCACTGAGAATGTACTGGAACCGGAGATCAATGGAACAGCAGGCGAGACAATTTTGGCTGATGCCGCCTTTGCGATTCCGTGACAGTTGACGTTCTTCCGTAGATGGACAACATGCGATGTGGGTACCATCCATGGCTCTGAGTGCACCTGAAAAGTATGGGAAGAGTTTGGAATTCTCCAATATTTCCTTTGGTATAGGCGCATCCTCCAGTGGAAGAAACACAAATTTGTTGTAGAACGGGGCTGAAGACAATGCGAGCAGGACTCTCTTGAAATATCTTGCGACATGTGTGAGGCTACGACAAATATCCCGCACCGTGAACATACTTTTGAATGGTGGTGTGGGAGTGCTGGAAGTGTTCCGCAACATGACGGCTTGATAGCCCTGTCACACAGGTGTAGAGAAATATAGCGACTTGTTCATCGAGCAGTATATACTTTGAATCGCATAGCCCACACGCCTTAAGTTCTTGTACAAGTGCACAGAATACATTCTTCCTCATGCCAAGCTCATGTTTGATCCGGTTGGGATGCCCATTGACGAGCTCTTGCACCCATGCACGCCCAGTGAGGATTGAGGTGTGGTAGGGCTCTTTATCGAGAAACGGAGTCATATAGGCAACTACAATGCCCACAATGACTTGAGCAACCATTGCCGCTGCCATTCGCAGAAGATGGAAACGCTGGATGTGCTCTTTGGCTGGAGGCATGGTTGCCGTACGATGTTATGTATGATGTCATGCATGTGCGTGATGCAGCCACTTGTCACATTTATTTGTACATGTCGTGGTAAATAAAATAAACTGCGAAACAAACTGGGAAATAAACGCTGCTGTCCAGGCTCTTATGCCACTGGATGCCCGAAAGTAAAGTCAAATATCGATGGTCCGCGCGAGCTCAGCGCTCAGCAGCGAGGTGTACCGGCACTCCGACACTGGCAGATAGCAGATATTCCACAAATTGGACAAACGCGTTGAATTTTTTGATGGTCCACATTAGGATTTTGGATTGGGTCTTAGATTCAACGGCGCTTATTACTTACTCCCGTCTGTTTGAGTAGTCACACATAGTGACAAGGACTGCTTACATTCTACGTTTTGAACAGCTCACCTTGCTTGAGTTCAGCGTTGCTGCCACCAGTATTTGAAGGCCCTGGTTCAACCGCTACAAGAATCTTCGTGATCGGAAGTCAGTACCAGGGGATGGACACCGTACAACACCCTTCGGCAACATGGGAAGCAGTCTCAAATGGCATTGTATTTTACAGGCGCCAACAGCTGTACACGCTACCTGGAAAGCTCCCGAACCTGTCTGACTACCTGATTGCTGGGTGCAAGAATGGTGGGCCGATAGGTATGTGCCCCGTTCAATTATCCAGAATTCACTGGATGAGAAGTGGCCTAGCTCTTATGAGAGATACCTCAAAGCTGGTTGCACTGGGTCGCGGAGGGCCTCCATTTACCAAATCTCAAATCCAGGTGTACTCGCCGGCTGGGGAGGGCTTGCTGTTATTCAGTGTGGATATTCTGCATTAGGTCGAGAGTTCGGGCAACTAACTTACGCTTTTGACAGTGGGATCAGGGAAGAATAGTGCGGTTCGGATGGACTTTCGATGAACGACTCGCGGTTTTGAACGAGGAGGGCGTGTATCGTCTGTACGACCTGCAAGGCGACTACCAGCAGTTTTCGTTGGGAAACGAGGCGGCAGAGTTAGGTATAATTGATGCTAGAATACACGAGTATGGGCTAGTCGCATTGACAGGTTCATTGACTCTCCTGGAGGTGAAAGATTGGGAAGGTGGGAGGCCACTGGCGCTTGCAACCCCTGGTATGTCATCCTTATTCATACTTCGTGTCTGGCACACATCGATTTTCGGTAGGGCTATCTGAACCCCCTCATGCATGGGCTGTTATCCCTCCGGATCAATCGATATCGAGACATGTTGAGGTGCTGCTCTCAGTGGATGCCACTATCCTTGCTGTGGATAACCTGGAAAGTGTGGACCAACGCATATCCCGTGGACCATTTGTACATGTCTCTCCTTCGCCCAACGGCAAATTTCTTGCACTGTTGACTTTCTCCGGGCTCCTCTGGGTCGTTTCATCGGACTTCCAACGTGAACTAGTCGTTCTCGACACAGTAACTGTAGGTGCTGAGGGGCCGGTTAATCAAGTGGAATGGTGCGGTAACGATGCAGTCTTGGTTACCTGGAACAATCTCGCATCAGTTATTCTGCCATCACGAGATAACCTAGCGGGAGAAACGCTGCGGTTTGGGCTTTCTCTCTTGCATATACAAATGACTGATTATATCAATAGTTATCTGTATTTTGGTGGTAGCTTTGTCGTCACGGAGGCCGATGGTGCCCGTATCATAGGGCAGGACGTTTGCGACTTCATCCAGAAAGTGCCTAGTAAGTTCGCTCGAATGCTACTTCTCGCAAGTGAAGCTTGACATTCTGCGTACAGCATCTTCGGTATCCATATTCCGTCCAGGCTCAACGTCGTCATCCGCCATCCTCTTTGCAGCTTGGGAAAGTTTCCTACAACGATCGCCCAAAGCAGACGAGAGCATACGAAGCATCCGATCAGACCTTGCTGCGGCTGTGAATGAGTGTATTGATGCTGCGGGTCATGAATGGGAGCCTCATTGGCAAAGAAAACTGCTTAGTGCAAGTATCCTGCTTCAAATTGGCCCTTCAGTGTCTGATTGAAGACTTATGATAGGCCGCGAAATTTGGATGGGGATTCCTAGATCTTTATAATCCCACCGACTTTATAGCTATGGGTCAAGCATTGAAGGTTCTGAATGCTGTCCGTTTCTACGAGATCGGAATTCCTCTGACATATTCTGAGTAAGTTCAAGATCCCCATCGATCCATGTGATCGGAAGCTGATTTCCTCGCAGGTATCAATATGTATCCCCGACGCACCTCATAAATCGTTTAACGTCTCGAAACCTGCACCTCCTCGCTATCCGTGTTTCTTCCTTCCTTTCTCTTAAGCCTGATGTTGTTCTCAAACATTGGGCGAGTGTAAAGATTGCACGATCCAAGTCTTCGGCAGTGGACGGCGAAGATGATGAAGTGTGCAGACTCATAGTCGACAAGTTTGAGAAGCTCGGGGGCGGAGAGGTGAGCTATGCAGACATTGCCCGGCGAGCATGGGAGGTTGGAAGGACGGGATTGGCCACTAAAGTAAAAGTGCTCCTTGTTATGGTACCTTAATTCTCAGAGATTCTTCATCTAGCTGCTGGACCACGAAACTAGGGCCTCGGATCAGGTTCCATTACTACTCACTATGACAGAGGACAGACTAGCTCTAGTGAAAGCGGTTGATAGCGGCGACACTGATCTTGGTGAGTAGCGTCTTGCACCGGGAACTTTGACTGACGCAATTATCAAGTGTATCATGTATTACTACATCTTCACAAGCGCCTTCCTTTAGGCTCTTTCTTCAAATTGATCGAGGATGGAGGGGAACAGCTTGCACTGGCAAGCAAGCTTCTTCAGGTGTATGCGCGGGAGCAAAATCGAGAAATGCTACGAGACTTTTACTACAGCGATGATAGAAGAGTGGAAAGTGCAACTCTGGCGCTCGACGAGGCAGCTCAAATGACTGTACGCGCGATATTTGCCAGTTATCTGCGATTTACAAGTTTACCCAGGATCCTCATGCGGTGATGATAGCTGTGAACGCGGCAGAGAAGTTCTTTTCAGAAGACAAAGACCGTCCATTCGAGGCCAAGGTGTGACTGATTCTTTGCTCTGTGACTGTTCGCTCTCAGTGTCGGCCTTTCTTCTATAGATGATGAACGAAAGTGTTCGCCTGCTTGCACTCCAGCAGCAATTTGAGAAGGACTCGGATGGAAAAGTCAAGTTTTTCGGCCAAAGCGTCTCAGAGACGATACGCACGTGTGTCTTGAATGGCATGAGCAAGAAAGCCGACCGCGTCAAAAGCGAGTTCAAAGTTCCAGACAAACGGTCTGTCAACTGTGTAGTGTTCAGGGACTTTTAGCTTATGCTACTTTTTCTAGATTTTGGTATTTGAAGCTGCATGCGCTTACAGCAATGCGCGATTTCGACGCACTAGACGCGTTTGCGCGTTCAAAACGGAGTCCTATTGGCTACGAGGCATTCGTAAGACATCTTGTCGAAGCTGGTCACCTCAAAGAGGCGGCTTCGTACGTGATGCGATGCGATGGCCCAAAGCGCGTGGAGCTTTATGTGCTGTGCGGGGATTGGCGTGCAGCGGGCAGAGAGTGCAGGGAACGCGGTGACAAGAAAGAAATGGAGTGAGTATTTTGGCTCTCGTTTGCCGCTTCCGGACTTACGGTGGTTGAAGACAACTCAGGAAGTCGTGTCCTAATTCCCTTATAGCAAGAGAGTTGGATCAGCTTGCGGCATCGATGAAGTGAATTTCCTGCCTTCGAAATGCAGATTTCAAGGTTTTGGAAGGGAACGCCCCGACCTTCTAGGTATTACGTCTACTATGCTGTACCCGTTGACCAGATTTGTTCAATGTTGATGATTCTGTCGCTCAGAAACCATGGCCACATATCATGAAGCAGTCGTTCTCAAATATCCGTTCTCCGTGAATACTGACCAGTGATAGCCCTTAGATTAGGCCCGTCTCAAAGAGCCAGAGCGTACAAAAACCATTGTTGTCATAGTATTTGTCTGAGACCGTAGATATTAAAGGTTGACCACGGACTTCACATCGACGTACTTGCCTTTCCCGGATTCTGCAGAGCGCCAAAACAAATCTCCCGTCCAAACAATGAACGGGTTTATGTACGAGTGTGGACATGATCACGCTGCACGAGATTCTCCTAACCTCGCGGTTGTCCTGACAGGGCTTTATTGCAAATTGGCAATGCTCTTCAGGGTTTACCTACACGAGTGTATCACGACGGGTAGAGCATGGCGATAAGGCCACACATGCAGTCTTTTTATTTGATCGACTCACATCACCCATGGAAATCCTGGACTAACTATGGTGGAAGAGTTGATGATTGTCACCCATAGTCCCTCAATACAGCGCTCGTTGAACCGGAACTGACGGTTCCCGAGTCGGCATCGGTTATTGGACCGCACATGTCCGCAAGTCGCAAACCGAGCCAATCACAAAGGGAAAGTTTATACTTACAGGGCCCGTGGCATGCTGTGCCTACGCTAGAACCCATCTGTCACAGAAGATTCATATAGCAGTCACTAACATGTATGGAGGGATAATATTTCTTCTGATATGCAGGATGCATTTGGTGGTATTGCTACCACAAGGTACTCTGGATACGGGGGGGGGGGGGGGCACGGTAAGGCTGTAGCACGGACTCGGGTTAGGTTTACCTTTACGTCACTTTAGGAAAAACGTGTCGGGTCTTCTAATCGGAGATGAAGTGCACGATTACCTAATCAATTGTGGAGGTATTGGCAAACAAGAAAATCCAATTCAGTGCATTAAACTATACCCGGTTCTTAAGTAACTCACTCCTTTTCTCGACTCTCATTTCATTCTCGCTCGCTGCCATGTATGTCCTTTTTATTTATCTATATGTTCATTAGACGTTAACTTTTTCGTAGGTCGGGCGTAGACCAGCAGACCGCAACGTCTGCTACGACAGCCACCTTCGTCACCGCCCTTGTCTTCAACGCGGCAGTCTTTGGAATTGAGATTGGCCTGTTCACAGTGCTACGTCCATACTTCAAACAAATCTATGAGCCACGCACACAAGTTCCAATTGAGAAGTATGTGTTCATCTCAGTCTAACTCATCCTAGGCTGCTCACATTCTGTTCACCTAGGGACCGTGTCAAACCTCTCGAAGCTGGAATTTTAACTTGGCCCATCGCCCTATTCAAGACAGACTATCGTGATGTTCAACAGGTCAATGGAACAGACGCATATCTTTTTGTCCGATTCCTGCGGATGATGATTCGGGTTCTTCTGCCTATCTGGTTGATTTCTTGGATCGTGCTGATGCCTGTCACCTCTGTCAATAATTCGATGCCTAACAAGACTGGACTGGATCGTTTCATTTTCGGAAACGTTTCTCCTGATCACCAAGCTAGATATGCCGCCCACATTATCCTCGCCTATCTCTTCACTTGTGAGCCCACCTATTTATACAAGACTTCGAATTTGACCCTCCTCACTATCAGTTTGGATTTACTGGAATATTAGGCGGGAATTGCGACACTTCACCACAGTCCGTCAGCTGCACCTCGTCAATCCTGTCCATTCCAGATCTGTACAAGCGAATACGATTCTTGTAACCGGAATTCCTGCTAGATATCTTTCGGAGCCCGCACTTCGCTCGTTGTATTCCAACCTTCCTGGTGGTGTGAAAAAGGTGTGGCTTAATCGGTGAGCGTCTCTCCTTTTGTTTCGTCGGCTGCTGTTCTTTATCGTTTCTCGTGCCTCGATTTTTTTTAACGAGTATTGTGCCTACCTAATGACCCGTTGATTTTACTTCCATTCGTTCTACCAATGTGTACGACAGCTTTGTTTAACCCTTGTTCTTCTCAGGGACCTGAAGAAGCTCCCGTCTATCTACGACCGTCGCCTGGCTACTTGTGGAAAATTGGAGTCCGCGGAGACATCCTTGCTTTCAACGGCGGCCAAACTTCGACGAAAGGCACTGAAGAAGGATAACGGCGCTGGCGATGCATCCCCTTCAGCTGACCCCGAGCGCAGTGTGACTTTGGCAGAACGTCTGGTTCCTCAGGATATGCGGCCTTCGCACCGTCTTCCAGCCGGTTTTATGCCTTTCTCACTACCCTTCATCGGCGAAAAGGTCGACACGATTGATTGGTGCAGGCGGGAGATTGCTACTGCTACTGGATTGTTGATTAACGGACGCCAAATTCTCGCCAATGAAGGCCTTTCACTGCCAGAAGATGTCAATGGAGACGGAAAGGTTGACAAAAAGGATCGAGCCAAGCAGACTTACCCACCCCTCAATTCCGCATTCGTAACTTTTAATCAACAGATCGCTGCTCACCTTGCAGTTAACGCCTTAACTCACCATGAACCGTACTGCATGGCCGACCGATACCTCGAAGTTTCCCCTCCAGATGTGATCTGGGGTAACCTTGGGCTTAACCCGTACGAAAAGCGCATTCGAATGACGATTAGCTATGCTATCACCGCAGCGCTGATCATCTTCTGGTCCATTCCCGTCGCCTTTGTCGGTATCATCTCCAACATCCAAGGTCTCTGCGTCCAGGAATCTTGGCTCGCATGGTTATGTACACTGCCAAGCGTTGTCGTTGGAATTATACAGGGTATTCTGCCCCCCGTGTTACTTGCCGTCCTGATGATGCTCTTGCCGATTGTCCTTCGTCTCCTTGGGCGCTTTGAGGGTATCCCGACACGCACAGGTCTCGAGTTGAGCTTGATGACACGGTTCTTCATTTTTCAAGTAATCGTGAGTATCTGATTGCTCATGATCGGCGGGCGAGATCGCTCACGCTACCTAGCATTCATTCTTGATCGTCACATTGAGTTCGGGCATCATTGCAGCTCTCCCATCACTCCTTCAAAACCCCAGTTCGATACCGAGTCTCCTGGCTCAATATTTGCCTCAAGCGTCGACCTTCTTCCTCACGTGAGTAATTCGTGCGAGCTCGCCGAGACGGTTGCTGATGAAGGTCATTCAGATACATTATGCTTCAGGGGTTATCTGGCGTAGCAGGAGGATTTTTGAGTGCTGTTTCGCTCATCCTGTACTACGTCAAGCTGTATATTCTAGGCAGCACACCTCGTTCCATTTATAACATCAAACACGCACAGTCAACTGTCGCTTGGGGCACGTTATTCCCGTCCGTCACTCTGCTCGTCGTCATCAGTACGTCCATTTGTGGTAGTTCACATCAAACGTATTAACGCTTTATCTCAGCGTTTGCGTACTCCATTATCTCGCCTGTCATCAATGGCCTTGCATGCTTTACGTTCTTCCTTTTCTATCTCCTCTACAAGTACCTCTTCCTCTACCAGTACACGCAGCCGCCCTCGGCCGACACAGGAGGCTTGTTCTTCCCAAAGGCAATCCAACACGTGTTCGTGGGGATGTACGTCCAGCAGATTTGTCTTTGCGCCTTGTTTTTCCTTGCGCAGGATCAGAACGGGAAGCCAGGCGCGGTCGTAGAGGGTGCGCTCATGGTCGTATTGATCGTTCTCACCGCCGGCTACCACGTCATCATGAACAACTCCTTCGGTCCGCTTACTAAGGCCTTTCCACTCAGTCTTGCGGACAAGACATACAGGCATCCAGAGCCTTCTCTGGAGCTACAGGACGTCCGTGGTGGGTCAGGCTCTAAGAGCAAGGAGCCAGTCGACGAGGAGCCTTCGCCGACTGACAAGCACCGCGCCGCGTCCTCGACCGAGTCGGGCGACGAGCATGCTCCGCAGAATGACTATGACGAGGTGTTCTTCGCGCGTAGGCCAGACGGCACGGAGGATTATGGGTTTGCTCAACCGGCTGTGTCCCGCCCACAACGCATTGTGTGGATCCCTGATGATTCGCTCGCTTTGGGCCGTGAGGAGGTTCAGACGAATAAGGAGTCGGGCGTTAAGGCGACCACTGAAAACGCGAAGATGGATGAGCACGGCAAGGTGGACGTGACGCACCCCCCTGTCGATCTCGCAAAGTTCTGAGAGATGATCTGGAGCAGGATTGAGGTTTCTTTCCTTGTTTTTGTGTGGTTTCTTGCCTCTTGTAGTGTTACACTGGTATCCATATTTCATTCAGCTTCTCTTGTGTTCCACGCCGCGTTTCACGCCTTATTATACGACCGATATTTACGCTGTCACATTTTGCCCATTCAAACACTTCTACTGTTTGATTTATCCATCCTGAATACCCCTTGTCACAATCCCAGTATATAATCCTGTTACTTACAATCATGCGAATAGTTGTTCTACCATCCAGTAACCGTGAATCATAAATCAGTCTTGAAATTGTCATAGATCAACACGTATGTGTCCAGTAGTCCGTGGCTCCATAGTCGGTATCGCAAAATCAGGGGATTCAGACGCATCCATGCTGGGTTCCACGAGGTGACCAGCTTCGCCATCCTGACCACCTATGAGCGGTGCCAGCACAACTGACGCAGCAGCCGCACTGGCCGATGCACTCATCACAACATCCCCAGCCCTCTGCACCACTATATTCGCACTTGAGCCGGAGCTAGGTAATAATCTCGTCCAGAAAAAGGCAATGCGCAGCCCGCGGTCGATGATGCGCTGCTTTAGTATGAACAGGACCACGAGGCCGAAAAACACGAGGCCGGAAATTATGAGGATGCGATCGAGCCAGTCGGTCTTTTCGAGTGCGGTAATGAGTTGTTTGGAGGTGCCAAGGATGAGATCGAGCGTGTCGTATGTTGTGGATGTAGATTGGAGAGTTGCGGTGGATGATTCTGTATTGAACGGACGATGGGTATTGAAGGAAAACGGTAGTAGTGAGAAGAACTTGCCTAGTAACTGGCTTGACAAGACACTGCGCTCGAGCTCTTTCTGCATGAGTCCTATTGTTCGTTGTAGAGCGTCTGTGACATCATGATTGGCTTTCATTAGTGCGTCTTCGCTGTAGACCACGAGTCAGCCGCATCAGAGGGTATGAATGCATGCCTCCCACGAACGTGACTTTCTCGCCCGAGGAGCTTGTGCTTTTCTCTCGAATTGCGGGGGACCGCAACAACTCCTCTCGCTGTGACCGACTTTGTGCGTCAATTGCATGTTTCGACGCCAGCAATGCTGCTCGAGAGTCTTTCCGTACGCTATCAGAAAGAGAGAAAAGGGCTATTAGAGACTGGCGATAATACTAGAGGGCTAAACGGCTACACACCTGACTAACGAATCACGGAAAGCGTCCACTTTCGTCCTCAGCTCTCTCTTCGCCCGTTCAGTCCTCTGGTCGTCAACCAGGACATCCAGGTCCTACAAGCGGTGAATGTAAGTCGAACCTGAAGGTGAGAGCATACTTAAGGCGACAAACCTCGATCTGCCTTGCCAGGCCTTCGATGTCCTCCCTTACCTCCGCCGCCCACGCTTGTTGCGTCACCAAAGGACCAGTACATGCTCTCAGCCGAGGAATCTGAAAAGCCGAGAGGTCATTATGGTGCCGTTGGATGGATTCGATTAGAGAGAGGGCCTCAGCATCCAGCGCTGTCGGGATAGGTGGCATGTTTTGAAAAGCAAGGTGAAATTTGGGATGCTACAAATATAGCTTCCCTCCTGACTGCCACGTGCATCATAGCTAACCTTTGCAAAACATTAATACTAGACTTGACTCAGACCTTCAATCCAACTTAAAATTTGCAATAGGTACTACGAAGGCTGGTCCACAAGGCTCACTGATTGGGGTGCGTTAAGCACAGCTGCTAGTTAAGTACCTCGACTGTCATCTTCTAACCTTGCCATCTGATGAAATTGCACTTGACGTCCGTCAAGGATTTGGGCAAAGTCTTCGCAGTTCGTCGGTTGAGGCCCACAAAGAACGGACCCATACAACGCAACTCGACAGATACCGACCATGAGAGCGATGACCCCATCCCTACAGGCATCCCCCGAAGTCTCCACTAATGATCCTTCCGCTAGACACTCCCTAATTGTATCCCTTGCCCGCAAAGCTTCTGACATGGCCCAGGTAGCTTTGCCCTTGCTTGGTATAGGCCGTTGCAGGTGAAATCCCGCTTGTTGGTGCTCCGATGCAAGCCGCTATTGGTGGATCATTGACAAGCCTTCAAGCTATGGATGTGAGATCTTCTATGATTGCGAGGACGATTCCCGATTTTCAAGGCCATCACAGAGACATAACACGGACGTAATTTAATACTCGATCGACTAAGCCGCGATTTGTGCAACAAACTGGGAGTATCTTGGCAATCCCGGAGGGATTCCTTATCAAGTATACAGTATACACCTTGTTGATCTATGCTTCAATTCACCTGACATCGAGTCGTACTTAGGATGCTGCAAGAGACCTCAGCCCGAGTGACGATGTTGCAAACGTTGTCTCGCATACACATTTGTCACACAAGCTGCCAGATGCTTTATTGAAATCGACCGTTATCTCGCGGAGTAATTCGGTTGTGTTCCACTCTCTAAATATGATCTGCGTTCACTCATACTCCGCTAGTTAGTTGTCGTCCCAAATACAAAGCCAGCGTGACATACACGAAGAATTGGTAATCCTGCGGAGGCAACAGGAGGATCAGCAGAAGCTGCTGACGGCAATGACCCTGTTGATCCGTGAACACGTGAACAGTCATCTGTGGGACCGACTTCAACGCAGTTGACCCTGGTAGACGCATCAGGCTAATATCGGTGAACTTCTGCACCTTATTTCAGGTCTGCCTCGCCAGCGTAAACAGCCGTCGTAAAGAAGCTCACTCATCAAATTTTCTTTAGCAATTCTATAAGATGCCCCAAACTCTGTTTGAACCACCGCCGTCTCACCCCCCTTCATCCTCGAAGTAGCACAGACCGCCTTCCCCGAGCATTCCCCGTCCACGTGTCAACTATCTCTATCAGCGCCCACCACTTCTGCCTCGGGTGGAGGGGGTGCTATATCTCCGTCAGTCCTCAAAAGTGGGTTTGCCAAATCATCCAAATGGATGGTGTTCTCTGACAACCGGTGTGCGACGGCGGGCAACTAGCCTACTCGGCGTGGTGCTGAATTAGGTTCTAACTTACCTAGCTCATTCAGACACCTCGATGCAACTCGGGTCTAAGTGCAGCAGGGAATTCACAGTAATGTGGAAATATGGGGAGCAGATTATATGTCCAAGGACGCGGCATAAAATGCTCTCGGATTCTACACCATAAATTTGCAATTACCCAATATACGCCACAGCATACGAATGTCATGCATGTGCAATACTATGCGATCCTCGTGAACACCCTCAGGTTCCACAGTGCTGCGCAGATAAGACGCAGTAAACAATTGCCCAAATGTCATCTAGTACAAATATAAAAGCATGCCTCCACCTCAAGCAGCTGGCTTCCTACCAATCACACTAGGAAGTCCAGAGGGAGCGAATGGGCCCCCAGCACCTTCACTTTACTGATCTTGTCACCGACGAACTCATATTCGGCAGTGAACGGAACCTCCCCAGTATAGGGAGGCGTCGATGATGACACTCTAAAATGCAGATGTGTTGGTGCGTCAGATCACAATTGCAAAAAGTTCACGTCACTATCTCTTGATAATTGGACTTGGCCTGTTATCGTCGTATTTATGTCAGAGATGACTTTTCGATCAGGAAACTTAAAATAACACAACTTACACGGATGCTGACCTTTCCAGCCTGGGGATTCTCGGTAATATTTTCTATGGTGATCTGAAGCATGTCAGTTCAAAGATTAGAAGCACGCTTCAGCGTAGAATGATCGTCACCTTGTATGTAATATGCCTATAAATCTTCTCAAGATAAGCTCTGTACCCGATTTGACCGACCCCAGCTGCACCCATAGCTCTCTCCAAGAAAGCCCAGGGGCTTGGACTCAGCCTCGTAGACAAAATCATCCGTTACATATTGGTATGCACCGACACTGGGGTCCCGTAAACTAGAATGTACTGCCCTTCATAGAGTTCACTCTCAATAGGACAAAAACTGGATTTTTTTTTAAAAAAAAAAGGGGCACGATGACTCTTAGGGACCGTTCATCAGCACAACTGTCCAAATCTAGCGAAGTTCATGGCCTTTGACATCTCTCCCACAGACATGTGAGGCCTTCCAAGCTCTTCCATAAACCGTTCAGTCTGATCTTCGGAAGGCCCGTACATGTGACATATACATAGGAGCACCATGAATAGCCGCGAAGGCCGGGCACTGTGCAGACGTGTTTTCGGTGCACAAAGATCTTCATGTGACTTGCGAAAAATTGGATGTTTTCCTTTCGTATGGAAGACATTCTTTGATCGTGAAGCTGTGTTGCTTCCTATCGGAATTGCTTCTCAGAGAGTGACGATTCTGGCTGATTGCTTGGCATCTCGCTGTCAGGGCTGGCAAATTGAAATGTCACTCGTCAAAGGGAAACAGAGCGTCAAAAGGCATTAAGAAGGCTTATTGTACAGCTGACACATCGGAGACCAGCTTCTTGCTTCTTGCTTACCATGGTCAGCGAGAACAGAAAACCACAAGGAGATGCAATAGAAAAGTCGCTCGGGTGGTGCAGTAACATTTAATCACTCGGACACGTCAGTCAACATCAGATAACCTAAAGAAAATGTCTCAGGGTCGTATTCCCGCTACGGCAGTAGTGGGTTTTGTGGTGTCATCGTCGAAAAAACGGGTCCTAAGGCAGAGGTATACGATGCAGAGATGCTAGCACTCCTTCAAGCAATATCACGAGCTACTCGTTTCGCACAAGACTCCCAGGTGACCCATTTACATTTCTTCGTAGATAACAACTCTGTGGTGCAGGCTGCATATGCAGCTGCACCCGGACCCTCACAATACATTGCGTTACAGATCAGACGCTCAATCGAAGATTTCCTAACCACGTCACCCCTCCACCATGTCCAAATCGCATGGATCCCAGGACACCACCATATCATCGGCAATGAACGTGCTGACGAGCTCGCCAAAGAAGCCACTGGACGTAACGACACGTCCCACTCGACCTACGCAAATGCACGCCGAAGAAACAAGGAAGGGATCCGGCAGAAATGGACAGAGAGTTGGAATAGAGACGTGGCAGCACAGACTGGACGCTTCGCTATCGCAAATCGACTCCCACCAACGCTCAAACCTCGCCAACACTTCACTCATACTCTTCGAGAAGTATACAGCCGTCTTATACAATGTCGCACAGGACACGGATTCATTGGAGAATACTATGCCGCATTTGTCCCCACCGAACCCACCCTCTGCCCATGTGGAGAACCACGTCAAACATGAGAACACATCCTACGTGACTGCCCGCAATTTACGCGACAGCGCATCCATTTAAGAGAGGTATCCTACAACATCATACTCAACGAAATCTTGGGTACGGAAAAGGGCATAAAGGCATTAGCGAAATTTATCGAAGAATCCAGCGCATTCAAGAAGGCCGCACTGGAATGAGAAGGGGACTGGGAAGAAAGGAGAGGGATAGAAGCCTGAGTGAGGGCGGGAAAGGAGGTGACGAAGGAGGGAGGAGACGAGAAGAGCACAGAAGGAGGAGGAAGGAGAGAAACTGTACCATATTATACTCAGCCTGGACACCGGACGAACTTATACGCGCACCGAAACTTCTCAAACGCGGACCGCTTGGCTATTCATACTATACTTACACCCCTTACCCTGTTACAACATCCCCCAGTACAGCCCTAACAGGGTACCGCGTCTTAACAGTTTACCTTGTTTGTTGCGGTATATAAATATAGAAATTCTCTCTCTCTCTCTCGTCGAAAAAACCTCATGTTTCAAATTTTGGCAGAGAAATGGGTATGACTACAATTCCCGGCCCTGAACATGGCTGTTTTCGGTGGTTTGTTCTCACGACCGTTGGTTGTTGGCTGATCCGAATATTGTGCCTGCGATCTTTGTTAGTGTTCGTCGTTTGATCATGTCTTCCATTCGCTGCGAAATACTTGGTTTTTTTGCCGATGTTCCCGCTATTATCCGTGTCGACAATACGAGACTCGAATCGACCGTATCGTTGTCTTTTTTACACAATTGGAATGTGCCGCGATCTCTCACTGATCACCATGGGGTCGCTGTAGAGACCACTTCAGGTCCTGTGCGTGTGCCGACCGTTGATGGATGGTATCATTCCCGACAGCCGTTTCGTCCTGCCTATCTCAATGGATGCGATGTCGAGCTTGGCAGCGATTGGCTCGCATTTGTTCATGCGCAACTTGATGGCTCCCGGTTCCGACGTCCTTCCGACGTGGATGTCGCGCAACTTTCTGCTGGTCATAGTTGGATTTTTCAGTCTGAAGGTACGTGAACTCGATTTTCTTAAATGAGTCATTCTCTGATTTTTCGTAGATAACAAAATTTCTTCTTCGTCTGTTGTTACGGACGAAGTAGTTCAAGTTGCCCATGCGGGTTCATGTTCTAATGCTGCCCAAGCGGGTTCATCTAACGCTGCCCAAGCGGGTTTTGCTTCCATGTCTCCTTTTTGTTCGCCTGTAGTAGTGCTGAATGATCACACTGTCGACAATTTTTTTGATGGTTATGAATCGTTACTAAGACCGGCTCTGAATGTGTTAGCAGTTGCTCATGGACTTCCGGCAGGCAATGATTTGTCCGTGGAAAATATACGGGAGTCCATTTCACGTCATGTTGGAACTGGACTGTGTGGTTCTCGCTCATCGGAAACATTTCAAGGGTGCGACTCTGTACGTCAAGGATTTAATATGTCTTGCGACGATGAAGAGGCTGTGCTTTCTACGAGAATAGCATTCTTGACAGCAATGTTGATGACTACCAAACGACGCCCTTTGGAACGATTGTTGAAGGTGAATGAAGTCGTTTTTGAAATCGGATCGAAGACGGGACGGCTTCGTCGTATACTGAAGAAACATTGATGGAGACTGTCCTCTGCCTCCATTGCCATTTGCAGATACGAACGGTCCGCTTCGTGATTTGATGCTCGATCCTTCTGGAGTGAGACAATGTGGTAAAGACGACTTCCAGCTGTCTTCATGCAATGTTGGTGACAAAAAAATCAAGAAGGGCAAATGTCCACCTCTCAGTCTTGCAAATCGAACTTTTTTGGGATACGTGCCTGATGAGTTGAAGGATCTGACAGTCATCGAGGAAGCGATGATTGCTCGTAGTCGTGCAAAATGCTGGATCGTTCAGTTGAAGGAAGAAAATCAGGACCTGCAACTTCCTACCAGTCAGCGCGGAATAAAGGGCCACATAATCATTTATCCTCAGCGTCCAGAAGGGATCGCGAATGTCTTGCCTCCGACAGTAGCTGATATTGTCACCCCAATCTGCGTCATTTTCGTGGGCTCGTGTCCTCCAACTCGTGCATGGCTCGAAGAAAAAGCCAAACCTTTGATAGCTCGTAGAGAAAAGGTTCGTGCCGCATTAGTTTGGCTAAAGAAACACAATCGCCTGTATAAGGACATTACCATTGATTTTGATGTTTTGAATTCTATGGAGGAAAAGACATTGTTGCCCTTTCACGTTGACCACGTTCTTCCCAGTGAAGCGCATGATTCCTTGACATCAAAGTATGATGCAACTGAGGCAGTGCAGTCCGAAGATCCATCTGATTTGAGTGATCCTCCCGCACCGTCTGATGATCAATTGCGTGCTGCTGAACTGCAAGCTAATTTTGAGAGTGTTGTAGTTACTGATGTTGATGGCAATGCGTCTGCGAATGAGTTGCGTGCTGCAGCAACTCGTCATATCAAGAACAAAGGTGGCGGATATATTCAAGTCCCTCACGATCCTGAACCTGTCAATGAATTCTTCAAACCAGACCTCTTCTGATGATTTATCCCACATTGTTTCCGTATGGACTGGGAGGATTTGAGGACCACCTGCATTCCGAACCATTATCGATCAAGAGACACGTCAAGCACCTGTTCAACCTGGCTGACCGTCGTTTTCAGGAACATTACTCTTTTCTATTCACGGCATTCAACATATTACAGTGTTGTAAGATTCTGTTACATACATCTTTGAAAGTGAAGCGGGACTCCTTCCTGGCAATAGCCACCAACCTCGCTGCTGTTTCGCCATGGGCTGTACATTGTGTCACAGAACACGTGGCTCGAGGGGACACTGTTTCTGCAAACAATGAAGATGAGCAGTGTGTGTTGCAGTTAATGAAAGAGGTGCAAGTGATAACTTCACAAGTCCCAGGATCTGCACATACAAGAACTAACATGCGAAATGAAATTCGTGGCCTGATGTGTGAACGAGGGCTACTGAGTTTTTATGTCACCATTAATCCAGCTGATGTTTATAACCCACTCGTCAAATTTCTTGCCGGTGCTGAAATAGATATCAACAATCTTCTGCCAGGGGAAGTGCCAAAATTCTATGATCAATCTATTCTCGTAGCTCGAAATCCAGCCGTTGCAGCCAAATTTTTCAATATCTACATGAAAGCTTTCATAAAGTGTCTTCTACAATATGAGGGAAAGGGAACAGACCTTCAGGAGGGCATACTTGGCACTGTCAGTGCTTATTATGGTTGTGTTGAAGCCCAAGGTTGAGGAACCTTGCATTGTCATATGATGATATGGCTTGAAGGTGGCCTTAATCCCAATGAGATCAAGGACTGAGTATTACAAGACGAGGAGCAAGGTTTTAAAGAACGTCTACTTCGATATTTGGAAGATACCATCTCGGCATGCATCCCTGGACTCCCGGAAGAAGACATATCAATGCCCAATCAAAATTTTCATCTGTGTTCAACTTGCGGAGTCAATTTTCAGAACATGGATAATGGTTTGGTAGAGCCAATGCAAAAAAAAGATATGCACCTCCTTGCTAAAAAATGCCAGACTCACCGGCATTCAAAAATGTGCTGGAAATACTGGAAGGGCCCACCTAAACCAAAAGAATGTCGATTTGATCTAGATGAGAAAAATGTTCATCCGATAAGCCTGACTGATCCGGTCACAGGTGAAATTACCCTAAAGTGTTTAGATGGTCTGGTGAACCATTTTAATGAGAGCATTTTGGAAGCCATGAGATGCAACATGGATATTAAATTCATTGGATCAGGACCAGCCGCGAAAGCAATTCTGTATTACATCACTGACTACATCACTAAGTCTCAGTTGAAAACTCACGTTGCATTAGCTGCAATGGAAACAGCGGTACACAAATTAGAGATGTACGACCCAAATGATGACGATTGCACCTTATGAGTGAAGAAGATGCTTCAAAAATGTGCTCATTCGATGATTTCGCACCAAGAACTGTCTGCTCAACAAGTCTGTTCATATCTGATGGATTTCGAGGACCACTTTACGAGCCATGAGTACCGTGGTTTGTATTGGACCAACTTCGAATCATTCATCGAGAAGTGTAGTCCAAGTCCTGAATGTAATCGGTCATCAGCAGTTGATGACACCGTGCCAAGGACCATCCACGATCGTGATAATGATACCAAAGGGACACAGGATGAGCTTGTTGAAGAACAGGAGCATAGGCCTGTTGAAGGAAACCTTGATGATGCCGGAGTCTACATCGAACAACTTCAAAATGATGAGATCAGGATCAGCAGTGACAATTTCGGAAACCTCGTGCCAAAAGCTGCACAACTAATGAACTACCTGCATTGAGATGAGAAATTCAACAACATAAACATATGGGACTTTGTAGCCCAGGTGGACAAAGTGAAAAAGAGTAAGAAAAATAAGAAAACAAAATTTGAAAACACGGATGATGGTAGTGACAAATGCAATGATGATGATATCGGTAATGAAGATGAGCTTGCTAATGTCACTACACCAAAAAACGGTGACAATGAGATTGAAGACTCAGAAGAGATGGAAGTCGACGAACCAGCAATAGCAGCAGGTTCTCATTCGGCAGAAGATATTCTTCATTCTTCGGCCAAAACACGGCCTGCTGGAGAACTTCAGACGGGGCATTATGAATCATGCACTCATTTTCTGCGAGTGAGACGACAAGAAAATCGATTTATACCTGTTCTGATGGGTCCCAAAATGCCTCGCAGAGACCAGGAGCCCATGTACCCCAAATATTCTCACCTGATGCTCATCCTCTTCAAACCCTGGAGATCTGTATCTGATCTGAAACAAACAATGCAGTTGTGGACTGAAAGCTTCGAATCATTTAAACACACCTGCAATGATAAGGTTATTGCCATCTTAAACAACATGCAAATTTTGCATGAGTGCAAGGACAGCTGAGATGATCATTTCACGAATTGCCGACTTCAACATAAACTTGCAGGCATTTCACACGAAACGTTCAGCTACAGTAATGGAATCAATGATGAGGCCCAGTGAGCATTGGCTGTGCCTGAATAGGGCTGAATATGTTGAGATAAGAATTACCGTTTTAGTACTATGTCGAGTTATGCTTCTTTCAGTTGAAATCGATACTCGTCGATTGTAACACATTGTAACTGCACCAACGACGCATTGCAAACTGCGCATCGCAACGTTTTGCGTTACTCACAGTATCGATCGCAACGTGCAACGTCTTGTATCACACAGCATCGCACAAACTTTGTACACTGTACAGCAACATTTCAGTCGTGTCCTCATGTTGCCTCTTTTGTGGAGCCGGTGCTTGTTTCGATTCTCTCTCTGTTGCACCAGGTATACTTAGTACTTCTGTTATTTGTTAAATCCTAGGTTAATCTATTGCAGATGCTGCCGATTTCGAATAAATTCATGTGCATATGCGAGAAGTATGGGTTGGGAAGACCACACTCAGTATCAAAGTCGACATGGTATCAACACCTTCAGCAGGCTAGTACGGAGGAGGAGAAGGCGAGAATACGTGCTGCTGAAGCACTACATACATATGGTATTTGATAGCTTCAATTTTGCCTCGTATACTCACTAGGGTTGTATTATAGACAACACTATTCAAGATCCCTCACTTCCAGAACAGCAAGGTGATCAAAGTGTAGCTTCTGGCTCCTCTCTGCCTCCCAGTTCTCGTCGCGCAGCTGCGATACAGACACTTGCCAAACGAGCACGCGAGAACAAAGACATGAGACGTGTTGGATGCCGAAAATGTGCTCAAACTACCTCGATGGACCAGTCGCAGCCGAGTCAACAGAACCACCACTCGGACAATACGGATATCACAATGGGTGATGATGTTGACAATCTGGTATGTCTGTCCAGCGAACACGGCAAACTATGCACTGATAATTATCAGATAGATGATGTACCCATGCCTCCCAATAATTTTGCTGATCTGAATGAGCCTCCTGACAATTTTGCCGATCAGAATGAGCCTCCCGTCCCCGATAATGATCCACAGATAACTCCTGATGATTTCGCCGATCAGAACGAGCCTCCCGTCCCCGATAATAATCCACATATACCTCCTGACGATTTCGCCGATCAGAACGAGCCTCCCATCCCTAATAATGCTCCTGAGGGTGATAGGAACCAACAGGAGTATCAGTTCATCCTGCACCGCCAACCACGACCAAATATTGATGTGGAGGCGCTTGCCCGGATGGCAGTGCTTCTGCAGATGAAGGAGACAATGGATTACATACTTGCACTTAAAAATGTGTCTCTGGAAGACCCAATAGCGAAATTGGATGACACAGCTCTTGAGAGACTTCGCAATCCACCTCGAGAGCCTGTTGTCATAGATAGTCTGAGTATTCGGCACAGCATATCCTTGTACCTTGCATTAGAACATGCATCACAGGAGGCCTATAATCGGATACAGAGATCTACCAAGCTCAATTTTGCAGGAGCTGCTGGTGTTGATGACATTCTCAGTTTCTACAGTGTTGAGAAGCTTATTGTGCAATATACTGGTGTCGAATCGATCAAGCACGACATGTGTCCCAAGTCATGCTTAGCGTTTACGGGTCCTTTTGCAACTCTTGAATCCTGTCCAATGTGCGATACATCCTGGTGGGATCAAGCAAGATTGTGTGCAAGTAACGGACATACGAAAGTTGCTGCTCAAACATTTATGACCTTACCGCTAGGTCCACAATTGCAGGCCCTTTATCGACACCCTGACAGTGCACAAGATATGTGCTACTTCCACAAACAAGTTCAGGAAGTTCTCGCAGACCTCACACAAACCGGAGAGATTCCGGTTTTTGATGATATTGCAATGGGACATGACACTATTGGTGCTGTACTTGACGGAGATATCAAGGAGAACGACATCGTTCTGATGGTGTCTGAGCAGCATGAGTGGCGCTGGCAGGATGTTGCAGTTGTCCAATTATATTCCCATCCAGATGCAGATCTCCTTCAGCTCTGCTCGCACACCGTTGTGTCTTGCTCAAAACTCAAAGAATTCTGTATTATTGATGTGAAGCAGGTTCTGAGTGTCATTGCAATGATTCCACACAATCCAAGGCTACCTGCAGGAGTTATGGAGGAAGAAGGACGGTTTTTCATGCTTGAGAAGCACGGATTAGATCTTTCAAATGTTGGAATCACTAACAACATTCTTGATGATGACAATGACGGTGCAGATGTAGAATAATGTTTTTGTTACAATATTCTATGTATTACAACAGGTATCAGGACTTAGATGATTCGATTCGATTCAAGGGACTGTGGCAAATTCCAGCGGAGTTTAGATACAACATCTGGCTCGTAGTATGTGCATATTGCTCTGTCTCTTACTTTTATCAGTTCAATATCATGTACTCTTCTGCCAGTGGAGGCTCTATGGATTTCATCGGGGGGTCTTTATTTCATCCTACACATAACTCACATTGTCCTCCGCAAAATTTCAATATGCCACATTGGGGCCAGGAACTTACACCTTCCCCCCTATCTCCTGGTTCTATGCCGTTACCACCTGATGGAGATCTCTTTACAGATAGTTCTAGAGTGCCACAACCTCATTTTCAACAGGTATGTTGGCTTGCCACGATTTTTGTGCTGATAAAAACATTTTTAGGGTGCATATATGCACGAAATCCAGCAGTTCCAGACCTTGCGTGAAAAGTATAGGGCCTTGGAGCTGCAGATTGCAAAGGTTACAGCAGAACGCGACACGATCTCGTATGTACATTCCTTATTCATACTATTTTTACTAACTTATGCCTGATAGGGCTGCATATCAATATCTTGCCAGTGCTGTTCGTTTACCACTCAACGACCTACTCCAGCTTGACCCTGCATCCATCCCAACACCAGCAAGCAATTTACAACGTCCAAAACCAGAGACCCACCCCAATATCCGGTTCTGGAACAAGGCCGACTACTTCAAGTGGTTAGAATCGGCTGAAGCGGACAATGCTGTCGGCCGTGGTAAGCTTGCATTCCTGGAGGACGAGAATGGTGATCCGATTTCGGAAACTACAATTGACGCCATTCGAAAGGCCCTACCTGCAGCATGGTCTGAACTTCTCAGTCGCAAGCTTGCACCTTTGACTTGGGGAAAGCTAACTGCATCGGGTAGCCAGTTAGTGAATACCTTGATGGAAAATGCCTACCCCTTGTTCAAGTTTGCCAATAATGGGTGGAAGCTGGACTATCTCGCTACGATATCTTATTCATCTTGGTGCAGGCATCACATGGACGAGTGTGGCAATCCACTATCTGGTGGCGACGCTGGTGACGATGGTGACAACACTTCAAAAGGCAAGAAAAGAAAGCAGCGCATAAAATCTGAAGCCTCTGAAGTCCTCGAAAAGAAAATCAAAGGTTCGTCTTATTTTATATATTGACTGAGACTTATGTTACTTTGTTTTAGTTGATCATGATGCTCGACTCGGAGAGAGTACTGTGCTGCCACTGACTCCACCACCATCTTCTACTTCATCCCCACCTCTGCTCCTGGTTCAGCCATTCTCTCTGACTGATGCTCCACTATACTCTACTCCTTCCTTGACACCATCGTCTCCTCCCCAGTTACTTCTGCAAGTCGAAGCATCAGTCACCCCAGAAGAAATACCCAGGAATAAGGAATGTGTTTCACCGACATCTCAACAGTCTACTCTGCAAATCCAAGGTCCAGTCGCCGCAACAGCTCAGGAACCTCTCAACGACATCACAAACATACTACCCAAGCCTCTCTCTGCACCAAAACCCGTCAAAATTATGATCATCAATCCATTGTGAGTCGCATATTAGATTGCTTGAGTTTTCACTACTAACAACACTAAACAGATCTACTCTCGCACTAGCTGCATCCAATGTCGTCATACCGCCTACTGCAGCTCCCTCGAGTATTCCACTGTCCCTACTAGATCCAGGAACTGAACTCAAACCAAAGGATGCAGGGAGCATTCCTGCTCCCTCCGAGTCTACTAGGAAAACCCCAAAGATGGCGAGCAAGGCAAAAATGCACCCAGGCAACACGAAAAATGGACGGTGAGTGCAAGTGCATCAATCTTTCTTCGCTCAGTATTTGCTCATATCTTGCAACAGGAACTTATGTGCGCTACGTTGGCTCAAGCTGACCAAGCGCGGTGGAACAACAGACGAGTTTAATGCCTACTACGGGACATTGACATCAGATCAGCTTGGGGTAAGTCGTCTACTCCGAGTCTTGTACGTGCTAACTAACTCTTATTTGCTCGATTTTTAGAAATACAACGAGGAAGCCAAGAATTTGGTATATTGTGTTTACTCGGTTGTCTATCATACTAACCAAAGTTTTTTCAGGTGTCCAACGACGCATGGAATAAGAATGTCAACAAGGGCCAAATCTACTAGCCTATCAGCCATCCCAACACTTCTTGTGCTTCGTCAATGTGTCTCCATTCTGCTACCAGCGTCTGCCGCACCTTTGTCATTGTGTTATCTGCTTCCTATTTTTGATCTCTGCTGTCTGCTCTCGACATGTTTTCGATCCCCTCTGCTGTCTACATCCTTTCTGCTTGGCTCTTGATGTTTGCAATCCACTCTGCTGTCTATTTCCTTTGTGCTCGGCTCTCGACGTGTTTTCGAGGTATACTCCACCTGTTTCGCATCAGTTTCCCTATTTTCCAGTTGCTTTCGTATACCAACTGTATTCCGCATAATACTTACCAAGCAATCAAAGCATATTTGACACTATTTAAGCACATTCTGGGAGGACAGCGCGAGTGTGTGGATATGCCCACTCAAACAATAAGAGCACATTTGATACTTTTTGAGCACATTCTGGGAGGACAGCGCGAGTGTGCATGGATATGCCTAGATATGCGCAAGGTAAAAAGAAGCACAAGAGAGCACATGGGGAACTGCCCCGTCTTATAGAAAATATGCTGTGAGTCCGGATATTGGGCGAAATGCGCAAGTATGTGTTCTGTCTCTCAAATGCGCATCTCAACATATTCAGCCCTATTCGGGCACAGCCAATGCTCACTGGGGATGAGGGCTTGTTCACAGACGATACCGATGAAGATATACTCTCTCATCTGGAATCAATGAAATCCTGTCGTTCTATACACCAATCCACGATTAACGACAACCTGATTTGTTGCCTTCAACATATGGAATCATGCCAGTTCTTTGACAGTCTCTCGCGTATTTCGGATCCTGCAAATCCTGTTATGGACCATCCTGAAAACGACAATCAACTTTCTGAACAAATCATTCAAAATATGGAGCAAGAGAATGAATGGCAAGACTGCTATGAACAAAGGCGAAAAAAATGGAAGAAAAATCAAGCTGCAAATGATATTTTAAAATCTGACCTGCACCATGCCACGCCATCAACGACAATTGAAATGCTGCAGACAAGGCCATCAGAAACGCATGAAACCCTCGTTCCAGGTATCCAGAGTCATACTCATCCGATTGATGAATTCCACAATGTGAATAGTGACCGTGTTGCTAAAGAATGGTCATTAAACAACAAACAATCCAGGGCATTCAAACTAATAGCAGAGCACAGTCGGGCGAGCAATCCCGAACCTCTAAGAATGTTCATTGGGGGACCTGCTGGAACTGGGAAATCAAGGGTTATCAATGCTCTAAAAGACTTCTTCGTAAAACGAAACCAAGCACGATGATTCAGACTTGCCTCATACATGGGAGTAGCCGCATGGAACATCTCAGGTATGACCCTGCATGCATCACTTCTATTAAATCAAAGACATACATCAGCAGCAAATACCAAAATGAAGCGAGACCTTACTGCGATGTGGGAAGGAACCGACTACTTATTCATAGATGAAGTATCCATGATAAGCTGTGATTTTCTCACCAAAATTCACAATGCACTAGTTGACGCCAAAGGAAACACTGCCCCATTCAGAGGAATCAATATTATCTTTGCTGGAGATTTTGCTCAGCTTTCGCCCATGAGCGGCAAACAATTATATGCTCACCTCAACGTCAGACGCTGTGCAACAACACAGGGACAAAAAAGTATTTTTGGCAAACTTCTTTGGCTGTCAACAAACTCTGTGGTATTACTAACAAAAGTAATGCGTCAGTCAGGTCCAGAGAACGATCAATTCGTCGACTGCCTTTCACACCTGCGTCAAGGAAAATGTACCCTAGACAATTACCAGCTTTTACAATCGAGAGTGATTGCAACCAGTACAACACATTCGAATGATTGTGAATGGAAAGACGCACCAATCATTGTCTGTGATAATGAGAGCAAGGATGAACTAAACGTTAGAATGACGACAGCATTTGCACGAAGGACAGGACATACTCTTCACTGGTACCATTGTACAGATAAACATCACGGAAAACAACTGCACGACAAAGATTTGATCAATAAATTACAGCACATGAACTCGGGGAAAACAAACATGCGACTGGGAAAAATCCCGTTAGTAATTGGCATGCCAATCCTCGTGTCTCAAAACTTTGATGTTGAGGGTGGAATTGTCAATGGTAGCACCGGAATACTGAGAAAAGTGAGATACTCACTCAATGATGAGAAACAACGAGTGCTGAGGTCCTGCATTGTGGAAATCAACCAGTCATCAGATGAAGCACTCCCAAACTTATGTCCGCACCACATACCCATCATCGAAGACTCTACAGAACTCAGATTCACACATCCCAACTCGAAAAAGACATGCCGGATCACTCGCACTCAAGTTCCCATCCTTCCAGGTTTCGTTATCACTGCACATAAATCGCAAGGCCAAACACTAGAGAAAGTTATTGTGGACCTTGGCTCAAAATGGTGCTGAGGAGCTGAAAAACCGTATGTGATGGTATTGCGTGCGACCTCTCTGCAAAGCCTGTTTGTCCTACGTCCATTTAATTACAGCAAAATTTGCTCTCACCCATCCCAAGATATCCACCGAGAAATGCTTCGATTAGAGATATTGAACCTCAAAACATTAATTGACTCACCACATACAAGCAACGAGCAACGAGAACAAGCACAGCAACAATTACCAGTCCTGAACAATCCGGTCACACAAGATAAAACATTGACATGTGCCAAAGAAGACAGAGCGCGTGAACTAAACAATGTTCAACAGACCATCCTCGACCTCAACAATCTCACTATGGCAGGCACCCAACCTGGGTTAGAACAACAACCACCTTGTCGAAAGAAGAGAAAACTGACTGAATTAGTCAGCGAAAATGAGACAAACAAGCAGACACTGACCAAGGTTCCTATACCTTGGTCAGCAAACGATGATCTGCCACTACCTCCACAGTGTACCAAATGCCAGAGACCAACCTAACTGCCAGCATCAAATATCTTTGTCAACAAGGGTATACCTCATATGAGTCTTTGTCAACAACGAAAATCACCGTACGTCATACCGTTGTAATGCCTACCCCCATTATTTAAACGCTGAAACAATGCAGATCATTGCATCAAAACTATCACTCAAACCACCACCATGTCTCTTCATGACTCTGAAGTCCAATGTTTCTCATGACGCACCGCAAACGGCATATATGATCGTGTCACTGATGCAATGACCAACCTCGGAAAAGATGGCTTAGGAGAAGCTGACTTCGGCATTGATTGGTGCACCACCATCCAAGACAACTACAGCGGTACGAATTGGTCATACGTAAACACAAAAGACAGTCACCCCTTCAAGACCAACATTGTCGGCCAAATCGCTACCTCTACGTGCGGCACAAAACATTCGGCCAAAGGCACACACTTCACAAAAAAGGTACACATCAATTTCACCAGTCCACTAACATGATCTAACACTTACGACATGAGAATGTACCGCTGAGCGACTCGGACACTGTCAAATGGAAATGGGCCCTCTCCAAACCCACCATGTGCTCGCCAAAGTTAACAGATATCTGGGAGAATCAGCTGACATCCATCGAAAATTGGATTACCAAGGAAAAAAAGAGAGCAGCGACGGTCAGTGCTACTCACACCACCATTTGAAAACTAACAAATTTCGCAGGGATCAAAGATCAATACATGCATCTTTAAGAGCCAGAATGACTTGCAATATGCAGATCTCATCATCCTCACATCGCAACACATTTATGAAGTGAGCCATGAAGGCAGCACATCCACTGCAGCATGCACTAAACATCCCAATCTCAGAAACCAGAAGAGAAAAATGTTCACACCAACCAAGAAAGTGCTCCTTGACGAACCAAGCGAAAGACCATGAATGAGGAGAGCATGGCAGGACAACAAACCATGGGAATGTCCACCACTTCCACAGTGAGCTCGAATGCAAACGTAAATGTCCCAATGCCGACCGGGGAAGAAGGTACGAACCATGTTAAACCTCGTCTGCTCACCAATTCTCACCAGTTATTTACAAGTCTTTCAAGGAGCTCATTACAATCCGAGGATCCTTCCAGATTACCGCGGATCATACTTCCAGCTAAGGCAAAATATGCTTAAGCAGCTGAACATTTATGACACTCCGGAAAACAACCTCCAGCTTGTGCCCATGCATGAGACGTACTCCAAATTGAGACCAGGAACGCTCATTCTCGCAGTCTGCAATGTGCACGTGTATAACCTCATCCAAAACGGGCAGCCTACAAGTGTATGCACCTCTAAATATTCGACATCATGCCTACTAATCTCACGCTAGACATTCAAATTGAGCATACAAGCCATCAAGATCCTGGATGCATCTGATGAGCCCATTGAGGAACAATTTATCCCCATACTTTCCTCGACCTCGACAGAGATGTCGAAGGACAACTCGGCCATTGCAAGCTTCTCAACGTTCAATGTCGCTAGTAGTCCTGCGAAGAAATCAAAGCCTGCTAAAGGAGGCAAAGGAAAGGAAAAAATGGACTGACCCGGGTTTCAGCGTTATCCTGACCATTTCCATCTCTGAATCATGACTCGTCTAATTTGTGTTTTTGAAGAAGAAAAAAAAAGGTCTCATTCTTACGCCCCTTTGACGCCGGGTGTTTGTAGTTATAACAGCCTGCACTATATGTATTTGTACCGCATGATATTTGAATCAAATGCGATGGAGATTATAACCACACAGAACTGCCAAATGTTTGGAACAACCATAGCGGGCTCTGCCACGAGCGGCCCTTCACGTTATCAAACTAACAGTAGATACTGATTTGCCTTCCTAAGCGCAGTCAGATTCACAGTTTTACTGCTCTGTTACATCCCGTTTGCATGCTGTCCCCACCTTATTCATCACACGGATTCACACCAGCGATGCGATTTCATTGACCAATGACAGTGCCATCTTTAGAGGTCTCTGGAAAGGTGTGAGCACAATTAAGGTGACAAACCCTAATCTGCCAGGCCATTGATATCTTCCCTTACTTCTGCCATCCATACTTGTTGCATTACCGAAGGACCGGTCCATGCTCTCAGCAGAGGAATCTCAAATGTTGAGAGGTCATTGTGGTATCATTCAATGGACTCGCTTAGAGAGAGAGCCTCAGCGCATTAGGTCTGTGAGAGAAAAAGTTTGACTGTTCAACCAATTAGACTTATATAACAGAATTAAACTCGAAACAGTATTAGCTTACATCCTTTAACAGTCTACAGAATTTGCGATAGAGCAACTAACATCATACTTTGAAGGTTCCGAGTAGTTGCCGACATTATCTGGGGAGAGCTCGATCTGTGGGTGCACAACAAACATCAGTAAAAGTATGGCATGATCAAAACGACCTCTATCCCATTATCGTACAAGGTATATATCATTGGCCTTTAATCTGAATTGTTATGCCCATTCCAGTAGACAGGTTTGGATGACGAACAGGCTAATACAGACGTGGCTCCAAATGTCTTCCAATCGGGTTTTGCTATGCCAGGAATGTTTATCTATAAAAACGAAAAAACGCTGTCAGAGACCAGCAACAATACTAGACGGCCAAACGGCTACACACCTGACTAAATAATCACGGAAATACTCCACTGTCGTCCTCAGCTCTCTCCACCCACTTAGTTCACTGGTCAATAACCAGGACATCCAGCCATCGCAAGCATCCACATACAGGCGCACTTTTGCTATAAGCATTCTGCACTACAAAGCTCAAAAAAAGACACCAACCATGGACCCTTAAGAACACAATAAAAATGTTGCTAGGCTATCAGAAACCTTGAATGTCTGATGTTTAGATTGCCTTGAGGTTTGAACGTGTTGGATCGTCGGATTCGTGTGCATACACTGCACATGTCCTTCAAGTTAGCTTCTACGTCCATCTTAATGCATAGTCCAGTCTGTATGGTGGTCGAAAGGTCTGTTCCCATATGAGCAAATACTGCAAAAGTGACCTCAGGGACAACAGGCTTTGCAAGAAGAAGAAGAAACACACCAGGCCAGCGGCAGTATGAGGAGTCTATCACGAACTCCTTTGTTACAAGTCGTGTAAATGCCAGCCCTCACTGAACTTCATCTCAAATGAGATTAGCGAGAAGCTCCGAACAGTGAATGTGGGTTCCTTGTGCAATCTTCATGATGAATTCATGAATGCAGGGCAAAACCACTGTATTGAAGTAAACTTTCGTAGCTGAGGACCCTCTCTTGTCAATTGCTCTGAGTTGCTGATATGCACCGGCCAGGTTGGATTGAGAGCATTTCCCGACAACTGCTGTGACGTATAAGCTCACTCCCAATAGCAACTGACTGACAATAGATCAGTCAATCTGCGAGGCATGGATAACATGGATGGCTGAGGTGGTGAGTGCAATGATGAGCGGGTAGCTAGTGGAAGGCAACATCGGGGAGGTGGAGTAGGGGCTGTCTTGAAAATGTTGAACCGTGGCTGTCGTCGAGGCCTGGACAGTACGCACTGGCAAGGTCCTGTCGTATGGGTGTAAATCCTCGAGACAGATGCTAGTGGCTATCAAGGAGTACTAGTTCCAACACTCAGGTATGATACTTCCACTTTTCAACGTTAACAGTGATTCATGAAACAATTGTATGCCAGCGCTACTGGTAGTACATATTCGCACATTCACAACTCCCTAAATGTGGCGTTTAAGGTAAACGTTCACACTGAATAGAGTTGTTTTCTTTTGAAGGACTTAAGATTCAGACAGAGAAAACTGGCCGAACTAAGCTTCGTGTTTTGGTGGGGGTGAAAGATCAACTAACTATCTTCTACTACGAGTTCTACTTTATATACTGTAGTAATGAGCCAATAGAATGTCAAGGAATACTGAGGAAAGAATAGAGAGAATGTGCCTGATACATATATGATTCGTTGTTTAGGTGACAAATCAATAACTAGGCTTTTACGAGCATTACATATGCCCTCCAGATCAACTCAACGGGGGGATCTTTTTGGGGTTCTTCGGGGAGAGAGTGAAAGCCTCCCCATAGTCTAAGCGCTAGGCACTGGAGAAGCAAGCCTGGCAGGCATGGGAGCCACGGCAGGGCCAGTGTGCGGTACAGATCCCCACGCAGCTAAGGTCACAGCGAGGGTAAGTACCAGGGTAACGAGATATACGAGCACGAAAACTTTACCGAAGAATTCAGCCTGGAAGTGTGCTGCATTATCAATGTCCATCTGCTCAGTGGCAGAGATGATGTCAGCTATGTCAGGACCCTCGTCTGGGGTTGGAGAGGTGGATGACGCTGCTGGAGGTGCGGGGTGAGGTACTGATGCGGCTGATGCAGCTGCAATGACTTGGGCAACCGTGGAAGGGCCTGAAGGAGGGGAGGATTGTACTGCAGGAGCAGGGCGAGTTTGGGAAGGAATCCGGAGAGGTCGATCATGACGATGACCACGATTATCAAGTGTAAGGTTGGGGTTTTTACAAGAGTGGGAGTGGTGCGAGTGCTCACGTCTGCGATCACAATCATGCTCAGCATGGACCTCGAGGTCAAAGGCATGTGCCTCTTTGCGTGTAGCAAGTTCTTTGGCTTGGGCCTCAGCCCTAAAGAATCGTGTGAACGTGTTCAGGGCATCAGAGTTGGAGTCATCATGGTGAGTGGGGTTCGCAAACCCGTGACGACGAGGGGGATTAGCCCAGCCTCGCCTACAGCCCGAGCGGCGATGGTTCCCAGAGTTAGGGGGATTGGAGGAGCGGTGAGGAATCTCACCTGGCTCCTGACCAGCGTCTACGACCATGGGCTCAGGAGGGGAAACGGAGGGCATAAGTAGAGTCGTTTGGGACTCTGCAGGTGCGGAACATGGGTCTAACCCTACTCTTAAGTAGGTATTCTGAGACGTGATGAGACTAGCTTCATTAGGGAGTTCGTGAATTAGCCGATCAATGAGGTCTTCTGCCGCAAAAGGGTTTTCTAGTGAGGAACTAGTGCTGGATACACTAATTTTGGGTGGTGTTCGTGAAACTTTTCTAGGGAGGTGTTGGATACCGTGAACCCCAAGAGCTTCAAGGTATTGCCCGATGGCCTCGAGCCGAGACACTTCATAGTAAGGTAACCAGACTTTATCGCCTGTAGTATATTCAATTTCGAACAGCGAGTCGGTTCCCTGGCCGTTATGATCGACCACGCAAGCTACAGACCACTCTTCAAGACTTCCCAGGTCAGAGATCTGGCTAGGCTGTCTCCTGGGGAATTGGTGGTCGTCATTGGGGACATGTAATCTCAAAAGGTGAGCATGGAATGCAGGGTGCAGGCCGCGTTGTTTGAGGTCAGCCGGCAGATCTAGCAGGTAGGAATTGTTCCGATAATCTTCAAGGATCTTAAATGGCCCAATGAATTTAGGGGCAAGTTTGCGCGCGTGGCCCTTCAGTAGGGAGAGGTTTTCGGTAGACAAGTATACAAGATCGCCCTTTACAAAAGGGGCTTCCTTGCATTTGCGGTTAGATATGGTGGTACTTTTGACTCGTGCAGCTATAATGGCATCATGAGCTCCCATTATAGCGTCTTTCATGCGTTGGGCGAATATATGCACGCCAGGATATTCGGACTGTGTGTTCCAGATCATCGATGGAGGCTGACGGCCATAAATGAGGATGAAAGGGGGCTCCTTTCTCAAGGCAGAACTCGCTGAGTTGATCGCGAACTCAATTGCAGGGAGTTTTATAGCCCAGTCTCATTGGTTCGGGGCGACGCACTGACGTAGCATTTGAGTTATGGTGCAATTGGCGTGTTCAGTTGTCCCGTTGGTTTGCGGGTGGAAGGATGTCAACATCTGCAGTTTGGTACCGGTCAGTTCGTTGAGTTTTTGCCAGAAGGTGCTGGTGAATAGGGTGTTTTGGTTGCTGACAATTCGGGATGGCATACCATGCAACTTATATACAAGGTTGAACATTACTTCGGCAATGTATTTTGCTCGGTATGTCTGCTTGGTGGGAGCTAAGTGTACCATGGCCGTTAGGTGGTCGATTGCTACGAGGATCATGTCAAACGCGCCGTGCAGTGTTTTAGATTCAGGGAGCGGTCCAATGAAGTCTACTCCGACCATTTCCCATGGTCTAGTGGGTACCTCAAGCGTCTCTAGCAAGCCATACAGTTGATGGTTCGTTGGTTTAGAGACCTGACATGTTGGGCAGGATTCACAGAAGGCCTTGACGTCTGCCACGATCTCTTTCCACCAAACGTTCTCGCAGAGGTAAGTTAGGGTTTTTGAGGGACCTAAGTGGGCTAGGATCAAGTGCGCATGAGATATGAGTAGTTCTCAGACTCTTCGGTTGCTGATTAGTATATCTGGGATACAAAGGGTGCGTTTGCTCTAGGACTTGTGAGAAGAATTTATCCTTGGCATAGCGGTTGGCGATCTTCTCGTGTATGTCTAGCGTTGGGTCTCCCATTGAGATCACATCAGTGAGGAGAGGGGGTGATTCCGATAGGATTTCCTCAGCGATATTTGGTACATTGTTTGAATTGGGGCATGTGTCGCATGGTTCATCTGCAGTTCGTGCGGCACTTGAAGCTGGTAAATGTGGGTCCTTGTTTGTGCATGGTTCGTTGCTTGTGTCTGTTTGAACGTTCGTTTTACTGTGTGTCTGATTGTTTTCATTCGTACTCCTGCCCTCCAGTGATTGTGGGGGAGTTTTACCGACCTTCAGAATTACTTGTCTGACTTTAGTCGTTCCAGTGGGCACAGGACCTGTGGGTCCGCCCATTTCCTGCAAGGCAGTGTGTGGTGTGATGTCTGTAAGAGGCACATGGTTGGCGGCTTGATCGCTTGGGTGCTTGTGATGAGTGCTGGTAGTTTCGCCTGCCTGGGTGTCGGGTTCACACACTCCCGCGATACTGGCCTTTGGTGCTCTGCTGGTAGTGTGGGGCGGTTTGTCAAGATCTCAGTAGCCGACACATTTCAAGGTGAGGTGGGATGAGCGTCTTGCTTCTGTAGCCCCCAGAAACAGGGGTGAAACAGTATACACTGGGGCAGTCACAAAGTTGAGGAGGAGGGAGCATGGTGAGTCGTCTTCGGTGGTACTGACGTACTCACTTGCAGCTCTAATGGTCCCCTTAGGTTCATCGCTGTAGATTCAGGACAATGTGTCTGCAAGCGTATTCTCTATGCCTGGTATGTGGGTGATGTTACGCTGATGGTAATCAGAGGAGGTTTCAAGTCAATCAATCTACTAGAGGTGGTACTCTAGAGAAGTCAAAGGAACCAAGGTGGATTCACTAGTGTCTAACTAGTAGTCTGGGGATGTATCTGGGTAATTCCAGTGTAGGTCAAGATGAGGAATCATCGAGACTACGACCTGCTTATATACTATAGTAAGTCAGGGTCCAGGGTCAAGGGTAAGTAAGTAATATGTCCATATAAGTATAGATAAGTGTCCATGGGAATACACATGGTGTATGCATGTTAAGGGTCTGTGAGAATACACTAGGTATCAGCATGTAAGTAATATCCAAGGACTTGCCGAGGATAGATCGAGATTGATCTCAGATCAATGAATAGGGTGTACACCTGTGATAAGGTGAAGTCAGAGAGTAACCCTAGATAGGGTGATATCAGGAAATAGTGACACTGTGACATGGTGTCAATGTGAAGAGGTGAAGATGTGAAAGGGTGAAGAGGAAAATGAAAGGTGTCACAGACAACCGTAACAGGTGATGTCAAAGTCAAACTCGCTGATCAGTTCTAACCAGCTGACTTGTCCCAGGGACAACTTTTTCTGCATTTGCAGCCATTCAAGTCCCTTATGGTTGGTTAGGATTCGGAATTTGTATCCTATCAGTAGGTGTCGGAATCGCTTGAGCGACTCAACAATTGCTAACAGTTCCTGCTCATGCACAGGATAATTCTGCTGGGCTGAGTTGAACTTGCCCGACCAAAAGGCGATAATGTTGGCCTTGTGAGCGTCTAGACCTTGCGATAGTACACTACTGGCTCCGGTGAATGAGGCATCTGTAATTAGGTTCACAGGGCTAGTCCCATTTACAGCAGAAGGTAAGTCAAGCGCTTTCCGCCGCACTTCACGATGAGCCTGAATGCATGCCTTTACTAGGTCAAACACTCGCTGATCTGTAGGGTCCCATGACCATTTCGTCGTGCGAGCCGCTACTTTTGACAGATGCTGGATGTTGACGTGAACACTGTCACACCCAGCGGCGAGATACCCCACGGACCCGATGAACTGCATTAGTAGTTCTTTTGATGTGGGCATCTTCCAGTTAACAATTTTATTGATCTTATGAGGATCAAGGCGGATACCCTCATCATCGATTATGTGCCCCAAGATGCACAGTTCGCGCATGAAGAACTGAAGTTTATGCTCACTCAGGTAAAACTTATTAGCTCGCAAAGTGTCGATGACAGTTCTGACGTGACGAATGTGATCTTCAGCCAAGTCGGAATAGATCACAATATCGTCTAGATAGATGTCCATGAAGATGCCAATGTAGGGGCTGAATATCTGATTCATCAAAGACTGGTAAGTGGCTCCTGCGTTGCAGTCACCAATTTGCATTATGTGGCTAATCATGGTACCGTCTGGAGTGGCGAACAGCGACTTGGGTACGTCCTCGGGTACGATGCGAATTTGCTCATACGAGTCTTTGCCGTCTAGGAGCAATTGATAAGGGTGGAGTGTCACATTTCGCAGTATGCCTTCTATGTCAGGCAGTGGGGAGGCTAGCTTGCGGGTGTTTTTATTTCGCTCACGAGTATCAAGGACGGTTCGCAGTTGAAGGGTATTGTCCTTAGTCGCCTTCTTCATCATTATCATTGGGACGGTGTTACAGTTGTCTGTGACACCTTTCATTTTCCTTTTTACCTTTCACATCTTCACCTCTTCACATTGACACCATGTCACAGTGTCACTATTTCCTGATATCACCCTATCTAGGGTTACTCTCCGACTTCACCCTATCACAGGTGCACACCCCTATTCATTGATCTGAGATCAATCTCAATCTATCCTCATCAAGACCTTGGATATTACTTACATGCTGATACCTAGTGTATTCTCACAGACCCTTAACATGCATACACCATGTGTATTCCCATGGACACTTATCTATACTTATATGGACATATTACTTACTTACCCTAGACCCTGGACCCTGACTTACTATTGTATATAAGCAGGTCGTAGTCTCGATGATTCCTCATCTTGACCTACGCTGGAATTACCCAGATACATCCTCTGACTACTAGTTAGACACTAGTGAATCCACCTTGATTCCTTTGACTTCTCTAGAGCACTACCTCTAGTAGATTGATTGACTTGAAACCTCCTCTGATTACCATCAGCGTAACAGACGGCATTGGAGCCGCTAAAGAATTCCCATTGCCCAGTGCAGATGTAATCATCGCGCTTGTTTTGCCATAGGGGGCGAAGTGCTTCTGGGCAGCGGGATTGGTGCCAGGAGTAAGTGGCGTGGTCATTGATCAGAGGAATGACATGATTGATTTATCGGAGAGGGGGTAAGGGGGTTTCAATTGCCTCCTTGCAGATATCTCGAGTGTACTGACGCAGTTCCTCTCTGTAGGTTTCAATAGTGTTACTTGTCAATCCGGAGCCTTGCAGCTCTAGAACTTGCATCTGCGCTCCTCGGATGGGTAAGGGGTCCAAGCTTCTAATTTTTATTTCGGGAGGATTAAATCCCAGTAGGACCTGATGTTGAAACAAGAATGGCATGCCCAAGATGACGTCATAGGAATCTAGGTTCGCGATATCAAAGGTACGATAGCATTTGATGTCTTGATAAGTAATCTCAACA